GGGAAAGCGGGAAGCACGGGAAAAACGGGAAGCACGAGAAAGGCGGGAGGCACGGGGAAGGCGGGGAGAACGGGGAAAGCGGGAAACGCGGGGAAGGCGGGAAGCATAGGGAAAGCGGGAAGCACGAGAAAGGCGAGAGGCACGGGGAAGGCGGGAAGAACGGGGAAGGCGGGAAACACGGGGAAGGCGGGAAGCATAGGGAAACGAAAGCGGGAAGCACGGGGAAAGCGGGAAGCACGGGAAAAACGGGAAGCACGGGAAAGGCGGGGGGCACGGAGAAGGCGGGAAGAACGGGGAAAGCGGGAAACACGGGGAAAGCGGGAAGCATGGGGATCCGGGAAACACGGGGATAACGGGATGGAAACACTGGCGGGGGGCGCAAAGAAAGCAGGGGGCACGGGTAACGCCGCCGGCGGCCAAGCCCCAGGCGAGCAGCTGCCCACCACCCTCCCCCGGTGCCCTCCCTCTGTTCGCGAAGGGAAAGCCGCGCCCCGGCACCAGGTCTTCAGGCGGGCAGCTGCCCACCACCCTCCCCCGGCGCCCTCCCTCTGCTCACCTCACGAGGAGACCGGCAGAGGGCGCCACCGTCCGCCGCCTCTGTCTTGGGCGGTGCGCGCGAGGGAAGCAGGCGGGGGCGGAACAGATTACTGCATGCGAGCTAACGCGGGGGGCGCCGCTGTTGTCCGGGGGTGCTGGGGGAGGGTGGTGGGCCCCTGCGCCAGGGGGGCAATGAATGCCCCGCCCCGGCGCCCGTGCTGCCTCCATCCACGCGCGCGGCAGGGGCCCCCGCTCGGCAAGGCTGCGCGCGGGGGAAGGGCGCGGGGGGCACCAAGGCGCGCAGGGGCAACCGGGGCACAAAGGCAGGCGGCACGAACGGGCCACGCCGCAAACGCGCGCGCGGGCATGGCGTCACGCGCCAACGCCTCGCATGGCGCAGACTGTTCCCCCGCTTCCTTCCCTCGTCCACTGGCGCCCGCCCGCTGCCGCGCTTTGCGTTGTTGCTTGGGCCTAAGGCTTGCCGCCACGCAAATGCGCGCCCCATGCGGGTGGGGTCCTCGCGCTCGCGCAGAGACTGGAACCACGGGCGCCATGGCGCTCCGCCTTCGTTCTGTCAGCAAGAAGCGGCGCAGATGCCTGGCCCCACCCTGCATCAAAAATTTTTTCCCTTGCCCACCCTCTGGCGTTTTTCCCCCCCTGTCCACTCGTTCACCCTCCCACTACGCGACATAAGCTGCGGCCTTGTAGGTCAAAAGCGAACAGCTAATGGTCAGTAATCATGCAACACAGATTTTTATCACATGGTTGAGATTTAGCATGACAAGTTGCTTTGTTCCAGACCACCCAGACATTTTTGCTTTTGATACATCGAGGCACGCGACCAAGAAGCGGAAACGAGGCCGCCCACCAGTGCCCGAGGAAGGCCGGAATGGCCTTATCTCTTCTACAACACAAGTGAGGTGGACGAGGGACCGATTCACCTAGAAATGTACGACGTACTGGACGAGGTCATGCTCATGCACGACATGAAGCGCAGGAATTTGACGAACGCGAACCCGGAGATACTAGAGGCAGTTTTCGGGCCAGAGGCAGATGTTGTGGACGAGGAGCATCTGCATCAGGTGCAGGCAGATGTTGTGGACGAGGGGGGCCATCTGCATCAGGATCGGCCACAACATCCTCGTCGCACGGCGTATGCTGGGATTCTCAAACGTTACATTCCAAGCTGTTGCATGATTTGTCATGCAAAATGAGCTTCAACATCCACGAGGTGAAGCTAGAGCTACTTCGCACGTTGACAAATTTTGGAAAGGCTAAACAGCATCTAGATTTGTGCGGAATTGGTAATGCAACAGGTCGTGCAACCTCCCTGCCTGCTTTGATTTTAGCCATTCCGGTGGTGATAAGTTGAAAATGAAACACAATTCGCCAGCTATTTACAAGCAGGAACATAGATAGCACGTTTAAACAGTTACTCGCTCGCCTAAAGAAGCGAGCACCCGATTGATTTTAGCCATTCTTGCATTACAAATACATGTAACAGTTGAGAGCGCAACGCTTAAGAACGCCATACGGCAGGAGCTGCATCGTCCGGTAATGATAAATCGGAAAGTGAAGCGCACGAACTAAAAAATGTGGCCGATGAACGAAGTGAAGTAGGGCAAGATCACGATACAAGCAAAACCGCCACGACCAAGAACGCCAGCGACAGAGAAGATATGGCTCTACTCACGTCGAGTACTTCTACACGACAATCAGCTACTGAAAATGAAAAAGAAGAACCTACTAGTGAAGCTGGAGAGAACGACGTGAAGAGGACCTCCGAGGAAAAGAACGATAGCCAGAACAAGGGAGGAACCTCGGGAGATGGAGGTGTTATGCCTTGGACGGTCGTTAGTATACAGAAGGGTGAATTTGCAGTGAATTTGTATTGCATGACTTGCATTTACTTGAAAAGAGAAGTGCGCTGCGTAAAGGGCTGGACACGAGCCCAAGCAGCTCACGCAGCGTGAAGGGCTGCTCGGTGCCAGGTGGCACTTGCAGCACCGAAAGAAGTAGTGGTAGGTCTTGCTGGGGCCCGCCGGACTGTGTAGCGCATATGTAACCAAAGAGGGGGGGTCGTGGGGCTCTTGTTCATCTGCGCGCCTGCCTCAGACCTTCCTCTCCGGAATGGTCGAAAGGGAGGGCGACGCCTGAACACAGGGGCACTAGTTCAACGCGTGCGCTCTCATGAGTTGTGGTTGTGGCTTGGAATTGGATATCTGGGAGTAGCCCCGGCGCCCTTTTCAAAATTCACCCCAAAATTCACCGGGCGCCCATTTTCGACCGTGATAAGCAAACTTTAGCGCAGAAAAGTGCTCAAAAAAGTGCACAGATAGGCCATGAGAAGGAACGCAAAGGGGGAAAAAGCGGAGTCCTCTGTTGCCCTAAGCCCGTCTGTATTCTGCTGAAAATGCCACAAGATTTCACGCGCCTGCCGGGAAAATGCGTCAAAGCTCTCGGCCGGGTCCTTTCGTCCTTGCCTGCCTTCTTGCTTAGTTGTATGCGCTTCGCGGCCTTTATTTCTGGCGTCTTTGCCGCGGCTGCTGCAGTGCTCTTCTGCGAGAACGGGGAGGCGCAAAAATCTGCCCAAAGAACGGCGCCCGGGCCATGTCCTCTGGCTGCCCACTGCGCAAAAGCCCGCGGCTGCTGCGCGGTGCAGGGCCTTCTACTTCCCAGAACAGGGCCAAGAGGGACAATGTCCCGGCGGGCTCATCGGCAATTTGGCATGCAAAATTCACTACAAATTCACCACTTCTCATGCTGACGGGTGTTAAAGCTCATGAACGATAGCCAGAACAACGATAGCCAGAACAACGGAGGACCCTCGGGAGATGGAGGTGGAGGTTCCTCGCCGTGGTCGTGGTCGCTCCCGTCCTGGGGGACTGTGGCGCAGGCCGGGGCGAGCGCAGTGAAGGGGGTCCAGGGTGCGGCGCAAAACGTGTTCGACGGCGCCAAGCGGGGCGCGGAAGCACTCCGACGGGGCGCGGAAGCAGTCCGGCAGCGCGCCGAACGGGGGTGGGACTCGGTGCGAGCCGTTTTCCATTGGGGTGGGCGCGCCGACCTCGGGCATGACATCATGCTCGGCCGCCTTGCCAGCCCGGAAGAGGCGAACTTTTTGGACGAGATCAGCAGGTATCAACTGGTCCACCCTGGGTTTCAGATACCGGACGACCACCTTTTCGCCCTCTTCCACAACCTCGCACCCCGTCGGCTGCCAGTGGAGGAAAGGCAGAAGCTAGGGAAAGCGGCAGGTCTACGTGGACGTTATAGTCTCGATTTCGGCGATGGGAGAGGTGTGTGCTCGGATCCGCGCCGCCGCGGCGTTTATTCTTCGGTGTGCGAGAACATGCCCCTTTTGCGCACTTCTGTCCTTGCCGAAACGCAACCGCAGCGTGGTCTCGAGGACCACGTCGGCAGCGAAGATGCTGCCGTTCTAGCCGTTCCGCCGAGCAGCGATGGCGAAGATGGGTGGGGAGCAGACGAACACCGCGATGTGTACCGCGTGCCGCTATCTCCTTCCGAGCGTGATTACATCAACACGGAACTAAAGGAAACGCCGGAGTGGCGAGACATTTTGCCAGAGGACGGCATTCGCTTTGGGGATAACCCGTTGAACCGCGACCACGACGTGCACCCGAAAATCGGAAAGGCAAATGAGGACTATATCAGCCACGACCCCACGACGGGCGCGACGCAGCCGGTGCGCCCCATCCCGCGCGCACACTGGCCAGAGGGGTTCGCAGACATGTCCGGCACTTACTTCGCCGGCAACCCTGGCACCATCCGCCCCAGCGTTCCGCAGATAGAGGCCAGCCTCGAGGCTAGCGACCGCGCGGGCTCTGCGTTGCACAAGCAAGAGAGTGTGTTGCACAAAGACGTGAACTTCATCGAATGGCACGGGGCTCCGGAAGTTTTTTCTCAGCTGACTACTTTTCACGCGACAGCGAGGCTTAATGAAGAACACGCGGCGGCAGAACTCCGCTACGCACGTTTTCGGCAGCTGGTCACAGGGTTGCTGGCGGGCCACACGACCCTGTCCGAGAACGACCAGAGCTTTCTCCTCGAGTTCATCAAGCCATCTGACCAGACCCCCCCTACGGAGGTTGGGAAAAATGACGAGGGGGCCGAAGAGGAAAGAACGCTCTACCAAGTACTAGAAGACCGCGAGGCGCAGACCGCAGCCACGGGCTTTCACCAGCTCCACCAGCACGAAAGCGCAAACAGGGCCTCCGAAGGAGATGATGGTGGAGCAGGCCCCACCATGGTCACGACCAGGGAGAGCAGTGCCGGCAAGCTGGACGACCTCGTGGAAGATGATCGAGAGCAGACAGAGGACACGAACCCTCGCCCCCGCGCAGGACGCAGCGCGCCAGTAACAACTGCGTCGCGAAGTAGTAGGGCAGCAGGGCCGGAGGACGGTTGGAAGGACCTCCGCAGAACGCTGGGTGGAGGAGAGGCGGCTAATTGGTCTCTGCGTAAAAAAGTCCTCGAGGATGCGGCGTCGCACTGGGACGTTTCGTTTGTCAAGCTTTCCGCAAGCAACCTCTCTGAGGCGTCCGCGCCCGAATTGTTTGACTTCGTCGCCCATCCGGCGCAGGAAGATCGCGAACAAAACAGTGGAGGAAATAACACCAGGCAAAAAACACTGCCAGCGCTAGCGGCACTGCCGTCTAACTATGGGGGGCAGGAAGCTGGGCGTGCTGTCGGTGACCTGGTGCAGGATGGCCACTCGCAGCTACTTTTTGAGGCCTCGCTTCTTCAGTGGCTAGACATCAGCACCAACATCATGGAGCGTTTTTTGGTTAAGAATGACCCACGGACGATTATTCCGGCCCCGCTTCCGGCGCTTGGATGGGAAAATTTTACGCGCGGCGGCCATCGCCGTGGCCGCCCCGGGCTCGATGCTCCCGGCAGTGGAAGGCACAGCGGGGTCGTGTCTGCGCTGAATATTACGGACGAGTTGGAAATCAAGCCGGCTCGCCACGGGTTTTACTTTGATGGCTGGCCGGTCATGGCTGAAGAGCATTTCCAATTTATCCTGGGTAAAAACGTCGCCACCCCATAGTCAAGTTGGTAAATCTGCTAGACAAATCTCCAAGTTTTGGGAGTCGTGCATGACAAGTTTACATCTGTAGTGTAGTGCTGTTTAGCAAGGACAGCCGCATCACAAAGACGCCTGCTCATCCTGTTTACAGCATTACAAATCCCAAAACACGACTACAGATTCCTCTCTTGCGGATGTGCATTACAGATTTTTCTGTGGATGCAAGTCTGCATGACAACTATGGGACAATGGGGGGGCAAAGTGTAGTGTCGCATTTTGTTTAGCATGACAACTACGGGATGGGGACGTTTTTAAATAGGATACAACTCGTGGAATGGCTTGGGCGAAGTGGTACACAAATCCAGGACAGCCACTGGCCCGTATCAAATGTAAAAGTGTCTGGGCCTGGAAGAATGCAACTTGTCATGCTAAATCTGAAGCATGCAAAAATCTGTGTTGCATGATTACCAAAAGTCGCCCAGTTTTGGCCAAGTCGGGAGGGAGTTTCTCACAGAATCTGTCATGCTAGGTCCTGCATTCCAGGCTTCGTGGGTCATGGAAAAGCTGCATGACAAATCGCGCATTCTTCCAGACCCAGACACTTTTACATTTGATAGCCCAGCCTTCAAAACTACACGAAAGCCTCTCAGCAGATTCTGAAGGAGGTCCTGGCCCGACTCGTGAACCGCGCCCGAAGCTTGGCGGCTGTGGGGCTGGTTCAACAGGAGGACGCGGGGGACCCAGGTCAACGAGAGGAACCTAGCGCGAGGAGCCCAAGCACCTTTACGCCCCAGAAGATTCCAGCCAAGGCCCCGCTCCTATTCGCTCAGGAGATCCAGATGTGGCACAGAATGCGCAAATTACTTCGCACTAAACGTGAGAACGCGAGATGGCAGCAGAAGCAGCAGCGGAACTTTTCACGCGATTACGCCGACTGGAATGATCACAGAACGGGTTTGGAGTTCGCGGACTGGTTTACTTCTGATGAATGAGGAAAGATAGGTAAAAATGAGACTAAATTGATAGGATCTAGAAAACAGTGAGCGAAGTATTTTCATTTCGTGTATTGCCGCCTAGCCCTAGGCCTAGCTTGAAAACATCCTCGCGTAAAGATCATGTCCATGATACAGGAGCAAAAAACGTTTTTTCCAATCTGAAGAAGGAGAAGTAGAAAAGTTGTGATGAAATGGATCGCACTCACACTGAGGGTCTTGAACATTTGACACTTCGGCCAGCATGAAGAAAGGCAGAAAGAATATAGAAATAGTGCGTGCTCCCGAATAAGGCCGATGACTGCAGTTGAAGAATCCGAATAGGAGGTGCATCTGCGGGGGCGCACTAGAGATCATACCAAAGTCAGCCGCAAAAGACAAGTATTGATATTGATCTGAGATCAGCAACAAGAAAGAAACACATGATCAGCAACAGAACACATGATCACGCTGGGATCTACCCGTTGATGTGGGTCAATAAATTGATCATCACTCGCAACAAGCCTCGGCAAATCATTTTATTATATCGTTGAGTTTTTTTTTCGTTGGACAGGCGACAGCCCGGTGAGCGCAGATAGAGGACCACGGTGTTTCCTTGACCACGCTACGTATAACTTACAAATGAAGAAACATGTCCAATGGACAGCACCAAAATGGTAACGTAACGAACTACAGAAAAAGAAAAACTTCGTTGAACTTGAACAAAACTAATAATAAAGTAATTTCGAGGTAGTGGTTTTGGAGTTGTAGACCGCTCTACAAAATCTTCACTATGTCTTACCAAGGACCACCCGGTGCCAGCAGTAGCCACGACAAGCCAGCTTTGCGGGCACCATCTACATCCTCAGCAAGCGCTATTAAAAACAAGCCCGCGGCCCCACTCCTTCCAAAGCGGACATTACCGAAAATGAGGCCGCAAAGCAGACCGACCAGCAGTTCCGGTGGTCTGCCACCACAGCCTGCACATCAACGAGCTCCCGAAAGTACGGCGGGCGATACGGACCACACGCCACGCTCGCACAAGGAAAAGAAAATCAAAGCTGCGGGGAAGGGGTCAAGACCAGGGACGCCGGTTTCATCGAGAAGTCCCCCGCGCGCAGTTACCTTTGCAGAAGTGGTTCAAGTTGTGTCGGAAAAAAATAAAAACTATCCCCCGGTTGCGGCGAATAAAAATGGCGCTTCTTCTATAATGGGGGGTTCATCTCCTGTAGAAGCTTTTGCTACAACTAATCCAACAAGAAGCTCAAGAACTACATTGAACGCGCAAGAGCCGTCTACTTCATTGAATCAAAATCGAATTATATCGGCAGAAAATAACTCCTCTTTGTCGTCCACTGTAGCTGCCAACCTTGCGAAGATGAACAACAAGACAAAGGAACAAGAAAAATCCACCCTCTTGACCCACAGCAGCACAGCCCTTGCCCCGGTGGTAAAAGTGGCGGATTTTGTCGGGGAGCGATGGCAAGAGATAGAGTCGTTGCTCAAGGATCCAGACGCACCTGTACCGGAGCCGTTGAAGCAGCGCTTGCGGAGGCGAGCGAGAAGTCACAAGCCTTTCACAATTTTGTCTCGGCAAGCGACGAACCGGGACGCGGGGTTCAGGCCCAGGATTACTAATGCCGCGATCAGGGACAGGGTGTTGAGGTCGTTGTTGTTGTTGACGCAGCAGCAGATGCAGCAAGCGCAACCTGGTGTGCGGCCAACATTGCCAATGATCCACGACCACGACCCAAATGGCGAGAATTATGAAGCGAAAATAATAAAGTCGGAAGGATCTTCAGATGACCTGGAAGATGTTGATCTCGCGAACTTTCGCTTTTCCACCTTGGACCGTATCAACAAGAAGAAACATAAAGTCCTTCCACCACGAGAACAATCAGAAGAGGTGTTGGTGGACCTCCGAACGAAAGAGCCAGAAAATGTTGAAAAATCCCCAAACGAAGTACTAAAGCCCTTCAAGCTTCTCCGGTGCCACAAGCGCCGCGACGCCGTTTTCTCCCACACACTACAACTGTCAAGAACATCAAATCCGGAAAATAAAACTAAATGGCTCGGTCTCGCCACCCATGTATGGCACGCGAAACGATTCCACATGGAAACCGTCTGGGGCTGGCGGCTACCGAAAAATTCCTGCGAGATTGGCGCCCGCGCTGTTTGGCGCAAATGCAAAAAGCAGGGCTTGGTCCTGCACGACAGGTCTTACGCGAGAGTTTTGAAACTTTCTGCGGCGTATCAAATGTAAAAATGTCTGGGTCTGGAAGATTGCCAGGCTTGTCATGCACGTTTTGCATGACTCCTGATGTCTGTGATGCATGCCCTAGCATGACAGATTTTCATTTTGTGAGGGCTTCCGGATGCCTATACCGCATGACAAATGCTGATCTTTCCGTGTAGCAAAGCTTGGACTCTCACTCTCTTTGCTGCTCATGCAATACAGATTTTTTTAGAATCTAAAATCAGCATGACTAGTTGAATTCTTCCAGACCCAGACATTTTTACAGTTGATACGGCGGCGAAAAAACCAATTGTGGACTTGATGCGGGACGCTTTCGGAATTCAGATGAAACACCTAATGGCGAAAAGATATGCACATAAAACTTGTTTTGCTGCAAGAGCAGCCGCGACTTCTAAGGACAGCACTGAGGACATCAAAAATTTGAAAACTACAAGAAGTGGTGCCTCTAGTTCCTCTGCCAACATCTTGAAGCGGCCGAAAGCGGGAGTAGACGCAAAAAAGTCCACGAAGAAGAAGAAATTGAACAAAGAAACGGAAGGGAACTGGCGAGGCCTCGTGGATCTGAGGCGCGGCCGGATGCAGGCACATCAAGAACTACTCTCAGTAGGAGCCGACGAGGAGGGTGGACGAGGCTTTTTACATGAAAGCGACAAGGTGGACATGGACCAGAACCAGCTAATCATGAAGGACGTGCCGTTCGTTTGGTTTTCTTCTGACGTCGGAAAGAACAATTCATCAACCGAGCAGGAGACCGCAAGAACCTCCTGCCACGACACTTCGTTCGCAAAAGTGTTCGGGACGACACGGAACAACTCTTCCTCGAGGACGAGGGAGCCACCTCCACAAGGGGAAGATGCTGTTGTTGAACACGCTCTTTTTCTTTGGATTCACCCAGCGGCGATGTTCGAAGTCCAACAGATGCTTCAGAACGCAGTTGCATCACGACCTGGTGCTGCACCGAAGAAAACAGCTAGTACAGCAGCAGGATCTACTGCAATAATAGAGAACCCACCTGCAGCTGGTGGTCGTGCTGCTCCTGGTCATTCTCCTGCTCGACGACGAGAACAAGAACTACATCAAGTCTCAGTGACCATTTGCGACCATCTGCACACCTTTGAGTTCTTCGGAAATATGGTGAAGAAAGCGATTTTTCCACCGAAATTCTCGAGGACACCTGCTGACGTAGGAGAGCTAGTCGCGGCGAATCTACCGTACCGGAGGTTCGACCAGGGGGGAGCTGAAGTGATTGACCAACTGCCGGTGGTCATTGTTGATACCAGCTCTAGAGCCGTGTCTTCAGTGACAACTTCTACGAGAAGTAAGACTATGACCCCCGCCCCTAGTGTTGAGGACCACGACAGCGCGGCAGTAGATGATGAATTTGCTAATATTATATCAAAGCGAGAAGTTGTTGTCAACAACCGTTCATCCCTCCCCTCCTGCCAGCTGATCTTTTTCGAGCCGGACCCGGCGAAGGTGCGGCAATTCTTCCTTTACTTCAAAATGGAGTGCCTGGCGGAGGTGATTGGGTTCGAGGACCGACACAGGCTGAGAACAGCCTACCTCCAGCCGGAGTTTCCGTTTGATTTTCCAGAGACAAGAGCTGGCACCGCGTGGCTGCAGAAGAGAGAAAAGGAAAAAGTGGTGGAGTTTATCAAAAAGCCGAAATCGAAACGGGTGAACTACGCCAAATTCAAGGTCCACTCCCCCTTCTACGGGTTTTGGCCGGATTACGACTTCGAAGTAGATGCGGTCGTGCAGCCGGGAAGTGGTGAAGCTGCTGCTCCTGCTGGACACAATTGTAGCAATTGTTACATTCCGCTAGAGCGAGACGTGGACTTTCTTCGCCACTACAACAACCACCGAGGAGATGCAGCTGCGAGAAAGGTGGCATCAAGCGCGAAAGGGAACAATAGAGACGGCGAGGACCAGGTACAACTGTGTCAACAAACTCTGCCAGAAATCGCCAACCTTCGCACAGTCGTGCAGAGAGACGGAATTCGCTATCTTCCCGGTAGCTGCAAAAACTTTCCGGCAGAAAAGATCCGCGATGTGGTTGCCTGTCGCGTTATCCCAGTGTCGACCGGAGTGCCCGAACCCTGCACCCATCTTTATGTGATGACGAAAAATGCCGGAGCCGCGCCGGGATTGGACTCTGGAGCAACTGCTGATCAAGCGGCAGGAGCTCAGGTGCCGATGGACGTCGAGGAGAACGAAAATTATAACGACAGCGCAAGAGGTCCAGCGGCAGTCTCTCATTTTACAAACGGCACAATAAGACGTCGAGGTAGCGACCAACATCACAAAAACTTCCGCCTCTGCGGCTTCGTTCTTTCCGGTGGTTATTCACATGCCTTTATCAAAAGGAAAAATCCCCCCTCCCCATATCAAAACGAGGTCTCTGATGCAGGATTTGCGTACACAAATAAGATTTGTCTTGCTGGAGAGGAATGCAGCCCCATACTAAGCCGAAGTAGAGAGGTTCTGGCCTAGGCGTCTAGCATGAGAAACGTCCGTGCTGTAGGCCCATCAGCATCACAAACCGCCGGCACAATGCTGCGGAGCTTGTGGAGTTGCCTTCTTGCAAGACAGACGTGATCTGAGGTCTCAAATCAGCAACACAAATTTCCGGAAACATACCTTTTCGATATGGGGAGGGGGGATTTTTCCTCCTAATAGCCTTCGGACGGGCGATCGGGTTGGGCTTCGTCGAGACAGAGGCTTACTCGGGCTACCTGTCATCTAACCAAGTCGACACTTTCTTGTACATGCGAAATACTACGTCGAACTGTTACCACAGGGTTTACGTATCAGCTGATACAGATTTGGGACAGAGAACCAGTAGGAAGGATGTTGGGTAGTAGTTGTACTTCGTGGAACAAGTGGCACAAGTTCAAAATAATTATCGATCTTACTACAAGACGTTTCAACTACTTCAAGCAAAGCGACATTTGAATGATTTATTTTCTATCAACGAGCAGGACAACCAAGAACGCTAACGCTTGTACAATGCTAATCGAAAATTCCTGCGACGCATCGGATTTCGAACTCCAGCCTGTGTACGTTTTTGGCAAGAGCATGCTCAATCTCCGTTTTTTCGTTGTCGTGCTTCTATCTCCTCTTTTAGTACTATATTTCTTTTTCGTTGTGGAACGAAAACGAGGCACGAGACGAGACACTGCTCAGTCGAAGAACCCAAACAGAGTGACGCAAATCAAAGTTGCTGTTGGTGTTGCCGACAGATGAGGTGACGACGGAGATGAGAGTTTTCTTTCGTCACTTGTAGATTTGGATTTGGTCTCGTCCTGGTCCTGGTCCTCGTCCACCTCGCGTTAAACATCATAGCTAAAACGAGTCAGTGTTTTTTGAAGTTGTTGTTCTTTCTGCCAATTGTTTCGTTCTGAAAATAAAATCATGCAGGCTACTTCCAGTGCAATCCGCAGCCCGAACTCGTCCGGGCAGCTGCGGCCGCTGCAAATAGGCAGCTCCGCCGCAACAAGCAGCACGGCACCACGAGGAGTGCTGCCGCCAGGACCAGTAGCAGAACAACTTCCCGCAGGTGGTGCACCGCCAGCCACAACTATGTCCTCAGGTGGAGCCACAACTATGTCCTCAGGTGTAACATTTTCCCAGGCCGAGCAAGAGTCCGCGATTGCGGCCCGGCTGGACGCCTTGATTGCGGAGCGGGTGGAAGCGGAGGTCTCCGCGTACGACGAGTATCTTATGCTGCACTTGACAAACCGGTTTAAGGAAAACGAAGAGAAAATTCTCACACTAGTTGAGGACAAAGTCATGCGGCAACTGGAGGCGTCGGTCGCCCTCGCAGGTGCAGCTGCACATGATCAAGAAAACGCGAAGACCATCACAGCTGAAGACAGCAAATCAGAAAATATTAAAGCGTCTCGTACGACCGGAACTACGAGAGATCGGTTTTCCATCGTCGACGCGGACGAAGAAAGTGACGAGGCCGAAATGTTATTAAACAGTAGGCCGAATAATTCGAGGAAAGTAGACACCGCAACGTCTCCTTTACTGGCGGGTGCACCAGGTGACACCAGTGGTTCATCTCCACCATCGTCCACCTACGAAGCCGCAAGGATTATGCAGGACATGCGGATTTCCGCCATGGAGCGGCAGATCGAGCAGAAATTGCTGAACGAAGAGAACTACGAACCGCAGAAGTATCGTACTCGTATAAATTATGCATGACAAGTTCCCTCAGCATGAGAAATAAAATTTGTAATGAGGATTTACCCTGAGAAAAAAATTTGTAATGCATGACTGCAATACGAGTGCGATGCTTTTGCACAGCATAAGAACGTTTTCGAACAGAAGATCACCGCCGAGGTGAGGAGTTTGAAGCAAACGATCGAAAGTATCAACTGCAAAAGTGTCGTACTCGTCGTAATTGCAATACTGCATGACAAATCTTCTGTTTTACCTGAATCAGCATGACAAATTCCACTCTTTCTTCTGGGCAAATTTGTATTGCAATCTATACTAGTAAGTTACTTTTGCAATGCATGGAATGCCATCACAAGCAATTTCAGGAAAGCAGGAAAAAACAGGAGGTCGAGTTGCTGGAGTTTCAGAAGCGGATGAAGGCCGAGATGGAGATGAAAGGTATTTAAAAACATAAAAAACGAGGATATCCTTATCCATCGATATTCACATATATTAGAGGACTGCGTTCTTTAAAGATTCATCGTGTACAGTTTTTTCTACCGAAGTTGCTTTTTCACTTTGGTGTATAGTTTCACGCCTTTTAACTGGATCTGATCCTGCATGATCCTGCTGGCGATGTATGGAAAACAATGAAAGTAAAAGTTATTTTCATTCATAACAGCCACGCCGATGCCGGACAAGAAACTTTCCGAGATGACATCCACAGCTCCTACAACATCCGCGGAGCACGAGAAACTGCAAGCGAAAATTGCGGAGCTCGAAAGCCAGCTTTCCCGAGTCGTCGAAGGAGTCGATGACCGCTTGCAAGTATGCATTGCAAATATGTCTGGGTCTGGAAACTTGTGATGCAAGGAAGCGAATAGTGAAAGCACTGTAATGCGATCCCCAGCATGACAAGATTTGCCGTGGTTCTGAGTTGCGTACTTACACCGCATGAGAAACTGCGTTTTTGCATGACAGGCAAGAGGAGCTCTTCGCGGCCACGCAATACAGAGTTCAGAGCTATGCCAGACTAGCATGACAAATCTTGCAATCTCCCAGACCCAGACACTTTTGCACTTGATAGCAAGATCTAGCGGACGCCTTGGTCAAGCGGGCGAACGACAATCAAAAACAAGTAAACGACAAGATCTACAGTTTGACGCAGGCACAAGTATTGACCCGCAGCGTCCTCCGGAAGGAGAACGATGCCAAGCTGCGGATGAATCCGCAGGAGGTGGATGCGAAAGTCCGGAAAATTTTGAAAAAGCTCCTCGCCCAGACCTACGTAAAGACGGAAGAGACGACAAGGGAGTCTGCTGCGATTGCGGATCATGCGGCGGAGGCGTTCTCGGACGGAGTACTGGAGACTACTACCTTTGAGCGCGCTACAGTGAAGGACGAGGAAGATGACTCAAGAACTGCGGGAGCAGCTGACGGCGAACTAACAGCACAGCAGAGCAAGAAGCGCGTTCCCAAGGCAGAAGGCGAGGCGCTCGCGGCTGGCAGTGCCGCGGCGCGGGCACGATTGTCTGATTTGGAGTCGCGGGCGATGCAGATGCAGCTGCTATCCGCGATGACGGGCGGGAGCAGCAGTGAAGAACTAGAAGGAGCGACAAATAAAGTGTTCAACAACAGGGCTATCCTCGGCACGATGAAAGGGCAGCAGGAAGACTTTGAGCGGCAGCCCGAGACGAAGAATTCTACAGCAACCGATGGCACGATGGCAGGGCAAACGGACGACTTTCACCGTGAGCCGATGACGAAAGTCTCAGCAAGTACAGTGTTGATGGGTGTACTTAAGTAGGTTCATCGTGTAGAAGTTGGGTTTAAGTAGTACTCAATTCTTCACAAACGATGAAATACTTCTGCTTTTTTTGTTGTTCCGTAGAGTACCGTCGTGAATAATCTTATACGCGATGGTATCGCGATGCTTCAATTGCGTAAGCGGCAACTGCAACAGTTAGCCGCATATCATACCATCGTGGACAATATTATCCAGGATGTTGTTGCTGTCAGAAAGGAGTGCGATTTAAACATCCGTCATCGCAGCATCGTGCAAAACGTTTTGCGCGAGGGTATGCGTTGTGCTTTTATATACGGGCGCTGCTATGCATCAAGGGTCCATCACACGATACCACCCTGCAAAATATCTTTCAGCAGGTTATGATGCACGTTCCAGAATGATCGCAATTGTCGTATAATCGTGCAGGACATTCTCCACACCGCTCTTCTGGTTCTGGTGGTGAAGGTTAAGATTAAGCTTCACGTGCAATTTGTTTCTGGTAGAATAACAACAACAAGTGAAAGAACGACCAATCAAATTAACCTCGCAGGTTCCGCCCAGCCACAACAAGCAACCAATGCTGACCGTGTCATCGTGCAGCCGCTCGGAGGTTCTTTCGAGCAGCAGCAACCTGCGAATATTAACGTGGAAGATCCTCTCGACGTCTTTAACCGCGACTTGATCCAACGCCCGAAATCGATGGCCGCCGAGGCCATGCGGCGCTTCGGGCAGTTTGACTCGACGAGCACCGAGGGTGGTGGAAGCAGCGATAGCATTCGACAGTCCTCCGCCGTAGTCCAGGAAGTATATGCATTGCAAATATGTCTGGGTCTCCTGGAAGAGTGTAACTTATCATGCTACATCTGGATCGTGAAAAAATTCGTGTTGCATGATTACCAAAAGAGGTCCACTTTTGAACATGTTTAGAGGCAGTTTCTCATGCAGGAAAGGCATGATAGAGATCTCACAGAACCTGTCATGCTAGGCCGTGCATGCCAGACCGCGGGGGTCATGGAAAACCTGCATGACAAACCTGGCACTCTTCCAGACCCAGACATTTTTGCAATCCAAAAAGTAGTGCACACGACGATTGCGATCATCGAACCGGTGATTAGGAAGGAACTCGAAATATGAAATGCAAAAGCATCGTACTAAGTCTAAGTAGTAATCGCATTACAAATTCGCTCAGCATTACAAATGGAATCTCTCATGCTGATCTGCCTTGAGAAAGAGATTTGTCATACATAATTGCGATTACTACGAGTACAATAGTTCTGCAATGCATACGAAAGACAGGAGAGCAAATTGAGGAGGACGCTGCAGCGAACGCAGAACGAAGAGGACCTCCAACTTGGAGGAAAAACACCAGACAGTGGATATGAACAAAAGAAGTTTTCCTTCTTCTTACGCGCAAGTTCCCCGCCACCGATCTCTCTCACTAGCGAGTTGAAGGCACAGAGGGAGAAAAACAAACTTCTGCGGTCAAAGACAACGCAGCAGTTTCTAGCGACGTATCGAAACCCGAATCCAGTGGTGGTCCCTTTTGCAGCTGCTTTTGGAGGTGAAAATAAGAATGGCGTGGGACGAGGAGGAGTTGACCAAGATGATACTCCTGGCACCAGCTCAACATCGCAGCAGAGTAGGGCGGGCACCGACGTGGTTCTGAATTACGCAAAGTCTTCTTCGTCTACCATCGCAGGCAACAGGCTAACGAGTCCGAGAGGGGGCACAACGAGTCCGAGAGGCACGACGAGTCCGAGAGGCACAACAAGCCCCAGAGGCACCAGTTCAACTCCTCGAGGGACCACCACGCGAGGGGGTGCAGCTTCAGCCTCAGCTAGTGCAAGTGCTACAACGGTTACAGCCGCTGCGGATAATAACAACTCCGCCGACCGCAGTATGCAGAGCTTTATGGAAGATAAACACGACCACACGAAGCTCCGCACCACGGCAAAATCGCAGCTGATGGCCGACGCGATCATCGACGCGTATGCTGCATTAGTTCCCACCGAACAGTTCCGTACAACTTTGGAGGATATGCATTGCAAAAGTATCGTACTCGTACTAATTGCATTTATGCATTACAAATCTTTTTGTTAAGGCAAATCCGCATTACAAATTTAATTTGTAATGCTAAGCCAATTTGTAATGCAATTTATACTAGTACGACTACGATGCTTTTGCATTGCATAGAGGATGTGCAAAATAGAAACATGACGGAAGAAGAAGGAGTATCGTAAAGAAAAATCCCCCCTCCTCATATTGAAAACGCATCCGTCTGAAAATTTGTGATGCACATTTGTGACCTCAAATCTTGTCTGTCTTGCAAGAAGGCAAGTCCAGAGAGCCTCCTGCATTTTGCAGGCGGTTTGCGATGCTGTTGGGCTTAGAGCATGCACGTTTGTCATGCTAGGCGCCCACGTCAAAACCTCTCCACCGAGGCTTGACATATGCCTGCAGTCCTCTACTGCAAGACAGATCTTCTGATTTGTGTACGGAAATCCAGCATCAGAAACTTCGTTTCGATATGGGGAGGGGGGATTTTTCCTCTTGATAAGGAGTGAAGATCTGGCAGGAAGAGGCGCAGAACGTGTTAGCCCGTCAGTCCGTCCGCGAGGTTTTTCTTACCGAAAGACCACTATCAAAATGAAAAATCCCCCCTCCCCATTATCAAAATGGAAGTCTGTAATGCGGGATTTGTATACACAAATCATTTTGTCATGCTAAGAGGGAAAAGAAAAAGATGCGGACTGTAGTGCTGAATGGCGTGGAACAGCCTTGCAGCTACAGCATGACAGGAGGCAGCTGGAAGTGGGAAACAGCATGACAAACTGCCTGCAAAAGAGGCCGCGACTGCGCCTCTTGGCCTTCTAGCAATACAAGGCGACTTGCGTACTCAAATACAACATCACAAATTTAGTTTTCGATATGGGGCAGGGGGATTTTTGTTTTTCCTTTTGATAACCAAAAATCCAAGCCTACGTCGACGCGGAAATCGCCCGGGCGCAGGAAGAGGTCGCGGAGGCCGTGCAGACGGCGATCCTGCAGGAAAGAGCAGTCACGGAGGGAATGCTGGACAAAATGACGCAAGACTTTGGGAGGACGAAAAGCACCAATATTAGAGACAATAGCTCTACTCTTGCGCAGGAAGATACGCAGCAGCTGCAAATGGAAATAGCAAATAGGACCCGCTTGTTGTCCTCTTCGCAGGCGTCACCACCGGGCGAGGATGTAGTTCATGTGGGGGCAAGAGCAGCGGCCGGCGCTTCATCTTCATTTAGGTCCGCTCTACCACCAGTGGAAAATTTGCCAGATCTTGCGAAAAGGTCGCTTGTTCCGCAGAACTCTCGCACGGGCACGACTGAGTTTGACAATAAGTTCAATGAAATCGCCGCGAAAGTCGGTGATCTGCAAGCGAAGTTTCGGATATGCAGTGCAAAAGTATCGTACTCGTATAAATGCGTATACAAACTTCCTCAGCATGAGAAATGAAATTTGTAATGCGGATGTACCTTCAGAAAAAGACTTGTAAATGCATGATTGCAATACGAGTAAGATACTTTTGCACAGGATATCGGACACTCGACAGCGACAACAAGCTCGGTGAGGTGGCCGCGAAGGTCGCGGCGCTGGAAGCGAAGCTGCGCGCGAGGGACAGCCTAGACAAGGAAAACATAACGGAGCAAAGGCGGCTGTCCCGGATGATAGAAAAGCTGAATCGCAGATTGAGCGCCATCACGGAAAGTGGAGATAATATTTCTGGCTCAGCTGCGCGCAGCACCACGGGAGGTCCGGACTACGCTGAGCGAGGGCCCTCCATGCTCAGTGCCAGCACGACAGGAACGACCACAGGTGCAGCTCCTACTGGCCAGCAAGACGCAGCTCCTGCTGAAGATCTTCTAGATCATGACCATTCGACGCCCGGAGTCCGGTTGACGCACGCGCCGTACGAGGAGCGCTTGCGGATGCTGGAGGGTTTAGTCACGGAAAAAGTCGAGGATCACGAGAAAAAACAAAAAGAACTTGACGAAAAGATACAAAAGCTGGAAAGCAGGAAGGGAGGTTCATCTTCCGGAGACATAGCTGGCCGAGATCGGCGGTCGGGTGGTTTGTTGAAAGGAGATTTTGACAAGCAAAAACAACCCGCCATAACATTGAACGAGCCGACAGAATTTTCCAAATGGGCACAGCAGACGCGAACAACTTTGCGAGACTCGAAGTCTGCTATCTTGTCAGACGACGGAGGAGCTCGGGATAGCGGAATGACAATGATTGTCGGCGTGGGCGCTACAACTACAGGTATTGCTCCAGCTGCTTCCGGTTCTGCGACAGCTTCAAGTACTGCTCCATTTGCAGCTACCATTCCGGAGGAACAAAGTGACCGGATGACAACAAAGGCCGCTTCTACTTTGCAGGAGCCTGGCGCTGGTATAACAGGAACCGACAGCACTGCGGGCGGCCAAGAGGACGACAAAGACCCTGCTGCTCCACGACCTGCCGACGAGGAGCCCGATCATGTCAAGCGAAGAACCCAAGGAGCGACGACCCCCGGGGCCACTTCTGAGCTTACCGAGCTGTCCGCCCGAATGCAAACGATGATGGAAGAGCAGCATGCAAGTTTTTCCGAGCTGCTTGCCCGCGCGGCGAGTCAATTTGACGAACTGGACGGGAAGAGCCAGCGGTTGGAGGCGTATCCTGTGCAAAAGTATCGTACTCGTATGAATGCAAGTCTTGCACTATTACAAACCTTTTTATTAAGGCACATCAGCATGACAAATTCCATTTCTCATGCTAAGGAAATTCGTATTGCAATTTATACTACTTAGTACGATACTTTTGCAGTTCATAAGGCGACCGTGGCGGACATTCGCGAACAGTTCCTGAGTTTTGGAAAAAGGAGTGAGAAAAGCATTGCGAAGTTGAACAAGATGGTGCAGCGCTCGCAAGGGGACACCGACGTGCCGCCGATAAAGGACAGCAGCGTTTTTCTGAGAAGTTCCGCAGATGGAAGTAGTCAGAGTACTAGAGATCGTCCCACCAGCGCGAAAGACAGTTCCAATGTTCTTGATTTTGACGCAAACGAGAGAGGGGCGGGGACGGTTGCGGACGTGCGTCAGGAGTTCTTGCGGTCGGGGAAAGTTCCACCACCAGGTGCGGTGGGGGCAACGATGTCAACATCTCCACGGGGGGGTATGATGGTATCATCGTCTCCAAGAGGCACAATGTCACCGAGAGCAGGTCGAGGGGCGGCCTCTAGTACGACTTCCCCGAGAGCGGGCACGACAGCACCGAGAGGAGGCACCATGTTGTCACCACGAGGAAACGCCACGATGTCCTCTCCCCGTGCGGGCGGAGCTACGACATCGCCGAGGGGTCCGACGTCTCCGCGGGGTCCGACAGCAGCAGCGTCGCGAGGGACAATGTCTCCGCGGGGCGGAACGATGACGTCGCCGCGAGCAGGGGGAACCACAACCAGCACGACCGGACCACAGCCGGCGGAATCTTCGGCCAGTATTGTAGTTCCTGGAGCACCGCAAACACAAATGCACCCTTCTGAAGGCGACAGAGAAACAGCAGCACCATTTCCAGCTAACGATGAAAACAATCTCTTCGCCCCGCTAGAGCAGCGTCTCCAAGCCGCGGAAAACGCACAGATAGCACAGGCCAAACAACTGCAGGACCGCGTAGACACTTTTGAAGACAAAACGAGATCTCTGGTCCGCGAGGCGTCGAGCCAGTTGGTGGACTTGTCGGAAGCGCTGACGGAAGCGAAGATGAAGAACGAAAAGCTTGCGAAACAGCTGCAAGCAGCGGAGAACAACCTCGCCGCGCTGCAGCGGTCAAACGCGATCCGCATTGATACCGTAGACGCGAAGCTGGACGGGGTGATTGGTGTGCAGAAGCAGTTCGTGAGACAATCGCAACTCGACACGGTGGTGGCGAGCATTACGGACAAGCCGGTTCTTAGTTTGAGTCGTGGCGGACCGGCCGAAGAAGCTTTACATGAAGGACCAGATGGAACAAAAAACAGTAAGAAGCCGTCAACTGCAGCTATGGCCACAGAGAACGAGGAGTCTGGAGAGCAGGAGAAACCTGGCGCACGTGGCATGAATTCAGACGCAGAGTCGGACATCAATCACCCCGGGGAGCCGACACCTCTGCACGTTGCGAGCAAAATGATCACAGCTGCTGAGTCGGCACCTAGAAGCGGAGCAGACCATGTTGGAGCTTCTTCCACCTCCGATAGTACTGTCGTGATGCCGATGCTGTTGCAGCTTACCGAATCGGTTGAACATTTAGAGGACGCGATGCGCAACACTTTGCCGGCGGTCCGGGCCGCGAGTGACCAGGCGCAGACGAAGATTACGGAAATTGACAACGAGAAGAGAACCTTGCAGAACCAAATAGAGGACTTGGAGGCGAAATTGGCAAAGTTGCAGCCTTTCGTTGCGAAATTAGACCAGGAGCGACAACTGCAGGAAGAGAAATTGGACGCAGTGGTTAACGCGAAAGTGGCGAAAGCGGAGGAAAAATTAAAGCAAGTTTTATTGTTGAACGTGAACTCGCCGGGGGCAGGACGAGTAGCAGCCGCCATCGCAACGCCATTGAGCGCCTTGAGCGACAAATTGAGGACGCCGATTCAACTTCCGCCTGGGCCGGCTCCGTTGGAGAGCCCAGTGAAACTCCCGTTGCCGGGTGACGATGAAATCTTCCGGGACAAGATTCTACTCGAAGACGTCCTCGACGAGCAGACTGTGCAACTTCCACCGGATGACGAAAACACAGTGGTTGAACAACAGCCAAAATTATCTTCATTGACGAACACGGGCGCGGCAAACGCAAATGGAATAGAACAAGTAAGCACGACCATATCGCTCACCGCATCTATTCCATCCGGAGAAATAAATGCAGCAAATAAAGCTACTATTAGGAGCACCGAGCAGTATGTGAAGCAGCAACAATCGATCATTCAGTTACAAAATCGGTTGTCTTCTCTCCACAATCAGTTGCTGGAGGGCAGGATGCCTTCGGTCGCTTTCAAGACGCATTTGAACGAAGTGGAGAACCACTTGGCGAGTGATTTGGACAACTGCGCAAAGGAAAATTTGGATTTGAAAAAACGGGTCTACGAACTCGAGCACAGCGAGTTGCCGGAAAGGCTGCACAAATTGGAAGAGCAGGCGGGGACTCTTGTTGCCGCAATGGAAAAGCAAAATGCGATTTTAGAGCAGTTGCAGAAAAATCCTGCAATTACTGGCGCTCCTGAAAGAGCAACTACGACCTCCGTAGTTCCTGCCAAAAATCCCGGCTCCTTCGCCTTCGCCGACGCAGCTACCGTAAGTACTGATCGCCCCACCGACCACTCCGTAGAATTCGCTCCGGCGCAGCTGCAAGAAGAGATAAACAAGCAGCGGAAAACTCTGCAACAGGAAATCGCCCAGGTGGAGTCTCAACTGCTCGCCTACGTGGACGGGGCGACCGCTGAACAAGACCACAAAATTCACCCTTTGACGAAGCAGATCGGCGCTTTCCAAGACGACATGAACGAGATGAAGTCGAACGTGAAAGAAGCGCTGTGGAAAACCTATACAGCCATGAAGGACGAGGTCAGAGCGGTGAAGGACCAGCTAGCTGGTTACGTGAAAAACGCGGAGAAACAGTATGTTGCAAAAAAGGATGTTGAACGAGGTGGAACAAATGAGAATGACCACAACAACTCCGTTGAAATCGTCGACGCGGTTTTGGCCCTGCTTCCCGATGCGGTTGGTAATGATGCGGCACACGAACAGCAGCAGTCCTCGATCGTGCGCGAAGCGGTGGAGAAGGTAACGCAAAGTAGAACCACTTCGTCTTTGATCGAGGATGAGGAAGTGTTGAAGGTTCTTGCCAACAAAAATTCCGAGGCAGGAGGGGACAAGGCGCGTGGGCCGACAGCGGCAGCCAGCACAGAACCACTGCGACAAGAAGATCAGCAAGGTACTGCATCTTCCCCTTCGCCTTCGTCGGCAAAGCGTATCTCCCTCGCAAAGCAGCTCGAGGAGCAGGAAGCTGTTGTCCGCGATCTCCAAGCGCAAATGCAGGACTTCACGACCAAAATCGATGAAAGGATGAAAGACGCAAGGACGCAGATCAAGGGCAACATGGGTCGGATTTTAGACTTGGAAGCGGCAGTGAAAAGGACCGACCCCGACGCCGGCGGCGTTGCAACTACAACTAGAAAGTCGTTGGAACAAAGCACTTCTTCGGGTCCTCGTCGTAATAAGGAGCAAGACACTGCGACTTCCGAAGATGTTGGAGTTGTTGTAGCATCCACGATCTCCAGCGATGGCAAGAACGAGAACGACCCACATGTAGTTCCACCGAAGGACCAATTGACCGCGTTTCTGGAAGCCGCGGATCTGATCCACAACGAAGTTCAAACTCTCAGAGACAACATGGCCGCGGATTTCCAAGCCCTGCACGCGAACCAAAAGCAGGAGGAAGAAGACGCTGCGAGCGGTTTGAAGAAACTGAAAAACGACTTTGACGAGCGGGAGAAGAATTTTCTGAAAAGGTTAGACGACCTGGAGTTGAAGCTAGAAAAGGAACAGCAACGGTGGAGCGCGGCGAGTACGAGAACTGAGTCTAGTACTGCAGCATTAAACGGCGGTGCTAGTATCCAACGAGCCGCGGCGTCAAAACAAGTAGTGTATGAAAAGAAAATCAACGACGTGAAAGCCGTGATGGACCAATTACAAGCAAATTCGGCCGCTTTGAAGAACGCAATTGACGAGAAAATCGATAGGAGGGAAAAACAGCTAAGGGATATGGTAGAACAGAACTTAGCGAGGTTGCTGCAACTGGAGGCGACAGTGACGGCGTTGAACGAACAAGCGGCGAGGGCAACGACGTTGAAAAAGCTGCAGGAAAAAGAGCAGGATGGACCACCGTCCAACAAGCAATCTACTTCCGCAGCCGCTTTGTTCGAAGACGCGCCTGTCATTGCGCCGACGCAAGAGCAAAATCCAAACCTGACGGTAGCTCCAGAACCTTCTACAGGAGCAGCTGACGGCGCAGCAACCACGCGAACCTTGAAACGCGCGGTCCTGGCTTTGGCAAGCCAGGTCGAGGCGTTGCAGGAAGCGTCCGCAGACACGAGAAAGAAGGTTAGGAGACTAGCGATTGAGCAGCAACTGCAGGGTGAGCAAATGGAGCAGGAAATTTCGCAGCTTGCCATGTTCGACGTGGTACCCGATGTCAATAGTGTAGAAAAAGAAATTATCGAAGGTCCGGCGCCGGAGTCTCTTCAATCCGCATCCGCGTTTCAGGAGACGGAAGAGAAGCAAATGGTCAGCTCAATCAGGATGGCGACGACCGATGATTTCGTCGAGCAAAACGCGGAGAATGAGCTCGATGTTCTCGAATTGCAACAGGCCGCAAATAAGTCCAGCCACATCGGGTTACTGAAGAAAAAAACCGCCGGCGCGAATTTGCAGCAGGAGCAGCAAGCGGCGGCCCTTTCCGACGCGGCACTGAAAGACAAGATTCTCGCACTTTTTTTGGATGATAGCGAAGAAGGACAGGAACAAGACAGCCACAGTGTGGTTTTGCAGGAGAAGATGGACGAAAAAATCGCGAAGAAAATCGAAGAAAAACTCTCGGTGGTCTTCCTCGAAGATAAGGAGAACGAAGATGGACGAGGAAACCAAAACATCAACCAGCTCCAGGAGAAGATAGACGAGAAAATCAGCAGAAGAATCGAGCAAAAAATGTCTTCCCTCTCTTTCGAAGATTTCAAATCCACCATCCTCCAAGAACAATCCTCGGAGAGAATTTCTCTATCAGAACTGAAGTCCTCCATCCGAGACCTACAAGAAAGACAGCAGGAGCAAAAGAAATCTTCGGACGTCAAACTCTCTCTATTAGAGGTGCAATCCTCCATCCGAGACCTGCAAGAAAGACAATCGTCGGCGCTAAAGCTATCCACAGCCTCCTCTACTTCTAGTAGTACCATCGGCCCGCATATCAAATGCAAAAATGTCTGGGTCTGGAAGATTGCGAGGTTTGTCATGCTTGTCTGGCATGACCAAAAAGTTTGTGATGCGTGTCCAAGAAGAGACCCTTTTGCCTGTCATGCAAAAACGCAGTTTGTCATGCGAAAAATGCACCACAAAGAAGCGCAAATATTTCTCATGCTTGCCTGTGCATTACAGAGCATTCACTATTCCCAACGCAGCATTACAAGTTTCCAGACCCAGACATTTTTGCAGTTGATACCGCAGGAGGCGCAGCAGATAAAATTGGAGCTGTCACAGGAGGTGGAGACGAAGGTTATGGCGTTCTCAACTGTTACATTCTCAACTGTTACATGAATTTGTGATGCAAGAATGGCAAAACTGAAAGGGGGAAGATTGCGCCTTTTGCATGACAGATTTGGCGCAGATTATCAGCCTGCTCGGCCCTTCGGGAATTTGTCATGCGAAGCAGCTTAATCATGTCGATTCTGATTGGAACTCTGCATGACAAATCATGTAACAGTTCAGAATGTAATGTTTGAGAACGCCATAAAGGTAAAGAAGAAACTGGACCGAAGGTTTGATGACATGGAAGAGAACCAGCAAAGGCAAACCAGGGAGTTGCGCGACAAGCTGATCGATTTGGAGCACGAACTGGCGGAGGAAGCGAAAAAGTTGAAGGAAATTCTGGATGAACACGAAGCGAACAAGCGAAACAGCGCTCTCCCAGGAGTGGGCGCGCTAGTTTCGATGAGCACAGGGAAGGCGCCGGGAGGGGATGTGGATATCCGACCGGGAGGAACAACTCCAGCTGGAACTGCTGTTCTCGCCGACGAAGACGACCAAAACTTCAACTTCGTGTCAGCGAAAGAAGAACTGATCTCGGGCGCAAGGAATGAGCTGAAAGCCGATGTAAAACAGTTTGAGGAAGAGGAGAAACAGAAAGTCGCTGGACTGGAGAACAAGCTGCAGAAAATGGAAGCCCACTGGGTGAACGAGTGGGGGAAGTTTCGGGGCGATGTGTTCTCGGAGATGGAAAAACTAGTGAAGGATAAAGTGGAGAACTTGCTGGAGAAAGCGAAGACTGAACTTCTACACGAGAAGGAAAATGCGAATAACGTTAAGAAGGACGACACAAGTCTTCCTGACGCTGAACTTTCAAACTACAGTATGAATAAAGCGGCTTCCAACAAGAACATTTCCCAAATTCTCGAGTCCGCCACGAATAGGAGTTCCACGCTGTTAGCAGAGAAGGAAAGACAGCTCGAAGACCTGCTGGATGCGAAATGGAAAAAGTTTGAGCAGAAGGCAAAGGAGCGAGAGAAAGAAATGCAGGACTCGACGATGCGAAGGTTGTCTCTCCGGTTGGAAGACGACGTGGAGCACGCGGTGGAGAAGGTGAAAACCCAAGCACTGGGCACGATCTATGGGACTCTCAAACGTCACATTCTCAACTGTTACATGATTTGTCATGCAAAATGAGCATTAACACCCACAAGGTGAAGCTACTTCGCATGACAAATTTTTGGAAAGGCTAAACAGCACCTAAATCTGCGCGGAATTTGTAATGCTACAGGTGCAACCTCCCTGCAGCTTTGACTTTTGCCATTCTTGCATCGCAAATTCATGTAACAGTTGAGAGTGTAACGTTTGAGAGCGCCATACGATCAAAGACGAAGTCGCGGCGGAAGTGAGCAGGAGCCCGGTGAAGCAGGCTGGTGGCCAAGGTCAGGTGGGCACACAGGACGAGGAGCCAACGGAACTACAAGAAGGACGACGAGCGGGAGATGATGGTCTTCGTGCTGCTGGCTCTTCGTCGGCTTACCGAGCATCAAAGAAAAACACCGAACTCCAACCCCAGAAGACGCAGGAGCAGGCGGTTTCAATTCTCACTTTTGAGATCGACGAGGCGGAACAGGACCTCATTACCGCCGCTGCAGGTCTGATGATGGACAGCAAACAAAACACCAAATCCCTCCGACGTATCTTCGAGTCGGTAACACCGCTAGGCGGTCCGGAGAACGCCGTGGGCGATTACAGTAGTTCATCCAGCAGTGCTGAGGAACGGGAAACGGGTGGCAGTTCTACTACAACTTTTGCAAAGAACACACTCGAGCAAGAATTTCTCCGGCTCGGGGGTTCAAAGAAGACAAACGTAACAAGAGCGACGGCTGCCAGCGGGGCCGGTGGTCGCGCCGGGATGAAGAGTAGAGAAGTTCAACAGCAAAGTACGTCGAAGATTAACGACTACATCGCCGCGAGAATAAACGAGCATCTAGTGCACAGTAAAGACTTGTTGAGCGACCACGCGACGAAGCTGTTGGACGATTTGGATTTGAGTGTAACGAAAGTAAAAATGAACATGAGCAGGAGCAGTTTAGAAGTCCAACCAGCGGAAAAATACCAGGACAGAAATGACAATTTAGCATCTTCTTCATCACAACTACGTCCTCCCGGCGCCGGCACGCTAGTTCTGGACACGGTTCACGATGCTGCTGCGGTTATTGAGGAGAAAGTGAAGGTCTGGATGGAACAGGCCGAGGAAAGGCTGTTGCGAGTCGTGCAGCTCGTCACGGTAAAGGACCCGGGGCGTGAAGATCAAGATGCATCGGCACGAGCTGGTGCGGCTAGCGGGAGTGGGAGTGCCGCTGCTTCCAACAAACCCTTCATGTCGGCAGACAGTGTTTTGAACCTGGTTGGCGGTGGTGTTGGAATATTAAACCAGCAAGACGAAAGGACCTCATCTGCCACCACTTCTCTCTTTGACAGTTTCCATGCGCAAATGGAGGCCAGGGATAGTGCCCGGCAGGAAGAAAAAGAAGATGAAAATAAAACAGAGGCGATGAACATCAAAACCAACGCCAGGCTACTTCCAAGCAAAATGAATCTCGACGAAGCGAAAGTTTTGCAGCTCCTCGAGCACCACAAACAAGAGGAGAAAAAGCTGCTACAATTATTGGAGTCCCACGTGGCGTATCCTGTGCAAAAGTATCGTACTCGTATAAATGCAGGTCTTGTTGCATGACAGATCTGCTTTTTTAGCTTGTTCTGCATGACAAATTTCATTTTTCCTTTACAAAAAATTTGTCATGCGTTTTGTACTTCTAGTGCGATGCTTTTGCAATGCATATGGCGCCATTGAAAAAAGAGGCGAAGCGGGTGGTTTTAGTGGAGGGTCGGATGGTATATCACAAGAAAAAGGGTTAACGTTAACGGAATTTGTGATGCAGTGATGCATCAGAAAAGGTGCGCAAGTTTGTATTGCGTAGCATGCATGGAAGGCGAAACTTGTAATGCATGACTGCCATCTGTGAAAAAGAAAACCGTTAACGTTAACACTCTTTTGTTTGATATGGTAGATTTGGAAGACAGAATCGCTTATTTAGAGGCGGTGAACAGCGGGAGAGATGTTGACACCAGAGAGGATGTTGTTGTTGGGATGAAAACAGCTGCAGGAACCAGTTCTAAGAATTATCAGCCCGCGTCTGCAGAATTCGCAAATGACCCGCCCGGAGCTTCTTCTGCTACCACTGGAGATCATGAGGACAAAAGAAGTTCCTCTCGACTGCTTTCCAGCCTGCGAACCGAGATGGCCGAGTTAGAGGCGAGACTGTTGGAAGAGATCGGAAAAAAAGCTTCTCCCGCTGCTCTGGAGCAACTGGAGACTCGACTCGCCTTGGCAGGAGCAACAAGTGCAGCTGGCCAGAAAATTTCTTCAACAACCCGGGGTGGCGCTGGTGGTGCAGCCAGCAGTAGAACAGGGTCTGCCACGATAATTGATGACGAGGCTGCTGCCACTAGTTCTTCCGACACCATCAACAAGCAGTCACCGCAGCAGCTGAAAACCCTAGAAGAGAGGATCGTGAAGGCTCTGGAAGCTTTGCACAAAACGCTGCTGGAACGTGCGGACCGGGACCGCGAAAATTCGAAGAAGCAGCTGCAGGTGGTCAAATCGCAGATGGAGGAGGTACTAGACACGCAAGCAGTTTTAGGCCGAGGGGCGGCGAGTTTGCAGAAACAACTGCAGGCTTTTGAAGCAGTCGTTTACAACCGGTGGTCGCAAATTCCGGAAAAGATTTTGGATGGCGAAGTTGATGAAGCAGTAGAAAACAAGAACTACGACCGCGGCCCGATAAAGAACAGGGCCTCGGCCAGCGAGGACCCTTCTTCCGCTAGTACAACAACTGTCCAAGCGGCTCAGGCCAACGCGATTCAAACGCGAATGATAACGATGGAGAAGGTTTTGCAGGACAGCATGCGAGACGGACTTAGCAAATCGGAAACCCGCATCTGCAGTGAGGTTCTTCCGTCTCAAATCGACCAGATGCGAACACAATTGACACAGCAGCTCGCGAGAGTTCTGAACGACGTGCTGACGGTGACTTTAGCCGCCGGGGCGGGAGGTGCAGCTGGTTCACAACAACATCAAGGAGCTAGTAGCAGTGGTGTGCCGCCACAGCAAGTGCAAGGGCATCAAGAGCCTTATGGACGAGGCGGACCTCTTGATGCCACAAGCGAGACGCCAACAGTTGCACCGCCGCTGTCAACTTCTCCCGCGCGTCGCCGGACAACAAAGAGGGCCACGGTTCACGTCGACCCGGCTGGCGAGTTAGTCGCGAGGTTTAGCTCAATCTATGACCCGGAGCCGTCCGCGCCGCCCTTTGAGTTCACGCACTTGATGGACGCGTTGCCGAATTCCCTGGCCCTACAGAGCTTGATTGAACAACGTGTCGCGACTTATTTCCAGCAATTGACGCCGCAGTTGATTTCTGACGAGGTGAAGAAAAGCGAGGGATTGGGTGAACTTGTGGATAAGAGGGTGCGGGATGTGTTGGTGGGAGAAAATTTGATCGCAGGAGCGCCACGCGGATCCACAACTGCTAGTAGTAATACGATGAGAATATTAGCCCCGGGAAAATTATCAGAAAGAGCGGGTAGTGGGACCACGGTAGACATGGGCACTGCAAACTTCGGAAGTAGTGGAGTAGTTCCAGGTATCCCGGTCGCAATTCAGCAGAGCCCGCTGCAACATTCTACACGAAGACCTACAGGACATCTTCAAGCCGACCCTGGTCTTTTGCCGGGTCCAGAGGAGGTACAACAACGCGATCAAGATGTCCTCGACCGCAACACCCTCTTGACAACCTCCGCTTCACACGACCAGCTCCTCCAAGCGAAAATCGACGACAAGCTCGAAGAATTCGCCTCTGAGCGCATTCCAGCGATCATCACGGAGCATTTGCGCGTTTTGGCCCACGGCGTGGATAAACGATTGGATGAAATCCACTCCGCGATAGAAGGTATCGAGAAAGACCTTGAAACAAACAAGAAGGAGCTGTCGGCACATTCCACGACCACCGCACTTATCGCGGAGAGCCACAAGGAGAAAAAAACGCTTGCCGATCACCACGGGAAGATCATGGAAAATCTGCACCAGAAGCACGAGGTTCATAGCAACAAAGTTGGGGAACTAGGAAAGAGTTTGGAGAATTTGTTGGACAAAACAAGCGCTTTGGAAACCGGTAGAGGGCTGCTGAAGGCAGATTTGGAGCAGTTAAGGCAGGAGTTTTTGGGGCTGCTGAAGGTGGTCGAGTGGTTGAAGAAGAACTACGCAAATAGTAATCAGGAAGCCAGGAGTGCAGCAAGCAGAGCTGCAAGTGGTCGAACCACAGGACATCAGGCTGCTGGTGCAGGGGCAATAATTCAAGACCAGATCCAGCGGAGGAATGAGGATGTTCAACTTCCACAGGAGAAAGCCGAACCGAAAACTCAACAAGAAAATGACGACGGACACAATCAAAATGGAAAAGACAGCGCAAGAAACGCCAGCAGCGATAGTTCCGCGCACAACGTAAACGCACCAAGGACGAGCTCCATCGGCCAGAAGAAGGAGAATTCGAAGGAGAGCAATCCGAGGACCGGACCAAAGGAGCAGCTCGACACGCCAGTGAACTCTCGGACAACCACCGCGATCAAGGATGTGAATCTTGAGAACAAAACTACAGCAACAGCAGGGAACAATAAACATGGTACTTCTTCGAGCGGGGAGAAAAAAACAAACCTTGATGAGAAAATCCGTTTCACCGAGCAACTTTTGGACCAATCTGTGCAGTCTGGGAACAACGAACTTCTCCTAGACAAGACCGGCGTCGCAGGAGACACAGTGCCAGCAGGCCGAGGATCTGCTGCGGAGACAGTGCGATTGAGTTTGGAAGACGACATAGCAGGAGCGACTTCATCCCAGATTCAACACAGTCACAGTTCTTCGGGAAGTACTAGAGCGTCACAACCTGCAAGAACTACAGAGCCGAACCTCCAACCAAATCCAAACCGAGCATCCGACAAGAACTTCCGCCAGCGCCACTTCTGGGAAGTGTTAACCCCGGATTCATCACTGCACGAAAACGCGATCAGCTGGGCAAAGGAGCAGTTCCCTGTCGGGTCGCACCACTTCATCGCCTCTTCTAGCATCGACAAAACTTTGCAACCACTGTTGAAACGAACCACCGCCGTCGGGACGGAAATGCTGGTCGAGCGGGATAGGAACAATATTCACGACGGGAACAGACAGAGGGTGTTGGCCGCCATGTTGCGAGATGTTGACGCGAATAATCTTGAAGTGGACCACCCGCAGATGAAAAATTCCGCTGAAGCTCCTCCTGCAGAAGTGGAACCAGCAGCCAGGCGGGAGTCCGACTTTTACTTCTACCCAGAACTGCCGTCAAGTGATGTGAACCAGAACGGATCAGAACAACATGATTCGAGCCGTGAGAAGATGAACTTCTATCCGCCCCGGCGCCATCCTTTGTCGCAGACCACAACGACCGATGCAGCGCTCGCCCGGGCCGCGGCGATTCTGGATGCCACGGCACCTCAGTGCAGTGTGGACGAGGTCGTGGATAGGGGCACGTCCGAAAGTACTAAAGTAGACCGCGTCGGAACCTACTACCGGGTGAAGGATTTGGAGCGGAGCCCAAGGAATTTGAACTCTGATTCCGTTTTTATTAATACACCGAGTGTTGCAAAAATCCAGGAATCCATGGTGCCTGGCGGGCGGGAAAAAACAGTAGCACGACACGACCGTTCGCGGTCGAAAAGCAAGCGAAAGCGGTTTTTTTCGGAAGAGGGATAAGGACCTGCCGTCGACGTGGATTTTTAGTCCCTCAAAAGATATGTTTGTTTTTTCAACGATACGAGTCTTTGTAGAATCTTTCACACCAGCAACGAAATGGTAATGGAAATCCAATGGAGTAGATTGTAGAATCTTTCACACGGTGAAATCAGAGCGTTCTTCTTGAGTTTAGAACTTCTTTAAACCTTTATCATAAAGAAGCAGGTCACACCCTTCTATCACTTGTAAAATGATCAACTCATCATCGAGAGGATATCGCAACAGTCACTGCAGATGCTTTAATCAGTCCTCGATTTGCAGCGGTTTCGCAGCCAACTGTCGTTGTGAAGATGGCAAGACAAATTCCAAGAAAGTGAACGGGCGCAATCATCTGAAAAAGAAAATGAGAATATCAAAACAAAAAATCTGACGAGCACACAAAATTTTACAACTATGTGTTGCCTGGGCTTGCAGTATTTGATTGCTTCTTTGACTTTGACCCTGTACCTACTTAGCTCATCGAACGCCCTTTGGTTGTTTTAGAAATACGTCGTGCAGGCGAAACCAGCTGCGATCTTGATCTCTTGAAATTCCCTGTTTGTTGAAGCATATTAAAGGCACGCCTGACCGGAAGATTTTTGCTTTCTGCAATATAAAGATCGTGCTTTTTTCAGCCGGAAATTTTGGCTTGTATCAAAAAATAGACGCTCAAGAGATCTGGAAAAACCGGATCTGCCGTTGGTAGTTTTTGATACAAAGTCCTCACCTCCAACTCCATGTACCAAAATGGCTCTTTCACTTCCTGTTCACTTATTTTGCATCGAACAAAAAATAGTCCTGTTGCAGGAACGGCCGCATCGATCTACACTAAAGCATAAGGAGCAATACCGTATTTGAAATAATCTCAAGCTTCATTTATTTGACGACATAGAGTTAGACGTAGCAAATTTCTCTGAATCACTCCCTTGATATTATAACGCATCCTTCGAAGAAGCTACTAGAGTGTCTTCTTCTTCTTCTGGCTCTTACACAACTTGTTATTCAAAGCACACCCCAAAAATGGGCCGCAGTCGCAGCAGAGACCGTGGTCGCGACCGAGATCGCGACAGGGAGCGGCGCGGTAGAAAAGAGGAGGAGGACAAGCCGAAAGAAAAGAAGAAGCGGTCGCGCAGCGAAAGTAGTGCGGAACGAAGTAGGGAACGGGAAAAACGACGAAGAAGGCAGCAGAGGGAATTTATGCAGAAACACGGCGGGGGAAAGGGCCGAGGGAAAAATGAGGATAGAGGAGGCAGCGGCGGTGGCGGTGGGGGCGGTACCGGTGGTGCTGATTTTGCTTGATGTTATTTACAACTTATTTTGCATGTGATGCTGAATGAGCCTGACCCTGATCGATCCTGATGCAGATCAGATGCTCACCTCCATGTTCTACATGAGACGCACGAGCGCGTCGTGTATAATTTACCGCCCTCACGTACTAGAGGGTTTTTCTATTTTTTTCTACCTCTACTTGGTGAAGCTAAAGTCAACACAAATTAATAACAACAGCCGGCGCCGGCAGTCAGCAGTCTCGACAAGGCATGTTTTTATCCAAGAAAAAAACATGGTAGTTGTAACTTTTTTGGAGGAACAGCATTACAAATTTGTCTGGCATGACAGCAAAAACCTGTCATGCGCAGATAGTACGTGAAAACGCCCTTTAATGGACCCTACGACGCATGCCAAGCATGACAGACGCAATCATCTTGCATGTTGCGCATCACAAATTTACATCAACAGCGTTTTTTTCTTGGATAATTTTGGGACGGTTTTCAGTGGATCCCCTCGGATATCAAATGCAAAAATGTCTGGGTCTGGAAGGATTCGAATTTGTGATGCGAAGTCTACTAAATCATGATAAAATCTGTCATGCATGGCTAGCAAAAAGCCCCATTTCTTGTTTCCGAGACAGAAGGTTTGTCATGCGGATTAGGCATTGGGATAAGTGCTCAAAATCTGTGATCCTAGAGCTTGCATGCCAGACGATCTGGGTCAGGCAAAAACTGCATGACAGATCTCGCATTCTTCCAGACCCAGACATACTTGCAATCCATATCGGAGCAGAGCGTGAATTCCGCCGCAGTAGCGGCACAGATGAAGTTAAAAAGGTTGTACATCGGCAACGTCCCGCCAGGCGTCAGCGAGGACATGTTTAAACAGCAGTTGATTGACAAATTGCGGGAAACCGAAATCATAACCGCGGACCGGGACAGCTCCAGCTTGGAATTGCTTATCTGGTATAGATTTAGTACTGATTTTTGCTTATTTACAACTTTTAGCGAGTTGTGTTCATCTTTTGTGATGCGAACGCGAGAAAGGAAAAGCACGATTTGATAAAGATTTATTTGTTGTGCATGAAAATGAGCTCGACTCCTCCACGAAAAAATTATCAGGATGCACCCGGATCAAGGCTACGGTTTTGTTCAATTGGAAAACGTCGAGATGGCCGAGAAAGTTTTGGTTCGACTCGATGGTATGCTGGTGAACGGCTTTCCGGTACAATTCAAGCGACCGAACGACGCTGCCGTGGCGGCGAAAAACATTCCGGGGGTCAATACAGGTACATTGTTACTTCTTTTTACCCTTAATACAAACGGGCAAATTTCATATCTTCATTTTCTATGTAATTTGAATTTGTTCATGTGCTTCGCGGCCCATGTTGAAGATTATAATCTTTCCGGACCTGCCTAAAAAAACTATCCCAGGTCCGCTCGCCATCGCCGCGCCGCCCGTCTGCACGTCGCGCGTGCTGCAGATTTCGGAAGCCTTGCGCTACGACCCATTCAAAACTGAGCAGGACGAATATTGCAAGGAAAAATCCCCCCTCCCCATATCAAAACGAAATTTCTGATGCTGAATCTGGGTAAACAAATCAGCTCTGTATTGCAGAAAGGCACCGCAGCCAGATCCCCAGGCTAGGTAGAGGGGCGTATGGGTCTAGTTGCTCAGCATGGCAAACAGGTCACATTTAGGGCCAACAGCATGACAAATCGCTTCCATAGTGGGGCAGAAGCTTCTGCCCTTGTCTTCTTGCAATACAAACGTGATTTGCGACCTCAAATCAGCAACGCAAATTTTCGGAAACATACCTTTTCGATATGGGGAGGGGGGATTTTTCACTTTGATAACGAATTCGAGGAGTGCCTGGAGGACATGGTGGAGGGCTGCATATGGATTGCAAATATGTCTGGATCTGGAAGAGAAGTGGAACTTGTAATGCTGTCTGCGGATTCTAGAAATATCTGTGTTGCATGAGGAGCAAGAGGAGTCAGTTTTTGGCACGCGGAGAGGGCATTTCTCATGCGTGATTAGCATTAACAACCTCTCAACAAATCTGTCATGCTAGCACCAGCATCACAGACCTCACGGGTCATGCAAGATGTGCATGACAAGCCCCGACCCTTCCAGACCCAGACACTTTTTACAGTTGATACTGTAGCATGCACGGCAAAATGAACGCGGCGAACAACAAGATCATCCGTCCGAGTCACATGGCCGAACTGGTCAAACACGGCCTCGGGGACAGCGTCGCGGTACTATTTTGAAACAAAAATTAACCGCATTGTTATTTTTCGCACGAAGAAAAAATTGGTTGATTTGATTGATAGATGTTGAGACGGGTTCTGCGATGCTAGTAAGGCGAACGTCAGGGACGATCATGTTTCTATGCACATGTCACAACAGTTACAGTTGTGCGAACGGAAACGATCAAAATGATATCAGGTGGGTCACGTTTTCCTCGAGTTCGTGTCCATGGGCGACGCCGCTGGGACCATGACGAAGATGCAGAACCGCAAGTACGATGGCCGCTTCTTGAAGTATCAGTCCTTCCCCGAGGACAAGTTTTACAGCGCCATCGTACCGCTTCCGGCCGCGTGAAGTAGAGTGGTGCAGCCTGGAACTGCGGCTGAGGACCCACCTCCGGATGATTTGTTGATGCTGGAAAGGGTTTGCTCGCGGTCGCAATCAAAGCGAAAAAATTTGAAGTCTTGACATTATCTCACCTACGACACCATCTCATGATCTTGAAAATGATTTTCTATTTTTGTCCCAAGAGTCGTGGCAGCTGAGCAGGAAAGCGCCATCCTCGCTGAATGTAGATACAGATTTCAAACAAGAACATTGTCGAACGGAAGAAGGAACGAACGCGTGTCAGAGAAATGATTTCATGATGGAAGCCGCGACTGTTTTCTCGCAGAGGGCCTGCGTAGCCTGGTTGCGCTTTTGTGTTCTACAAACAAAAGTATGAGGAATCGATATTAAAACAAGGCAATGTGGCCTCCAGGAGGCTTCTTTGTCTGTTGACGAGATGCGATCCGTAGACCCTAAAGCCTAGCACGAGGATCAGAATCATGAAGATCCTCCGAGCCCTAGCGCTGCCACGCTCGCCCGGAAAAAAACGCGGGCGGAGTTGCGCCACGTGGCCGGCTGTGCGTCGAAGAAAGTCGAGCAAGGGAGAGGGTGCGCCGCGATTGCGAAAACCTGGTCCGCCTCGGCGCGCCCCCCTTGATTTTCAGAGTGGCGCGGCGCCGGGTCTGCCTTTTTGACTGTGTGGGCCCCTTGTTCGATAGTCGGCCCGTATTCAGAACTCCAGAGAGGCGGCGGCGGCTTGAGCGCAAAGCAAGCAAGGCAAGTCGCCGAAGGGTGGAATGGGGAAGGCGTGCGGCGCTCGACGGCGATCGTGGCCGAGCCAGTTGGCCGCAGGCAGGCGATTGGCGGCGGGCCGGCAGAGCGGGGGGGCCGGCGCACCCGACGGCCGCCCGCAGGCCGGTTTGACTGTGGCCTCTGGCCGAGCCCAGACCGATAGACGGGGAAGGCGCCGGCCCCCTGCATTTCCATTCCCCGCCTGGCCCGAGGGGCGGTGTGGGGTATGTGTGAAGCCGGAGGCCCGTGCCCCGTTCGCTGGTGACGAGCGCGTGGCGACGCGCGGCGGTCTGATTATATCGCGGGGCCGGCCTGGCGCGGGAACGCATCCATTGGCGCCCCCAAGGTCCCGGACGGTGCTCGGAGGGCCGGGGCCCCGGCCGTTTCTTTCGATTGCCATTAATTTTTAGCCGCGGGCCCCGGGGTGTTTGTTGCGGCCCACCGCGCGAGCAACTTGGCCCGCCGGAGCGAGCGCGAACAACTTCGGCGGGCGGGTCCCGCCTCTCCCGCGCAAGCCCCCGCCCGGCGGGGGCCACCCAAGTCCGGCGGTGGCGGACGGACCGAGGGCGGAGGCTCCGCCCTCGGTTGCGGCCCCCGGGGGCCGCCGCGTTTTTGCAGGCCGCGCCGCCGTGCGCCGCTAGGGCCGGCCCTGCTATCGAAGCGGCGCGCCTCCGGGTCGCGTGCAAGCTAGCACAAGCACCGGGCGCCCAACTGGCTGACTAAGCGAAGGGCGGAGAAAGATGGTGGAAGGCGATGAAGGTGGCGCGGTGGGCGTAGGTTGTGGCGCGCGCGCGCGCGGGCGGCCCGGCCCCCCTTCCGTCGGCCCGCCCCCCGTCCCCGGGCGGCGTGTTGTATTGTTGGCCTTTGGCGCGGGCGGGGCGGGGGCCGGGCGGTCAGGCAAAGCACGTGGACGCCGGCGCTGGTGTTTCCCTCTGGAGGCTCGTGCCGAGAGAAGCAGGCGCCGCCCGGCGGGCCGGCCGGGCCGTTAGCCAGCCCGAGCCAGTGGGGCCCCTGGCTACCTCATTGATGATGGTGCGTGGGGCGTAGTCGCCCTTACTTGCCAATGATTCCCCGGGGGGGTCAGTGGGTTCAGGTGTTTAGAGGCGTGGGCCGCCCTTGTTTGTGTAAGTGGCCGGCCCGCCGCCTGGCACGGAAGCTTGCTTAGCTGGCGAGGCAAGCTGTTGCGCCCCTTTTTCCGCAGACTCTTTGGGTTTGGAGCGACGCCGCCGGGGGTTGGATTTCATTTTTTTATTATTTTTGAAACTATTGGGAGGCGTTCCTTCGCGTTATGAATGTGTGGTCGCGCGATTTCGGCGTAGCAGGATCCTGAGTTGCCGCCGGGTTCGTTGCAACTCTTTCTGTTGCCTGTGCTTTGTTCGATCGTGGTCTTGCAAATGGGCGACAGTGGTTGTCCGATCGTGTTATGTGTAGAAAAGTGTAAGTGATCCAGGTCAATCTGTTATTTCCCGCGCCGGTGGAGCAGGTTGTTTAATGATACATAGATCCGTGCCTGTCGCACAGTTCCTTCACCCGTGCGGACCTGGTGGCTATCGTACTAACATAAGAAAGGGTCAACGTGCCTCCAGGAGTCCACGCGCCATGGTTTTGATTATCGTTTATTTTTGCCTGCATGTGTGCCCCTACCCCTAGTAGTAAGTGCAACTAGAAGTAGTAGTGCCTGTTCCGGCTGCCATTCTCCATCGTATTCAAAGAGGATCATACTCTTCTAGATACACCCCCGCGCCCGACCAACTTTTTCCACGTAAAAAAGAACCACCATGCGCATCATCATCCAGTACGCCAAGCGGAAGCTGGAGCCCTTGGTCGATCCGGAGACCGCGACAATCCTTACCCTGAAAGAGTTCGTGGCGGCGAACGAGGGCCCGGCCGTTGCCGACCAGAAAATGATCGCCAAGGGCAAGGAGCGCTCGGACGACACGCTGCTCCGGGAAATCCCACTTACCGATGGAGGGAAAGTGATGGTCAAGGCTACTTTGAGACCAGCGGTCGCCGCGATGATAATGAAGCAAGGCGCGCGAGCGGCCCGGGAGGAGGAGGTGGACGAGGAATTTGGACAGCCGGACGCGAAGCGGGCGTCAAAGAGCCCGGGAGGTGGCCCTTGCCGGGAAGAAGACAATGGGGACATCACCGCTCCGCGGGACACCGACACGGTCTTATTGGTTAATAACGCAGGTGAAGATCGGAATGCTGCTGAGAACAATGTTCTGCAGCAGGAAATAGATGCGCAGCTTGCACCAGGAGCACCAGCCGCTCCGGCAGTAGATCAAGAAAGCCACGATCTCCGTCCCCAGCTCGAAACGCTGCTCACAGTCAAGATCAAACAGGGCCGGAATACGCACACCATCACCGTGAAGGGGCCTGCTGCACCACCACCAGCAGGAGGACTATCACCTTCAAACCCGCCACCCAAAGTCTCTACTTCACGACCTGTGGTTATTTCCTGGCAGCAGCTCGCGGACCACCTTCACGCCTACTGCATCCCGGACATAGCCGCCGAGAGCTACCGGTTTGTCGCAAAGGGGAAGGAAATCCAGGCCGGCTACTGCGAAGACACAGACAAGGCCTGGGGGATGGAAAGCAACGTGTTTGACTTCTACGCCCGCATGACCCAACATCACAAGCAGGGTTCGGCGGTGGTCCCGTTGCAGGTGATGCTTTTGTTCAAAGAAGGACACTATATCGCGAAGGACAACCAAAAGTGGGTGGAAGAAAGGATTGCGGAGTTGGACAAGCTGGCGGACAGGATAGTTATTTTGGAAAAACGCGTGTCCCATCGGATGACGAGCGAAGACACTTTTCTCGAGATTTACCGGGCGGAGGCTTTGGTAGTGGCCATCAAGTCCGCGGCGGCGGCGGTGGGCGTTAAGAAAGAGCTGCTTGCGAAGAAGAAGGACTTTCAGGAGCAAGTGGACATCTTGGACGAAAAATTGAAGAAGTTGAGGAAAAATTTGCCTTGAAGGCCGCGGGTGTAAGAAAAAGAATCATAAACGAGATCAAAGCTTGTGATCGGAATTTGAAGAAAATACAAACGTCAAGCACTGTGCAAAAATGCGAACTTTCGTGCCTGAGAGGCGCCAAATAAAGAAACGAAATGTTCGTGGTCATTCTCTCGTCGCCAGTGCTGCTAGTCGCCTGCTGTTTTTGTCCATGATATCATCCGCTCTCTTCATTTTTCATCTGCAAGTCAGTTTTTTCTTCGTTCCCATGGTCTTGACCTTCATCCAGCCAAAAGGTCTAATATTCGGTACTATTGCGTCGTATCTGTGTGAATGCAAAGAAGGACAACCTCCTAGATCCATCCTTGTCGCTTCGCGACCTTCGTGATGTGCTGTTTTGTTCAGTTCCCATTGGTGTCGCGCGATCAAAATCAAACTATTACGACCTTTGTGGCTTTCGCCAAGCCAAAGGACCGCTAGCTGGTCTTGGATCGAGATTTTCTCCGATTTGCATATGAAGATCTTTGTCCACTAGATCAATCGGTCATTTAAGTCCTTCATCTTTTTTCTGCACAAAATGACGCGCACGAACCACACCAAGCGAATCCGTGTGGTGTTGGTCCCAGACTATGGACCACGAAGAGCATTTTCACCACCGTCTATGTGCCGGATAATTGCAAATCACGACCCGGGGGTTCCTCAAGAATCTTTTCAGCTACATCTTCATCCGCTCAACCAGCATCGCAATTTCAGTGCCAGTTGTGCGACAGCATCTTTTGCGAGCGGATCTTCTTCCTCCTCCACTAGCAGCAGGTCCTCAAACTCGCTTTTCCCGTCTTTCCAGCAGTTCCCCCTTCGCCGCGAGGTGCAGACGGCGCTGCTGCGCATGAGCATCCGGGTGCCGACGAAAATTCAACTTGCGTGCATACCGAAATTAATGGCGGCACCGGCGAGAGAGGATAGTTCGGGGATCATATCAGGATTACTCGGACCAGGCGGGACTCCTTCTGCAGCAGGCGCAGCCGGCGAGGAAGAGTTCAACCTCTCCCAAGACCAAGGCAATACAGGACATCATAACTCGTCAAGATACCCCTCCCGATCCGACAAGCTGCGGAATCAGTTCGAGTCCGTCCTGGACACGGCGAAGGCGCACAGCCACGCGGGTAAATACGGAAAGTCCTCCCTGCTCCTCGTCGCCGGCACCGGGTGCGGGAAAACGCTCGCGTACCTAGCCCCACTGATGCACAACCTTTTAGAAAGCTTCGACCCGCACAGCCACCCAACGCCCACGAAGCCCCGCTGCGCGATCGTGGTCCCAACGCGCGAACTCGCTTTGCAAATCCTGAAAGTCGTCCGCTTTTTCCCCAACATTACCTCTATCGCCGCCTGTCCGGGGCAGTCGTACGTGCAGGAAGCGAGACAGCTGTGCAACGTCGGGGTCGACGTCTTGATCGGAACACCGCACAGGCTGTTGATCCACTTAGCGAAAAAAAATCTGTCCTTTTTCCAACTAGAATCCTGCGTCTTGGACGAGGCGGACACGCTGTGCGACACTTTCTACGAAGCGGACATTTGCAAATTGTTGGCGAAAATGAATAAATCCAATCCCCCGCAATTTGTCCTCTGTTCCGCGACGAGGATATAACAGTGCACAACTCCCCCTCCCCCTCATTTGTCATGCAAAATCCCAAATCCAACCGCTACCTTGTAGTGACACTGTTTGCATGACAGATTCTGGGAACCCAAACAGTACTACACTAGGCACATGAATTTGTCATGCAGAGGCCCCACGCGCGCTGGTGTTTGTGTTGCTCTTCATGCCATGCAATTCATTGAGGGGCGGGAGGGGGAGTTGTGCACTCTCATAGAGGACTGGCGCGGTTTCGAACTTTTTGCAAAAATCGCTCGCACTGCCCATGTATCAGATGCAAATATGTCTGGGTCTGGAAGAGTCTTGCTGCTTTTGCATGACACAGAAGGTCTGGCATGGAAGCTCTAGCATCACAGATTTCGAGAAGCTTCCGCAATGCCGAATCCGCATGACAAATGCCCCACTTTGCTGAGAGAAAGTGGGCAGCTTTTGCTGCCTCTGTATGACAGATTTGTATGTGTTGTGAGATGCGCATCACAAGTTTGCTTTCTTCCAGACCCAGACATATTTGCAATGCATACCATGGACGTGACCGTCACCGACGATAGTCACAAGGTGAACAGCAACATCGACCAACTGTTCGTGCCGACGCGGGGGCGGTTGCGGCGGAACGTGTTGACCGAGATTTTGGCCGAGTCGCCAATGAACTTCGCCAAGGAGATATCCAAGAAAAAAACATTGTTAGTGTAAATTTGTGATGCGCAACATGCAAATCGATTGCGCCTGTCATGCTGTGCCTGCATTATAGGGTCCATCCAAGGGCGTTTTCACGTACAATCTGAGCATGACAGATTTTTGCTGTCATGCGAGAGATATTTGTCATGCTAATCCTCCAAGAAAGTTACACCTACATTCTTTTTTTGTTGGATAGGAGAAGACACTGGTTTTCACAAACACGGTGCGGAGTTGCAAGTCGCTGCAAAAACACTTGATCGCCCAGGGCATCGCGTGCGACGCATTGCACGGGGAGATGGGGCCGCGGAAGAGGTCCAAGGTGATTCGGAGATTCGCGGGGGAGGAGGAAACGAGGGGGATTTCGGCCGGTGGAGGAGGTGCTTCGTTGCCTCCAACAGAAATTTCGGATCATGTTGGCGGAGCGACAAACAGCTCTTCGATCGAGTTTACCGGCGGCGCAAATTTCCACGAGGATCCGATGGAGTACCTGAACAGCCTGCCCAGTTTGAAGGATAGAGAGAAGGAAAAGGAACAAGAACGCCAACAGTTTCTTGATGATGACGCGGACCGCACCTCCGGCGCATCATCTTTGTCGCCTGCTGGTCGAGGTCAGCAGAGCAACAGCATCGATAGTACAACTGGTAAAACAAACCACAATCTGCCCTCTGGAAAGTCCAGTCCAGCCGCCCAAGTAGAAGTACCTCCCTCCACCGGTTCCTCGCAAGCCCTCCGCAGCTCCATCCTTTCCCCCCGGTACGAAAGGCTAAACGAGAAGAAGCAGACCCCGAATTTGCTTGTCGCGACCAATTTGGCCAGCCGGGGGCTGGATGTTTCCGACATCAACCACATCATCATGTACGACCTGCCCCAAACTCTCGCGGATTATCTCCACCGAATTGGGCGAACCGGCCGAGCGGGCGCGACCGGGAAAGTAACGACGATCATGCGAAGAGGCGATTTGCCGCTCGTGAAGCAAATCCAGGATTTGACCAAGGACCCGAAGAAACTTGATGTGAAGTACACATCGAATAGCATCCGGAAGGTGTTGCAACTCGAAAAGTGGAAGTTCATGCTGACAAAGATGGGGAAGAAGGAAAGAAGTGACAAGCGGTTGATGAAGTACCTGGGGATCCCGCCCGCGAAACACCTCGGGTCGCCGGAGAACAAGAAAATCCGGTTTGAGTTGTTCAAACGGCTGAAACTGAAGCGGCACATGGTGTATCTGGAGAAAAAGGGAAGGCTGCCAAAGGGGTACGGCATCCCGCTGTTCCCGAACGTTCACGTGGAAAAGACGGAGTCGCAAACCGTCTCGGTGCTGAAAAAAGACGAAGAGACCGGGGTTTTGACGATCCTGCCGAAACGCCGGATGCAGCAGGTGGTGGAAAGTGAGCGGGAGAAGAAAACGGATGGGATCATCGGCGAGGTTACAAGCGACGGGAAGCTGGAGCCGTCGAAGTACAAAGACATGTTCCGGGCGAAGTCTAGGCGGAACAAGCACATTCAGTTACTCGGTGGGCAGAAGATGCACCCGCACGGAGTGCACCAGGTGGACATGAACAGATTGCCGGACTTGGTTTTGCGGAAGGAAGAGAAAACTTTGGATGCGGTGAAGAATAATGGTAGGGGAATGGTTGTGAATAATGGTGGTCCTGATGTTGACCACTGGAGCTCAGCCTCAGAGATGGATGATTCAACTTTTTTGCCAGATGATGTGCCTCCTACTGGGTCGTCTGCATTCAAGGTAAAATCCGACCCAAAACGCAAAAGGCCACAGTTTATGTAGTGAGGCAAGAATAGCAGTAGCTGATAGTAAATGCCTATGTCAATCTGAAGCAGTTTGGATTTATTTATTGAAGCAACATGTTCATAACTGCCAACACAAGGTAGTTCACATGTGTTATTTTGTCGTGCTGACAAGAAGTCGTGTTCGTTTTTTTTGGCCGTACGACGCTTCCCGACACGAAGTCGTGTCTAAGGACTGTTACACGGACGAGAGACAGAGCATGAAGCCATTGCACTGGCCTAGTTATCAATCCAGTTTATTTATTTCCATCAGGAAGCATTGGAAGACGAAGACCACGCGGTACTGCGTTCCTCTTCCGATACTAGCGATAAGATCTGCTGCACTGGAGATAACTCTACTATTCGAATACAACCAAAATCTGCACGTAGAGTTGTTCTTGGCACCGGGTGAAACCACAAACAATCGTGTCTCCGTGTAATTTCACCTACTTATCGCGTGTTAAGAGTGAGAGACCTTGGTCGTAGTTGTTCTGGCACCAGCTGCTAACAAGATGTCCTTCTCGCTCGCCCCGCATCCCATCGGGATCAAGTATTGGACCAACATCTGGGCCGAAACGATATCCAGGAAAAAACTACACCCATCCCCATCCACTATTTGCATGACAAATAGTGATTTTTTTGCATGTTTTGCATGACAAATTGGATGGGGATAGGTGTTTTTTCCTGGATAAACGAAAGACAAACCCTTCACCGAGTGCCTATCCCGGTTGACAGTTTTTTTGGTTTTTCCTGACTCTTCCTAATCTGTAAAAGCAAATTCTAGCTGCATTTTATGCATGATGAATAAAGCAGGAACTGCACGACCTGCAGTGGCATAGCAAGGAATTTGACCACCTACTGGTGTTCCATGCATTTTCATTTTGCAAGAACCGACTCCATACGATTTGCAGGGTGAATCGATGAGTCTTGAAACTGTCAGGAACGAAGCAATCATAGATTTCAACCCGGGATAGCCACACGGCAAATTCCAGAACTGGTACCAGAACAAATTTTACAAGTCCTTCGGCCGCTACTACTACCGCCACCGTGCCGGACGGATGGGCGCGTTTGCGCCGTTGGTGGTCGGCGGGTTGGCCTTCAAATTCGTCTCCGCGTACTACGGCATTCTCCGCGACAATTCCGCCGCCATCGACGCGGCCAAGGCCTACGGACAGGGCGGTTACAAGTGCAACCCAGTGCCGAAATGAAGATGTTGAGAGGCCGAGGGACGAGAGCTACCTGGGGATTGGGATAGAAGGAGCGTTACAGAGATGACAAAACATGTCTGTACTAGTTGCTACTCTCGCGAAAAGTTTCCGGAGCCGTTGTACATCAGGCTCTTTCACAATACGAACCTCAATCTTCGCAAGGAATAAAATCCAAATCCAGGCTGACGAAACGATTGATGATCTTGTGCTTCTCTAGGGGAAACGACACTTCTTTACTATTTTCAATCGACAAAGTAGACGTACAAAAAGAAAAAGAAAGCAACAGGAGCAGGAGCAGCAAGCCCCTGCGCTTTATAAAGCATTTCTTGAAGTAGACGCGCAGCTAAGTTCTGGCCGCGATGCTTCGCGTCGTCTTCGCGGTTCGCGTTTTCTTCTGTTTCTTGCTCTCGCCCGTCCTCGTTTTGCTAGTTCTTGTACAGGAGTGCATCTGCATGTGCACTGAAAGAACTATATACGGCTTCGTTCCATCTGAATCCTTTTTTCTTCTCGAGTTCCCGTGCAGCTACAACAGGGACTGACACTGACAGCGGCACGAAAATCAAGAACTGACATCGTCGAACCTTTCTGTTTTTTCATTTTTCGGGACCACGAACTCTATCGTACCATACCTCTTACTTTGTTTTTTTGGAAGAGCGATGAGCGACGAATTGTGGAGGGTGTGTGCGCTTTTTTTACGAACGTTCAGAATTTTTTCAACTTGGGAAGTCTCTTCGTATAGTAGTGATGTCGAACAGTAGTTACTAAATCTCCAATAACCCCGTCAGTTGGGTAAATCATTCACTCACTCATATGTTAGAACTTTTGGCCTTGGCATCATGACAATTACTTGTCATGCGCGAGGTGAATTATATTGGTGTGGTCGACAGCTTCCTGGGTCCCGACGCGACGTCCTGGAGAAAGTAGAGGATCTTCATCTTCTACTATTAGGTCAGCAATAAGTATAAAGAGGAGCAGAACGAGAACCCTCTGGGTTGGATCCAGGATGATCCCATCTTCGGTTTCCTGGCCCGGTGTGTAGGACGAGCTGTCTTTACGTGGTGTAGGAGCAGGGGGGAAAGCGACGACCTTGTTTCTCTACGCGTGGTGGCGAAGAAGATTTATTGTACTAGGAGACAAACTTCAACCTACCTGCGCACAAGAACGGCACGGCTTTAATTTTGTTTTGTCATTTGTTTCTAACGACCACAAGCATGCATTTACTTTTACAAAAACAAAAAATAGCAAAAAATACGATTTGCTAGCTGGATTCTGTGGGATAGGGTGGGGTGTGTGATCAACGCGGTTTTCTTCACGTCCCTATGTTTCAGTATTCGGCTATCCTGTGCAAAAGCGTCCCCACCACCCCAGAGTCAAGTTGGCAATTCTGCAGGTACAGAAAGCACTAGCACCGTAAGTAGTTTCGGCTGTTGCGAGGCGGGGACGTTTTTACACAGGATATCAGTGGAACCCCCACAGCCTGCCGCTGGTGAATGATATCAAATGCAAATATGTCTGGGTCTGGAAGAATGCAGATTTTGTATGGTGATTGATGCCTCTAATGCATGATCGAGCAACACAGATTTTGAGAGGGCTTCCTAATGCCTATTCCGCATGCGAAATGCCCTCTCTGCGTAACACAAACCGGCGTCCTGTTCTTGCTGGTCATGCAATACAGATTTTTTTGGAATCCAAAGACAGCATTAGAAGTTGCAATCTTCCAGACCCAGACACTTTTGCAATCCATAAATGAGTCGATGCACCCATCTTCGATAACCTGGGACCAAGTTGCGGAATTTTGCGGCCCCGCGTGGGGCGTGGAAATTTCCTTCCTTCTCCCTTTGTTGTTTTGCTGCGGGTCTATTCTCGCAGCGGTGCTCTTTGCACTGTTTTACACATCCAAGTCCACCTCTAGGCGGAGCAGGGATGCAACAGAAGAGGTCGACCTGTAGAGCGAGAGGGGGCTACTCTGTTGTGCTTTCGTGCTCCTGCGATCAACAAATTATATGCTTTGACTTTTTTTGCTGTAATCGTATCAATGTAGTTTTCCGAAAACTAACAAGCACACACAGGAATACGATACTGATTCTCATTATCTAGCCCAAGTACTTCTTGTTATGTGGAGACCGAGACACACCTTCCAGGAGCTGCGTTACATTTCTCTCAAAAGCAAAACTAACTACCAGACAAGCCTTGAATTAGTACAGCCGTTGCGCGATTATATTGGTGCACCAACATCCTAGGACAATTACGTTATTAACGCCTGCGACCGTGATTCGATAGAGACTACCGACAATGCTCAGGCGGAGCCACTGTTGGGGCCGTTTATGACCACTTGGAGTCTAACTAGAAAATCTCAATTTTTTTCCTCGCATCAACGTTGTAAATCAGAGATAAACTACAGCAGAAATCGAAATACAAATAAGGTCGTCCGCGCCATGATTTCACCAAGTTTTCGTTGCGAAAGTGCAAGTAATTGGCTGATAGCGATAGTACAGACGCTTACGGTATTGCATCATGAAACAGAAACAAGATCAAGATTCACGTCAAGAAAAATAGTAAGGATCGCATCCAGTACGGCTGCGCAGGGCCTTATGTTGAAACAAATTCCAACTGAGATAGTCATAGTTTATTCAATTTCTACAGCTGAGCTTAAAATATTATATATAATTTGAATTTTTCTCAAAAATCAACACGATGGGCTATTACCTCCCCCGTCGAGGAAATTTATCAGTATTTAAAATGAGCCGATCTATCGGCGATATCATGTCGGCGCAGACAACATTGAGATAAAGTAAGTATAGTATAGTCAGTATGATTTCCAGTGAAAAGCAGCATGTTGGGACGAGTGGCGCTGTTACGAAGTTCAGCATGACGAAAGAGTACCAGAAGAAAATCGCTTATTTATTAAACAAGGTCAAGTAAGTATATCTATATGATGAGTAGTACTTCAACTTCTTGGTCATGCAGGAAAGCAGGTGCTTTCTTTTGAATATGAAACCCCCTGGAACTGGATGTGGTGCCTCTGCAAGTCCAAGTTTCAAGAAAAAGTCTAGTACGGCCGTTGTATGCTTCTTCCTCCTCGCTTTTTTTGTTCGCATGTTGAGGGTCGTAAAAAGTTTCGTAGCAGACCGCGGCAGAAAGGTCACACAGTTGTGAGGCTATCGTCGTGCGCGGTGATTTTATTGCGAGCGTGGTGTGCTGTGGTGGAACATGGAACTGGACGACGTAATGGATGGTGCAACTGATGCTCTACCGCAAACGGGTGCGCATGCCATCCCCAGAAGTGTGGAAGATGATCTCCAGAAGTGTGGGAGTAGAGGTTCCCTAAAGATGAAAAAATACTTGTTACTAGCTATGTTATTGTGTGATATTTGAGGGCGGTCGCGGTGGCGGTCTTGGAGATGAATTTCCCCCCTGTGCTGTCACGAGAAAGAACGCCACCTGAGAGATCTATTCCTTCTGCAGAAAGAAGGCAGGAACAAGTATAACTAGTAGACTACTAGTTGGCAAAACAATTGAGAGTCCCGCATCTGGTCGTTGTGGTATAAACATAAAGCACTGACTATCAACACTTATTACCATTATCGCAGCACTTCAGGCCAGGGAACAAGAAGCGTGCACAGTCTCGTCGTTTTGAGGAACAAGAAGATATCACCAGCAGCCCGGCAACCTCTCCGTTAGTCGGCATCTTCAGCCGAGTTTGTCTACTTAGTGTGTGCTCGTGTTATTTATTGCGACGCACGGGGGCAGGACGAAGAACCTCGTCATGACCATTTGGCACCACGATGTTGCAACCTCAACGGACGGCGCAAGAACCGTAATCAGCACAGAAACAAAACTCGTGAGCTACTACCTTTCAGTTCGGGATTCGTGATGGGAGGTGGTGGAGCTCCAGCTCCTGCGCCTTCATCTTCACCTTCCACGAATGAACAGGATGTACTAGTCGTGCCACGACCTGCGCCTGCACCTGGCGCAGAGTTCGCCGAGAAGCACGAACGCATGCAGGTCCTGGTGGTGGAGGAAACACACGCAAAGGAGCACACGAGAGCGCGCGCGACCGACGTGTGCGAGGAACAAGTAGAACATCAAGTATCACTATCATCTGCTGTCGCGAGCGACGTTGAGGTCTCGGTGGACGACGTTTTGCGCAAGCGACGCCAGGAGCAAGGGCGATGCTCTCCCTCCTCCGAGCGCTTCGGATTCCGCTCTGTGTTGAGACACAGCTTATGGGATTCTCCAATGCCGCATTGTGTCTGCTGTTTACTATACATAATTTTGTCATGCAAGGCTAGCATGCATGAGCACGTTTTGCATACAAATTGAAATTTGTAATGGATCTCCATACTGTTTTTAAGTGTGTCGAGAACTTGCCATCTTTGGAAGCAGCTTGATAGTGTTGGAAATTTGTTTGAAGAGCAAAAAAAATTTTGCATGACAAACTCATGTAACTATAGCTAGCAATTGCAATGTAATGTTTGAGACCTCCATACCGCTTTCACAAAACGTTTACCGTCGTCGCCAATTTCTCCAACTCCGTTGATATGCCTTGAAAATTAACCATATCATCCAATTTGTCATACAAAACATGGATTGAAGTCGCCTTTCGTCATGCAAAAAGTGGATGGTTAATTTTGATTTTCAGTGCATAGCACAATGCACGTTTCTCCAGAATTGGGCTCCCACCGTGTTCTTCCCACTTGTCGCCGCTATGATTTGGACCATAATACGGGGGTTAGGGCCGAGAGTGCTCTTTTTCCTCAGTGGATCGTCTGCGGGGCGGACGTGCGCTCTCACGCCGGCGGCTTTTGATGGTGTCGTGCATTTGCAGACGCAAGGAGAAGTCGAGGCGAATTATGAAGCAGCTGGTGCCATGTTGGAGGCCATTGGTCCACCGCAGCTCCAGCTTCAAGCAGAAGTAGCGAAAAATATTACTGCAGCAACATCTTCTTCTGGCTCTCCTGGCACAACAGCTGCGTCCTTTTCGGTGTTTAGCGAGTGTCGCCAGTACAATTGGACGACCACGTCCACGATCACGAACAGCTCATCAACCCAGGTCGTTCAGTTCTTGTGTGGAGCCAGTTCTATTCCGTCTTTCGGTCAGATTCTTCTCCCGCCACCCCTGTTTTCCGCCTTCTGGGATATTGGAATTGTGTACGGCTTCCACTTGCATTTGCACATGTTGGGCGCCCGCATCACACACGCTCTTCCGCCCACGGGGGTGCCCGCCGTTTTGTTTTACGGGAGCTCCCTTGTCCTGTGCACGCTCGTCTCGGTCGCGCTTGGTTTCGCAGATTATGAACTCGTCCTTTCGGGGTGGACGCGGACTTCTGCGATGATCGGATCCGTCGTACTCTTCCTCTCGACCTTTGTTTACGCTGCGGTCATCGCGTTGCTCAACATCCACAAACGCGAAAGTGATCTGAAAACGACAAGCAAGAGAACGACCACTACACCAAAAGTAAAGATGGAGGCGCTGGTACAAATACAATCTGCTATACCTGTATCACCAAGTAAAAATCAGGAAGAACAAGAAGAAGAAGCAAATGAGCAGCGGGTCGTAGGAAAAAATAAAGCGATATTCATAGCGTCGACTACGGAACAAGCCGGAGCCCACTCCGACGAAAGAAACAACAGCTATCCGGTTCCGGAGGTTGTTGTCCCGCAAGGCGCGCACAAAATAACAGGGTTTGCGAATGCCTTTATCGGCTCACACGGTACCGATAAAACACAAACTGGCAGTGGTGATACAATCGCGAATACAACGGACTCACACAGTTTCGAAAAGTTTGCGGGGACGAACAATCAAACGGTGAGAAGCGAAGAGGGCGACGCAGGAGTTGTAGTCGCGAGCAAGAATTGTTCTCATTTAGATGTAGAGACATCGAAGAACGAGGACACAAAAACGCAAATAAGCGACAAAGAAATGAAGAGCAAGCCGAAACGACGCAACATGTTCGTGACGCCGGCGTTGCGGGGTCTTTCCGTGTTTGTCATGACTGGTGGACTGACGTTGTGCTTCGGTTCGGTCTTTTTCTTGACGAATTCCATCCTCGTCGAGTTTGTGCTGGATCCGCTTGCGGCAAATACGGCCATCGCCCTGCCAGTTCGATTGGCGATCGAGCTTGCCATCTCCCTCCTGGTGTTTCTCATCTGGGTCCCCTTGGCGGCGCACTACTGGGGGAAATCCGTCGCGATTGCGATCTTTGTACCGCTGCCCTACTGGATTTCCGCCGAGGTCTACGAGGAGAGTCAGCAGCCGGGTAGTCATTTTGCCGGCGAGGGTGATGATGCAAAGCGGGAACGCGAAAAGCAGCGCAAACGCCGCATGAGGGAAACCTTCGAACATATTCCTTGAAAATCAACCATACCCATCCAATTTGTCACGTAAAACATGAAGGAAGTTCTGTGTTTGTCATGCAGATGCAAAGAAAGAATGGGGATGGTCAATTTTCAGGGAATAGAACAGATTAAGATCGTCTACTTCTTTTCGACAGACTTGATTCGCATCACGCTCGGACGGGGTATTTTGATGCGGTACAGTGGGTATTCGGTTTTGCTACTCCTTCTCACCGACTTCGTCTACCACATGTGGCACTTTGGATTTCGCCAGCGCGAGTCTCTGCTGCTTTTCAGTGTGGTCGCCGCAGCAAAAAATCGCAACGTCCGGCGAATGCAGTCGACGCGTTTTCCCGTCTGGTTTCGTGTGATCGACCTGTGGACGCAGTTTCGCAACCGCGCCCCACTCTGGTTCACGATAGGCTGGCATGAGACCTGGGATTTCGCGGAAATGCTTAGTATTCGGGAGACCGGGGAAGGGTTGAAGAAAACAACTGACGTATCATATGTAAAAACGTCCCCACACCAGAGTCAAGTTGGGAACCTAGGAAGACAAATCCACAAGTTTTGGGAGCCACGCATAAGAAGTTGCAGTCCGTAGTGTAGTGCATGTAAGCAAGGACCACCGCATCACAAATCCATCTGCTTATCCTGTTTACAGCATTACAAATTCTAGAACTCGATTGGAAATGCCACTCATGGAGATGCGCATCACAAATCTTCCTGTAATCGCAAATCTGCATGATAACTATGGGGTGGGAATGGTTTTACTCAGGATATGACGACGATGCGCGGGTCCGGAAGGAAAGAACCGCGAAGACGTACAAGGATCTGACTATATCCTGTGCAAAAGTATCGTACTCGTAGTAATTGCAATCATGCAATACAAATCTCCCTCTTAAGACAAATCAGCATTACAAATTTCATTTTTCATGCTGAGGAAATTTGTAATGCATTTATACCACTGCGATACTTTTGCAATTCATAGACGATGTCTTTCAGCAACGTGCAGGTGATTCTGAAGCGCGTTCCAAACCATGTCTGGGACGAGATGTTTCCCGATGATCTTTCCATCGGACAGATTACTTCTACCGTCGCCTGCTATCCTAGGGAAAATTTTCACCAGCACGAACTAACATCCTCTTCTTCAGTTTGTAAATGCAATAGAATCACAATCAGAACCACCAGTGGTTTTACGCGTGCTTATGATGTAATGCTAATGTTAATGTTGTCGTTCTGCATTATTACGCATTGATTGAGGTGACGGTGAAGATTTTGTTCAGGATACCAGGGGAAGGAGAAGTACTGAAGAAACTGATCGATCGTCGCGAAGGTCCCACTCTTCGGGCGCAAGTTTGACGGCCGGAACGCGCAGATCAAACTCGGCGGCGAAGTTGACGAAAACAGGGAGTGACAAGTGGAACGCGAAGGCGGGTCGCGGAGGTCGACACCATGAAAACTCGCGAAATAAAAAAACACCTGGAGGTGTTGCGCAGATCATAGATGCTGACCTGCGTGCAACGGTCGATCAAAAGCAGGACATGTTCCGAGAGACCGTCGATACGCGCGCAACAATGGATTCGCAGTGCGAAATTGTCGATGTGCACGACGAGACCACGCGAGATCGGTTCTCATCGAGGATGTCGGAGAACAATACGCTCTTGCACTCGCCGGCACGAGTATCAACTGCTCCTTCGGCCGTCTTCTCGTCAACATCTCTGTCACTCACGGAACATCAGAGAACGGAGGTTGTTCCCGCTACCGGCAGTGACGCAGCTGCTGCGCAGCTCCGTGGACGGTCGTGCTCCGGAGCAAGTGCGGCGACGGGCTCCAGCAAGCGGTTACGGCTTGGACGGTAGTTAGAAATCCCGGCCGCGGATATTGTGCGGATATTATGACTCAAATGGAAAACGTGCGACAGCTTTTCTCTCGTCGCGGCCTGTGAGTCGAAGTGTTGACGGTGGCAGTAGCTCACCGTCCGAAGATGGTGGTGATCAGTGCGTCAGCTCAGCGAAGCTCCGTGATTGCGTGCAGGAGGAGGTCGCTCGTAGGTATTTATATTGGAAAATCGGCACGCCGCTATGCGTGTTTGTTTGGTTTCTGCATGGCATGCATTTTGCTACATTTTCGTGATAGTGATGACATGCCTTGAACCAAAAGGCAGAAGGCTTGGCAGGAGCCACGCCACGCAGCGTAGAGGAAGCTACCGCAAAATACATCGAGACGGAAATAGCCAGGCCGCGGCTGAATGACATCCAGAACGCCTCAGGGTTTAGGTCGGTGCAAGCCCTCCTTCGGCGAAAGAGCCCAAAAGCGCGGGTACTTTTTTGCACGTCAGTAGTGGGAGCGTATGCTTTCCCTTTTTTTGTAATGCGCCAGACTGCTTGATGATGCCACGTAGATGAAGGGCCCATAAGCATCATGAGCTGACAGAAGCAGTGCAGCTGGGATTTATCCTTTCTTGCCAAACACCTCGCAGGTCGCCATTGCGCTCGAGCTTGCAGATATCCACTACACCAGAATGATGACGATCAAATTGGCGGAAAGTGCGCACAAAACGGTGCAAATATGAATTGCAGATACGTCTCTGCCTGGGTGTGGAAATGCAAATATGCGTCGCAAATATGCATTGCAAGTATGCACTTTAAATATGCATTGCAAACATGTCTTGCAAATATGCATTGCAAATATGCATTGCAAATATGCCTTGCGAATATGCATTGCAAATATGCATTGCAGATATGCAATGTGCTCCGGAGCAAGTGCGGCGACGGGCTCCAGCAAGCGGAGCAGGATTTCCGTGCTCTCATCTACCCCAAATGTTCTCCGGCTCAGCGGTCCCCACACATCTACTAGCAGGCCTCCAAGGGCGAAAAGCGCAGACACGTGGGCGCGACGAGCAGGAGCACCTGCGCCAGCAACGGAGCAGACAGCGCGCATCCTTCCTGAGCACAACGAAGGTGGTGATGCGACTGAAGACGCACGCATGAGGCGTGGTCAAAACAGTGCGCCGGCCGGCTCGGTGGGTCATAGTGCTTCTTTCTGGAGGTGGAAGCGGCAAAGAAGCGTCGCCCGTCAATTGTCTTCCACCGATGTGCTCCCAGGTAACCCAATCCCGACATCCCGTCTGCCTTCCACATCTTCTCTGCAGCGCCCGTCGGTTCGCAGTGTTACGAGTCGGCTCAGTTCAGTAGTCCGTGGCGCATCCTCCTTCCGCAGGACCGTGCTTCTGCCCGCGGAGCAGCACGTGGAGGACGTCTCCGCGTGTGTATTAGCGCACGAGTACGTATATCACACAGAAAAAAGCTAGCAGTGCAAAAGCAAAAAATACATGAAACACCATGGTGGCTGCATCGATGAAGATGAGCAACGTTTTTGCATAGCCTATTAGCAATATGCTATGGGCGGCCTCTTCAGGAGACCAGGGACAGACAGTGACAGATACTTCATATGAGCCCCCCCCGCTAGTTTTTTCTCTACTGGGATAACGTGGACATTTTTCAGGACTTCGTCTGGTTTTACCGCGATACGCTCTTCACGCGCTACCAGGTGCGCGCCATGGTTCGCATCTTCACTTCCCTGGCCTGGATCTTCATTCCTGCAGTCGCTTTCTTGACCGACATCCGCCACTATCCCGGCTTCTCTACGGATTTGGTCACTAACGTCGTGTACCCAGTTTCATTTTTCTGCTACGACTATCCTGTGCAAAAGTATCCCACTCGTATTGCAGTCATGCATTACAAATCTTTTTCTCAAGAAGGTGAATCAGCAATACAAATTGTATTTCTTTTTCTCATGCTGAGTAATGCATTTATACGCGTGCGATATTTTTGCAATTCATAACGACTGCTCCGAGTGGATTACCCTGACTTTTTTTTTCTTTTTCGCCGACGCGGAAGCGAAGCACCGGTTTATATCAAATGCAAAAATGTCTGGGTCTGGAAGGTTGGAACTTGTGATGCTAACTTTGGACTCTAAAAAAATCTGTATTGCATGACCAGCAAGAGGAGTCTAGTTTGTGCTACGCGGGGAGGGCGTTTGTCATGCGGAGTAGGTATCAGGAAGCCCTCTAAAGATATGTGATGCTAGGCCGTGCATTGCAGACATCCTGGTCCATGCAAAACATGCGTGACAAATCTCAGAATCTTCCAGACCCAGAAAGTTTTGCATTTGATGGTTTACGTCGCTCTTCAACTCAGCCTTTAAGCAGAAAACCAGCGACCTGCGGCTGGTGTGCATGCTGCTGGCCGTTTTCTTTGCCGTGCTGTGCTTCGGCACCCGCTGGAACCCGAGGAATCTGCGATTGCTTCGGGCGGATACGGGGATTGCAGATTTATCTTGGGCAGACGTGCAAAATGTCTGCGCCGAGGCATGGGCGAGGTAAGTAAGTAGAACAATGAGGGGACACGCCTTTGGGTTCGGATCGAGTTCATCTTGTAGTTGAATTGAATTCTATAAATTAGTATTTTTTTCAATGGAGTACTTTTGGCGCACCGCATACAAAAATACTGAGTCTTTTACTGCAGCTCTTATTTGCCTGTACGTCGACTAAAGCTGTAAAAGCAGAGGCCTTGGCGAGAAAAGGGAAAGCAAATAGCAAAACCAATATAGAAAAGCTCCTACATCAAAAGATATAAAAGATGTCGGAAGCATAGAAGACACCATCGCTACTGCAGTGCAGTTGTGTTGGATAAAAATATCTGTCACGTAGAACAATTTGAATTTGGGGCGTGATGGCTTCGACCGTATCGGCGAGGAGTATAAACTAATTGTGATTTCATCAAGAGCGCACATGATAAAAGCAACTCTGATTCCATTTTTTTGCGTTTGGATACACTGTCGCTTGAGAGGACGGAAATGCAGGCGAAATGTGATGGAGTCCGACAGAACAAAAGAGAACGGCGGCAGGAGAGATCACAAACGCCGAGCTTGTGGACGCAATGAGCCACCTTGTTACGCATAATTGAACTTCTTCGAGCTTTGCAAAATAATACGAGTACTAGATTGATGTTTTTTATACGTACGTCACACCCGAGCGTCGTCGCCGTAAGTGTAGTGACATTGTAGCAGGTTTTTATCTCAAGCACCGAATTCTGGATCTGGAAAAATCCAAAGAAATGGCTTCCTCCTGTAGTGCACCAACCAAGAGAAAAGGACGACTGGTGCAACGACCAAGAGGAAAGGAAGTTGCGAAGAAGATGCAACTACTTCTGCACATTCTAGCATCAACAGCCAACGTCGCAAACGCCTGGACCGACACGGGACACATGATAGTGGCCAAAATTGCCGCGGACGGGCTGATATGAATTGCAAATGTGTCTGGGTCTGGAAGGTTGCAACTTGTGATGCAAATTTCACACAACACAAAGATCTGTGATGCATGAACGGCAAATGCGGCCCAAAACTTGGCACCAAAACAGGGAATTTGTTATGCGGATTAGGGATGGGGACACCTTCTCAAGACGTGTGATGCTAGGGCCTGCATGCCAGACCTCCCAGATCATGCAAGAGCAGCATGGCAAATATCTGGACCCATCCAGAGCCAGACATGTTTGCATTTGATAGCTGAAGCCGGAGGAGCTCTCGTTTTTCCACAATTTGACGGACATGCTGTACCACCCCTCGGTGAAATATCCAGGAAAAAACACCCCTCCCCATCCAAATTGTAGTCATGCGAAACATGCATAAACTCCAGTGTCTGTCATGCAAAAAATGGATGTGGATGGATGTTTTTTCCTGGATATGAAAGCAGCGCGCACCGGGGACTTTGTGAAGCCGGTGGACACGCTGTGGGGCGTGGCCAGCTGGAACGATAATATTGACATCGCGTATTTTTACGAGGAAGTTTTTGATGGTGCCAAAAGTTCTGCATCAACACGTCGGAAACGAAGAAATTTGCGACTCTGCTGTTCTTTCAGCTGCCGTGCCGCATCACTTAACATGTTGACGCGCGCGCGCCCACGCATTTCTCCATGCAGCACGAGCGCCGTTGGCCCCCTATCTTTCCTGCCTTTGCCGCGCCGCATTGCGCCTTCGCCGCCACCGGCATTTTCCGTTTTGTTCAAAATAGCAGGTGATGATGTTTGCATTGACGCCGCCGGCACTGCGATTATTTCAGTCGCTAAGCACAGTCGTTCATCTCCTCCCCATTTGATGTTTCATCTGTTGCGTATGTCAAAGAAGATGAAGATGAAGAGAACACTGAAGCTGAACGAACAAGAAGATAAAAATCATGATCAACAACTCTTATCAGGTTCCACTTTCAGAAAACGTGGCACTTTACCGACACGGTGGTGCGGCTCGACAAGGGCTGTAGATTGATCGGCGACGGACAGAAGATACCTGCTGCAGGAGGGCCGCATCTTCAGGAGGCTGGGAAGATGATCGCAAACAGGACAACAATCAGCCCGCTGCTGTCAACGTCGTCCACGACTCCCAGGGCCGCCGCGGTGCACGAACTCAACAAGGGGCACCAGCAGCACGTCGACTCCACGACGCCGAGGGCGGTCGGCAAAAGCGAGACGGGGCTGAGAAGTCTCCTCGGTGAAAAAGACAAAGAAGAAAATGACAAGCAGATGATGTCGATGAGTACCGACTACGGGGGATCAAACACAAACACCTGCGACAGCACCCACCCGCCCCGGCCCGACGAGAAGCACCAGGACGTTATCTACGGCCTGACCTCTGCCTACTACGGAGTGACCAGCGAGTATGGGTGTGTCAGGATCGAAAACGTCAAAGTTGAAATGATTTTTAATAATGCATAAAATGCATGACCCGAGGTACGTGTGTTGCAGAGCAGGCAATGGAGGCCGATTGTAAGCCTGTTTGGGGTTACAGCTCGAGCTGCTAAAGTAGCATGAGAAAATCGCTCTTCTTTGCCTCAACAGCATTACAAACTGGATTTAGTGACCACCGAAATTTGTCATGCGCCACTTCAAAACTGGGTTCCAACTGGCATCCATTTTATGCATGACAAATCATTTGAACTTTGTCGATTTCGATGCTGACAGTTCCATAGCGAGGTGAGCAAGTGGAATGACCCGGCCATCAAGAAGTTTCAGCAGGCGTGGTGGATTATGAAATGCAAAAGCATTGTACTAGTATACATTGCATTACAAATTAGCTATAGCTCAGCATTAGCATTACAAATGAAATTTGTAATGCTGTTTTACCTTTAGGAAAGAGATTTGTCATGCATAAACAGCAATTACTACGAGTGTGATACTTTTGCGGTGCATATGGATCCGCATGCTGATCCACTTTCTCGGCGACCTGCACCAGCCCTTGCACGCCGCCGCGGGCTGCAGCGCGCGCCACCCAGAGGGGGACCTATCAAATGTAAAAATGTCTGGGTCTGGAAGATTCTGACACTTGTCATGCACGTTTTGGATGAGCCCTGATGTCTGTGATGCATGCCCTAGCAGCACAGATTTTTTGAGAGCTTCTTGATGCCTAAGTTGCATGACAAATGCCCTCTCCGCGTAGCAAGAATCACATTCCCTTTGGTACTCATGCAATACAGATATTTTTGGAATCCAAATGCAGCATTACAAGTTGGACTCTTCCAGACCCAGACATTTTTACATTTGATAGGACCGGGGCGGAAACGAATTTGGGATCGAGACGAACATTAAGAATTACTTCGAGGGTATGGAATGCAAATATGTCTGGGTCTGGAAAGTTGTGATGCTAAAAGTGAATGAGATTTCCACTGCAATACGGAGCCAAGCATGACAAATTTTTTGGCTGCCATGTCTTACGTATTCCGCGTGGCAAACTGCGTTTTTGCATGAAAGGTAAGACGGCTTTTTCGTGTCTACGCATCACAGATTCTTGAGTCGTGTCAGACTAGCATGACGAGTCTCGCAATCCCCCAGACCCAGACATATTTGCAATGCATAGAGGGAAGGGCGACCTTCGTCTCGGAGCTGCACTTGCTCTGGGACTTAGCGGGGGGCAGCTACGCCGCGGGACCGAATTGGCCGCTGAACGCCACGGGAGAGGCCTTCGTGGCGGAGGAGGCCAAGGTACTAGTACTTACTTCGGTTCCGTTTCGCGTTGGTATGTTTCTCTCTTCGCAGCGCCGTGATGCAGCCGAGCATTTCGAATTCGTAATAAAATCGTTGCACCCCCGGTCCTCGTGATCTCGTATGGACATTTACATTTTTCCACCTTCCCAAATAAACAAGACACTTATCTTCAAAACTAAACTTGAACAGCGTCTCCGGCAAGAGTACGAAGCGAAGTACCCCGACGAGCCGACGACCGTGATGAAAACTTGCCCGCTGAGTTCCTTCAAGAAGTGGAAGCAGGAAAGCTGGAAAATCGCGACCAACACGGTGTACAAGAATCTCGTCGAGGACGCGATGGTGTCCGACGCATACCTGCAAACCGCACAGAAGACCTCGGGGGAGCGGATTGCGCTGGGTGGGTTCCGGTTGCAGGGCATGCTGCAGAAAATGTACAAGACACTGGTGGTCCTCGGAGGGGACAAGAAGGGCGAGGAGGAGGAACGGGTAATGAAGAAAACGCAGATAGGAAAAAATAATGCTGCGGAAGAAGTAGATGGGGACCAGGACAAAAATGCAGTGTCGATTTGGGTGTAGTGAAGAAGAAGATTCCTCCTGGAGCACGACAGAGGTGAAGTAAAAGTGGAGATGAGGAGATGCAGTTCTTAATACGCCTATCAAATCACTACAAGTTTACGCGAGACGAGTAGTACTCGTCGAGTACAACAGTCACATCATCGAAGATCCAGTCCGAGTCACCAGTTAAAGGCGCAGTGCAACAGCTGCGCCTGGTTTTCTTGACCACCTGGGCGGGACTACAGTCTGCAAGTTTGGGCAAGGTTCTGCATTTGCCTGTTCCACCGAGGACCTATTGTTCTCGCCGAACTTCTTCTCGCTGCGTACTAGTAGTCAATTGAATCCTAGTACAGACGAGGCCCAGCAACGCGCTGGTGCTCGTGTTTGCTCCTGAATGCATACGCATACTTCATCTCTCAGGGTCGCCAGTCCTGGTCTCGCGAGGGGTGCTGGTATTGCTTGAAAAAAATTAGGTGATGCCTGGCGAGAGAAAATGTGTCTTCCTTGTTGAGTACTAGGGGAGAGCGCTGCAGACAGCATAGCTTACCTCGAAAAAGCTTACTAGCACTACGCCGTGTTGATGCGTGAAGATCAAGATGAACCCCGTTCGCATTGACCAACGTGATAAAAGACGAGGAGTGTGGTCGAAAAGATTGGTTTCCGTATTTATTCAGCATTTGAAATGTTCAAAATGATGAGGGGAACTAGTTCCTCCACGACCTCCCGAAAGTCCGCGGCCGTAGCAGACCGCGCAACCGCGAAGAAGGAAACGCTCGCCGACCAGTTGCGACTGTGTTGGCGCCGGGAAACTGCGGGCATGTCCATCATTGGCAGCGAGAGTGACTGCAACGCAGTGGTGGTGTTGCTTGGGGGTGCGTCCGATAGAACCAGCAGCAGTACAACCGGCTTGTTCTTTCAGACACAGCATTGGATGACTGTGGAACACGTCAAGAGACTGGAAAAATCAAGCAACGCTCTTGCCGCAACTACTGCCGAGCCTGAAATTACAGGTGGACGGGGACCAGCTGGTGGTGCGTCCTCGTCTGCAGCCTCCAGTAGCCGAGCTGGACAAAATAGCGTGTTCTCCAAGTTTCAAGAGCGGTCGAAGCAGATTCTTGCTGGTGCTGGAGGTGTCGACCCGAAAAACGTGTTGCAAGTTGTTTTGATTCTGCTCCCCCGGCCGCCGCATTGGGTACTCGTCAGACCGGGCAGTAAAAATTCTTCAAATCATTATTCCTCCTCTTCCTCCACCGCAGCGCTCGCTCGCGACTTCGTTTGGGAATTTCTGATGCCCAATGGCGTGGTGGAGCTGGAAGCCGAAGCTGGAGTGCAGCAGGCGGATGGACCATCTTCGGACGCGTGGGTGCGGGAGGCCCAAGCACAGGCCTCGGACTGGGCGTGGGTGCGGGAGGCCTTGAGCAGGACTTTCACTGGCAGGCCGCCAGCAAGAGCCTTGATGAACAGCATTCGTACACAATCGACAGAACAAGCAGCAGCGAGTGCCGCGGGGGGAACGGGCGGAGCCATCGCGTCAAATGGTGCTCAAACGAGCAGCACCGCCATTGGTGCAGCGGAGTCAGCACAGCATACATCAACACAACCTCCTATCACTGGCCAACCGGTGCCGTTTCGCTTCGACAGCACCGATCTGGTCGCTCTGCGAGCCGATTTTGCGAAGTTTGTCTCGCCGCCTCTCGACGTCGGAGCAGACAAGAATAACGTTTCCTCTGGTGCAAGAACAACGCCCCCGGGAGCACACGCAGACCCCAGTCCAGACGTCCTCCGAGTCGAGGTGGCTTTACCCACGACGAAGAAGAAAAGCGGTACTACAACAAGTGGGGTCGTCGCAGACGACAACCAGCACCAGCAGGGCGATGAAAGAACAACAAGCACTTCTAACACTATCCCCGCAGACGCGGCTCCGTTGAAAGTGAAATCTTCTCTACTCGCCTTCCGCACGAACAACGCACCGCTCTCGTTGCAGCAATTTGGCGCCGAATTTCTCGACCCCTTTCCGACCGCCGCGATGGTTTGCACCTGGGTCTCAAGGCCGGGAATATTGAACGGCTCCACCAAGAAAATTCTCCTGGTTTTGCTCTTCGCCCCAGAGCTGGATCCCCATGGCGGCGCGGTGCTGGCGTTTGCGAAGGAGAGTGTGCTGCCGTTTTTGAGGCAGGCGGTAGACGAGGTTGTTGCGGAAAGGGAGCAGAGTGGAGGTGGTTTCGAGATGAATGACATGCAGAATGAAATCCAAATTGTCCAGTACGAGCTCAAAAATTCGCAAGAACTCACAGAAGACACACTGCAGCATTTAATGCGGGTGAGAACATGAGAGGAGCTGGGGCTATGAAGTCACAAAATACAAAAAGGTGACAGGTAAAAACCTCGAATATAATCGAAATCCCGCAGTTTTATTTTGCCAATTTTGGTTGTTGGGAGGTGGTTTTTGGAAAGTAGGGGGGTTGGTTTTCGGGAGGTGTTTTTTTTTGTCGACGGGCAAAGAACCTACTGACACCGAGAGGAAGGCGCTTCGGTTTCCAGATGAAGGCGATTCAATTTCTAGACGAAGGCAACTGAGTTTCCAGATGAAGGCAATTCAATTTGCCGACTAAGGCGCTCAATCTGCCAAATTTGGTTTTGAAGAGCTGATTTCTGCGCTCGCGTTTTTTGTTGTAAACGAAAAAAACCTTACAGAGACCTAGACCCCGCACACAAAAAGCATCGAAACGGTGGGGCCCGAGTGAGCTTCTTCATGACACTGAGACCTTGGCCAAACATCGCACAAACGTGATCCATCGGCGCCGAAATGCAAACCGAGGACCTTCTTGGCCGCGACCAACGAGAGCGCGCGCTGTGCGACTGCGAGGAGATACGGGGGCCATGCAAGTCAGAGGCTTTTCATTTTTCAGGCAAAGCCAGGCAATTTTCTGGCAAATTCATCAAAGATTTGCGACATGCGAAAAATTGGCAATTTCAAAAAATTTGGGAATTCTGAGGAAATTCCGGCAATTTTCGGGATTATTCGAAAAATTTCGCTGCAAATCTTCAAATAATCCCGAAAGTTTGGACTTTTCTCATCAAATTCCCAAATCTTTCGAAGTTGCCGTGCAGAAGTCCTTGAGCTTTCTCCAGAATTCGCTGACTTCCCTGCGCATCTGCACCGAAACCCGCAAGCACCTTCGCAGAGAGCATTTGCTCACGGATCGCGGTGAAAAAGCTTCGCGCTGGGTTGTGGTGAAAAGGGCGATCCCGTTTTCGGTGAGGATGGCTTAGGTTTTTCCGATGTTTGGCTAAGGACTCAGCGCCGTGAAAAAGCTCACTCGGGCGCTGGTGCTCATGCGTTTTGTAGGCGGAGGCCTGATCTCAGTAAGCTGCTTTTTCGTTTATAAAAAAGAAAACGAACGCAAAAGCCGCTGGCTTTTCCGTTCGTATTCTTGGTTTTCGAGAGGTGGCCAACCTCTCGAAAACCGAAGTCGGCAGATTGAATCACCTTGGTCGGCAAATCGAATCGCCTTAGTCGGGAAATTGAGTGGCCTTTTTCTCGGTGTTAGTAAGTTGTTTTTCCGCCTACAAAAAAAAAATAGTGGCCGGAAAACAGCCTCCCTACCTTCCCAAAACCACCTCCCGAAAACCGAAATCGGCGAAATAAAACTGCGAGATTTCGACTCTATTCAGGAAATTTACCTGTCACCTTTTTGTATTTTGTGCGTTCATAGCTGGGGCATCCACACCACATGATCTAAAGATAAAAATATAGAAAAATGATCGTCCCGCGACTGCGCGGCGCCTCACAAATTTTCTTCGCAATTTTCAAAAAGCTTTTCCTTTTCGCACGACTTGAAAAGTTGTTTTGCGTCACATTTGGTGACGTTGGCAAGGTGGTATTCAAATCGCCTAGATTCATCGGTGAATGAAGAGAATTGAATTCACAGCCTCAACCTTCATGAACTTCTATCAATCTGTCGTGAAAACCAGAACCAAATAAACCCGTCACAGGTCCTGAAGATGGTTTTCTGACTAGGCATAGGCATAAGATGGTGAACGTGTTGCGTCCCTGTACTATAGTTGTGACAAGTAAAAGCCCTTCAATAGTTGTTTCTCACGCCTGCTACACCAATGCACGATTAAAGTCCAGTATTAATCAAATTTATTTCCCTTTATGCTCCTTGTCAAAACATTCTACACCATTGCCTTTGCCAAGGACGAGTTATCTAATAAATTCATCCTGTGCGGCTAAAAAGCAGCTTACCCATAATTCGGGTGCTCAGCAGAATGTTTCGTCCACCCGCTGCTGGCAAAGAGCAGCAGCGCGTTCCTACGTCACCACGAGTACTATCAAGTCGCTAACCGGAGGTGCGAAGATGCTTCCGGCTATTGGTGACCCGCGTTTGGGCGACGAGGAAAAGGGCGAGCAAGATGAACTTCCGCTGTCTGGACCAGCACTACAACAGGGATCAAGAATAGCGAAGACCCGTTCCGACAGCGACACTCCGGCCGCCTTCCTCGACACACTGCACCAGGCGTTTTATGCTACTAAAAATGGCCGAGGGGTAGCCGTAGGCGTAGCGAGGATTTCTAATTTGGATGGTGGAATCGAACCTCTGCAAGCAGATGAAGACGACGATGATCCGATGGAGCAATCCGATTTTTCACTCTCGACGTCCTTTTCTACTTCCGAAGCCCAGGAACCACCACAACCGGCAGATCTTCCGGTGGGAAAAGAATTGTTGAACCACCAACGTCAAAAGCTTGAACACCTGGCCTCCACCTTGGAAAACCTTTTCAACCGCTGGCAGGACTGTTCTCTCCAGTTCGGCGTCGACGAGCAGTACAACAATAAAATCAAACACAATAAAATAATGGAAATCAAGAGGTTCTTCACGTTGAAGTTCCTCAAATAGACTCCTCATTTTGAGTAGAAGTCTCGCGTACAACGCGAACACTGTAAACTGTAAACTGTAAATTGCGTCGCATTTGGTGACAGACGTTTGCAAGTTGAATTTCCAATCGCCTAGATTCATCGGTGAATGAAGAGGACTAAATCCAGAGCCGCAACCTTCATGAGCTTCTATCAATCTGTCGTGAAAACCAGAATATTAAACCCGTCACAGGTCCTGAAGATGGTTTTTTCACTAGGCATAGGCATAAGATGGTGAACGTGATTCGCCCCAGTATAGTTGCGACAAGTAAAAGCCCTCCAATAGTTGTTTCATCTCACGCCTGCTACACTAATGCACGAAAGTCCAGTATTAAACAAATTCACTTCCCTTTATGCTTCTTGTCAAAAAATTCTACACCATTGCCTTTGCCAAGGACGAGTCATTTAATAAATTCATCCTGTGCCGCTAAGCAGCTTACACTTACTCATAATTCGGGTGCTCAGCAGAATGTTTCGTCCACCCGCTGCTGGCAAAGAGCAGCAGCCCGTTCCTATCTCACCACGAGTACTATCAGGTCGCTAACCGGAGCGAAGATGCTGCCGGCTATTGGTGACCCCCGTTTGGGCGACGAGGAAAAGGGCGAGCAGGATGAACTTTCGCTGTCTGGACCAGCACTACAACAGGGATCAAGAATAGCGAAGACCCGTTCCGACAGCGACACTCCGGCCGCCTTCCTCGACACACTGCACCAGGCGTTTTATGCTACTAAAAATGGCCGAGGGGTAGCCGTAGCGAGGATTTCTAATTTGGATGGTGGAATCGAACCTCTGCAAGCAGATGAAGACGACGATGATCCGATGGAGCAATCCGATTTTTCACTCTCGTCCTTTTCTACTTCCGAAGCCCAGGAACCACAAGCGGCAGCTCTTCCGGTGGGAAAAAACGTGTTGAACCACCAACGTCAAAAGCTTGAACACCTGGCCTCCCATCTGGAAAACCTTTTCAACCGCTGGCAGGACTGTTCTCTTCAGTTCGGCGTCGACGAGCAGTACAACAATAAAATCAAACACATCCACAAACTCCGCGAGCAAGCCGGCGAGAGAAACCTGACCGGCTACGTGTGCACGCTGGTTTCCCGGCCGGACTACGGACTGTCCATTTGGTCGCTGCCGCCGAAAACCAGTTTGCCGGTGCATTCCCATCCCGGTTTTGTGGTGGGGAAGGTGTTGAGCGGGGGGGATTTGCTTTCCACCTCGTTGAAGACACTTTGTTCGAAGGAAGATGCTACAATGACGGGGAAGTCCGGTTGTGCTTCCGAAGAATCTGCTGCTGATTTTCGTTTGTCCGCAGCAGGAGGGGGCCATCAATCGGTGCAAGCGGTCCTTCATCCAGACGACAGCAAAAGAGCTGCGACTGAAAATAAAACGCAGTTTTTCGAAGTGAAGAAAGTAACACTAGCAGCCGCAGAAAAAACCACCGAGATCATCGGGCACGCAGGCACGCCGGTGGCAGCGATTATCACGACAAAGAGTTCTATTCCTAATAGAAGTAGTGCTGACGCTACAGGTACAACTTCTTCCGTGTTCAAAATAACGCCGGAGGAAAACATACACACCCTGAGAAACGACAGCGACACGGAAATTGTGAATTTTGTCGAAGTGACATTCCCGAATTACACGAAAGTCGCAGATTGCCGGTACTTCGAGCTTGATCATGTTCACGACGCTAGTACTCGTGGCGCGGCGTTGTCCTCAACCGGGGAAGAAGATAGTGCTTCTGCCCCTGCTCCTGCTGCTCGTCGTCCGCAATACAAACTAATTGAGCACGAAGGTCCGCCGGAATGGTTTCACACGGGGAATTTACCGTACGTGGGATCGCTCGATTTACGGGGATTAGAGCCTGATGCGCCCAGTCCACGGCGAAAGACTTGATGATGAGCGGTTGTGAATTTAATCTGCAGTGTGGATTGATGTGATGATCTTCATCTTCGTCTTTCTGCTGATTGACATCGATCCCGCGTAGTCCGCGCACGATAGTACATGCAAGATAGACCAGAGCCTTTCAACATAAGTACCCTTGATTGCGAACTCCACCCTCGGAAGACCTAGTACCCATTTTCTTTCTACTCAGGACAGCGACAACACAGTGACATTTTTCTTCAGCCATGAACTGGCTGCGACAACATGTTGACTTTTCCACGTAGCGTATTCAACTGCCGGCTGTCAGTTTGATTGGCTAGCGAAGTGCAAGTGTTCCACCTGAAGAACAGCAAAATTTATGAAACCTTTTACTTCAGCTTCGGTTTCGGATCTTACAAAATCGTCATCTGGATTTCGTGGCCCGAGTCGCTTGAGTGAGATGGTTCTTCGAGAGACGAGAAGCGAAACAAGCACTATGTAGTGGTGCAAGAAAGTGCATGATGTTGATGGTCGTGTGTCTGGTGCTGGAAGATCGGCAAAAATATAATTCCTCGTTCGTCGTCGTCTCGTTATCGACATCGTTCTCGTTGAAAAAAAGAAGGTCGCACATCTGCGTGCCACTTTCACGCACTCCGAGTGCGATGGAAGGCGAATCGCGAAGAACATAATAAAGCGAACCCACATTGCATCTTCGTTCTTCCGGCACCTTAGGAGCTACAGCTACGGCCGCAGGTAGAGGTACAAGTGGAAGTTAGAAGACGCTAACCTCCAGACGAGAAAAAAAAAGATGGTCGATCCAAAGGAGCTCCTCGCTGAGGTGAACCGCTTTCGGCGGAACCCGGCCCAGTATGTGGAGGAAATGCAGAGTGAGCTGCAGTTTCGACAAAACGTGGAGTCGGAGGTGCACCAACGGCAGGCCAGCTACACAACCGCCACAGACGCTATCGTTTTCCCGTCCGGCGCCATGGTGGAGACACAGGAGGGCATGAGCAGCCTGGAATCGTTGGAGGAGGACGTCAAAGCGCTCGGTAATAATCCACTGTTGTTCCTTATGCTTTGCGTGGTTTCTTGGCATGACAAGAAGAAGAAGAAGAAGGTTTCAACATGTACTTACAACTTTGCACGACAAGCAAACACATATCCCCAACCTCTATCAGGTTACGATCCAGACGTGACGCTTTTCCCGTTCGGCCTACCCGAGTTGCAGTTTTCCTCCGAACTGTCCGAAGCGTGTCGCGACCACGTGCAAGACCTCTGCTCAAACGATTTCTACTCGCACATCGGCACGGACGGAACAACCCCAGAGGAGAGAATAGTGAAGTATGGGAGCTTCAACTACGCAAGGTACTTATCTTACTTCACTAAAGTACTGATAACATGCGACTCGCAATAATGCGTGTACTTGTTTAAATGCATACGTTAATATGCGGGTTTGGATTTGCGCCATGATTCATCAGACCACATATCAATCAGTGTACGCATGAAAATCTTCCAGTTGTAGTTGATCTTGAATTCACGTGTACAGGTTCCCGCAATATCACGCAGAGGTGGACAAAATCCGGGCGAAAACCACGAATCGCAGAATGAACAACACGACGAACCACCGGTTCCGTGACCGTTCGCAGACAACGAACGTGGATTCTGCTTTGCTGAACGCGGAACTCAAGAAGTTCACCGGGGAAATCTCCCCGCCCACCAGTCCCGCCGGCGCTGGGAACATTGACAGAAGCTCCTCCCCCGGCGGGCACGCGCACGGCGGTGAAACAGGCGCGGAGGGAGGTGCGGCGGGCGCAGGTGGGGGTTCACCCAGCGGCGGTAAGGGCGGGCAGAAGGGGAAGAAAGGCAGTGGTACCGCCGGAGACGCCCCTTCGTCAGTGATAAAAAAGGCCAAGGAACCAAAAAACACAAACACCGTGCCCTATCAGGTATGGTCGAAGTGTAGAAGTCTACTCGGCGACATTAGTTTCATCTGATGCAACAACATTGGGCAAACGTATGTTGGATCGATCGCCTTTTGATGGTGCTTTTTCTTTTCCAAAACTACAAAATCAACGATCCACAAAACCCAAAACCCATCTCCAGGTTGCGGAGAACATCCACTTTGGGCTTTCCACCGCAAAAGACGTGGTTTACCATTTCCTCCTGGACGACAAGGACCCGCACCGGGGCCACCGACAGAACCTGCTCAACCGCGACTTCCACCACTTTGGCGGCGCGTTTTCCGGGAAACACCCGTCCGCGCTGACCTGCGCGTGCGTTTTGCTGGTGGACGCGTCGTTTTTTCCCAAAAAGCCGCCACAAGTGAGGTTGGATTTGGCGCAGGAGTACATCGGGAAGCCGAACGTTGGGTACCAGGACGACACATTCTACGACGTCATTCCGCTGTTACACGAACCCCCGAAGGCGGCCCGGGGGGGCGCGAACGTGCTCAATAGCCATGGGGACGAGTTTCTTTTGGTATAGTAAAATTAATCCAGGTGGATGGCTTTGTTGTAGTGCGTTGCAAGATGAAATGAAGGATAAGGATTAGAATTAGCATCCTGTGTCATCAGGATGCAGATCATGATGATCTCATGTTCATGCTGATCATCATCATGTTCAGCATCTTGCGTCACAAACACCAATACAACCTCCTCAGGACGCACCACCGAGTAAAGCTGGTTTTAGTCACATCGTATCCGGCGCCACGAGCAGACGAGACAGCCGGCCAGAGATTGATGGTATCAAGGCCTCGGACATGCACGATATGGGTATAGAGGTTTTCTGCCAAAACATCTTCACCCGGAACTCTTTACTAGTCTCTTCGGTTTGCTATGAAAGCATGCGTTCGCGCTTTTTCTTTTGTATGAGCGTATCAAATCTTTTGACTTTTTTTTCTTCCTCCAAGTGCGGCGCTCTACTGCAAATGCAAAATCTGACTGCACAGTGACGGCCCACCGGCGAGAACTGCTGAACTCGTCCCAGCAAGTGTCCAAAACGAACACCATTACGAGCAGTATCGTGACCAGCCACGAAGCTGGCGGCGACTACAGCATGAAACGGAAGGTCGAGACAACCACGTGGCAGGACGTTTGTGACTTAGTGAAGCCCACCCAGTACAAACTGTCGGCGAAGCAGGAGCAGCAGATCCCGGCGCTGATCAAACCGTTGAAGCGGTTTTGGCGGTACATCCCACCAAGAGATCTCTACCCGAAGTCCTTTCTTGGCGAGGTGGAAAAGCGACACGTGGCGAAGTCCATCGTCCGGGCGTTCTGTCACCACGTGTCCCACAAGGGGGAGCCGAGAATACGGGAGAACGAGCTGAGCGAAACCCTAGAGCGGTTCAACGTGTACAAGCTCCGCCCGAACTACCACCCCGGGCTGGTGAAGGAGCTGTTCGACGAAATTATCCACCGCCGGCCGATCGAGCTGCAGAAATTCCGCGACATCTCCGATCAGGAGGTCTACGACGCGATCTGCGACAAACGCGAGTGGGCCCCGGTGATCAACATCGTATGCTTCCCGGAGAAATCCGATAAAATGCAGCAGCCCTACGAGTTGATCGGAAGGACAAGTGTGATCGATGAGTGGCTGCTGAAACTTTACGACGACTTCCAGTCGATCGGCTTTTTCGGCGGCAACACCGAGGTGCCGAACATCTTCGGACACAGTAGCACGAAGGAAAACTACAAGGTCCCGGGCTATTACCGGGCTTTCGGCGAGGAGTTGGTGCGATTCATGAAACGGTCCCCGGATTTTAGGAGCGAGGTCTTGTCGTTTCTGCAAAAACCCGGAGCAACTACTGGTGGATCTTCTACTTCAATTAACAAGAATAACGAAGATGTCGTCGAACAGATGCACGAGATCAAGTTCCACAACCCGCGGAAGCTGTGGGTGTTTTCCCGGCGACCAAACGCGGATATTTGGCTGGACATGATGAAGCTGCTGGATCACAACCCGGTGAACCAGGAGGCGCACAAGCGGAACGACCACTTTTTCAACGGGCATTTACTGGACATCCAGGGGGAACCCGTGCCGAAGCAGAACCACGCGAAGATGGACAACAAGGAGGTGACACGGTCAAAAGTGTTTCAGAACGAAAGGTCCGACGCGTGGATCCAGAACAAACCGGCCATGGGGTTGCTCGGCGGGACCTATTTGCAGACCATGACGGGGCAGCTGGCGACCCTACCGGGCGTCGGGTTGACCCGGGATGTGTACCGCGAACCGATCGACGAGAAGATTTCCGATTCGCTGAAAGTTGTGGTCGAACCGCAGAACAGTATCCAGATCAAGGAAGTGAAGATAAAGCCCCTCGCAACCGTCCACTCCCTGCGGCCGACGGAGCAGTACCCGGGCGTCAATGCGATTGAGGAGGGAAGGTTAGAGACCGGACCGGAGGAGAAGCCGAAACCTTTGTCGGAACTGGAGCAATTAAGTCACCAGAACGCAAACTACGTAAACGAGACGATCGGAGCATCATCTTCCTCGTCTTCTAGTGCTGGTGGTCCGCAACAACTGCAGCAGAGCCGATCCGCGCAGGGTGGTCTCCGCTTCACCCTTGACGGGAGCAAAAGGACCTTTCGCCGCGCGATGGCGAAAACAGAGAGGGTCAGCTTCAACCGCAACCAGCTGCAACAGGTCTTAGTCAACACAGCCGCTATGACGGGGCACTACGACCAGACACTGTCCACTTGGAGGAATAGGAAAACCACGACGAGCGTCAGTCCGGAGAAGAGCAAAAGTAGCGTTGGTGCAAATATTAACGGCGCAACGCTCTACTACGCGGAGCCGCCTGGTGGTAGTTTTGAAGAGGATAGCGATGCAGCACTTAATATGTTGCAACAAGAACCAGCGGACCAACATCAAATTGAGCCAGCACTGTTAATACAACATCAGCCCGGTGGAACATCCCAGAACTCGAGTCCGAGTTGGAGAAGCAAGTCTTCTGGCATAAAATACCCGCCAACCGTCGTTGCGGGTTCGATAAAAGGGCCAGATAATGTCGATCCGGAAGTCCGCGACCAGCTCTACGGGCCGATTCTGAACACCAACGACTCGGTGTGCCAGCCCGAGGACAAAATTCCGCTTACCAACACCGGGGATAGCATTCCCGTGATCGGGTCCGGGGGGGTCAGACTCCTGCGGCCCGCGAAGTTCAGTCTCGCGCAAACGTTGTCCGAAGCATACAAGGGGACGATTCTAACCTCAAAGTCCATATGGGATTCTCAAATGTTACATTCTCAACTGTTACATGATTTGCCATGCAAAATCACCATGAGCCACCAGACGATAAAGCTACCTCGCATGACAAATCCCCGAAGGGCTAAACAGCATCTAAATCTGTGCCGCATTTGTGATGCGAGAGATGCAAGCTTGCCCATTTCACGACTGTTGCGGCTCTTGCATCACAAATTCATGCAACAGTTGAGAGTGTAACGTTTGAGAACTTCATAGTCCAAGGCGATAACGTATGGGAAATGCGCGATCGAGCACCCGCCGGCCGGGAGCGGGAACTATCAAACAAAAAAAGTTCGTCGCGATCACTCATGCGCATTTTTGCAACACAAAATTGTTTGTCATGCGTAAAAATGCATCACAGCCAAACTTCATTAGGGATTTCCCTAGTGTTTCTGCAATACAAGGAAAATTTTTGACGCTAAGAAAATTTGTAATGCAAAACCTGCAAGTTAGTGACTGTGACAAACTTTTTTCTCTCCATAGGAACAGCAGTAGCAGTAGTAGCTCCATGCTGCAGCGACACGCGTACTCGACCCTGAATCTGAACGCGGTGCAACCGACTGCGAAGCAGATGTGCGTTCACACGTGGTACAATAATTTACCATGTGCAGGGGACAGCACCGTCACGCAAATCGGCGCGATGCCACTACATCTGGCGTCGGGGATTGATGCGAAGACGAAGGTATTCTTGATTGGATTTTGTCATGTAAGTACTATGGGACAGCATGTGCATATAGATCAGCATTATAGGAGTTTGGGTTCAACAGCAGAAATTTTTTTCGTCTCTATTCGCTCCTGCTGTAGTGCCATGACGAATTTATATCAAAATGCGGCCAGCAGCACACGAAACATCAATCTTCCAAACATAGGTGAACGCGGTGCGGTTCAACGACAAAGAGTGCGGCAACATCGACCACTATGCGGCAAACATCCCCTCGAGAAACAACTACGTGGATACCAGCTTCTCCAGCGTAAAGCACCCGTATAACAACCACGGGATTTTCTACCACAACGTGAACAACAAAACCAGCAACACGATCTCCGGCACGTATTTGGAGCTCAACGCGCAGAGGCTGTCGAAGAAACAGACGAAGTCGACCCTTTCCCTGGATCAGGAAGAGCTTTACCGCTACGTGGCAACGGACCAAGGTCCGGTGACGAATGCGGTGAACCACGCAGACCTGGGTGCGCACTTGGATCACTCGAAATACGTGCCACGGGGGGCGGATTACGACAAAATTGCGCGCTTGTCGGTATAGTTTTTAAACTTGTTTTGGTCTCAAGCTTTTTCCCACGAACGACTTGAACAGGATCTTCAGGGTGCTTATTTATTATCCCGATGGTGATCTTCGTCCTCTTCGCGGTGCCGGTGCATGCTGTTCGTTTTTGTAGAAGTAGTGCTGCATCATGTGATGACTGATGATCTTCTTCACATCGTCAAGTACAGACTGGGAAGTAGAAGTTCTTGTCAAATCTACCATTATCAGGTGGACCACCGTTTCGATGGCCAGTTTCTCGCGCGCAACAAGGAGATGTGTCCGACCCCGCAGGACGCCAAGAAAGCAGCTTGCCGGGGGACCAGATCGGTTTCTGGTCCGTACAAGCCGTGGAAACCGCACGTGTTTCGCGCCGATGAGCCGGAAAGGAATGGACGATTCGGGCCGAGGAAATTCAACGCCGAAAACCTCGGCGCGAGGCCACTGGCGTTGCCGATCTCGGGTATCGATACGTTACCGAATCCCGACCGGATTACGAACTTCCTGAACATCGAGAAGACCGACGCGAAGGAGGCAAACACGATCGTGACGCAGATCAGGCCAAATCTGCCGACAAACAGCGTGGGCATGTAGCTGCAAGGAGGACCAGGGCCGGGTTTGATACGTCGGAATGAACCGAAGCAGGAGAAAAGTAGTGAACGATTGAAATATTTAAAAATTAGAACTTGATACGTCGAAAAGAAGCACCTATTTTGTATTATCAGGAAAAGTCACAAGGAGCCAAGGGTCGGCCGCTCAGAGGACCACTCTGAATTTACGATGAACTTCCATTCTAGCAAAAAAAATATTCTACGTGTTTAACTAGGCAAGCGAAATTGATACTTCACTCAAGCTCATTTTCGTTCTCTAGGTGCCATCACAAATGAAACGGGCTGCGATAATTCTGTACAATACGCACTGGCGTTCTTGATACGTATCTATCATAGCTACCTGTTTCGTTTCCATGTACTTTTTTCTTCCTGAATAAATTCGCAAATTTTATACGACTCAACTCACAAAACGCAATAAAGCAAAAAAAATCTGTTGACAATTTACCGCGAGGAACTGAAGATGGCAAGAATGAACCCTGAACTAGACCTGTGGCGGTCTCTGGTTATACGTTTTGGTTTTACATAAACGGAATGAACCGTGGACAAAGCGTGTACCCCGGGGGAAGCCGAGCCTAGTGCTGCCATGCTGTAAGCAGGCGTGCAAAGGCAAGAAGGACAAGGAATTTCGATTGACCGACCTTTATATCGAAAATGTCGTATAGCGGAGACTTTCGCGTCGTCGACGACACGAGGCCGTGCGAGCGACATCGGTGCTGACAATGAGAGCTGGAACTGAACTTAAGTAGTCGTGCAGCTCCTGGACAACTCCCATGGTCGTGTGTGAAGTCGGAGGAGTTTTGTGCTCGTGTCGTCCGCTGCTCCTCTCGTCAGTAAGTACGCAGCAGCATCCAAAGAATAAAATATTTCATCAGGTGCATGACTCTTCATCTCCAAACACAACATAGTGAAGTCGTCGCGAACTCGCCACTTACAATGCCTGCATCTCCGCATTTGTAAAAGAAGATTAGAGAACCAGGGGCGCGACTTTGAAGCCACATCTTGCGTATTACACCCTTGTAAAAGTACTTAAAAAATCCGCCAAGATGGACACGTTTGTGGACCATTGCCGGAAAGGGAAGGAGTTCCGGACTGCAATGGAAGACAACCTGACCCATGCAAAAAGGAAATTCCAACGTATTGAACAGAAATTTTTGGCTGCTTGTTTTGCCTGAACAATGTGATCTCGTATTGCACAAGCACGCTCTGTATATGCACGAAATAAACATCAAATCAGGCGAACTGGATTTCACGGCGTACCAGTATGGCCACGACCCGATGTACCTCGGTGTCAATGGTCAAATTGACTACGGTAAGATCTGGGGTCAGACCTCCGCGACCATGCAGAAACTCCTCTGGCCAGCGAGCTACTGGCGGCGGGTGTACTTCAGAAAAAGAAATGAGGACGACCCAGACCCGGAGCATTACGAGTATCGATTTTTAGCACAGGATTTGTGAAGATTTTTGATGAAGCGAGCACTATGTCGATCGGCAATTGATGCTGTATCGACGAAAGCGCTCAGCGCATGAGCATTATAGAGTGTGTATTTCAACTACATCAGGACTGCCTCCGTTACAAGACAGCAGAGCGCACCCGCCGGGGCAGCGGGGTCGTCGAGCTCCAGCCGGGCTAAAAAGGGAGACAGCGGACCACCAGCCGATGACAACCCAAAGCCGACAAGCCTGCAACAAGGGTACGATAAATTTTTGCTACTTGATCAGATGATTTTGATTTCAAAGAAGAGGAAGAACAAGAAGTTGTAGGGCGGGCGTTATTAATTTCTCCTCGCTCATGCTCTGCCTCCGCGTCAGCAACAGCATGCATGTTGATGAACATGAGTTTGCCATATAATCTGCTCCGCCGGCGCAAAAGTAATATTCTACTAGACGTGAACAAATCATGAATCCTCGTCCACAGGACCGTTCCCTACAGCGAGCCGTCGACGGAGGTCTTCATGAAGAATCCCAACCTGCAGCCCTTCCGGCAAGTGCCGCGAAACGCCGCGCCGGCCTCACGGGTAGTGAAAACCCCACCACAAAACTTCAACCCGGCGGATATTCGGGTGGCGGTGCGAAAAGAGGTTGCTAAGGTATCTAACGTACTAGCTGTAATCTTCCCTTCATCGAGGAGTATAGTAGTTGTACCGATAATACCAAGATTGTTGGGATTGGCAGTTCTAAGTGCAGCGAAATTTTCAATGCATTGGTGGAGCAGTTCTTGATATAAGAAAAATAAATGAAAAAAAACACTCATCTCCCAGCCCGGTTTCTCCACGCGCAAAGCGCCGAAGTTCAACCCGGAGAAGGTCTCGCCCGGCGCGTTTTTTGTTCCTCTTCAAGCTCCGGATGCAAACGAAATCAAGCCCGGGCCGCGGAACCCACCGAAGTCCAAGTCAGACCCAGAATACATCGACCCAGAAGACGTGCTCGCGGCGATCAATGCGGACGGCAGTTACGCAGGCCACGAGGCAGGACGCTTGCAGAGAGAAAAGGAAGAGGCGGAAATGGAGGCAAAGAAGAAATATGCCGTGAAGATAAACAAAAGTATCGCAGTCGCATATTAAAACATGCACTGCAAATGTGATGTTTATACCTGAGTCTGCATTTACAAACTCCATTTTTGTTGCTGAAAATTTTGTGATGTAATTTTGCCACTTTTTTTTACTTAATTATGCGATAGAATAGGATACTTTTGCCATGCATAGGAAGGAGGCCATGGCCAAACTGGGAAAAATGGCGGTGCCTATGCCGGACTGGCCGCTGCACCCGCAAACGGGGGAGAAGTTGGACGGGTATCCGTTCGTCCGAAAGTGGCTGGAAGACGAAATTCGCTCGAAGGATAAGCCGTACTATCCGAAAACAAGGCCAAACGAACCGTTCACCTTTTTCAACACGCTGGGGAGGAGAAACGGTATACGTTGATTTGTTGCGAACTTAATAAACTTATTGTGATCCTACTAGGTAGGGTTTCGCTCGTCGTCTTTTTCGTGCAATAATGTTGCTGCAGCTGCGGGTACAGACTTGACATTCGCTACATACTTTTGGAGACTTGTCATGCCACACAAAATAAAGCTACCGACTCTTTATTTTGTGTTTGTCAGGTAAATACTGCATCAAGGGCGTTCCGGACGGTAATTTCCCCTACCAAAAGGAAACGCACAGATCCGTAACTTACGAGCACGAGTACATTGCGGGGCTGGCGCGACGGAACGACTACAATTTGATCACCAACTATCGCAAGAAAAAACTGTTTCACTGTGAACTTGTGATGCAGAAGATGGAACACAGACCTATTTGTATTGCTACACTTGCAAGACATTGCATTTTCGAGCGTCTTTTCCCTTGGGAAGAGCGCATGGCAAATTTTCTGTGTCATGAGTACGGAACTTGTGATGCAGATTTTGCAAAATCACCACTGTGAAACAGTTTTTCGGTGGGATACCAACGATGGGTTACCGCCGCTGGACCAGGATTACTGATTTGGGACGTGGTGACCAAGGAGGTCGGGATGATTCGCATTCGCATATTTGTGCGGATCGACGTACCGAGCGTGTTTGCCGTTTGTTTATGTTTTACTCTTGTATAATGACCACGTTTTCAATATACAAATCCGAACACAAATAGCTTTATTTCCTGGTGAACAAGACTAAAAAATGTTGACGAGTGAGTAAAAATGTTGCCGAATAATTCTAAATGAGCGAGAGATGTATCAAGTTCATCACGTCCTTGATAGCTATAGCAAGCCAATAGATCGATGCATTGTTGTAAAATGTTTTGACACGATGTTGATGAGAGCTTTGACCTACGAGATTGCGCGTTGTGATTAGCAGCTTCTGCAACATCCTCATCCGCTGTACAGAACAAATAAACAAGGATGATGTAGTAGAAACGACGACGAATTCATTGTCCCCTGTAAATCATTAACTGGGCAAAATCTTCAATCAAGAGGCTGGCTTCATCAGTTTCTGCAGCCTCAAGCCCCCCTCGCAGGCCATAATTTTCTGACAACAATGGGACTGTTCCGTCCAGGTTCGTGTTTTTTCTCTTCCCCTCACGTTGATGTTTCATACTAAACTAGAACTCTCTGTCCCAATAGTTGCACCTTCTCATTCTAGCTACGATGGTGTTTTATTCGTGTCGTCGTAGCTTTCTTGTTTTCAAGAGCAGGAAAGAATCCTGGCGAACTACAGAACCAAAAGCAGACTTTCTTTTATGCATGTAGGTCGTGTGCGGAGTACTTTATTATTTAGGTTTATCTACTTTATTCTTTTCCATTGACCTCTGTCACATGCGCATCTCGATCTGCTGAGCTTTTTGTGTCGCACAGCACAATTTGAATTTTTGAATTTGGTGGTCCACGTCGTTCGTCGGTAAAAGAAGATGTGTCTCTATTGACGCATGCTGATAGTTACCGTCGAAGAAAAGATGTCATTCTTCATCGCCTGTTGTCGCCAGTATTATACATTCGTGAAGAAACAGTTTTGAAAGTTCTTCTTCTAACCGTCCGCCTTCCACCGTTTGTCGTTTTGCGTGTTTGATCTTTGGGCTCGGCACGACCCGGTGGTCCCGTCTGTTCCATCCGTCGCGGTGGTCACCGAAATAAACCCTTTGAAAACCGACGTCGCAGGAGGTGGAGGGCAGGAGGTGGAGGCCTTTGTGTGATCCACAGTATGGCCTGGAAACTGAACCGTCCGCGCATCCCCTCGGACGATAGCAACAATAATTTTGAGGTGGATGGCACCGCACTACATCATCAGTCACCAGAACAGCGACACCAGAGCACGGGCAATCATCTACAACCAGTAACGCGACAGCCGTCTTATGAACTGCAAAAGTATCGTATTCGTAGTATTGCAACACAAATTACCCCAGCATGACAAACGGAATCATGCTGATTTAGCTTGAAAATGAAATTTGTCTTGCATGACTGTGATTACTACGAGTACGATACTTTTGCACCGGATACGTCTATCGCCAGCACGATGTACGCGTCCGGCTCAGGCGGCAACCTATCCAGGAAAATAAAACACCCATCAACATCCAATTTGTCATGCAAAACACGTATGAAATCCCGTGTTTGTCATGCGAAAAAAGGATGGGAATGGGTTTTTTTACTTTTTCTGTGGATAAAACCCGCCGACGTCCTCCACCTCCCTCGGAGGTTCGTCCCCGGCCCCTTCCACGCCCGAGCAATCCTTCATCCCCGGCTTCGGCGAGATGAGCGCCCAGTTTCACTCCGCGCTCGCGGCAGAGCGGCAACGGATGCTGATGAAGGGCATCGGGCCGGGTGGGCCAACTACAACATCTTCCTCCAGCACGAGTCCCTACAGAGTAGGGGGTTCATCTTCGCGCGGTACTAGATACGCGGGCGCGTCACTGCACTGTAGGTACTGTGGGCTGCCGCACACGGGAGATTTTCCGGTGACTCTGAACGGGAATCCTGTCGTGATCGACCAGAATCTGGACCCCGTGGTCACCTGCTGCCCTAACGCGAGATGTACAGTACATCATGTACAACTTCAACTTCTATTGGATAAAAATAAATTAGTACGAAGCTCTGCTCGTGTTGATGAAGACGAAAACTCGGACGAGGCGTTTATTTTCATACTGTTGCTGCTACAGCTTTTGTTTCGCAAAGCGCAAGTTTCTTGCTGCATAAGCAGCACGCATTCCATACATATGATGGCAACATGAAAAAAAAAATGAAGGTAAGAAACCGCTACCCAAGTGCATGATTTGCCAGCTTCCACTATCCACAGTAAATTTCCTGTACACGTACAAATGCAGTCCCTGCATGACAAAACTTGCCTTCAATCCTAGTGTAGCATGACAAGTTGGACACTGCAAGTTAGCGAAATTTGTCATGCATTTTGTACATGTACAGGAAATTTACATTGCATATCCACTTAAGTGCGCGGTGAAGAAGAACGAGAACCTGATTCCGCTGGGCGACTACACCGTGTTCTGCATGACGTGTCACCACGGAGGACACCTGAAATGCGTGCAAGCCTGGAAGGAGCAGGAGCTGAAGCGAATAGCGCGGGAGGAATTGGACGACGTGTTTGGGCATTTGGTGGACTTGCCTCTGGCAGAATTGCAGGAAAGGGTAAGGGAGAAGGAGAGGCAGGAACAAAGTGATGCACAAGCTGCAGCAGCAGCAGCAGAAGCTGCAGCTGCGTCCTCGTCAGCTTCCGCACCTCCTCCTTCCGCATCTACTTCCCCAGAAGAGAACGCGAAGAACACCGAAGCAGGGAACAAGGACCCCGGAGATGATGATGCAGATCATGATCCGATTTGTCGGCCCGCTGGCGGTATGCATTGCAAAAGTATCGTATGCATTGCAAATTTCCTCAACATGAGAAATAAAATTTGTAATGTGGATGTACGATAAGAAAAAGATTTGTAATGCTGCAAGACTTGCATTTATACGAGTACGATACTTCTGCAGTTCATAGGCGGTCCCGTTCGCTCCGCTTCGAAACAGCCACTACCCCGTATGAAAGTGCACAACTCCCCCTCCCCCTCGTTTGTTTTGCAAAATTCCAAATCCACGCTTTGCCTGTTAGCACTGTTTGCATGACAGATTCCGAAATCCAAAACAGCACTACAATCCTCTAGGAATTTGTCATGCTGAAGCTGCATCTTTGCCAGCGCTTGTGTTTCTGTTCATGCAAGAACACAACGGGGGGTGGGGGAGTTGTGCACTCTCATACCCCGTCCTCGAAAGATACCGTGCTGCCCAGTGCCAGGGTGTGACTGCACTTTTTGCTTTGCGCCGATAGACGAGGACTCCTCGTCCGATGAAGAAGAGGAGGCGGGGGCTGGTGGGGCGGCCGAACAAGTGATAAACGAAAACGAGGAAGTAAGAACCACCCCAGCGCGACGGGATTTTTATAACCCAGATGCTGGTCTTCAAGTTCAAGGTCATCTGCTAGGCCTACCTCTGTCGATCGACGCCATTGGGGAAGATGAACCATCGACGCACACAGGAGAAAGAAATCCTGTCGGCCGGGATGGAGGAGGTCCTCGTGTGGAAATGCAACTGCAAGTGCAAGATATGGATAGCCCTGTACTATTTCCAGGAGGTTTTGGTGGGAGTCCTAGCAACAACGTCGGTCTTCGAGGAACTACAGATCCTCGGGCGGAGTTTACGCCACTCTCCCTAGACGACGAGGAGTCAGAGTTTGCTCTGAACATAGAGGACGAGTCGTATTGAGCAGGCCAGCAATAGCACCTCCCGCATCAACAGCGGATCGTAACAACCGGCGCGGAGTACTAGAGCAGCCTGCTACATGCAAGAACAACCAGTGGCACTCCTAATGCTAACGGTAATGCGCGGCTGTCAACTGCAACGGTTCCTTTTCCTCTCCCCCGGCCCGGCATGGGACGAGGTCATGACGAGCAGCAGTACTTCTTCACTTACGACGGGTGCTGGCAAGAACCGCGCAAGGCCAACACGGCGAAGCAGCAGCAGGCGGGCAAGAGGCAAATAATATTCCTCGGAGTTGCTCAAGCTCAAGAGCTGCTGCATCTTCTGCTGCAAAACTGGAAACATGGTCATGGAGGAGTGGATGGTGCAAAAAAGCCGGATTCAAGATGAACTCGCAGCGTTTTATTTTGAAGTTTTTTAGCAGTATAGGTTTGAGTATGCTTGATACAGTAGAAAAAGAAAAACTACAGGCTGACCATTTATATTTTCAGTTTTGGTTCAATAATGGTAAAATGCAAATGGACGTTTTCCAAATGCTAAATTAACATGACGAGAGCGCCACTCTCAGTCCTCTCCCTCTTCTGTCTAAGTCTGCAAAATGGTATTGATTTTTTTGATGCTTTATTCTAAATATGTAAGTACACTAAAAACCCTCTTCGACTGGTGTTGCTCCTGGTCGTTCGTACACTATTTCACTGAGGATGGTGGAAACACGATACTTAGTGATTAAAACTCTGCTGGACGCTCTACTGCATTGAGCTTGGCGCGCGTCCCGAGGGTTTGTTTTTCAATGAAGACTCAATAAACACTTGAGATGTCGCATTGAGTTCGACTGCGTATTCTCGTCGTCCCATGCTGCTTTTTCCAGATTTTTTCAAACAAAGTACTAAGCTACGTACCGCTACCGACTAGTGATAGTGTACAACTTTTAGAAACGGATCCGACACCTCCACATCAATCACACCTGGTGGAGCACGAGCACCCGGCGGCGCACACGCACTACACGGCCTCGTCGCACTCCGACGGACTACACGATTGACTTTGACAAGAGCCAGAGTATGATAAAGAGGAGGAGCTGCAAAAATGCGGTCCCGGTCAAATCGGACGAGAAGCAGCGGAACAATAAATCGCGAGAGGAACGAGCCGCATCGTGGTGGACTTCTTCGGCACTTCTTAACGCCGGGCGGCTGGTGCTGCTCTCCGAAAACCACGACTCTCAAGAAGTAGCACGACATCGTCGACAAAATAAAAACGGCGGATCGTGTGGAGGTACTATCTCGGCGACAAGGACAACCAGAAGAGAATGCTGTTGCGGGCTCGCAGGCTTCTTCTGTTCCTATTCTCGATAGCTAGGATAGGCAGTGCTGTCGCACAGCACCACGCCGAGCCGCTGCACTCCATCTGTCGTGTTGTAGTACTATTCCGGATTGCTCAAGCATATGCCGCCGCAATCTACAACTTCCAAGACTGCAATAGAAATTGCTCATGTCGGCCCACCAGCCGCCGATATTCACATGAAACGCAGACATAGCTGAGCTTCTACTTGTTGGAAAAGAACACATTGTTGAAGAAGTGTAAGACCGGAAGGCAAATAAAAGCTTTTTCCACAAAACGGAGAAACACAATAAACGACGAAGGTGTCAAGATATTTTTCGTCTGAGGGAGGTGAAGTAGTAGTTGTCTTCACATGATTTCTTCACGACCTAGCGCCATGCTCGTCCTCGTAGGGCTTGTTGCCATAATAAATAAAAAATAATCGTAATCCGTGCGAAAAAAAACGATCTCTTCCCCGTCGGGGAATGAAGCTAGGACCTACAGGATGCCATCGGTTGCGGTTTTTGAGAGATCACGTTATGATGTTTATTCGGTTTCTTAGCGAGCGACCAAACGAACGCCACAGACAATCGTGAAAGAAGTCGGACCGCGTTTTTCTTGTGCCACACCGATCGAAAGGAGTGAAGAGGACAACAGGAGATCGGTGTTGAGCGATGAGCTCGTTTTCACTTCTGGTAAAAGTTTATTTGCAGCTGTTCTTGAAAGAGGGTTGTATTCGTATTTCTGCAAAAATTGTCGTCCACAACTCTTGTTGGAGCAGCTATAAGGTGTTCATCGTGACTAGATTCATCGCTTTTATTAGCAATATTTACCGCGTAACTTCTCCAGGACCCCATTGTTCAACGTCGCATTATGTCACCATCATCCTCCTGGAGCGGAGTAACAACTAGGCCAACTAACTCGGGATTCCAAGCGCGAAAGTTTTTCGGGCGGCCGAGACTGGTCGCCACGCACGAGTTCCCTAGCCAGGTAACTCGTGGCGACCACTAGCTAGCAGGCAACTCGTGCTGGCAAGGGCCGACGATCGCGCAGTTTGTGACAGCCGGAATTCCCTATGCGGATTTGTGCTTTTGTGCATGCTATTTGTGCTTTTGGGGTCTTTTTGAAAGTCGGCGGGGCAGCGTTTTCGCTTTCTTTGCAACGCAGGCGGTGCCTGTTATTTTGTCATGGCGAGATATAACCTGCCGCGAAGCTAACATTTATGAAGCGCAACAATTTTACACGCTTTCCGACCTCTGAAGCGAGTTTTTTAATGAAAGCACAAAAATTATGCACAAAACCGCAGGAATTGCATACGTTGCCAGGACGTTTTCAAAACACACCTCTGACCGAAGTCGTCGGCTCCGGAGTCGCTATATAGAAAAACTTTCGCGCTTAGAATCCCGAGTTAGTCGTCCGGCCGCCCGGATTCGGCCGGCCGGGTGACTAACTCGGGGAGCCGAGTTAGTTGGCGTAGTTGTTACTCCGCTCCTGTTATTGTTGAGAAGTAGTTTCTTTCTCTATCATTTTTCCCACAGAAGAGCAACCACAAAATGTCACGAAAGCAAGCCGGCAAGGAAGTCTCCAAGGACGAAAAGTACTTGGCTACTCTGTTGCATCATTCCCATTTGTTAGTTCCACAGTTTTTAATCGGTTTTTGCCATGCTGATGACCTGCAGGAGATGGAGAGCAACAGCAAGTCAATGCAAGTTGTGCAAGACAAGAAAAAGAAACTATATACAAGAACTCCCTCAGATCATGAAGACTCATCATGGGAAATAACTTAACATCAAAAACCCATTGTCAACAGGTTGGTGACGCTCCTGGACCGCGTCGCTGGCAACCTTCTCGAGGAGCGGCCGGAGGCCGGTGAGGCCGCGTATGACTTGCTCAAACGTTACAATCTCAAACGTTGCAATAGAGTCTGGAACTTGTGTTGCATGATGAGCATGACAGACTCGCACAGCGTTCCACTTTTTGCCATACAAATTTCGCCAGATTGTAGTGGGGTTCGGGGCTCCGGAACTTGTCATGCGCAGTCCTATGAGAGTTGGCTAGATCATGCACTCTTGCATCACAGATTTCCATATTCTATTGTAACGTTTGAGACTGTAACACCTGAGCGGGTTATACCGCGTGGAAGAACGTTCTGGAGACCCTGTACGAACAACACCCACTGTACGCGGTATCAGAGTGCACAACTCCCCTTTCCCCTCATTTGTCATGCAAAACCCCAAAACCAAGTCTAATCCAGGCTTAGCACATTTGCATGACAGATTCCGGAAGCTGCTCAAAGCCAAACAGTACTACACTAGGCGCATGAAAATTTGTCATGCACAGGCTCCACTTCGTGTGCTGGTGTTTGTATTGCTGTCCATGCAATTATAGTACAAATGAGGGGGAGGGTGTGTTGTGCACTCTGATACGCGGGGCAAATGGAGCGGAAGCGGCTCTTGCGTCACCGCGAAAAGCTCGAGAAAACGCTCGTGTCGGCGAGAAAAGCCCTCACCACCGTCGGGGCAGGACAGTGAGCAAGTAGATCAGGAGCAATTCTTGTTGCGGAACAAGATGCGGCTGCAAAAGAAGCTCCGACATCAAATTGGTCACGAGTATCAAATGTAACAAGAAGAATACAGAAGTACTTACTAAGCTACACCCTCCTAGTACATGCTCAGGAAGTCAACAAAAAAGCCGCAAAAACGTCGACTGATTATGCTATGGAGAGGTCGCGAAATCAAACGAACAATCACCTCCTCCTACTGCTGACGTTGAGATGAAATAAGATAATATCATCAGCAAGAAGAAAACACGGGCTTGACTTTTTGTGGCTTCTAGAACTAGTTGATAAATATCCCCACCCAAGCTTCATATACAGAATTTGCAAGATTTGCGTTTCGTCTTCTATCGCAATTTGATCAGATGAAATATTTTAGTGCACCAGAAAAATGAGCGCGTGCGTTCCTTCTTGTCCGAGCGGAACGCGCCGAACCAGCTGTGGTTCTTGCAGCTGCTGAGAAGAGTACCGATTTTTCGCAGCTCTGAAGATGTTCGAGGAAGTCCACGTCCCATTGTTGCCTATTGAGTCGTCGGTTCTAGTACTTCGCCCCCGAATTGTTACGTCATATAAGACGTTGTAATAATTATGACACGCGGGGTGTAGTGTTTATTCCGTTGCGTCCTCCCTCGATCTGTCGCTATGGTGGACGAAAACAGGAACGCATGCTGTCCTCGTGTTTCATCTTTTCGTGTGGATATTAACTCTGAGTCATTCCGTCGTGGTTTCTGTCAGTTGCTTGCTTTTGCGATTTGGATCCAGGGCGGCCTAGCAAGCAAGCTCGACATCAGATCAGATATGCAGGGCGATCTTAACCATCGTGCTTGCACAAGTTCCAGTTGACCGCCACGAGCTCACTCATAATTTAGGTTTCGATCCACCACCACCTTCCAACAGTGTTACAAGCTCTTTCAAATGAGACTATGCCGTGATGATCAAAAACATTTATATCTCAGTGGTCTCACGACCTTGATTCGCGAAATGATATAATAATAACGATCTTCGTTCATTGCAAGTGCAACACAAAGAGGATCTACGATGCGTATGTAACGAAATGGTATGAATAGTTATGATTTCGGATCGCTTTTACAACGAATGCCGAAAGAATTTCCAATACTTCTCTAGGAAGCAATTCGTGTGAAGATGTCTTTTCTAATTGTAGGCGAGATCAGAATGTAAGTGATGATCGATCCTGATTCCCAGTGCTCTCGTGATGGAATGACATGGAAATCTGTGATCTCAAGCGACGTGATCAGTATGAAACTATCACACTGACACGGTGCACATTCACAGCGTTGAACGTGAATCCTCATTCTGAGCTTCCATCCTTTCAGGAGACGAAGTAGATGAAACGGACGGAAGATTTTCAATCGAAGACACGCCAGTCCTCTACGCGGGCCGAGCAGGAGAGCAAGTTGTACCGCTCGTCCTGGCGGGAGAGCAAGAAAATTGTCGGCACGATGAAATAAAGTCATCCGGGGCAAAGGTAAAGGGACCGAATAAACGCGACACCCACAGTGGTTTTGAGGGGATTAACTCCTCTTCCCCGAGTGCCGCGAGAAATCGGATGATAGCCACTTCAACAACTTCTACCCGAGAACAGCAAACCACTTCCACTGCTTCACATGCTCTTGCTTCCCATACTGCGGCCGAGATTTCCACTAAGCACCAAACGTCGCTACAAAATTACGATGGCAGGAACGTGCGTCACTTTCACGCGAGCTCTGATGAAACTGCCACTCCTACTAGCTTTAAAAAACTCACCGCAAAGCGCAACGAGCAGCAGCCGCAGCACCGTTTCTTCTTCAAAAACGGAAAGAAAATACACGAAGCACCGCCAGTGTTTGAAGGAGGAGAGAAGGAGATTAAAGGAGAAATGATTTGAAGCGCAGGCGACGAAGGTAAAAAGTAAGGAAAAAAAACATTTTTCTGTAGTCCACTCACGCATCCCAGAAGGTTAGTGCCCATATGGTAGGCTTTTATTTATACTTTCACTGGAAACAAGTTCTATTTAGTTCGTCCTTCTCCTTGGGCTTACGCTTTGGTTGCGAACTTCTACTGCAGGCATCCACCTATGCCGTGTGCCTCTATGCCTTCTACCCCTGTGCCTTTGAATAGCGAGCCTAAGTTGGATATACACATGCTTCATTTCCTTCTCCACAAACGTCTAGTCATTACCTTCAGCTGTTGATCCGACGAGACCCGCACTAAGAATTCCTATTCCGTCGAGGCCGGAATGCAGTGTGCAGCAGGAGTCAATCCGCTACAAGTCTCGTGCTGGTGTTAGGCTGCGTGACCACAACAACAAGAAAATGTCAAAATGCGAATAAATCTAGTGAGTAGACCTTTTCGATACGCATGTGAATGTGCTGCATTTTTTATCTCTACTGTAGAATAATCTTTGGCTGAACATGATAAGTATCTATAATCTTCAGAGCAGCGAGTACTGTAAGTATGCATCATTATTGAGTGAGCAACGAGGAGAAAGTTGTGCGGGCAATAATGCAAAATTCTTGCCACATGAACATGGTTGGACAGAACCCAATCGCGTAAATGTGAACAAGCTGAGTAGTGAGTACATAAAACCAACTACATGTTTCAGGCAACTACACGTGACACCAATGATCATGTTGGAAAGAGACTGCGGGGCCGCCTGACACGTGCCACTCGACCAACTACTGACTCTGCTACACCACAAGACATTAATGATAAAGTTTTCTGTGCTCTTTCAAAATAAAAATCGGCCCTCTATCGTGATAGAAATTTTGATCCACAAGAGCGCGTTCGCTCTCTCGGCAGGGACATGTCGTGTCAATACACCGTCTTCGTGGGTCGTTGGGCAAAAAATACCGTTCACAATCGCACCAGGTCGTAAGTACTTAACCGTAAGATGTGGTCAAAATAAAGCCGTTTTCGTGTGCGTCAACATCGTAAAAAAAGCAAGAAGAAACCACTCAGCAGCAGTGGAATTGCAAGTGGTTGGGTCAACATCAAGTTCAAAGTGTGTGGTCGCTGTTGACCACAGGTTCGTCTCCATTTCACGACGGTTTTGAAGGTGGCATGAATTGCACCTTCTCAGAAGATACAGATAGCTCATTTTTATTTGCGTTTTTGATGCTCCTCTTCTGTACTAGGTTTAGATGGAACTAGAAGCTTCACCACGCATAGATTCTCCGATCACCGAGATCATCTTTTACTCTTTCGAGACGGTGCTGAGGTTCGTGAGAGGACCCTCTTTGCCGACGAGATGTTGGTCTACTAGCTGCACCATCGAACTGTCGTGTCCTTCACTCTCCTTTGCTTCAAGTTCAAATAAATCTTGAATACGACACAGAAAATGATGGGCCTCAGTGAGCCCGGTGGCGGCTCCAATAGCTCCACCGCGGACAAGTACGACCCGATAGACACGTTGATGAAATGCAAGTCCACAATCCGGCAGCTCAACAGCGAATTAGAAAAGGAGAAAGCGGACCATGCGAAATTGAAGCGGGAGGTATCATTTGTAAAAACGTCCCCACCCCAGAGTCAAGATGGGAATTCTGCAACACAGATCCAGAAGTTTTGGGAGTGACGCATGACAAGTTTTTCTCTCTACAGTAATGCGGGTTAGCAAGGGCAACCGCATCATAAAACCAGCCTGGTATCCTGTTTACAGCATCACAAAGTGCATTACACGATTGAAAATGTCTCTCATTGGGATACGCATTACAAGCATTCCTGTAATTGTAATTCTGCCTGACAACTCTGAGGTGGGGACGTTTTTACACAGGATAGGAGGCTACCATCGTCGGCAAGGAGCTCGTGGAATTGAAGGGAAAGGTGGCCACGTTGGAAAACGAGAAAGAAAAATGGCGAGGGACGTACTTATTTGATTTCTCGTGCATGTCATGCTTTATTTTCATATGCGTATCATCATCTACATCTTCCATATTCGTGCTGTGTGTGTCCATACAGGAATGTAGTTGGCTTTGTCATGCATACTCACGAAAACCGAAACCGTGTCAGGTACACCGAGCTTGAAAAGGTAAAAAACGAGCTGCAAGTCGCGAAACGCGAGTTGGCTGACACGAGGAAACAGGCGGCTGCAAATGCACAGGGACTAGGTGGTGTGTCCTCACCCGGGGCCGGCGGCGGAGATCTGTTAAAGAAATACCAGGCGTCACAGGAAAGGGTACTGCTTACTAGTACTAGTACTGAAACATCATGCAACTTCTCCGAAATAACGCATGCGGATCGCGCAAACAGTCTGGATAGATAAATGTCCCATCATGCAGCTACGGGAAAGTGCAAATTAACACGCGGCAAACTAGTAATAGAACGTACACAACCGCCCAACTACCAGGTGTCCCAGCTGGAAGCGCAGAAGCAAACTTTGGAGGAGCTGTATTAAAAGAAAAAATGCGCCCACGCCGGATGCTTCAAAAATTTGTGATGCAAAGTTTCCAAATGAAAACTTTTTGTCTTGCATGAAAGGACTCTGAATCTTTCCGATGCAGAATCTAAGCGAGTAAGGCGTCTTTTACATGACAGGCTCGGCTGCTGCTGGGCTCTTACGCAACACAAGTTTTAGCTTTCCGCATTGTGATGCTGATATATGCAAGACAGGGAATGTTTCTAGTGGAAAGGTTTGCAAGACAAACTTGCCAAATTATGTGGTAGGGGCATGTTTTATTGTAATAAGCTGAAGGACCGGCTTTTGGAGGACGTAAAATACTTGGAGGATCGCAGTGCGCAGTACGATATCCTGTGCAAAAGTATCGTACTCGTATTGCAATCATGCATTACAAGTTTTTTCCTTAGGGTAAATCCGCATTACAAATGTCATTTCTCATGCTGAGAAATTTGTAATGCATTTATACGAATACGATACTTTTGCAGTTCATATACGAACTCACCGTAAACCCCATCGTGAATCGGCAAAAGCAGGCAATATTGCAGCTCGAAGAGAGAATACAACAGTTAGAAGAGCACTGCCATCAAGTGGAGGGGAGACGTATTGATTTATGCTGTTGAGCTAGTATCGCTTTCGTTTTTACATCGGGAAGTTTACAAAGCATGAGCAAGCTCCTACTACTTGTTTATGTTTCCGCCCCGAATTATATCAAACAGTCCAACACGAGCGCGAAACACTTCGTGATTACTACGAGCAAGAGATTTTAGACCTCCGCGAAGACTACGAGCACCGCAAGCAGAAACTCCAGCTGGAACACGATGACCACAAGCAAAACCTCGAGGAGGAAAAGCAGCGGAAGCACAAGGAGTGCGAGGAGCAGGTGCTTGCCGTCGTATCAAATGCAAAAATGTTTCGGCCTGGAAAAGTCGGGGTTTGTCATGTACATTTTGCATGACCCGTGACGTCTGTGATGCAAACCCTAGCATCACAGATTTTTCAAGAGCTTCTTGATGCTTACCACGCATGAGAAACGCCCTCTCCGCGTGCCAAGAACTGGATTTCTCTTGCTGCTCATGCAACACAGCTATTTTTAGAATCCGCAGACAGCATTACAAGTTCCACTCTACTTCCAGACCCAGCCATTTTTGCATTTGATACGTCGAGCGGTTGTACGAGAAGGCGCGGGAGGAGTATGCATTGCAAAAGCACTTCACTAGCAGAAATCGCATGACAAATTCGCTCAGCATGAGAACTGGAATTTGTAATGCGGATTTACCTTCAGAATAAGACTTGTGATGCATCAAAAACGAGATTAGTGCTAGTGCGGTACTTTTGCAACGCATAGAGAGCACGGCAAGCTGAAAGAGGAGCACCACGACAGCCACGCGGAGAAGGACCGGCACATAGCGGATTTGGAGAACAAACATCTAAACGAAAAGCACGAGTTGCATAAGGAGAAGGAGTCCATAAAAAGCGACCTGCTCAACGCCGAGCAGAAACTGCAGCAGGCCAACGAAGCGCTGTCCATCCGCACCAAGCTGCACGACGCGAAGCACGAGGAATCGGTGCGATTGTCGCAGCACGTGGAGCATTTGGAGGGAAAGCACGAGGAGAAGGTGAATGCGATCACGTGCTTGCAAGGGGAGAAGAAGGAATTGAACAAGCGGATTGAGGTACGTATAGCACTGGTAGGTGGAGGTGCGTGTTGATCTTGATGAAATTTTTGATCGAAGAACAGAGATCTTTTCATTTGATTCGATACGCTGTTCTTACGTCTGCGAGGAACAGCGTTAGAATCAATTCTGCTACCTCTCTACATCACAGCTCTTGGAGCGTTTGAACGAGAAGCACGAGCGCAGTAGTAAGACGGTGGTCAGGCAATTGGAAGCGGAGGTGCTCCAGTTAAAAACGAGTCTCGAGAAGTCGGAGCAGAAAAACGACGAGGGCAGAAGGCTTCTCTACGACCACCACAAGCTCCAGATGCAGCACAAAGAGCTCACCGCGTTGCTCGACCAAGTCAGAAAAGACACGCAGGACAAGTACGAAAACGTGATCACGAAGCTCTCCCAGCAAAACACGAAGTTGAAGCGGGAAAGTGCAACTTTAGCCGCGAATTTGAATCATCATCTGGTCGACCGCGATATTGTCGGCGGAAGCAATCAGTATTCCTCGCCCGGAAAAAGGAGGTCGTCCTCCAGTAGGTACAACGATGATTACTACACGCCGAGCAACTACGACAGGAACTACAATGCGAATGATTTTTTGGCAGAGAAATCCAACCCGCGGTCAAGCAAAAGCCTGCGGAACCCGAGGGTAGTGGATTTAGAGCCCAGTAGCGGAATGAATAATGGAAACTCTTCCTCCGAACAGGACCAACACGTGGTGATCATAAAGCGCTCGCCCAAGGGCTCGAAGCGCTCATCTACCACAACGAGCGGTCGGGCTTTCAACTCGCCAGCAATGCCAGCTGCGGGACAACGGGAGGGACGGTCGTCGGGGACGAGTCGAGGTAGTAGAGTGGTCTTGTCCGATGATCCCCTGTACCGAGCCGACCACTACTTTCGACCGATCGGCAGGTGATTTTCGGTTGTTCGAGGTGGGGCTTTGCAGAAATTGTTGCCTGCTGTTTGCACCGAAATTAAAGAGTATCTTGAGTAACGTAAACTGAACAGTACCTGTTAGCACATTTCTTTGGTGGAACACACACTTTGAATCAGAGTCGACCGTCGAGTGCCATTCTTTGTTTTCAATCTTTCGTACAGTTTCAAGCAACAAACTTTCTCAAAAAACTAAATACCAAGTAAGCACAATCACACCGATGACCACTTGTAAATGATTTGTCTTTGTCGCCGTCTTATGTACAATATTGGTGCGCTGTTAGAGCATGTGACTGTACAATGCAACATGAAAATGTTCCTAAAAAAACACGAATTGATCTGACTTTTCTGTAACTGTATGTCGTTTGGAAGCTCGCGCGAAGCTCTAACCTGAGTCATCTACTCCCCATGCCTGCAGCTTTGGCAAAACGAGACCACGATAATGGTTCAACTTGTTATTTCTCGTTTAATAGGAGTTTCGTTTTTTCGTTCTTTTCTGAACGGATTAAGATAAAAAAGTAGCCGCATCTTCGTTATTGAGTTTGAAACAAGAACTACGGAGTGCAAGTTTGTTTTCGGTGGATCGACGCGAATTAGAACAGACACGGATGAAGATGTGTGATCGAGATCTGCCCCGCCACTCCTACGGCGTGCAGCCACGTGCATGACAGAGAATCCAAACAAAACAGTTCTGCAACTTGCTGGTAGCACAGGCGTCTGAACCAGCCTGCTATTCTTGTTTTGCGAACTCAATGTCGCATCAACTAAAACGACTGCAAAATGTCCGCCTTGAGCCAAAAGCCAACACCCGTTGATGAGACTCGGACTACACTCGCTTCGTCCACGAAGGACAGCACTTTGAATCCGGATTACACCGCGGAGCATTTCAATTTCCAACCAGACCGACTAGGCGTCGGATTCCAACCCGCCGACCGCTCCTCCCTGACTGCCCGTGAGTCTTTGGATAACATTTCCGCGATTCCCTTCTCCCCGCCTGGGTCAGCGAGAAGCAGCGGAGGGCCTGGAGTGGGATTAAACTCAAGCGCGGAACGACGCGGTGGCGATCATACCAGTGGCCCACTAATGTTTGCGCCGATGGCCGGTGCAGCCGGCAGTTGCGCAACCGGCGCGACAGCAGCGTGTACGGATGCCGTGGCGGGAGCCGCTGCGACACTGTTCCAGACATCGAATGGCGTCGTGAGAGATAATAATAGTGCAACAGGAACTGATTTTCATCATCCTGCAAACCCTGGCGGTGCTACGTCCTCATCGTCGTTTCCGCGGCCTCGCGACGTAATCACCACCCCAGTTACGACGACCGCTAACAACTCCGCATTTTACAACCCGCAGTATTCGCGCGGGAGCGGTGACAGAGGAAATAATAACCTGATGTTCAGCGCAAATAGGTATAACGAGCCCGCAACCTCCTCCTCCAGCAGCGTTCGCCGGGCGGGGGCGAGAAGTGGCGGAATGACTACTTTTGGTGGTAGTACCGGTGGTCCCTCTCCTATCGCCAGTCTGAATTATGCGCGATCGCCTCTGGACGGAGGGGGCGGTGGAGGTACTATATCAACTGTAAAAATGTCTGGGTCTGGAAGAATCCAACTTGTCATGCTAAATCTGAAGCATGCAAAAATCTGTGTTGCATGATTGCCAAAAGTCGCCCAGTTTTGACCAAATCGGGAGGCAGTTTCTCATGCAGGATAGGCATGAGAAAGATCGCACAGAATCTGTCATGCTAGGCCCTGCATTCCAGACCTCATGGGTCATGGAAAAGCTGCATGACAAGTCGCGCACTCTTCCAGACCCAGACATTTTTACATTTGATATACTACAGCAGGCAGCCATCTACTTGCACATCAATCGGGTGACAACAACTTCAATTTGCAGCATCTGAACACTTCAACGACGTCTTCTTTCCTGAACCGCAGCGTTTTCAACACCAGCATAGCCGTCGGCTCCCCCGGAAGCACCGATATCCTGTGCAAAAGTATCGTACTCGTAGGAATTCTTGCAATCATGCATTACAAATTTTTTTGTGAAGCTAAATCCGCATTACAAATTTTATTTCTCATGCTGGGGAAATTTGTAATGCATCTATACGAGTACGATACTTTTGTAGTGCATAACCGATGCGGTGTTGCAAAAATGCCGAGATACGCTCGAGCTGCAGGCGAGAGAACTGGAACGAGAGAGGAACGAGAAATTGGAAGCAAGAAAACAGAAGAATGAGGCGGAAGCGGCGCTGCAACAGGAGAAATCCGCGCACCAATTGCTGCGCGCTCGGTACTATGAACTGCAAAAGTATCGTACTCGTATAAATGCATGGCAAATTTTCTCAGCATGAGAAATAAAATTTGTAATGCGTATTTGACTTAACAAAAAGACTTGTGATGCATGATTGCAATACGAATACGATACTTTTGCAATGCATAAATACGCAGAATCGGAAAACACGGATAACGTGCAGCGGAAACACTACGAAAGCCTCAGAATGGAAATCCTTAAAGTGGAAATGATTTGTGATGCATGAAATGCACGGCAAAAAAGACTGTATTGCAGAGGACACAATGAAGACCGACTATTGTCCTGCTAGGGGTTCTTTCAGAATTGGGCTGCTGATTAGCACGAGAGAAGTGCACCCCTTTGCCTACCTAGCATGACAGACATGCAGCTTCGAGTGCCCGACTAGAAATGGCGCTTCAACTGGAGTCGTTTTTTTGCATTACCACTTTGCGGATTTCCGATCTGAGGCTTTCATAAACACTACGAGGAGCAAATAAACAGCCTGGAAAAGAAACTTGATCTTGCGCGGAAGGAACAGCAGCAGACCAGCACGCAGCTGACGTTGAACTCCACAGAGTTGAGCTCTTTGCGCGGCGTAGAGGAAAGACACCAGAAGACGCAAGCGCAGCAGGCAGTTTTGCAGGCGAAGATCGAGACGCTGCTGCGGGAGAAAGAGGATTTGCAGGAAAACTCGCAGAAGCTGCAGCTGGAAGTGTATGTGGATATTGTGCTTTTAGAGTGGTTTCGCTTTTCCTCGTGTTGCGAAGATGAGCTGTGTTTTTTGTCTGCATATACCATAGATCAACTTGTTGTCTCTTGTTCACACATGCAGCATACAAAACATCAAAGCCTCTAAAAATATTTCAACCTCAGTACCTCCCTCGAGCACAAGTTGACACAAGTCGGCTTTGAAGCGAGTCAATACGAGGGGCGTTGCGACGATATCCTGTGCAAAAGTATCGTACTCGTATTGCAATCATGCATCACGAATCTTTCTCTTAAGGTAAATCAGCATTACAAATTTTATCCCTCATGCTGAGGAAATTTGTAATGCATTTATACGAGTACGATTGTTCTACTTTTGCAATTCATAGACGAGAAGACGCAGCGACTGCAGCAAACGGAAGAAACGCTCGCGCGGACGCGATCGAGAATAAGTATTTTGGAGCAGCAGGTGCAGATGGAACGGGAACGGACGCAGATGCTGGAGGACAAAAGGGAGAAAGAGTTACTACAGATGAAGGAGGAGCTCCGGTTGGACTACGAACAGAAAATCCGGTCGGCGGAGGTGGAAAAATCGCATCTCATGGAGGCCAAGGAGGAAGTATCAAATGCAAAAATGTCTGGGAGATTTGTCATGCAGTTTTTCCAAGCGCCCCCACGTCTGGAATGCAGGGCCTAGCATCACGGGCTCTGCAGCTCCTTGGTAATGCGTATTCTGCATGAGAAATGCCCTCTCAGCATGGCCAGAAGTGGGCACCTTTTGCACGTTATGCATCACAGAGCTTTGTAGGATCCGCAACAAGCATCACAAGTTCGAATCCTTCCAGACCCAGACATATTTGCATTTGATAGGAAGCCCGGAAGCACGATTTGGAAGCCGCCACGGAAAAAGGGCACCGTATCCTGTGCAAAAGTATCGTACTCGTAGTAATTGCAGTTATGCATTACAAATCTCTTTCTTAAGGCAAATCCGCATTACAAATTTAATTTGTAATGCTGACCCAATTTGTATTGCAATTTATACTAATACGATACTTTTGCAATCCATACACCGCGTGGAGAAACAACTACTGCTCAGGATCAAGGTATCAATGAGAATGACGCTTCGGACGTGTTTTTCATGCCGATGCCGGTAGGTTTTCCTTTTCTGCATTGTTTTTGCGCAATAAATATTGCTCGTCTGTCATGCTCAACAACCTTTCCCGCTACACGAATTCTGTATTCAAAACCACTTTGCTCACCAGGACCTCGAACTCCAGCTGGACCACTCCAACCGCGACCGTGCCCGCCTCGAGGAAAGCTTCCGCAACCACGGGAGCCAGGCGCAAACCAAAATCGAGCAGACATCGCAGGAACTGAATGAAATTGCGAGGCACTACGAGGTTTTGCAGCACGCGCATACCGAGTTGAAAAAGCAGTTTTCGGAGAACCAGAAGTCTCGTTCCGAAGACGTCACACAGCTGCAGCAATCGTTGCACGACGTCACCGCGAAGCTGCACACCTTGGAGGAAGAAAAACGGCACATGGCGATGCGTGAGCAGGAACTGCAGAGGCACCACTTGGTGGAGCTCGACATGCGGGGGCAGGAACAGCACCGCCTGCAGAAGGTGATCGACGAGCGGAGAGTCGAGTATGAGGAAAATTTGAAGAAGATCGAAGAGTCCAGCGAGATCATCCGGAAGGAGCTCCAGTCCAAGTGCGGGGAATTGGACCAAACGCGGCACCAACTGACCGAGGTCGAGAAGGGAAAGGACTTGCTCGTGGTCGACGAATCGCGGGCGCGGTGGGATCTGGAACGGAAATGCGAGAACTTGACCGAGCAGTTCGCAAACAAAGAAAAGGAAATGCAGGTAGAAGTACTAGGGCATTCTCTTGAAAAAGGGCAGCGGCTCTGTTTTTATGGGTGGATGATTTTTGTGGCGATAGCCAGTGAAGTGATGAAAGTTCTTGCAACGACAACAAAATAGCTCAATCACACTACGCCCTTCAGGTCACTATCGAGGGTCTGAAGGTTCGCTGGGACGTTGAGCGCTCGGAGCTCCGTCAATTTTACGAGCGGAAGATCGACTCCTTGCAACAGAAAGTGCAAGATTTGCGCACCGAGTCGACGGAAGTCCGGAAGATGATCGTCGGCGCGGCCGCAGACTTGTACAATTCCTACTCTTCGGATTTGAATCAACTGACGTCCACCGCTGGCGGTGGTGCAACTGGAACTGCCGCGCAGAATAGCAATCTCCCTCCGGGTGGAGCAGGTGTTGTTCCGCAGCATCTCGTCTCACAATCGCAAGTAAGAGGGAAAAATAATTCTCGACCAGTACCAGCCTCTCCCTCCACTCCCTCCGACGCGCCGACGCAGCCACAGGTACAACTCATGAGCGGAACAGCGGGCCCTTTATCTAGTAACGCGACGAGCTCCAGAGGAGCAACTGCTGGTGGTGTTCCGCCGCTAGCAGGAGAAGTCAGAGGTGGTGCAAATAGCTTTTACCAAGAGCCTCCCCGCAACGAGGACCAAATAAGGAGTGACCAGATGCGAGTCGTGTTTCGTGGTCCCGGGAGCAGTAGTTCCTCTTCGGCGGGTGGTCGTTATAACCAGCAGCAAAGGACGGACCATCGACAGCAGCCGCAGCAAGACGACAACTACCGTCATGACATCAATCGCAGTAGACAAGATCACGAAGTACCCAACCAGCGAACCCAGCGTCCGGAAGTCCTCGCGCAGCCAGCAAACACCCGGCACGAGAGGTTACTCTCGGGTGACAGCGTTGCTTCCTATCAACAGCAGCAGCAGCAGTCCAGCATCGTCCCCGAGCACTGGCGCCGGTCAGTCGAGATGGCCGCGGGTGGAAGTGATCGACGACATCAAATAAACTACAAGCACATGTTGACGGCTGAAGAAGCGGAATCAGCAAGACAGAGTGCGGAGTCAGCGAAGTTTAAGTCGATGTTTGACCAGAACGATCAGGCTTTTCAGGAGCGGTTTCAAAAAATCGTGGACGACAATGCGTATTTGATGGTCAATCATCCGCAGCGAACAAGATGACAGCACAGCTGCTTTTTCGCAAATAACGGTTTTTTTGAACTGCTCCAATAAACCGGAACTTTTTCTTGCCCTTTTTGCTCACGTGCATAGAGACCACGTCCGTGTGACAGACTCGCCTGTATGTTGTACGAGACCTCTTTTAGTTCTTAAGAACCACTCCCCACGACTGCGTCGCGGGGCAAGGCTGATTTGAATTGCTGCTGGGCCAAATTTGAAGCTATTGTCTGCAGGTGCTTTCTGAGTGGTTAGTGAAAACAGGAACAGGTAGTCATAGTGGACGTCGTCCGCGCCCTGTCTCACTAACCAAGCTCCAGGCAGCAGTCACTTAAATGCCAACATGAAGCAAAAAAGAGAAAAAGAAAATCCGACTTCTCGTCCAGGGCAGGGCATTTACCACAGGCGAAAAAATGCCTTTCAGATGCAGAGAGCAGCACAGACCCAGGCCTCTGCAAGGAATGTTGTAAACGCAGGCGCCATGTGCTTTGTTGTGATGCGCGACACAAACAGCAGCAGCGCCTTGTAGGCGAGCAGGAAGACAGCGCGCGCCAGCGCTTGTCGGAATGTTTGACGTTTTAGCAGACTAGCTGCAGACTCTTCAGAAGCTTTTGAGTCTTCAGAAGAAGCTACAGAAGATGACCTCCAGAAGGTCGAAGCTTCTGAAGAATACGAAAAAGCGCAAGCATAAAGTTGCCGCATTGGAGAAAGATTTGAAAAACCTTCTGAAAATTTTCAGTCTTCTGAAGGTTGGCCAAAATCGCGACACTTTGCAGCTTTCTTTTGTCGAAAAAGTCGGGAAGTCTTCTGAAGGTCAAAAAAATGCGACCTTCTGAAGCTTTTTAACCTTCAGAAGATTTCAAAACGGTCATTTTTCACCTTCTGAAGGTTTTTTTGCTCATTTTCCATTTTTTTCTTCTGAAGGTCAAAAAAAACCTTCTGAAGGCGTGACCTTCAGAAGAAAAAAACGCTCACGGTTAAACCGATGGTATGCTTGCTCAAAAAAACGAGGCTTTTTTCCATTTCTTCTGAAGGTTTCACTGATGATTTTGGACCTTCAGAAGACCTTCAGAAGAAAAAGCTTCTGAAGGTTCAGCAGCAATTTTGAGGAGCCTTCTCCTTATAGTTATTAGATTAAATTCATGATAAAACCGTTTCGATTCCAGTACAACTCAGCTGTTCCAGGAACACGGAGCTGATGTCGTGTGTTCGTGTGCAAGTTTGAACGTAACATTCGGATCTTCGTATTAGCTACGGTCCCACGAAAATGAGCTCAACCATTTCGATTTCGTAAACAAGCGCTGCTCGTCCGATTATACATCCGCGATCCAAGACCCAAAACGGCAACCAAGAAGATCTCCATCTCCCACCGAGTTCCCCGCACATCGCTAACGCTACCGTCCACCACCTATGGTCCTGAACGGTCTATTGGTTTGCGCCGTGTGTGCGGGTGGCGCCTACGTGAATCGGGACCAACTGCGCCCGTACTGGGACCGGTTTGTGGGTTTGTGGCTGGCGCAGAACGACGGGTGCCTGCACATGCTCGTGCAGTGTGTGGACAAGGCGGGCGAGAAGTTTGAGCAGATGACCGGCGTGAATCTCGGCCGCGACGACTTGCCGCCGCCACAACGCACGGTTGCGAGGAACGCTTCCTAGGACAATGACATCAAGGACATCGACATGCTGTACTAGTTGCAGGAGAAAATAAGACGAGCTAGCACAGTTTGTTTTTTTTTCGCGCCGTCGAAGCTCTTCTTCATTCTGCGGGCCGTGTAGCGGAAACGAAAATAAAAATGCGTGGTGTTTTCCGCTTCATTTTGAAGCGCCGTCGCTGTGCGATTGCATCCCTCGTTCTCGTCTCCGCCGTCGGGGCCGTTTCAATCGACGAAGGGGGCAGCATCGAATCCCAGGTCCTCGCGTTTTCAACGGAGATTCGCGATCGGCTGTTGTTGACAACAACGAACGAAGACGAAAACGAACGCGATGAAGATGACATCGTGGCGGGACAACCACGACGAGGAGGTTCACCAGCCAACCGGATGAAAAATCGACACCTGACCGAAGCCTCCCTCGAGTTTCTCCTCTCCTACTGCCACGAGCCTTTGCAAGGCCCCGGACTCCCGGAGGATTTCTCCTCCCGGTTTTCGCAGTGGCAACCGCGGTACATGCGGGATTCGTTGAAATGGGCCCGGCATTTCGAATCTCTGTTCCACGACAACAATTTGTACGCGCAGGTGCACAAGTGCCCGGGTTTGGTGCTGGACCTGATGATGAACACGGTTTTGCAGCAAGATCACGACATCAACCGCAATGCGGCGCAATACCGCTATCAGACCATCATAGACACGTCGAGGAGCTTGGTCAAGATGGGCGCGCAGGCGGCGGCGGGGCTGGTCAGGAATTTGAAGCAAGAACTTCAGGAGCGGGGAGCAGACGAGGACAGTGCGGCTCTTGCTGAAAATAACGCAATTCAGATTCTGGAAACCTCGCTGGCGTCCCTTGCAGCAGAGCTGCAGCGACCAGTCACGGAGTTTAGTATTCTTGAAGTAGAGAATGAGAACGCAGAGGGCACAAGAAAGGCGCAAAGAAAAGACGACCGCGAGGACGAAGAACCTCTCCACGTCCAAATAGAGCGTCTGACGAGCGGGTGGCTTGCGAAGACTATCCGGGAGAAGTGGCGCGGCATGGACATTGCCAGGACGTATCCTACCCTGCTTGGAATAGAAAGCTTTCCCAGCCAACGACAGCAAGTGGGGGCAGAGAGGACTGGTTCTTCTTCTTCGGCGAGGACCACCCAAGTGACGCAAAAATCCTCCTGTCTGGGACAGAAATTCTTTGTTTACCCGCTGCACCAGATCTTCAGTACTCTCTCCGTTCTGAAATGCGCGTTCACGCAGTGGGGCACGGAAGTGCTGTTCCATCGCTATCTCGAGGAGTCTATGAATTGCAAAAGTATCGTACTCGTATAAATGCATTACAAATTTCCTCAGCATGAGAAATAAAATCTGTAATGCAGATTTGCCTTGGGGACAAGATTTGTAATGCAGGACTTGCATTTATACGAGTACGATACTTTTGCACAGGATAGAGTCGGAGTGTCGCGTCTCAGACCCGGACCTCGCAGACTGGTTTTTCGTGCCCATGTACTCGACCTGTTTGTTATCAAAAGGAAAAATCCCCCCTCCCCATATCGAAAACGAAATTTGTGTTGCTGTATTTAAGTACACAAATCACATTTGTCTTGCAGTAAAGGACTGCACGCAGATCGTAAGCCTAAGGAGTGGCCTCTTGGTGTAGGGGCCTAGCATGGCAAACGTCTGCACTATAGGCCTTGCAGCATTACAAATCGCCCGCATATCGTGGCGGAGTCGCTGAGTTTGCCCTCTTGCACGAGAGACAGGATTTGTGGCCACAAATCAGCATCACAAATTTTTAGAAACATACCTTTTCAGTATGGGGAGGGGGGATTTTTCCTTTTGATATTTGTACGCCCCACTATGGCCCGAGCACGAGAAGAGGTTGGAAGCGGACGCAGACTACGCAAAACAGAGCGAAGAAGAAGCGCAGCAATGTGTCCTGGACGAGATTCGCGTGCGCGCAAGCACCGTACCCTCCTTGTCGTGGGCAGATTCCGAGAAGCGGGAGAAGATGGAACAGTGTGTTTTGCAAGAAGAGGGGTTTGGTACAACCAAGTCCACCTTGAAGATGCCAACATCAGAAACAGTGGTTGAGGCTGCAGGTGGGTCCAGTCAAGAGTTCGAAACAGAAAGCGCCACCGAATTCACGGAGCTTGTAGTTAAAGATACCGGTAGTGCGTGGGCAGCTGCACAAGAACCGTCGAGTTCTTCTGAGAAAGACCAACATGGCGAGGACGTAAACCTGGACGGCTTGGGGTGGGACAGCGAGCAGATCGCTGGGTCGCTGTACGACGGAGATGTTCATTTTGAAGAGCAGGCGGCAACTGTCATGTCTTCAACAGCTGCAAGAGCAGCCCAATCACCTCCAAAAGAACCCTTGGTCTCAACTGCTGCAACAGCCACGCCAACAGCTCCTGAGATGTTGCAAGTCTCACGAACAACAGATACTGCTTCTCTTGAAGATGCTGAACAGAGGAAAGTGACGTCTAACGCCACCTGCGGCTACCACGACTTGGACAACATTGCCAACCGGGAAATTTTCCAGCCCGCCATCCGCGACCAACTGTTTTTCAACTCAAAACACTACAACCGGAACCGCGGCACGGACCACATTTTTCTCTTCGCGGACGGACAAGGGCCGCGGTTGTTTGCGAACTTTCAGTTGCTGCAAAACTCGATTTTCCTCTCGGTCGAAGCTACTTGTCCCACCTGGGGAATCCGTCCGCACCTGCACAACGAGATGGACGTGTATGACTGCTTACAAACCACCTACAAGGACATCGTGATCCCCGGGCTAGTCACCTACGACCGGTCGGTTGGTTTGGCGAAAACCAATTTTCCGTCCGAGCAGCGCGACGCTTTGGTCATCTTCCACGGCCGACACCCGGAGAAAGCGCTGTCGCACCGGATGGCGAAGGTGCGGGGACACGTTTTGGACTTCTTCGAAAACCTTCCGGACGCCGACGTCTCCTCGGGCTTCGTAGAGAACTATTTCGAGCGGAAGGGGAGCGCGCACTTTTGTTTGATCCCGGGCGGGAGCTCACCCTGGACCGTACATTTATACGAAAGCTTCTTCGCCGGCTGCATCCCGGTGATCTTATCGGACGAGTACCAGGTGGCGTGGAAAACGGAGCTACCCTGGGAGGAGTTCTCGGTGAAGTGGCCGGAGAAGCCAGAACTACTGCCGGACTTGTATCGGTATTTGAAAAAAATTGTCGTAGAAAAGAAGCATCTGAGAATGAAATCCGCAGTCGACCGCGTCCGTTGCTGGTTCGACTACTTCTCGGAGGATCCGGACTGCAGCCCGTGGGCGATGTTTCAGCGGAAACTGAAGAAGCGGCTGCTTGTGAGGAGGTTGGAGGAGGAGACGCCGGCTGTGGTGTTTGGCAGTGGGGGTGAGGAAGATCAAGATGCGCATTATTTGGAGGTTCAGCAAGAGCCGGAAGCAGTAGCAAGAGAAAGTCTACTTTCACTTCTTGGCCAACTGGTCGAGCAGGAGTCGAACCCGCAAGGTGGACAAATCGCTATTCCGACAGCAAGTACTCCTGCTCATCGTCGTCCCGTTCGATACTGGTCGACGGGAGGACAAAGTGGCCGTGGAGACGCTGGTGCAGGTGCGGCTGAAGACCAGTCGACCGTTTCTTCAACATCTTTCGACTTCGTCCATTACGACCGACACTCGCGGTATCACACCACGGATCAAGAGTTGAATCTGGGACCGAAAAGGACTTTTGATTTGTTGCAGCGACCGTGAGTAGGAGGATGACTTAGCGTCTATTGTGCGTGAGCTTCCCGTCATCTATTGTCGTGAACATGCTAGGGATTGTACTTCATGCCGGCTACGACTGCGGTACTAGCTTGTTTTTCCGTGACTCCAATTTTCTGTTCGCGAAACAATGAATAAAACAAGCTGCTTGTGCTTCGAGTTTTGCTGAGTGTCAAAATTGAATGTCGAGCGCCCCACTGAGAACAACGAGGCGGAGACGCGAAAGTGGTTGGTACTCCTTTTTCACTGAGAGCACACGATTGACGTGAAGTAGTAGCTACGGCCTGAGAATACAGCAAACACAATGTCCCGTCGCGGATCACCAGGGGCGTCGAGGGCATTGCCGCATCCGGTAACCTTGCGGCGCGCGCTCGCAAGGGGATGCTGGGCGGGTTTACCCTGCTCGCCGCTGATGGTGCTTCGTTGATAGAAGAGGTACAAGTACAGCTTGTTCCTAGAAGACCGCGACTACGGGTGGCACGTTGCTGCGCCGTGGCCTCCCCCGAAGAAGCTGCGAGCTTCCAGGTTTGCCGGGATCATGGTGCGGCGCTTCGTCTTCGGCGTGCTGACCGCGAGCATTTGCGGTCGAGTGGTCGACGCGAAGTGGCTTTTCGACTACCTCAGCGATGAGGAAGTGGGGAGCATTGCCAACAGTACAGACGATGTAAAGACAGATGCGGTGCACAGTGTTGACAATGAAGCTTTTTATTATGCAAGCTGCGCATGATCCATACGAAAACAAAAACAAAATCAAAATGCAAATACTATACCCCAGGTCTCCCGAACATCGACATCGCCTCCCAGCAGCCGGACGTCGATGCTGAGGTGGATGACTGGGCGCCCGGAAAATCAGTCGACGATCCGCACCCTATCTTCCTCACACCCGACCTCAGCAGCATCGTCACCACCACAGCACCTGTACTACAACCCGCTGCGCAACAACCGGCCACCACCACCACCGCCCCCTCGCTGGAGGAAGAGGAGAACTTAGGCCCCGCGGCCGCGAAAGCAAAGGCCCTCGAGCGGATGAAAAACAAGAGGGAAAAACCGCAGATTCAGTGTGACCTAGCGACCGAGGTGATCTTGTCTCTCGGGAACGCGCGCTTGACGGAGGCTGTGATGCGAGACAGCCTGGGCAGCGAAGATCCGTGCGTCCTGGAAACCATTCGCGCCGGGCGGGTGCAGCAAATATCGGTACCTAGGAGCCTGCGGTTCCAGGTTGGGATGCTGGGAAGCAACTCGACAGCTGAAGTCGGGAACAGCAGCTCCGGATTGAGCCTGAATAGCAGCATCGCGTTAATGTTTCTGCAGGAGGTGGGAGGAGAAGATCAAGTTCAAGACGAGGATCACGACCAAGCGCAATCTGCATCTGCGTTTCCTTTCCAGGACCCGAATAAGGTGAAACCCTTGCAGCATAAGCCCGCCGAGACAAAACCCACGCCCGAAAAGCCTACTGCGAAAGGGCCGGAGAACCAGCCGGCGTTTGCCAGGACCATTCCCGTCGGGGGGCCCGCGGCTCGGTTCCGGACCAGACTGCCGTTTCAACAGGTGAGGGTGATTTCGATTTGCTTTTGCGAGTAGGAAACTAAATCATGTTGTCGTTGTCCACTATTTGCGGTTGCCCGATAATAGACCTGTTTTCGTTTTCCTCCACGTACTTATAATCTTCTACAACTATCACTAGTATGTCAAAGACCCAAACTTCTATCAGGTCCTGAACGCGTTCTGGCTAAATTCCAATCCTTTCGGCCAGACCACGGACAGTGTGTGTGCCATCTACCCGTCCAGCCGCGAGCAGGTGAAAATAGCGAAGCAAACGACAGAGATGGTCCGCCAGGTTTTCGAAGAAGACGCCAGAACGCCTTCGCAGCTGCGGTTTCTTCTGCCCGGTGGCGAGGAGAATAACGTGAACGCCATGCTGCCCGCGGAACGCGAGCAGGCGAAAAATGCGGCGTTGGAGGAGCAAATGGTGTCAGCACTGGCGAAATCGAAAATCAGTAGTACTAGCAAGATGACAAGCTCTAGTACAGCAACAGCAGGGATGAAAACAGCTACATCAACAAACAAATTCGATCCAGCGAAGCCGTACACGCAGCAGGATTTAAAAAAAGTCCTGCACAACGTCGCGGACAAGTCGGGTGACGCCTCGGTGAAGCTGATACGCATTGCAAAAGTATCGCACTAGTATAAATTGCATTACAAATTGCGCCAAGAACAAAATTGGAATTTGTAATGCTGATTCAGGTTGGGAAAAATATTCGTCATGCTTTAGTGCAATTTATACGAGTGCGATAGCTTTTGCACAGCATAGCTGAAAAACGGGAACAAAAACGCGATATCCACGAAGGAGGGTATGAAGGAGTACGATAAGGAGCGAAAGGAGAAAGCTTTCTACGAGGCGGGGCTGACCCCCACCGGGGCATCGACAGTTTCGCCCCCTAGTACTTCCGCGACGGATGTTGGGATAAAAGTTGGAGGCGCAGCTGCAGCTTCTGATCCACTTCTGGATTATTTCAACACGCCGGGGGGAGGATCAAGATCAACTTCATCTTCTGGTTATCCTGTGCAAAAGTATCGTACTCGTTGTAGTAATCGCAGTTATGCATTAGAAATCTAGTTGGTTAGGTAAATCCGCATTACAAATTTAATTTGTAATGCTGAGCCAATTTGTATTGCGATTTGTCCTAGTGCGAAACTTTTGCAGTGCATACTGGTACGATCCCTAGATCCGCTCCTCCTCTCGGCTACAATCTAATGACGGCCTCGGTGCAGGACGGTTTCAGCTACGACCCCCCGATATGCATTGCAAAAGTATCGCACTAGTATAACTAGCATCACAAATTCACTCAGCATTAGAAATGGAATTTGTAATGTGGATTCCACCAAAGAAAGGGATTTGTAATGCACGACAGCGATTAGTACGAGTACGATACTTTTGCACAGGATACCTGACTTTGGTTTTCACCGAAGCACCTCTGCAAGAGCAAGACTTCCGCGGGCAAAGTATGGGACAACTCTCAAGCGTTACATTCTCGACTGTTACATGAATTTGCCACGTAAAATTGGCAGCTTCGCAGGACAAGTTCTCGACGCGCTAGATAGCACTTTAATCTACTCCAAATTCATGTAACAGTTGAGAATGTAACACTTGAGAACTCCATACAAACGGCGACGGACTACACGAAATCGATGCAAATGGTGCGGTTGGTGCATTCGCGGGGAAAGATCACGACAAGTCTGTGGAACGAGGAGAACATCCGGAAATTTCTATCAGAAGGAAAAATCCCCCCTCCCTATATCGAAAACGATGCTTGTGATGCTGTATTGGAGTACACAAATCAGATTTGTCTTGCAGTAGAGGACTGCAGGACCATGCCACGCCATGCCAATGTAGAGAGGTCTTGGCCTAGGCACTTAGCATGAGGAACGGCTATGCTGTAGGCCCAACAGCATTACAAACCATCTGCGTAATGGGTCGGAGCCTATGCCGTTGCTTTCTTGCAAGACAGACGCGATTTGTGGTCACAAATCCGCATCGCAAATTCCCTGAGGCGTACCTTTTCAATATGGGGATGGGAGATTTTTCCTTCCGATAATTTCAGAATTTGCTGACCGGCACGACGAAGATCGCCCCGCCGATCCCGGTGGGCACCGCAACGAAAAATTACATGGGTGTGGACGACGACGATGTAGCAGTTCATGCTGCGGAAAATAAAGACAAGGTCCCAGCATCAAAACCGAAAACAAGCTTGAACCCGATCAGCTTGCTGTCCATGGCTATCAAATGTAAAAATGTCTGGGTCTGGAAGATTCCAAGATTTGTCATGCAGTTTGTCCAAGCTCCACCAAGTCTGGAACGCAGGGCCTAGCATCACAGGTTCTGCAGCCCCTTGGTGATGCCCATTGTGCATGAGAAATGCCCTCTCAGCATGGCGAGAAATGGGGACCTTTTGCAAGCCATGCAACACAGATTTTTGTATGATCCGCAACACGCATCACAAGTTCGCACTCTTCCAGACCCAGACATTTTTGCATTTGATAATCGCGCTGCAACATCAAAAGTCGGGGCGGACCCCCGGGAGAAGAAGTACAGCTACATCTAGCAGAACGAATATCAAAGCGTCTTCTTTCATCTCAACAGCCACCACGTCGTTCGCCGTTGCACCACGAGCAGGAACAACATCAAAGCGGACGGCTGCAGAGAGCAGCGTAGCAACATCATTCCTGCAGATAGGTGAAGATGTGGTCGACGATCACAAAATGATGATGAACATGCTGGATAGGAACAGTGAGAAGAACGACCTCGCTGTGCTGCACCAGGAAAGGCACCATGATGGTCACGCTCACCACCACACCCACAAGCATCTGCACGATGGTCAACACCGGAACGAAAAACAAAAAGAGCACCATCACCACCACCACCATCAGAGCCATCATCACCACAAGGATCCCTTGGGTCTGGTCGAGGCTGCAACTTCAGCCTCGTCTAGAATTACTCCGGCTCCTGTGGAGGAACAGCGAAAAGAAAGGCATGCGAACTACAAGCACAAAAGCTCCTTCGGGAAGGAGAAGACAAATCTTCGTCATCTCTTCGAGAGCGAGACGAGTACCAACCGGCTGAAGACGCACCACGGTACTTCTAATAAGAACGTCAGCTTGAAAATGATGAAAACGAAGAGTCCGGCAGGACGACAGTCACACGACCGAAATAGTTTTCAGTACTTGCAACTCTTCTCCGACAAAAGACCTTCCCCGGCAGGCGGCGTGGGGGCATCTCGTGGGGGCCAAAACGATGCAAATTTTGCCATCGGCAAACTTCGGCAGCCATCGTCCTCGATAATATCCGCGTGGTATCGGCACGCGCACGGGAAAGGGGATGGAGCGGATGGTGAAGCGGGCCCGGAAAAATCGCGAGAGCAACTACAGCAGCTAGAGTTGCAAACTGCACCCCCTTCCTCACAACAACATGGGCCGCGGCTCACATCTTCAACTACAGAATTGCTGGAGCGGGGGACGACGAGTGCAGCTCAGGCAGCGAAACTTCATAGGGAGCGAAAGATGATGCAGACGGAGAAAAACGACAATGTGCAGCTGCAGAAGAACGAGCAAACTCATCTGCAAATACCGGCAACCACCGCCGGAAAAGAAGCCGAGCACGTGGCTCAGGCCGCGGGGGTGGTAGCTGCGGCGCAACACAAAACTGCACAAACAGCCGAAACCGACGAGGCCACAGCCGGTGGATCATCCGGAAGTACTAGTAGTGTCGTTAACCAAAGATCTCCCGAGGGGGCCGCGATCTCTGCCGCGACGTCTAGTGCGTATGCGTCTTCCGGTGCAGGATCGACTGCTGGAGGGAAAACGGAGAAACAGGACCCCTCCGTTTTCGATGACTCAGAAGTTGCTGCAGCGATCAAAGAAGCGCAAGTCGGAGGTCAAGCGACTACTACAGCAGGGCCTGTTTCTGCGGACGGAGTTGCCAGAGCGAAGAACAAGGAGGAGGACTTGCGGGGAAAGCATGAGAGGCAAACCTGGGGTAATAAAACGTTCAGCATATAATTGCATGTTTGAGATTGTCGTGATGTTGCGAGAAGTCCTGCGAGCCTGAGATGTGCTGCAGTTGATTTTTTGGGAAAAATGCACGTGCTACTAGTAGTACGCTCCTTCTTCTAGAGTTGTCTAAATGAGCAATCACACAAAAAAACACACCTCAGCGTCCGAGTGGGTCCCTCTCATCGCCGGTATCGCGGTGCTCGTCGAGATTGTCGCGCTGCTCTGCTTATGAACTGCAAAAGTATCGGACTCGTATAAATGCATTGCGAATTTTCTTAGCATGAGAAATAGAATTTGTAATGCTGATTTGCCTTGACAAAGGAATTTGTAATGCAAGACCTGCATTTATACGAGTGCGATACTTTTGCGCAGGATACTGCTGCGAAACGAATTTAGACACCTACGACCGCTCCCACTACTACCACAACTACTACTCCGACACTGATCGGTCTTCGCAAATCTCCACGCACTTAGCCGCGTCCTCCGCGAGAGGACGGTCTTCTTGCGCCAGCGGAACCGGGACCTCGCAGGATGAGGGGCCGGCGACGAGTATTTCCGCAACCCGGCAAGAGTGGACCACCAGGGTGCTGCTGCAGCATCAACTACAGGGAGGAACTACGCGGGAGAGCAATTTTCACAATCTGTACGAAGAGACCCGGAAAGCGAGCAGTAAATCGAAGTGAGGACGAGGAGTAGGAGAGCAGAGGGAAAATAAGCCTGGCAAGTGAAGGAGAAAAGGCGCAAATATGTAGAATATAATTACAGAAGTCCTCTCACAGGTCGTGAGCCGTTGCAGCCGACCAAAAGATGTCACCAACTCACCGTCGGGTGTGAAGTAAGAGAACATAGAATATGTTGTTGTCCACTCATTTAGAGGAGGGAACCTCATGAGAATAGAGAGCAAAGGAGACTTCTTCTACGCGGAGGTTTTTGTACAATCACAAAAGCGTATTTATCAACAGAGACAAGGACAACATCAGAAAGAAGAGTACCGCAAATAATTTGTCGCTTCTACTGGCCCCACAGTAGCTATGTACGGCTGCGAGTCTTTACGAGTGTTGTGTTCTACGGCCAAAAAAAATTGAGCGAAGTGACGAGGAGTTTATTTGACGCAGCGATGCGTTCTCTGTAGGACATCACGAGGGCGCTTCTCAGCGTTTGTAACGCGCCGGAATGTAAGCCTCGGAAGGATGAAAAACGAAAGGTAGACGTACCAGGACCAGGACGAGGCCTGAAATTCAAAGAAACAGAAACTGAGGAAAATAAAACCTGAATGCCTGAACCCCAGTGGGCGCAAATAGATTGAACTCCCTGTTTTTATCAACAAGACCTAGACGACCTTGATCTGAGTTTGTACACCTTGAGGACAATCGGCGACGTCGGTGTCGTGTTACTACATCAAGAAATGTCAGTTGATCTCTCCGCATCTGCGGGACCACCGCCCGCTTCGATGAGCGCTTCCTATGAACTGCAAAAGTATCGTACTCGTATAAATGCATTGCAAATTTTCTCAGCATGAGGATTAAAATTTCTAATGCGGATTCACCGTAGGAAAAAAATTTGTCATGCATATTTGCAATTAAGTACTACGAGCGCAATACTTTTACACAGGATACTTCCGCTCCTCCACCAATGTCAGCAGCGGGGACCGCCGCGGCAGCGAGGGCGGGATCCGCGTCTTTGGTCGAATCAGCGGTGGGGACTGCAAAGACCGTCCTGGATCGCTCAGTCACGGAAGTGAGAAATTTCGTGGAGCAGAATCCGAGCCAGATTCGAGCGACGGTATTGCATAGGTGGGTGAGGAAAACCTTGTGTTTTTCGCGATAAGTTACAAAATCATTAGCTTCGGCGGGCGGAGATAGAGACACAGACGCTAAGCAGAAGCAAAAAAACTGACCAACCAATATATAAAACAGGTTTTCCTGATGGGCCTGGCCCAGGCGGTATATTGCGGCCTTGGCATCGTGAACATTTTCGCGCTCTCTTTTACCCCTGTGGAATACATGGTAAACCTGTATCTTTGCCTCTTCGCTGTCGTCACACTGATTCTGGAGGGGAAGCCGGAGTGGCCGGGCGTTTCCGGGGTGCAAGAGAAAATTTTCTTCCAAGCGCACTTTTTGTCCACGGTGCACGGCAGGGCGGGCTTCTACATGTTCCAAGGCACGTTTGGGATGGCCAGGTGAGAGATTTAGATTGAAGAAGCTTCTAGTGCCGGAAAGAGATGTGAGTACTTTTTAGGTTTGCTGTTTATTCATGTCGTTCTGCTCGGCCGGGGTTCTACTCCTCGGGTTGTAAATTTAGAAGATCTGATTTTCATCCAAAAATTCCAGATACGACTCCGATTTCCTGATGTTCGTCTTCGGTTTAGGCTTCTTCGCAATCGGCGCCCTAGTGCTCGCGCAGCAATACAGAAACCGGGGGCAGACCGCAAATCTCCCAAGCGAAAACTTGCTGAGGGATTACCACGGGCAGGGCGGAAACCTGCCGCCTCCGACGGTGAACGCTGTGTGAAGTAGGAGCGGACACGGTTTCTGAACTGGTGGCAGCCCGTGGACTACGCCGCGACGAGATCGATTCTAAAATTGGATCCGGATGATCAAACGCCTGAAATGCCTCTTAAGCGGCTCTATGCCTGAATACTTTGATACTCTTCAGCATTTTCCAGTCTCACCTGCGAGCTTCTCGAGCCAGCCTGTTGTACACTATGATGTTATGAGGATGAGGAATGAATACCCGGAAAATCTAAATTTTGCGGAATAGCAAAATGAACGCGTAGGTCGTGGGAGAGTGACTTGTCTGGAATGAGCGCATAGCTTGCTTTTTGAAGAAGTGCACACGTAAAGATATTAGAACTCGAGGGCAGGAGCGCCGAATTTCGTTTAGTCTGCGTTTTCTGTCCATTGAGGAGATCAACGCGGCTTTTTAAACGTCAATTGTCGCCAGCGAACTGCAACTGGTGAAGTTCCCGATATTCGTATTCCAATTTAAAGATCATCACCTCTATGCTCCTTGTGAGGGCACAGTTCGATCGTAATTGCGCATATCCGCTGATCCAAGTTGAGCTCGTGGCAGCTCGCTTTGAAAATTTAAATTTCGGTTCCGATCAAGATCGCAAGTCCTAACATGACCTGTTTAGTTCCGTAAGATTACCTGATCTAAAGAGTGGCTTTCCAAGAAGTCCAAAGGATCAACAACGTGTGACGCTAGCCATGAGGAAGATCATTTCAGGCAAAAATAACGATCCGGTTCTAAAATAAATTTTCGATGTAAAAACGGAAATCTAAATTTAGATCCTCGCGAACCACGACACGAGGAGGTTCGCATACTAGACTGGAAATAAGGTAAATGATCATCACCAAGTACATCACGTTATGACACTTCCCAATCGAAGACTCGTCTCCACTTCGAAACTCCTATAACCATCCTATCTCCACACAGGGACCCGAGGCTCAGAGTAGTGCTTCGCTATATCACATTGTGATCCTTCTTCAACCACAACACCCAAAACCTTTCCAAAATGGTTAAGTACTCTCGCACCCCGGAGGACAAGGCCAAGTCCGTGAAGGCCATGGGCGTCGACCTGCGCACCTCTTTCAAGAACACCTACAACGTCTGCCAGGCCATCAAGGGCTTCAAGCTCGAGGATGCCAAGAAATACTTGCAGGTAATGAAGATGCGAAATTTAAATTTAGATGGGGGAACATAAACATTTGGTTTGTTTTGTGTCAACATCTCATGCAACATCATTTTGGTTTTTCGAGAATGATGTCATACGTAATGCGATTCAAAATATTCGAAAAAACACCAAAACCCCAGGCTGTGATCGAGAAGAAGCGCATTATTCCGTTCCGCCGCTTCAAGTCCGGTGTGAGCCGTGACGGACAGTGCAACGAATTCAAGACCACCCAGGGTCGCTGGCCGGAAAAGTCCTGCAAGGTCGTCTTGGGCTTGCTCCGCAACGCCGAATCCAACGCCGAATTCAAGGAACTGTCCCCGGAGGAACTGGTAAGGAGTTAATTTTTTCTTGTGAGTGCAATTTTCATTTTCCGAGTCATGTTTATTGCTATAACAGTACAGCCTGTGCGATTTTTCGGTCATTCCTTGGTTGTACGTTTCGCTCCGTTTTGCATTGTTTCCATTGTGTGAGTGGACCACAGATTTAGATTTTGATTTTCGTTTGAGAGACTACTTACTACCTATCGCAGCCTATCCAAGTTCAAGGGATAAGTGTCGCAATGTTCGAGAGATGAAGTCCTCGCAAATTATCCACGATTCTTCGCGAAAAATAAAAAACAACAGGTCGTTTCCCACATCGCCGTCCAGCGCGCTCGTCAGGGCCGCCGCCGCACCTACCGTGCCCACGGTCGTATCAACGCGTACATGAGCTCTCCGTGCCACGTCGAGCTCATCCTCGCCGAGGAGTCCGAGCAGGTGTCCAAGCCGGCTGGCGAGAAGGTCAAGAAGTTCACCAAGAAACAGCTCGCCAAGAAGCGCGTCTTGGAAAGCAACTAAGGTTTTTTCTGAACAATTTCATCGGAGAGAACTCATGCTACAAACTCGGTACTTGTGTTGAAGAAGATGTGTTACAGTTGTGAAAAAAGCCCGAAGGATGTTAGTTGACCTGAGCTTTTTGCTTTGTTGATCAACATGATCGGGTTTTTTAGGACTGCAGAGACTACAGCAAATGAGAGGCTCACAGGACCACTATCGCGGCTAAGTAATAATCTAGGGGTTTGCGACGTCAAACAGTCATACTGTCGTAGAGAAGATGCTAACCTCTAGAACGACGCTGCGACTTGAAGCAAGACGAAGTGAGTTGGAACGAAACTACTCTGTCCCATGAAAAACAACCCGACGCTCGACTTGAGCGGCACGCCTCACATGATTTTAGCTGAGCGTGTTGTAATTTCGCCATTGTGTGTTCGTGTTCGCTGCAGATCTTCATCCGGGTGCAGTAGTCTTCGTCGATAGTGTTTGCATGTTCTATCGCATTTGTGGCCCATTTGCACATTCCAATTCGTCTGTCCGACGTTCGCGTCTCAGCACTGTGATAGAGTTAATCTTAATCGCAGGCGCTGTGAGAATAACTTTTGAAGAGAGAAAGAGAGAGAGTCGCTGCAATGGAAATATCCTCGAGAGAGGCCCTCGACTTGAGGCGTTCATAGGCATCTCCAACTTCGATAAAGTAATCTTCTTAGCACCGTCACGATTTTTTCCTTTTTCTATCCCGTGTCAAAAAGGTTTTGTATACACAAGAGTTCTTGTAAAGGTCGACATTTAAAAAGCCTGACAGGAAGATCATGCCGCCTGTCGCTGTCCATGGAGCACTCCTCGAATCATATTCGAGCGGGAAGATTCCTGTCATCGCATTAACACTAAATTCGCCGACAACATCGTCCTCCTCTCTTGCGATGCACTGGTCGGGCCACACGACTTTGGCAGACCATCCTTCCGGACGTCTTGATCCTGCCCAACATCATCGTGTGGCAGCTTCTCACATAAGTACCTCGTCTACAGTGACTTCCTTCGCCGAAGGTCCAGCCTGTATCAAGAACGGTGCAAAATGTAACAACGACAAAGACATTCTCTTCGAGGTGAAACAAGATTTGAAAAATGAACGGCTACAGGCCGCGGAATCCACGAACAAGTTCCACGACGCGGCGGTCCGGACCGGGAAAAACGTAAAGAGGCTCTACGCGAAATTTCTCGGGGCGGTCAAAGAGTACGACGAAGCGCGCGCGGATTTAGATGATTCGGCGTTGAAAAAGGCACGGACTGAGATGGATTTCACGTACAATCTCGCGACGGACATGCACGCGCAGACGTGCAAGAAACTGCAAGATCCAGAGCTCCCGTGTAGCAAGCAGTTCGCGTTCATGACGCAGCAAAAATGGGCGCGGATGCCGGTGCCAACCTGCGTCACGGGGGTCACCACGCCGTATGACGATCAAACCATTCAGAACGACGTGAACGCACTACGAGAAGCGGAGAGATCTTGTGTTATCCTGTAGTGCTGACACGGAGCGACGCATAAGGTCGAACTCGAAGACAAAATGAACAAGCACAAAAATAAAGCTGTGCGCACCTGTCAGCTTCTGCGAGTTTCAATGAATGACGGATGTTTTCAAACCTACCTAGCCATGTTGCGTTTCCGTGAATGAAGTTGATTGAGTTTGCCGTGTGTCGAGAAAAACTTGAAGGCAAGTCCGACAGAAGATGTTCCACGCAGGTGACGTTGTGGAACCACATGAGAACTGGGTGCGGCACCAGCCCATGACAACTGGGTGACGCTACCTGAGAACTGTATGATACCGCATGAGATGAAGCGTACGAAAAACAAAGTCAGAAATCAAGATTGCAAGACAAGCAAAAGTGTACCTTCAAGCGAGGCCAGATCTGCATCAGAGAACGCGTGCGTGCAGGTTGTGGCGTATGATGCCATGGTGGGTAATCTTTTTCGCGATGGTATGAAGAGAGAGAAAGAGTGAAGAGCAAAGACGCAGGCTGGATAAGATTACGCACGATGGCATTATGCTTGTCATCACAATGCAGCATTTTTCGTTTCTGGAGCGAAGCTACTATACCGTCGTGGGTAATCTTACTCTGCGTGGTACTATCGTAGTTGATGCTGTGCACATTGTGAAACAAAAAAATGGTCCGCTTTCTGTTTCTTGTCGCGATGCCTGAGGAGGGCAAACACCTCGAGAAGGTGTTTGACTTGACAAAGGACGACGATACTGCGGCTGGCAATCCCTTCATCGATCTGTACTCCAACACGAAGTTTTGTTGTAGCGGGAGTAAAAACGACGAGGAGGATAAGAAAACCACAAAACGACAAATTTTCATGGTTGTTCCGAAGCGGGACAAGGTCCACAACTGCCCCTCGATCTCCTCTGAGTCCGCCGCCGTCTGCGCGTTCTCAGCACTGAACCTCCTGGTTCCCATTTTCGGCGCGTTTGACTTGGTGGTGTCTGCGGGGACTTGTGGCGGGATACAGCAGCCGTTGGACGTTTTCTTGGACGAGGAACAAGGTACAAGCACAACAACAGCGACGACGACGACAACAACGGCGATGCAGCAGGGGGACGTGTTTGTCGCGAAACAGATCCGGTATTTGAACCGCTTTATTCCCTTTGACGAATACAAGCAGTATCTGCATGGCAGCGGGTACAAATTGGTGGATCCGAAAAGGGTCAAAACCGCTATCCTCGCTGATAAGAGGAACAAAGACACACTTCGTGTTTTCGAGGGGAACGTCGCGACATCCAACACGTTTGTCACGGACGATTCCATTCCGCTGCAAGAAAAAGCTCACGTCTGCGAAATGGAAGCGGCGGCACAGGCGAGGATCTGCTGTTTGATGAACGACGTTCCGTTCACCGCGGTGAAAATCGTTTCTGACGTGGATTTGAGCAGTGCAAAGCAGAAGCAGTATCGCACCCGCACAAGTTGGAGTCACGCTTGTTGACAGATCTGCTTTTTTTATTTGCATCGGCATGACAAAAAAATTTTTAATTGTGATGCAGTAATTCCTACTGGTGCGGTGCTTTAGCTTTTGCAATGCATAAGAGTCCGTCGAAGGGATGACGAAGGAGGAACGGGTATCCTCAGTGAAAACGTCCTCGCCCCAGAGTTCTCGAGAAGCACTCTCTGGTGCAGTTTCGGGATTTGTCATGATGCTCGAATCAGGATCAGGTGGTCGATTTGTGATGCGGTTGCACTAGCTACACAGGACTACACTTCTACGAGCCCGAACTTGTCATGCGCGGCACCCAAAACTTGTGGACCTGTGTAGCAGATTCTGGTTGGTTCTGCTTCGACGTGACTCGGGGGTGGGGAAATTTTCGCTTAGGATAATGGGGGCATGCGTTTTTGGCTTTTTTGGACCACGGAGTGGAAAATCTGGGGAACGCGTGCAGGGGGCTCGTGGAAAACTGGAATGGTATTGTGGAGTGAGGCACTGGTACGTGCGCCGCGCAGGACAGACGACAAAAAGACATCTCCATGCATGATAAGAAGGACGGAATTGATAATATGTATGATTGCGCCGTCGGACGTCCTCTGTAATGTACTTGATTTTTGTTTTTCAGTTTGCTCCCACTTTCAAATTTATAATATCCTGTGAAAGTTTGAGTTTCTTTGCTTTCACACACGAGGAGATCTTCGATGGCGAATGTAGTGCACAGTGATGGTGGTTACAGGGCACCGCCGAAATAAAAATATTAGTGCCTGAGTGGCGGTTAGTGCCTGCAGAGGGAGCCGGGCGTTACGACCACATCGTGCCAGGAAAAAGAAGAACTTCCGGATCTTTATCTTCCCCCGCAAGTTACATCTATCTAGAAGATCCCTTGTTGTTGACTCCAAATTGATGGGTCTTGCAACATCTGAACGAAAAGGTTTTTTTCCAAATTGCATCTAGTAAAGCTGCAGCAGCAATCAGCACAAAGAATCGGCTTGACTACCGTTGGTCGACTCGTGGAAATGACAAATCTAGAGAACACGAAGAAGATCAAGGCAGGATCAACGACGCGCTGGTAAGAATGGATCCATGGTTAGTGGGCGATCAAATTCGTCGTTGGAGTATTTAACATTGATTATATTACCGCATTTTCTCTTGCAATGTGAGGAGCATCTGTCTACAGTCTACAGCCTCAACTAGCCCGCATTACTCTATTTGTTGAACATTTTTTTCGAGGATTGTAAACAGTACTACGCACGCTACATCCAAGTAAAAACAACACTGTAACTGCAAACAACTTTTCTGCAACTTTTCTGCAATCTCTCCTCGATCTTGACCATGACGTCCCTACTTAAGGTTTTCGCCGTTCTCTCCTCTCTGCACTTTGTTGTGCAGCACTTCTGCGACGTGATGACTTCTTCTGGTGTGCTCATGCACGTGCAGGGACTGCAGCTGTCCGGGACGGGGAAAAAAGGAAAGCGGTCCGCTTCTGCCGGCCCGACCGTCGGACGTCGACTACCCCCGCTGCTGGTGGGAAACGGAAATGCAGGACGGCAAAATCAGCTCGCAGCTGCACCTGCTCGCTCTACTTCACCTACTGCTAACCCTGCTGCTGTTGCTAGGAGTGCTATCTCCGATTCCGCTGGTGCCGCTTCGTCTGGTGCCGCTTCGTCTGGTGCTAGTACAGGTGAACGTGAAGGTGAAGCCCCAGAAACATGTATTATTTGTCTGCAACCGGAGAGGGGCGACGAAGACGGACAGTTAAAACCGATGTGCACATCTCCATCTGGGGCGCCGCACCTTGTGCATAAGAAGTGTGGAAAAGAGTGGGGCGCTAGAGCAAGTACTTGTCCCATGTGCCGCGGGCCGTTGCAGGAGGAAATGCGGGATCCTCGTCGTCCACCATCCGCAATCCCAATCGATTCTACTACTACTACTAGTCCACGGCCGCGGGAAGACGAACGGACGATGATGGGGATGGAAGATCGAGATTTGCATAGGTTTTTTCTTCGTATTGAAAGTCAAAATTAGATTCGTGAAAGTCGCCTTTAGAGATGACATTTACAACGCTTTCGCTGTCGTACTCGATCTTCTCGCCGCTCATTTTGAAATCTTCACCTGCTTGTCAATTGCAGGATTGTATGATTATTGTCTGAGCTATTTCTCCAAGAGGACCACGAGCACGACCACGCTGGGACAGGAGGAAGTTTTGATTACCCAAACGCAGAGTCAAATTTATTTTTTAGCCCTATCATCCAAGGCCATGCATTGGGATATCTCGTGTACCTGTACAATGAAGTCGTGTATTTTTTTTCTCAAACGGACGGCCATGCAGGTGCTTATCGCCATGTAAAAGCTACTTCTTATCGCCATGTAAAAATCCCGTCAGGGTCAGCGCTACAACACTAGTAAAAAGTCATGAAACTATCAGGACTGATTTTTGGTCACAGGCAAAATATTCGACCAGTAGGCTCCTGCGCCGTCTTTTCCTCATGAAAGCGGTGGGAGATGCGGGTGAGGTTAGTATTGATGGGTCGAGTAGGTAGTGAAGACAAAAAACGGCTTTTGTGAAGATTGCGCCCTTCCCGGGGATGAAGCAAGTGAGCTGCTTGCGCTATGATGGGAGTCAATTAAACACAACATATCGCGTCATGTATTATTTGATTGTGGATGTGCGATCCTCATCCTTTTGTCGTATGAAAAACAAAAAGTATTGGTATTCATGTGCCGTTCTTGCACCGTGACCTAGATCAAGTTCGAAATCCAGATCCTCTACTAGCATAAAGAAAATGCAACCGCTAGAGAAAGCCAGTAGCCCCAGAAGATTTTTCGATCCAGATACGATGCAAGGTTGGGTCTTGCAACATGTGAACAAAAACGCTTTTTTCCAGCAAATTCTTTGCATCTAGTAAAGCATGAACATCCGTCTACAAACAGTCACAGTCTACATCTACAACTTCAACTCGCCCGCATAATTGCTCTATTTGAACACTTTTTTCGAGGATCGTAAACAGTACTACGCATACTACATCCAAAAACGACACTGTAACTGCAAGCAACTTTTCTACAACAATTTTACTGGTCCAGTTATCTTTGTTCCTCGATCTTGACCATGACGTCCCTCTCCCTACGTAAGGTTTTCGCCGTTCTGTCCTCTCTGCACTTTGTTGCGCAGCACTTCTGCATGATGACTTCTACTGGTGTGCTCACGCACGTGCACGGGCTGCAGCTGGCCGGCAAAAAGCATCGGTCCCGTTCCGCCGGCCCTACCGTCGGAGCGCGTGAACTACCGCTGCTGGCGGGAACAAACGGAAATGCAGGAACGACCGCTGCTGCTGCTGCTGCAAGTAGTGCAGCTTCTAGCTCCGCTGCGGTTCCACCTGCCACCGCGACTCGTCGCCTTGCTCGAGAGGTTTCTATTGCTACTGCCCAGGCTGCTACCGGTTCTCCCCGTGGTCCTGCTGCTTCTACTGGTCCAGCGCCTCGTCCTGCTGAACGTCATGTTGATCTCGGTGCAGCTGATGCTGCTCGTCCAGCTGATGCTCCACCTCGTCCGCGAGTTCCTGTCCCCGGCCCGCCTCGTCCCCACCGCCTGCCCGTCGTAGGCCTAATGGCCCATTGTGTAGGCGGCTGCTGCTGTTTCGACACAACGGCACTAGTGGGTGCAAACAGGGACACCATCGACCGGCGCTTTTTGGCGGCCGAGGAGGCAGGAAAGGACTGTCGTGTTGGAGCGGCCTGCTGTGTTGGTTTTGGCTATGCATTGCAAATAGTATGTCTGGGTCGGGAAGACGGGTGCGGTGCAACACTGTGACGCAGCACACGACAGAAAACTGTCTTGCATGATCACCAAAAGCAGCCGTCCACTTTTGGACAAGTTGAGAAGAAGTCTGTCACGCAGGATAGCGATTTAATATGTAGGCATGATGGTGATCACGAACATCATAGAATTAAAAACCCCACAGAATTCCGATTCATGCTAGGTCCTGCACGCCAGACCATATGGGGCGGGGGCCGGGGGGGCAGTGAAAACCTGCATGACAAACCTAGCAATCTTCCAGACCCAAACATGTTTGCTCCTGATATAGGCGCTTCGGTGGCCGCCGGTGCCGGCATTGGGTACCTTTGTGCTCCTAGTGCGACTGGCTGTGTGACAGGGGGAGGAATGGCAGCAATACTTCCTGGAGGTGTTTTCGGAGGTACGGGGGCGGCGTTGCTCCAAAGCGGGTGCAGCGAGTGGGGTACGGCGAATTCGCGGTTCGAGGAACCAACTCCACAGCAAGTTATCAAATGCACAAATGTCCGGGTCTGGAAGGTTGGAACTTGTGATGCTAACTTTGGACTCTAAAAAAATCTGTATTGCATGACCAGCAAGAGGAGGCTTGTTTGTGCTACGCGGGGCGGGCGTTTGTCATGCGGAGTAGGCATCAGGATTCAGGAAGCCCTCTAAAAATCTGCGATGCTAGGTCGTGCATTACAGACATCCTGGGTCATGCAAAACATGCATGACAAACAAGACCCACGCGTGGGGACAGGGTCCCCACGCTGGGGCCTTGTGCCCGCCCCTAGTGGCGCTAGTGGGGGAAGGGTGTTCGCCATCGGGGCGGACAGCGTCCGCCCCTCGCCTCACACCAGGCGCGCGCATAGTGACTTAGTGCGCGAAACGCTAGTGGGGGAGGGGTGTTCGCCATCGGGGCGGACAGCGTCCGCCCCTCGCCTCACACCAGGCGCGCGCATAGTGACTTAGTGCGCGAAACGCTAGTGGGGGAAGGGCCCTCACCTGTCGCGGCCACCTGTCGCGCCCACCTGTGATGGCCACCTGTCGCGGTCACCTGTCGCGGTCACCTGTCGCGGTCACCTGTCGCGGTCACCTGTCGAGGTCACCTGTCGAGGTCACCTGTCGAGGTCACCTGTCGCGGTCACCTGTCAAGGTCACCTGTCGCCGGGGGTATGCGTTACCAGAACCCGGAAGTCAAGCAATGTAAATATTAATCTCAGAATCTTCCAGACCCAGACATATTTGCATTTGATACAAGTACTTATGGCGCTAGGTGGGCACGAAGGGCTCTTCCCGGATTATTGATTAGACGAAGATGAAGATCATTGAAGGGTGAGGCCGAAGGATAATTACACGTAGCCGTGCTTCCACCGCGTGTGAAAATCTACTGTATGATCTATAGGTCTTATTTATGTCGATGTCCATGTCGGGTACTGTACAATGTGTCACACAAGTTGTAGAAGACTTTTCTGCCTGAGTTGATGCTTCAGCTCACCTTTGTCTTTCCAATTCCTTTGCCTGGAACCGAGTGGACGAGGCGGATTTTTCGTTTTCTGTATTTAGAATCGAAGTTACATGGTGAAGATCGCCGCTTTTCTACTGAAGTACTTATCATCTTTCGAGATGATGATGATGATGATGTCACGCTTTCGCTGTTGTTGTCGATCTTGCTGCTGGTTTTCAAATCTTTACCTGTTCGATTCATCTTGCAGGATTGTATGATTTTTTTCTGGGTTTGTCGTGCAAGAGGACACCTGAGCAACAGGAAAGTTTGATTACCAGGAAGCAAAATCAAATTTATGTTTTAGCATTAACATCTAAGCCAATGCGTTGTGCTTTCTGTTGGACCTTATTCCCTGAGTCTGAAACGGACAGCCGTATAGAAGTACACATGCAAAAGTTGGAAAAGGAGAAGGACTAAACGGCGCACGATCAGTCATGCGCCGTCGAGTAGCCTGGATTGTATGATTGGGATGGGCGGGAGGATGTCTTGTCTGATCTGTGCAAAGCAACTAAGGGCTAAGACGTAAAGAACGCTTCTTCAAAAGGGCGGCAGTGCCAGTACTAGCGCTAGGGCTAGATGCAGGAGCAATCGCAAAGCCTCCAAGCTGTGCATGCAAGAAACAGCAGGAAGATGATAGTCCTCGTGTGTTCATCAAGTTCAATCCTTTATCGGCATGAAGCATTTAAATTTATTTTAGCATGCGCATTTGCATAACAACTATTTTTTTCGATTTGATCTTGTCCTACTTGTTCCAGCATATTTCATGCTCCTACTTACTGCCAATGTTGTTGTCCCTCTTCCACTTCATTTTCTTGACTATTGGCCGGATCGGTTGGAGGTCTCCGCCTTCGCGCCGGACATAATCGCGGACGCGCTGCACGACCTTCTTGTCTGCAACGTCATACACGATAACGTCGAGGGAATGGCGATCGAAGCCCAAAAACTTCCCGGGCCTCCGGCGCGGGTCCAACTTCTGCAACTTGTGCACGGGGACGTTGTAAAATATGTCGGCCCCGAACTTCATCAAGCGGGTGGTGTCGAAGTCCTCGCCGTGCGCCTCCTTCCATGCGTTGGAGTACTGGAGGCACTTCCGCGGCATGATGCCAAGGCAGAACGTGTAGTGTGTGATCGCGTAGCACCACAGTTCGCGCGGTAGACCCGATTCGGCCAGCAACGTCCTGGCCCCTGCTAGGGTCAGCTTGTTGGTGACTTCTGCCCCGCCATTCATCGCAGATTCAAAATACGAAGTATGAATCTGGATGATGTTATGCGCCCTGCATTCTGCGCGGAATTTTTCAGAAACATATTCCCCGCCATTGTCGGTCTTCAATTTCTTCGGCGCCCTGTTGCGCGCGATCCAGCTACGAAGCCCTTGTACTGCGTCGGACTTCTTTTTTAGTGGTGTGGAGTCCGGAAGCCGCGTTTTCTTGTCCACCATCACCATGTTGTAGCGGTGGCCATGGATCGACGGCGGCAAAATGGGCCCACACAAGTCCGAGCTGACCTCATCGTTGAAAGACAGCTGCTCATGTGGATCATCGCGCTGCCCGCATCGGTGCGGCGACTTCGCTGCCCGGCTGGTTGCGCAATGTTCGCAGAAGCCTCGGTATGGCAGGATGTGGCTGCTCCGGCAGTGGTCTTCATAGCTATAATTCAGTAAGGTTTTTTCTTCCTTTTCTACTACTTTTCGGAACAATAAGTAAAATAGGCCATTGGCGAAGCGCCTAATTACTATGTGTTTCTTGCGCTGCCCCGGTAGAAATAGTTTCGTGTAATCTGAAGAAACCCGAAAGCCTTTATCAATCAATCGCCCGAATGACAAAATATTCATTGGTAGCGATTCATTGTAAATCGCCCGGCTGATTGATATCTGTAAATTGTTCGAATGCATTTTCTTTGGCCGACACAGTGGCGCTGACACCGGATCGCCAAAAATGCCTCGAACTGAAACGGACTGATTTGTAAAGATTTGGTCTAGCAAATTCGGGTCCTGCAACATGTGCGACGTTGCTCCCCCGTCTAGAATCCAAATAGAAAACAACAGTCGCTCGAGCTCTTCGACCTTTTCTACCATACTGAAAATATTCTCTATAGAGCTGAAGACCTGCTCTGCAGATGGTGCTTCCATCAGCAGGCTTCGCTTGTAACTTTCGTTCATTTTGTTTTGAAGTTAGATAGAAAACGAAAACACTATATTGCCAAAATGGCTACTTCAAGTCCATGCATTTGTATTTCTACCTAAAACGTCACTAATTTTTAAATTTAAAATTCGGATGTAGTTATGAAAGTAGTGAAAAAACGCAAATTGGCCAGCGTTCCCTCCTACTTTCGTGTCTGTATTTTTTTGCGGTTTTTACGTGCGTGGGAGTGATTATTTTTCCCCGACGAGAAAAATATGTCTTTCACTTTTAATATGACATGGCGTGCTGTTTTACTCTTATGTATGTACTTGGCAGTGGTTCAACTTCCACTTCAAATTTTTGTGTACAAGAATAAAAACTGAACTGGCACTACAAAAAATAAATATTGTACAGAAGGGAGTGCAAAATCGAAAATTAATTTTTTTAAAAAATATTAATATACATAGTCTGATTTGATTTGATTTTGTAAAACCACTGCCGGGTTTACATCTCCACCTGCTCGGTGGATGTCGCTCTGGATTGGGATCGCGACTGCTGGCGGAACGGCGATTTGTTTCCACCGTTGCCCTTGGACTGGGAGTTTCCGCGGCTAGTGCTGCGGTTTCCGCGGAACGCCTGTCTGCCGCGGTTCCAATCCCAGGCGCCGTCTTTGTTCCAATGCCAGTCGCGCCCGCTGTTGTTGTTCCGGCCGAACTGACTGTTGTTATTGTACCGCCCGAACTGCTTCTGGTTGTTGTTCTGCTGTTGCCGTCCGCGCGGCGAGAAGCCCAGAAACACGCTGCTGGAAGAATTAGAGGCGTTTTTCCCGGTAACGTCTGCGATCCTGTCCGCCAGAATGATTTTCACTGCGCCCTGTACCTTTTTCAGGGTGAAGTCGCCGGCAATTTTCACCAGGATCGCCGTCAGCTGGTGGGGCTCGAGGTCCTGGAGCAAGGCCTTCAACAAGTTCAGGCCGTCCCGCTCGGCAATCGGGATGTTCTGGATTTTCTTGCGCAGCTTCTCGTATGTGACCAGGTCACTCAGGAGGTGATCCGGGCGCACGTTGAAGTGGGTGTACTTCAGCCAGTTCGAGAACTTTTCGCTGTTCTTTCCCGGGTAGACCGCTTCCTTCAAAGCAGCCAAGAACTCGTCGACGCTGGAGATCGGGATGTCACGGATTTCCGCAAGCAGATCCGCTACCTCGATGTTCTGCTTGAGCTGGTATAAAATCGTCTTGGCCGGCAGCTCGTGTGCGATTTCCGCGTACTCCTTGACGTCGATTTCGTACGAGTCGATGTCTACCGCGTGGCAGCGGATATCGAACGGTGAATTCCCGATGTCCTTGTCGTCCTTCAAGACCGGGACCTTGAGCTTGCTCGGGTCCAGTTGCTTCGCCGGGTAAAATCCGGTCAGACGATTCGCCGATGCTCCGGGGGTGTAGATGCTGTACCGCTCCGGGACGTTGACGTTGTTATCGGGTTCAGACGCGGAATCGTCGGTGTCCTGCTGATTCGTTTTCGCAGGTTTTAATTTCCAGTGGTCCAGGTTGGCGCCGGCGCTGTTCTCGAGCAGGTCAAAAGCCTGCTGCTTCAGCTCCTTCAAATTCTCCTTGCTCAGCTCGCTCGGGTCTACGCTTCCCTCGGTAGCCCGGATGTTGTTCGCCACCCTGGCGACAAGTTTCAGAAAGAAATATTCTTCGTTGACCTTCAAGAACTGGCTCTTGTTCTGGTCGTTCACCGCACTGGTGCCGGCCTTGCGGGTGAAAATTTGCCACACCTGGTCCTTTGATCCGGCCAGGTAGATGTATTTCGCCGCGTTAATTGTGGCGAGGCCACCAATCTTGTTTTGCGGTGCGCGAGAATTTTCAGGCGGCGCCATCTTTAGTTTTGATGCATATATCAACTTGCTCTATTGGGGGGGGGATATCGCAAGGTGTACTCGTGTTCCGTGTTCTTGGGGTGCATGCAAGAAGTGGCTTACTGTATACGGAGGCTCATAACTCTGTTGATCGGTAGATCTTGCCACTTGAACACTTGTGTCTTGCCTTTACCCGCGGGTGACAAAAAACTTCTTCCTGATTGTTTTGCTCAATCTTGAGCCAACGGCTCACAACAAAATTATACAGGTTGCATCGTGTCTCACATGTTCCAGGGTCTATCTAGATGTGAATCAACGTAATGAAACCTAGTGGCCGATTGGCAAAAAAAACGGGTAGGCAAAAGTAAAAAAACATTCCCCAAAAAAACGACTTCTTCATGCGACTCGGCGATATCAGTACGATGTACACGATTCAGAAAAAAGCTCAACCGAGTAGTCACGACCAAGAAGAAAACTAGATCTTGACCGATGAAGATAGGTGTGAACATTCTGTGAACAACACTACTTACTGCCAATGTTGTTGTCCCTCTTCCACTTCATTTTCTTGACAAAGTTGATGCAAAGGGAAAGTCAAAACCGCAAATTTTTGGAAGATCCCAATCTACTCACTCGTCTCGTTCTATTTGCAAATACAACGGGGTGCTGTAAATTTGTTCTGTCGACGTGGTCAAAATCAAAATTGATACGCGAAACTGCACAAGGATGGCTTCTACTAGTAAATCATAGGCACATCGTGGTCTAGCAAGTATAAACTTGTTAAACTTCCATTTCTAGCACGACAGTTAGATGAACAACAATGAAATTCGCGACAAGCACGTCAATTTACGACCCTAGTAATTCTAATTCAACAGAGTTCCACCTCTATCCATGACACCGCACAAGCGGCCCGGCGGGTTTGTTAGTCAATTACCGCCACCTATGCTGATGAACAGACAAGTCCATCAGAGGGCAGAACGGGTAGCATTGGCATTCCGCTCGTAGTGTCTTTTGTTTTCATCTTCTCAGTACAACATACTACTGTATTTCCTGTTTCTTGGCAAGAAAGAACTGTAAGTGGCTTCGAAAATAAAAATTAATTGTCCGGAGACCGCATTAAGTCGAGAACAAATGGCCGCACCTACCACGGGAACCGGGCCGAGCGCACCGTCCGCGCCCTGGACTTGTCAGTACCGTGGGTGCAAAAGCAAGAAATCGCAAATCAAGGAGCTGCGCGCAAGACTACCGACGGGCTACCCGCATGACGAGGATGTGAATCTGCGAGTAATACTGCATAACTATACTGTTTTCGAAGTAGAATTCCTGTCACTACGAAGCAAAGGGACGACCACGAAGATGAAACTCCTCTTGTCATGCATGAGATATAATTAGAGGAAAGAACAAAAGAAAACGAACAAAAATTCCCCCCCCCAAAAAATAAGGTCTGCACGGTGTGTCGGCGCCTGCCCCTTGCGGATCAGCTTCCCCTCGACCAACTTCCCACCGCGACCATGAAGGAAACGCTTGGAAATTACTCCCGCGCCACCATGGCCCAGTTTACCCAGTTATCAACTGCAAAAATGTCTGGGGCTGGAAACTTGTAATGCTGCGTTGGGAACAGTGAATGCTCTGTAATGCACAGGCAAGCGTGAGAAATATCTGCGCTTTTTTGTGTTGCGTTTTTCGCATGACAAACTGCGTTTTTGCATGACAGGCAAAAGCAAAAGGGTCTCTACTTCTTGGACACGCATCACAAACTTTTTGGTCATGCCAGACAAGCATGACATCTTCCAGACCCAGACACTTTTGCATTTGATACCAGTTCGCCTCCGTTGCGGCGAAACTGCCGGAGGACAGCGTCGAGCCGCTGGACCGGGAGACGGTGCTGTCGGTGATCGAAGACCTGGAGGACATGGAGGCCAAAGCCAACGAAATATCCTCGGTCCTCCGGTACTATGGCACCAACCACGCGAACCAGCTGGCGAAGGCCATTTGTCGGAAAATTTTAGATGACGGCTTCCCCTGGGAGATGAGCTTGGCGTTCGAACAGATAAACGATCTTGTCATGGAGGAGATCGCCAGGCTAGGTACTAGTGCAGAAGTGCTTCTAGAATTTTTTGTTTTATAAATATGATATGAACTTTTATCTTGGGGTAAAAATTATTCTGAGGATAAAGTTAAAGATGAATAAACTTACTATCACGACACGAAGTGATCATGGCACCGTCGTGCAAAAATTTTTAAGGACACAAGAACTCCACAATCCGCAGGCACCGCTTCACAAGCGCTGACGCCCTTAAACGGATCATCCGGAGGTGTGGCCGTACCCGCTAGCTTTCCACCGGCAGGAGGGACAGACGAACCTCCAGTCCTCTGCGAGCCCGTGCAGACCGCGTCGATAGAATCGCAGCTGAACCAGAGCTACCAATATGCGTTTGGGGTGTTGTTTCCAAAATTTCTCCAGTGCAGCTGGGAGAGAATCAAGGAAATCGCGGAGGACGACGCGAACGTGAGCCGGAAAGAGGAGCAGAAAAAACTTTTCCGGGTGGTGAACCAGTGGAAGGAGATCCATTTGTGGGGCTTGGGAACGATAAAAGAGCAACTGTTGTTGAGAAAGCAGCAGGTCCTGCAGGGTACCGTTTTCAAAAAGGCGGTGGTCGGCGGTGGAGGTGGCGCGAATCTTCCGAACGCCAACAACAACAACAGCAGCAGCCACAGCCAGGGAGCTGTAGCAGTTGCACCAGAGCAGGGTCAACTACAAAGTCAGTTTCCGGGCGTGTCCAACTTCGTTGGGAATACGATTTTCACGGTGAATCTGCAGGATATCGAGTTGATGTTGGCGACCTTGGACTTGGTCCAGCAGGAGGAGGACAAGGAGGAGGAAAGAGAGCTGAAAAAAAGAAAGCTCGACTCAGAGGAGCAGAAACAAGCGCAGGAAAGCAGAAAAAACTTCATCGAGCAAATTTTGGAGATGGCGGGGGAGGTGGGGTTGAATAAGCTTACAACAACCTCTATGCATTGCAAAAGTATCGTACTTCTAGTAGAAATCGCATGACAAATTTTCTCAGCATGAGAAATGGAGTTTGTCATGCTGTTTTGCCTTGGGATCGAGATTTGTAATGCATGACTGCGATTGCTACGAGTGCGATACTTTTGCACAGGATAACCTCTGACAGCCCCGGCGACATCAACGACGACGCGGGGGAGCAGCAGACGAATCTGCATTTGAGAATCCTCGGCCTGGACGTCGCCGCGTTCAAGAAGAACGAGATTACGGTGGAGCAAATCAACAAAACGGCCCGAAAATTGATGTTCAAAGCGCATCCCGATAAAAACCCGAGCATCGAGTCGCAGAAGTGCACCGACGCGATGACCAGAATCACGGACGCGAAGGAGGCACTGGTGGAGAAACTGGACCCCGCGAACCAGAAGAAGAAGCAAGCCGTGGACCCGAGTAAGATCCAAGTGCTCGCCTCTTCCTCCGGGGGGGCAGTTATCAAATGTAAAAATGTCTGGGTCTGGAAACTTGTGATGCTGGGTGGCGTATCGTGAGGAGGCCGCAAATGCTGGCTCAGCATGACAAGTTTCTGAGCTTCTAGGTGTTGCCTATTCTGCACGACAAACTGCGTTTCTGCATGACAGAAAAATGGCGCTCTTGGGTAACGTGCATGACAGATTTGAGAGCCATGCCAGACAAGCATGACAAACATGCACTCTTCCAGACCCAGACACTTTTACATTTGATAGCAGTCAAGCAGAAGCAGCTCTGTCGGTTCGTCGGCTGCACGGACGAGGTCTGTTCCCAGTGCGCGCACGGGGCCTGCCGGTCGCACATCACGCACTGCCACTTCTTCGCCCGGCAGAACCCGGGGTTGCGCTGCTTTTTCCACCCCCCGCCCCGGGAAAACGCCGTCAACGCGGTCTTGGTCAACGTATGACAGTGCACAACTCCCCCTCCCCCTCATTTGTATAGCATGAACGGCAATACAAGCATCAGCAAGAATGCCGGTTTTGCAAGACAAATTTACCCTGGAGTGTAGTGCTATTTGGGCTACCAGAACTTGTCATGCAAACAGTGCCAACGGGCACAGCTTGGATTTGGGATTTTGCATTGCAAATGAGGGGGAGGGGGAGTTGTGCACTCTCATACAACGGACGCTGGCAACAGAAGAAACATTGAGGTCGTGCTGGGCCGCAGCACCGTGGCTTTTGTTGCAATACAGAACGGCCCCCGAAGATAGAAAATGTAAACCACCATCAAGCAGCAACCGCGACGACGACTGTTACTTTTTCTACCGTGTATATAAAATTATTTGTGACAAGCAGGAAGTGTGAGGACGAGGAGCAGCCAGCACGACAGGGACGACAGCACATGACGACAAGAAGAAAACGACAAGGATAAAAATTGCCGCTTCACCAGGAGCTTCGTTCTTGCACAGGGAAGTGGTAGTTGGTACAATCTGGCTTCTTGTTCATCATCATCTACTCCTGAGGGGAATAAATGCCTTCAGTTGATGATGAGGATGCACCCGGCCGTCGACCACGGGCAACAAAAAGGTGACGCTTGCGACCACGCTCTTGACGCAGCTGCCGCCTCAAAACAGCTTCGGATGACGAAGCCGGTTTCGAAAAAATGAACCGAATTGGCTGGAGGCTCCTGGGGAGTGGCGTAAGTTTAAGTAGTAGGTCTTCACGAGTTACATGAACAAGACACGACTACCGCGGATTGAAGTTGAAAACAGCAGGACCAAGCTCTACTTGTACTTCCGCGGAGCTGCCACTACAAAACGCGAAAAACAGGAGGAGAGAAGCATCGCGGCCGGGTCCTCGTCCGAGGTAGGTCATCATCGTGCACCAGGCGCGCCGAGGAAATCAACTTGTTCCGAGCCGGAGTACAGCCGCTGCCGCAAGTCCTCGTGCGGCACAATTTTATTTAATCCATCGACAACGGACCCAAAAGATGAAGAACAAGACCATCCGGAACATCAAGGGGACAGTGTAGTTGCGAGTGAAAAGATAACTGGACATGGCCTGGATCATCAACTTCATCTGCTGGAATAAAAGAGCGGCCTTCTCGCGGCTGCGTCAGGACTACGTGACGGCGCGGACGACACTAGTTGCCGAGATAAAGCGGCACACACAACAAGCAGATGATCAAACCTAAACCGGTGTAAGATATGAGGATGAAAAGATTGGACAGATCCAACCGAAGAACGCGACAGCTGTACTACAGCATTATGGCATGTAAAATGTTGTATCAAAAGACCTAGTAGATCACTTGCGAGACGTCGACCACGACGAGATATTAAGCGACTACAACAAAGGAATTGACTTGTACAATGCTTGAGTTGATACATTTCAATTTGGTTTCATCTTGACCTTCTAGTAGCTGCACGATAGTAGTTGTCTAATCTAATTATACTGAAGGTGGACCAGAAAGAGTCGGTCTAGCATTTCGCGCACAGCTGCTGCCCAGGTCTTGTCCGCTGCCTGCTGTCGTCGCAAACTCTGCGACACGACAGCCGCAGTGTAAGGTAGTCCTGACTGCTTTTCATCAGAAAGGGTGTCATCTCTGTTTGACTCTTAAATGTTTTCTCGCTCCTGCTTCGTGTTCGGATTTTTTTTCAGTGGTACTGCTTTTGACAAGAATCGGAGACGGCACGATTCCAATTATGCGTGCCCAGAAAAGCAAAAGAACAACATCAACATCGTGACATTGATGCAAAAGAACAAAACGTTTTTTTCGTGGATCTCGTGGACGACCCCTATCGCAATCGCCGAAAAGCCGAGCAACGGTGCGTCGACCCTGCAGATCGTGGTTCCAGCGCGAGCTGCGACCACAAAAAGGAGACGTCTGTGAGCGCAAATAATTCTCCGCCGATCTACTCGCGTCGCCGGCCGCTACCGACGGACAAGAAACAAACTCGGAGTGCCTTCATGAGGCCGGCTGCAGCTTCACGGTGTAGTCTTCAATCGTCTACAGCACAAGACCAAAAACCAGTCGCCGTTTGATGTGATGCTCGTGCTGCTGAAACATCACGTGGTTCGTTGACCCCCCGCGCGCTGCGTGGAAGGGAAAAGGCGCAAGAACGGCAGCAGCGACAACGAGCTGTTTTTGTTTACGCTGTCTGGACGAGGTAGATGAGTGAAATCAATGTGTCAAAGGTCGGGAAACGGTGTCCTTGTCCTTCATCTATCTTTTCATCCTCCATTTAGCCCCTTGCTCTGTACTTCAATCAACATGTTGTACTAGATCTACTTACAATCTACTTAGAAAAGCTAGAAGGCTCGTCTCTACTCGAGGCGATTCATATGTAGTTTTAATCGCGGCCATGTAAAAAGTTGTCTTTCTTTCTGTTGCCTGCTCAAAACTCCCTCTGTGTCTACCTTGCGTGCCATCTATCATGAACCGGCATTCGGTCATGCATAGGCTCCTAAAGCGGAGCGAATTTTATACCAGGCTACCTGTCCTCAACCACGACTGCTCTTGCGTCGGAAGGTTTTTTCGAACTTCATATCCATGTGTTCTTCGTAAACAAGTAGTAAGACGAGCGCGTTTCTCTGTTGAAACACAGAAACTTCTGTTTTTAGCCCGCTCAAACCTCCGGCATAGTCTTGCATAGTGCTGATGAGCAGAGGAATCGTAGAACAATTCGCATGCTCCCATAGAAGAGCTTGCGCTAATACTTAGTAATATTCCTATTCGTCGGCAAATTGCGGTAGCGTAGTTTGCTTGTAGGATAGAATTCGTGAGTTGCACTTATCAACACTTCGCGCAAAAACAAAAAGCGAGTTCTTGTTGGTTCTGTGTGATCGTCCTCGTGGTGGTCTCCAATTACCGTAGAAAATCTGCGATTGCAACGCGGAACAAGTTGATCGGCACTTATTTCCTCGTCAATCATTCTCGTTCTCCTCGTCGCACGCAAGAATGAGCACGTCTCCGTCAACGAAAATGTAGTGCGTTTTTATTGAAATAAAAATGAAATGGTAATTTAGTACGCGGCTTTGTCGTGGCACAAGTGGTACTACTCAATCGTTGCTTTCTATTTCGTAAGGTCAATCGTTGGCTCCGAGCTTCGAGAATCCGCATCATAAACAGCTTTTTTTTCTTGTTTGGGCGGGGTTGGGGTTCGCTCTAAAAACAAAAAACGTGTGGGATGGGCAAAAATGAAGGTTTTAGGGTTTAGGGTTCCAGCTCGAAGATGACCCCTTGAATCGCTTCAGATCCAGATGCAAATTTGAGTGCTTCAGAATGCCAAGTTGTGTGTGAGCAGTATTTAAGTAAATGTAAAACAGATGCAAGTAGATCGAAATAAAGTCGGTACCACCACAAAGATCACGGCGAAAGAAAGTGAAAGATCCAGGGAAGAGTACCACGCCCAAAAAATCGATCACGACCCGTGCTGTTCGAAGACGGTTGTCCATGTGTTGAGCGCCACGTTTGAACGTGGTGAGAGATACGTTCTGGGAGAGAGAGGAAGACTCTACTGTAGCAGAAAGAAAGAAAGACAGAAAAGGAGCTACGGCACGTGCGCCAGTGCTCGTTCGTGCGAAAAGCAGGAAAAAATGCCGTCGGTTGTGAAAGAAGAAGCAGACGGTAAAAGCAAAAGGCGCCTCGGTCGTATACTAGGCAGAAGTAATAAAGCGGTCTTTCTGGCTCCTTGTCGATCTACCACTCGAGATCTAAATAGTATAACGAATCAACACGATCATCAGGTACATCGGTACAAAATTCCATATGAAAACCAAAATAGAATCAGGATGGAATCACGATGGAAAAACGATGACTGGAAATTGGAATGATTGGAATTTAGACCGTGAATGGAATGGAGACGCTTTACGACGAACCACGAACACCATGAGAAACCGATGACCACAGTGACCGGTCATTTGAGCAAACATAAAGTACTTCTTTGCCTATAGCGGCTGTACCTGATTCGTATCAAGATTGTTCGTATACTATTACGCCTGTACTCCTATGGTAGCGGAGAGAGTAGACTAACCATCTTCCAACTTTTTCTTTTGCGTAGGATCCTTAACGTTTGTACTTACGACTAACATTCTTATTACGGCCGTGGCATTGCATAAAGTATTTCTTGCACAAATCGACTAGCGCTTACATATTTTTACAACTTCAAAAACTTCCAAACACTTCCAGCAACGACCTGCATCCTGTAAGATTTTTTTTTCCGCATAACAAAAACGACTTCTGCATACGAAAAACGACCTATCCAGCGTTACAGATTTCATTTCTCTCTCCTGCTACAGCTTACAAATATTTTTGTCGCTCTTTTCTCGCTTACTTTTTCGGTCTTCAAGTTCCACAACCAAACAAAATGGCCAAAGCGATCGACGCCTGGGAGAAAGACCAGCACTGGCGCGAGTACCGCAAGGAGATTTTACTTTTCGCCGAGGGTACGCAGCTCAACGAAAAACAAATAGTCCCGAACATCATCCGCCAGGGCTTCAAGCCGCACCAGCCAAAATGGTACAAGATCGCGATGCAGATGCGGGACGACTGGCGCACCCTGCCGAAAGACCCCGGATTCACCTATGCCACCGATCCCGTTCACGAAAGTGCAATCAAGCACTTTACACCCGTAGAAAGGCTTCTACAGTGGATGGATCATAAAACCGAATATAGTGATCCTGTCGATGCTGCCATGCGTTTTGTTGGTTTGCTATCCTTCAAACGCACCGGAGCTATGGATATGGGTACCTGGCTCGCGGAATTCAATGACCGCGAAAACCAAATACAGAAGGATGCGACTTTTGCGGCGGCTTTGACGAAAACGATTCTGGTTTTGCTTCTGTACTGCAATAGCGGGCTGACACAGCTCCAGCGCCAGGGTGTTCGTCAAAACTTCGAGTTGAAGAACGCCGGGAAAGACATCAATCACAGCCCCGAGGCCATGCAGGAAATTTTGAAACGGGTCGCGGCAGACGACTCCAGCAAAATGCAAACGCATGACGAGCAGGGAGATGTGATTATGGCAGGCTATTCACGTGGTAAGGGCTTCGGCAAAGGCGGGAAGAAAGGAAAAACTCGGCGCGCGTACTATGTTGAAGAAGAAGATCCCGACTGGTATGGGGACGAAGACGAGCAGTACGACTACGAGGATGAAGAAGAATTTTGGGAAGAAGAAGAACACGCGGAAGAGGAAGAACAAGAAGAACAAGAGCAGGAGGAGGACGCAGCGTTTTTGGCAAACAACGAATGCAGACGGTGCGGACAAACAGGACACTGGGAACGCAACTGCCCACAGAAGAAAAACGACGGGAACAAGAAGGGCAGCAACTACAGCTACAACAACGCAGGCACTAACGGTGGATACGGAAAGAAGAAAGGAAGCGGAAAATTTGGAAAGAAGAAGACCAACAGTTTTTCTTGGTACAAAAAGAAAAATCCCAACTATGTCGTCCAGCACCATCCCGCGCTACTGGCACGACTCGAACCGGTTGAGGCTGCACTTGATACCGGTTGCGGTGTCAGTTGTGTGCCGATTTCTCGTTTTGAAGATTTTAAAAACGATTATCCCGAGCGAGTTCTGCACGAAGAGGAACTTGAAGAAGGACAATCCGGATCGATGTCTTTTGGAAACGGGGCCCGCTGCCCGATTGTATCCCGAGCCAAAATTCGCGTTGGCGATTTTGGCGCAGTGACTTACCAAATTTTCGCCCCGCCGAAGACGATGCCGGAGCAGAAGCGAAGGGAAATGCTGAAGCAGATGAAAAAGGTTCCATTTCTCATCGGCAACAACACGCTCGGCGCTGCTACGATCAACCAGCAACAAGAAAAAGCAGTCTTTCCATCCGGTAAAGAAATGCGATTTACGAAGCGCGGCGGACTTCTGTTGGTAAACATGGTCGGCAGCAGCACTAACAGTACGAATTTCGCATGCAACTATGCCTACGACATCGCGGGAAACAGATGCAACTTTTTCGCAGTCGCCACACCGCTGGGGGAAGGAGAGAAACGCGACGGCGCTACGACTTTTGGCACCTTGCAGCGGGAAAAGCCAAAAGGGCACAGCAGCACCGTACAGAAACGCGAAAACGCACGGGACCCGGTCAGCTTTTTCGGGAGGTTCAAGCTGGCGATGATTCTCTTCTACCTTTTGCTCATGCAGCTCCGCCTACTTTGCAAGGCTGGAGACGTCGAGAAGAATCCCGGTCCCATCGCTCCTACCACCGGTATTACGACTTCGGACAAGATTCGCGAATTGTGTAACGACCGCGAACTGATGACCAAAGCGCATAAACAGCTATGGCACTACAAGATGAAGGAGGCGACGGCGCATTTTTGGCCACTGCTGGAGGACGACGAACAACTACGAAAAGACTTCCGCGAGGGCTGGCAGCTTGTTGTTGATTCTTGTGGAATTTGCAACAACCAAAAACGGTCACTACCGCATCCGAAAACGGGCTTGATTCCTAGAAATGTCAATCAAGTAGTGGTGGCTGACGTTTTCTATTTCACAGTCAAAGGATGCAAGCGGGCTATTCTGATTTGGATTGACTACTTGAGCAAATTCTGCATGTACTTCGCGCACGAGGCTGGCGGAGACATCCAGGCCGAAGACACGCTACACATGGGACACGAGTGGGCCGCAGTTTTTGGGCGGTTGCCGCTCTACTTGCTAACCGGCCACGACACCCCACTGGTCAACGAAACTGTAGCCGAGTACTTGGCGGGCGCGGCGATGCCTTGCACTCCCCTGCAGTCACCGGACTACGAGCCGGAGTCCCATGGGCTTGTCGAGAGTCACATCGGGCTTTCAAAAATTTTGCTCGAGTTGATCCAGGCCGAAATACCAGTTGCGCAGATGTCCAGCCTGCGAATTCGAGACATTTTGCTGGCGTTGCAACAGGCGAAAAATAGTGTTCCGCGGGGGCACGGTTTTTCAGCACAACAAACAGCACTTGGGACACAGCATTTCGTTGGCAACCCCGAGGAGGCTACATCCGCAACAATGGGCGCGTACGGTGACCCCACCGAAATTCCGAGAAAACTAGCAGTCCAGCGGATCACGTTGCAACAGCAAGCAGCAAAAGCGGCGGCGCAGGTGCATGGCAACAAGCAACCTATGCAGATTCTGAACTCGAAAACGCGCAATACAGATGTCGCAGCTTACTCGCCCGGTGACCTGGTTGAAGTTCAACCAGCAAAAGACCAAAAGTTCGACTTTGGTCAAGTTCGATGGGTCCGCGCAAAAATCATCGACACGGGCGAACCGGGACAGATCGGCGAATCGCATAAGTTAGTCACAGTGAAATACAGCGGCGGAAAAATCGATACGGTTCACAGAAAAAGAATCCGCCCGGCCCCGCTTGACGTGCGACAGATTCTGTATCCGAAACCCTGGGACCCAGAAGCAGCGGCACAACAACAGCAGCAGCAGAACCAGGCGCAGGGAGAAGGTGAAGAAAACGACGAGCAGGAAGAAGTAGTGACGCCACTACACCTGTCCTCGATCGATTTCCAGCGGACGGACATTGGTCGAGCCCTTCACCGATTCCGGAACAATTTGCGACTACTTCCAGAAACCGACCGGCCGATCGAAGTGGACACAAATTTTCTTTCGGAAGAACAACAGCAAGCGGTCGAAAGAATTGTAGTTGCGAAAAACGTAAAGAAAATTCCGGACATCGAAACCTACCGACCGGAGGGAGAAGAAATTTTTCCGGTCGTGGCTTTCGGGTACACGAAGTGCAGAATCGCAGACAGTATGACAGTTTTTGAAAGCGAAGAACCAGACGGACGAAAATACGAATTGGCAGTAGTAGTGTATTTCCGTCAAGGTATGCTACCAGAGCCCGACCAAGCGGCGCCACCGGTGCAACAGGTTCAGGACCCGGACGAAGCTGCGGAATTTTTAGACGATGACGACCCGAAGCTGGCAAGCTTACCAGGCAAAAACTACAAAAAGGTAGAGCCCGAAAAACAAACGCGGGCGGCAGTCGCGGAATTAACAGTACGCGAATTGCGATGGCTTTTGAAAAAGTATCAATTGCCAACGAAGGCAACCACCGCCGGAATGCGGGAAGCGTTGCGAACCTGGTACGACGAAAACCAGCCAGAGCAACAACAAGAGCAGGACAACAACGACGAAGACGCGATGGAAGTAGACGAAGAAGCTGCGGACGAGGCGGAAATGGTGTTGGTGGCAATTTTCGATGTTCGCGAGGCGCTCGGGCATGACCCTGATCAAGAAGCCGATCCGGATAGAGTTGCGAAAGAATTCGAAAAAGCGTATTTGGTTCGGCGGGAAATGAAAGCGAGCGACGCGAAGAAACATCCACAGCACGCCACTGCCACCACTGCAGAACTGACTTCCATCATGGCCAATGGAGTTTTCTCGATCGTCCCGCGATCAGAAATTAAGCCTGGAGACATAGTAGTCCGATCCCGATGGGTTTACACGGAAAAAGTAATCGGTGGGCAAATTACTTTGAAGGCGAGGCTAGTGGCGAAAGGATTCACCGAGGAAGGACTTTCAAAACTTCAGTGCGAAAGCCCAACAGCAAAACGGTGGACAACAAAAATCATTTTCTCCATCTCGCAAATTTGGGGAACGATTTTAGCCTCGATAGATATCAAGACCGCCTACCTGCAGTCGCAAGTTCCCGAAGCTAAGCAGGACAAAAACGATATCTATGTCGAGCCACCGAGGGGCGACTCACCTATCCAGCCAGACGAAATTTTCAAAATGGCACGCCATAAGCACCTCTATGGCATGAAAAGAGCTGGACGAAAATGGTGCGAAACGCTCAGAGATGCCCTAATCGAGGACGAATGGATCGCGGACAGTGTCGACCCATGCTTGTTTTGGAAAACTCTCACCGACGAAAACGGCAAGAGAGTGGTGATTTCGTTTCACGTCGACGACATGGTCTTCACAGGACGAGAAATTTTTCTGAACAGCATCAAGAACGGGCTAGATGGCAAATTTCAAGTCGGAACATTCGACGCTATTCCGGGAAACAACAGAGAAAACATGAGCGGAATGGCGAAAGTGAATTCCTTCAAATTTCTTGGCGCAGTAGTGTCGAGAATTCAGAAAACGCTCTACGTTTCGCAAGCTCACTATCACAAAAATTTTTCGGAGATGGCAACACCGACGGAACTGAACGAAGAAGATTTGCTACCGCGGGCATTACAGAGCGCAGCCCGATCCAGTTTGGGTCAGTTGCTCTGGATTGCAATTTTCACCCGCCCCGACATTCTCTTTGAGACCATTGAGATTGCGACCTGCGTTACGAAGGTCAAAGCGGTGAAAATGATCAGCAAGGTGGTGAGGTATATTCAGCATTCCGGACCGATGCCGCTGATCTATCACCCCTTCCCCGCATGGAGTTCCGATATTGTCAACGTAATAGTAGTGGTCGATGCGAGTTTGGGAAGCAAAACGGGCGACGTCCGGCCCCGTTTGGCGTTTATGATTGGTTTTTCACCGGCTTGCAGCGGTTCCGATCCTTTTGCGATCGAGAAGGAAGAGAAAATAATTTTTCATCTGATCCACCACGTTTCGCGAATTCAGCGGCGCGCATGTACAAACTCGCTTACTGGTGAATCTTTTGCGGCTTGTGACTCGCTCGATCTTCTCGGCGCGATCAAGTCCCAGATGAAGAATTTAGTCGGAGAAATTTGTTGCCATTTTCTGTCCGATTGCAACACGCTGCTACGGGCGACCAGCAGTGTTAATCCAGCAATTTCCGAGCTGTTATTCCTACCGATGGTTCAGAAAATCAAGGAACAGCTCTACATCACGGAGGCACGCAAGTACTGGCTTCCTGGTGACAAAAATCCGATGGACGCATTGACAAAACCAAAGAAACGAACGCAGAAGACGACGGCGATCCTGATGGAAATTTTGAAAACGGGACGGATACACCCTCGCAAGATGATGATGAAAAGACTTGAAGATGAGAACTGAAGCGGATTTTCTGAAATCTAGTCGGAACGTGTGGACTTTAGTTATTGTTTTAGATAAGTAAGATTTGCCTTCTCAGGCTATATCTGTATGATTTTTAGAAGGCATATTTTTACTTTTTGACTCTTCACAGGCTTGCGTCGTCACAATCACGTCACGAAGAGCTTCGTGGCAGTATGTTGACGAGCCCAGTGGGAATAGAGTCAAAAAACACAATTCCAACTGCCGAGCTTTAGCCTGATTTGTAAGATTTGGAAAGATTTCCGAACAAAATCAGACGAAATCGTAGAAAGCAGCATCACAGACCATCGATTTAACCTTCAAAAACCGATGGGATTACGAAAACGGATTTTATATCAAACCGCGAAACCGCATGGAAAAGAGGAGGAAACGGATTGCGGATTTTATTTACGATTTGGATTTTAGATGGGATTTAAGGTAAAAAAAAAAAAGAATATTTTGGTGAACGGTAATTACTTTGAGCTATTTTATTTTTAGAAACAGCATGACAAATTCCGAATGATGTAAGATTATTATGTATGATTTCCCATGCTATTTCAAGAATTCCTTTGCTTTTACTCGTTTCGGCGCCCATTGGCGTCAAGATCACGTCACGAAGCCCTTCGTGACGGTATGTTGACGAGGTAAGGCGGTTTAGCTTTCATTTTTATAGAAATTCAACACAATTTACACTCTACAGGACCGGTTTGCACACATTCAAAATACTAGCGCAAATATTTTGAAACTTAAAAGTGCATGTCACTAGTGTTGATTCGTTTTGCATAGAATCTACTTCGCATGATATAGACCCTTCTTTACGTGCTTCGTATATTTTTCTTTTTTTCTTGGGTGGTGTGGATGTCGATCTACCACTCGAGATCTAAATAGTATAACGAATCAACACGATCATCAGGTACATCGGTACGAAATTCCATATGAAAACCAAAATAGAATCAGGATGGAATCACGATGGAAAAACGATGACTGGAAATTGGAATGATTGGAATTTAGACCGTGAATGGAATGGAGACGCTTTACGACGAACCACGAACACCATGAGAAACCGATGACCACAGTGACCGGTCATTTGAGCAAACATAAAGTACTTCTTTGCCTATAGCGGCTGTACCTGATTCGTATCAAGATTGTTCGTATACTATTACGCCTGTATTCCTACTCCTGCAAAAGCAAAAATCTTGAGTAAGAAGTTGTAGACGACGATCAACGCCATCAGGTCACTGATTAACTGTCCTAGAAGTAATTTTCAACCCCTCAACTACAGTTAAAGATCTTGAGCAATCAGTCGCAAAAGAAACCGCGCAATTCCGTTTTTTAAGTAATCTCATTCTCAACAACAAGCACCTTCATCACCTTCTCGCAGCTTTTTTTCAGTCGTTTATTTCTGTGATAGCTGCGTTTGAAAATAAAAACACGTTTACTCTCGCGCTGTACAATCACCCCTTCTGGTGGTAGATTCTTCTGTTGGAAGATTCTTCGCATACCTTAATTGCAAAAACTACAGAAAGTAAACGCCGTTTTTCAGCTTTTTTACCAGTACCTCTATCATGTCGCCCCTACGTAAGGTTTTTGCCGTGTCCGCTCTGCGCTACCTTGTGCAGCACAGCTTGACCATGTCTACTGGCGTTCTGCACGTGCACTGCGTGCAACTGACAGGGCAACGCCTTAACACTCAGGACCTGCCTCCTGGTACTGGTGTTCCAGACCCTGTAGTTGGTGCTGGACACATTCCCGGTGCTCCGCCGGGTCCGCTTGTTGTACCTGTTGCAGCTCCTCCTGCTGCTGCTGTCGTGGCCCAGCCGCCTCCCGGGCAACTAATGCGCGACTGTGCTCAGGGTTTCTGTAGTCCCTGTTGTTGCTGTGCCCCCAGGGCGGGGGCCCTCGACACGGTGGGGGCTGTACACCCGAGGCGTTTAGCTGCCCAGAAAGCGGGAAAATACTGCGGAGTCGGATGTGGTTGTTGTCTTGTTGGAGCTGGTGCCATTTACTTGGGTGTAGAGGCTGGGACGTATCGACTGCAAATGCGCCTGGGTCTGGTGGAAGAGTGTAAGTTGTGATGCTACCTTAGGATACGAAAGAAGTCTGTATCTCATGATCGCCAAAAGGTAAAGGTAAAGGAGTCCAGTTTTTCCTACGCGCAGAGGGCATTTATATATGTTTGATTGTGCAGGAGAAGCAGAAGCATACGTGTAAGGAAAAGGATAAGTAGGAAGCCCTCAAAAAATCTGTGATGCTGGGACATACATCAAGGACATCATGGGTCACGCAAAAGGTGCATGAGAAAGACAAAGGCAAACCCTGTGTCCTCGTCCTTCCTGGCCCATATCCTGTGCAAAAGTATCGTACTCGTATAAATGCAAGTCTTGCGCTACAAATCCTTTTGCTAAGGTAAGACCGCATTACAAGAAATTTTACATCTCATGCTGAGGAAATTTGTAATGCATTTATACGAGTGCGATACTTTTGCAATGCATAGCCCAGACATGATTGCAATGCATAGAGGGTTGCCGTGCAATATTGGCTTAACAGCCTGGGAGGCAGGTGTAGATAGTGGATCGTGCTGTCTCGGTCTGGGGACATATTACTGTGGGAGAGGGCACGAAGAGGCGGTCGCCCCTTCGCAATGGACCATGGGGCCCTAGGAACAACAATAACCGCGAACGCTAAAAAAGCTTCCGTGCCAGAAGAAGGAAGATCTGGCTGAATGTTTGTTGGGCTTTCGGAAGGTACGGATACCAACCCGGAACCGGATACAACAACTACCCTGACACGCATTGCGATTGAAGTAAGCCACTGTCGCGCGGTTTTTTTGAAAAACTACGAGAACGGTCTACAATTAATGTTGGTACGAGGGCGCACCAGGCACTCACGTACTACAGCTGTAATAAGACGAGAACGATCTACGTTTGCGGTAGTAAGCAACACGAGGACGCACCAAGCACGCACGTACAGCTATTCCGTTCTTGTGAAGACGCATGACCTCAAGCGTTTGCTATGCTACTTTCGGAATTATATAACGTAGGATCATGATGCTTCCGGAGCCACTGGAGTCAGGCTCGGACATTATTCAAAGTAGAGAAGCCGTTGAATTTAATTCGACGCATATTCCCAAATCGTAAAAGTGAGACTCTACGTCTCCATATTCCCAGAATTTTGTGCAATTTTTCTTCGTCGTCCAATTGTGGTAGAGGGTTTTTTGTTGTATGATAAACGAAGAAAAGAAAAACTATTGGAAAAAACCGAAAAATAAAGAGAAAACCAAGAGAAAAAGGAAAAACAAACCATACAAAAAACAAAAAAAAACGCTTTGTAAGATTCTGGAGCTCATGCTAGGTTCTGACTTTTTTAGGCGCTAGGCGTCGTAACTATCTCCGAAAATGAGTCCTCCTCTTTACGCTTCGGCGCAGAAACAAAAAGCTGCGAGCTCACTAGAATGCAACAAGCAAAATAAGTAGCAAAATGAGATCCAAACAAAGACTATGCTCGTGTGACAGTAGTCAAATAGGTGCAGCTAGCCGGATCGGAACCCGACGAAGAATTTAAAACGGAATACAACTACAACGGTCACGCAAGCAGCTGAATCCTTTTGGTGCGACAACGACAGGCATATTAATCTGATCTCGCTACAAAAGGTTGACAGGAAAAAATAGCAGCAGTCAAGAGAAGACACAAACAAGATTAAAGGGTCGTAAAAGATCCAAGGGTCGTAAAAGATATGGGAAAAAATCGGTCATCGTTTTTCGTTCACAAGTCGGTACAAGATGTAGATGCATTCTAATGACCCTCTTCTGCGACGCGTATTTTTCGTCATTACCTGCGACTGGCTGGAAGTTGTGTATCAGGTTGTTGTATGGAAAAGCAGGCAGGAAACCATGAAAGGAACAGGATGCGAGCACCTCCTCGTTGAAGAGGAGGTGCATCCTTGAAGATGATTCCATTTCCAAATAAAATCGCAGCCTTTTTTTTTTTCTTTAAGGGTTTAGGGTTTAGGTTCTGACGATTTGTACAAGCGAGGACACGACTTTCGAAGTCCCCATCAGCGACACGTGCACCGGCCTGATGATAGAAGAGCGACGATTCTAGTTGCCCTGGGTTAAGCACATATTTTTTAATGAAATATGTGTTGCTCGTTCTGTTTTTATATGATGATGACTTTTACACAGACGTGAAACAGATTGCTTTCTGGGCCATTGCGTCAGCGGATCGTGGGCGAACGGTAGTAGTTTTCAAAGAAAAACGACTCTGCTGCTGGTCAATCATGAGAAGTTAGAAACAATGTGCTTCAGTTTTTATTTCTGTTTGTATTGGGACGAGGAGGTGGTCGGTGCCATGTGTTTCAAGTCTGTCATGCATGTAAAAATCAACCCAGGGTAAAAAGATAGAAGTATCAAATGAAAAGCAGTAACTACACACAGTTGCTGCTTTCTTGCATAAGAATAGGCCGGACAAGGTGCAGCAGCTAGTGGACGGGAAAAAAGGTGGTGAATTGAGTATGCTCTGCACTAGCCGGGAAGACCGCTGCGACGCTTTGCATGAGGGGCTATTGGTCATGAGTTGCTTGATTGCAACAGCCTCGCGTCAAGGCAAATGGCTTCAGTTTTATATGTGCGGCTGGGGCATCAACCCCGGGAGGATCATTTTATATAGTAAAGAAATCGGTCTAAGGAAAGGGAGCTTGTTGTTGGGGGTGTGAACGTCAAGTGCTTGGCAGGTAGATTCAGAACAAGACAGACCCTGCGTTCCCTTCATCCAGTGAGGCCAGACCAGGAAGGGGAGCGCGCGGGGCCCGGCCGGGGCGCGGGGGGTGCTGCGCCTCTGGTCTGAATCTGCTTGGCACACGAGGACACCTCGCACCTGTATCCGCGTACCAGCCTTACTTTTATCCCCTTCGCTGGCGCAACCAACAATGAGATCCTGAGCAGAACCATTTTGCGAATGAGTAAGATTTTTTTCTAGTAGTCAGGAAAGTGGACCATTGTCCATGTTTGATCCAATCCTCCCTTGGCAAAAAAAAAAAAAAAATTGCATCTAATATGGCGATCACTTTAGATCGCATGTGTGTTCTCCGTCGTACTCGTGTGAGCATCTTCGTAGGCAAATCTTAGTGACATCAAGCTGTTTCCGCAGTAGGACTGAGTTGTCGCTTCTCGTCGAACTACTAAAAGGGGAGTTCGTGTGGAAAATGTTAAACCGGTTCTATGTGATCGTCGTGGTGGTCTCCGATCTTTGTGACGAGAATCGTCGAATGCAAAGGGTATGTAACGAGGTAATTGGCAGTGGCACTTTCCTCCTCGTCAATTATTTTCGTCGTCGAACGTCGCAAGGGCAAGTGGTCCCGGTCGTCATAATTATATTTTAGTGAACAAGCCGGCGCACCACACCTACTAAACTACACTAGTACTCAATCGTTGCATTCTTCAATTCAATCGTTTGCTCTTCTTCAAAAAAAATTCGCATCGTTGACAGCTTTTTTTTTCTTGTTCGGGGATCGCTTTGTTCGAAAGAAAGAAGCTGCAAGCTTTTTGTGAGCAGGTCACAGCACTCTAGTTCACGATCGAAGGAACAGCCACATAAAATTTCGCTATAATTTTTGGTCTTTCCGCTCTGCTCTCCTTAAAGCAAAAAACCATGACCGAATTTCTGGCGGACCTGGGCATCCCCGGGATGCGCATCCCGGCCTTGGTGGTGAAATCGGGGAAGCGCAATGCGGGCGAGGAGCTCGTCGCGGATCTCCTCGGGTACGGGTTCCGTGTGGTTGACCAGGCCGAGATTTCGCAAAACAACTACGAAAACGTCGCGACAGACAGGAGAAGGTACTATTCCTCCGCCCAGCACCCCGGATTTACCTTCGACAAAGTGCGCCCGACGGTAAAGTGTAAGGACATCATGCTCGGAAAACCGGCCATGTCCGCAAACATGGAGCCCGCGCCCGGCAGTCCTCCGGGAGCAGCAGCTAATGGCGCCGCAGTGGAAAGCTACACTGCGGACGGAGGTCTACTTAATACAGCGGGCACCAGCTCCGTGGACGGTGCAGCAGTGGGCGGCTTTAGTCCCGACGGCAAGCCGCTGGAGCCGTCCTCAATGTCGGGATCCTCCGGGTCGGAGGAAGTGACGAAAAAGAAAAAGCGGGCGTTCATTCCCGTGGAGGAACGCCCGGACGTGGAGCTGATGCGCCGCGTGCGGGGCAAAACCTACTTGCATCCCTATGGGTTCGAAATTGACGGCTTGACCTCCATATCAACTGTAAAAATGTCTGGGTCTGGAAGAATCCAACTTGTCATGCTAAATCTGAATCATGTAAAAATCTGTGTTGCATGATTACCAAAAGTCGTCCAGTTTTGACCTAATCGAGAGGCAGTTTCTCATGCAGGATGGGCATGATAGAACTCTCACAGAATCTGTCATGCTATGTCCTACATACCAGACCTCATGGGTCATAGAAAACCTGCATGACAAGTCTGCATTCTTCCAGACCCAGACACTTTTACATTTGATACTCCATGGCGTCCGTGCATCTGCACAGCAAGAAACCGGAATTGGATGATGTCGGGAACGAAAAGCCGGATCTACTCCCGGAAAACTAAGTAACTCCATCCCCATCCTTTTTTTGCATGACAAACACAGAGACAGAATTTGCTACATGTATGTTTTGCATGACATAAAATTGGCTGCGGATGGTTCTTAGTTTTCAGGGAATAGGATCACCTCCAGTCGAATTTGGTCGGGGTGGACTCGCAGATTGACTATGGCCTTCTCAACTGTTACATTCTGAGTCGTCTCATCTCCTGCTGCGTGGATTTGTGATGCAAGCACATCAGCAAAAGTCAAAGGGGGTAGCTTGCAGCTGTCGCGTCACAAATTTGGCATAGATGACCGGCCTGCTTAGCACTTCGAGCATTTGTCATGCGAAGTACGTTAAAAATCGTGTGGCAGCTGATACATAGCAATTTTGCATGACAAACCATGTAAAAGTTGTAAACAGTTAAGAGAGTAACAGTTGGGAGCGCCATATTGACTTTTCCAAAGTTTTGCGTCACGAGGATGTGGTGCTCATGAAACGGAACACGAACGATCCGATGACGGCGGCAGAGTCGCGATTTCCGTTATGGATTGCAAATATGTCTGGGTCTGGACGAAACATGGAACTTGTAATGCTAGTCCTACACTCCTGTAAAATTTGTATTGCATGCCTAACAAAAAAGACGCCCTCTTTGGTCATACAAAAGTGCAGTTTCTCATGCGGACTGAGCATGAGAGAGCGTTCGGCAAACTTGTCATGCTTGGCTGCATTGGGTACTAATATTTCAGTCATCCAAAGTTCAGCATCACAAGTTTCCAGACCCAGACATTTTTGCACTTCATTTCCGTTGTCCAGTTACAACAGCGAGGATCGGTTTTTTGATATGAAAAGGAAAAATCCCCCCTCCCCATATCAAAACGGAAATCTGTGATGCAGATTTGTTGTCACAAATCAGCTTTGTCATGCTACACGGGAAAAGATGCGGACTGTAGTGCTGGGTGCCGTGGTCAAGCCTTGCATCTTCAGCATGATAGGAGGCAGCTGAGAGCGGGAAACAGCATGACAAATTGCCTGCAAGCGAGGCCACGAGTGCGGCTCTTGGCCTTCTAGCATGACAAGTCGATTTGTGACCTCAAATACAGCATCACAAATTTCGTTTTCGATATGGGGAGGGGGGATCTTTCCTTTCGATATTTGAGGAGGCGAAGGATTACCGGGTGGAGCGGATATGACAGTGCACAACTTCCCCGCCCCCTCCTTTGTATAATTGCATGAACAGCAACACAAACGCCAAAGACCCTGGAGCGTGTGCATGACAAATTTATGTGCCTCCTGTAGTATTGTTTGGGCTTTCATCGAAATTTGTCATGCAAACAGTGCCACAGGGCAGCGACTCGATTTGGGATTTTGCATGATAAATGAGGCGGAGGGGGAGTTGTGCACTGTCATAGCGGAGTCAAGATTTAACGAAGGCGTTCGAACCGTACCAACTGCAAATATGTCTGGGTCAGGGAGATTGCGACATTTGTCATGCTAGTTTGCCACGGCTCTGAAGTGAACGTGAACTCTGTATTGCGTGGACGCGAAGAGATCCTCTTGCCTGTCACACAAAAACGCAGTTTCTCATGTGGAGCCCGCAATTCAGAAGAACTACGGAGAACCTTATCATGCTTCTAGGCAGCGCAACATTACAGTGTGCTCACTACTTGTTCATTTTTTTGCATCACAAGTTTCCAGACCCAGACATCTTTGCGATGGATAAACCCTTGACGAAGGCGATTTCCAGCTTTCACAACCTGGCGGAGTTTCACGGGCTGAACCCGGATGTGGGCCGGAAAGTCACCGCCACGGTTTGCGTGCCGGTAGGAAAATTTGGTGTGAGATAGTGTAAATATGCGTGTTGTGACAAAGCAAGGAAAAACAACAAAATGATGAGTCACTGTTCAGCTCCTGGTGCTGCTGGCTCTTTTACTTCTGCATCACTTTTGATGGGGTTTCGTTGCTCATTTTATTTTTACTTTTGCATCACACTAAGAAATTTGAAAATAGTTTTACACACATAATAAACGCGTGCGAGTCAGTGTGACTCTGATCTATACTCAGGTAATGCGTGTTTCCCATGACCGCACTCTGGACACGTCCGACGCCTTGATTGTGGACGCTTTGGCCAAGTGCCCCTACGTATCAAATGCAAACATGTCCGGGTGGTCTGGAAGATGGCAAGACTTGTCATGCATGTTTTGCACGACCCACGATGTCTGTGATGTATGCCCAAGCATCACAGATTTTGTGATGGCTTCCTGATGCTTTTGCTTATACCGCATGAGAAATGCCCCCTCGTCCGCGAATGAAAAACTGGACTACGACTCTTGGGGCTCACACAATACAGATTTTTTTAGAATCCAAAGTCAGCATCTTCACAAGTTCCACTCTTCCAGACCCAGACATGTTGGCATTCGATAGTACGTTTGCGACGGCGTGATGCTGGGGGCCACCCGGACGATATCTGTGAAGCAGTTTTCCACCTACCCACGGTCGCCCTCTGGCATGGACATGGCCGAGCACTTCTCCCTATCAAATGTAAAAATGTCTGGGTCTGGAAGAATGCAAGTTTGTCATGCACATGCTTGTCTCGCGTGACTCTGGAATCTGTCATGCGTGAGCAGGAAAGTAGGCTCTTACCTGTCATGCAAAAACGCAGTTTGTCATGCGGGAAGCGAAACACATAGGAGCTCAGAAACTTGTCATGCGTGGCTGCGTAACGCAGTGCGCCTACCACGCACAAACTAGCATTACAAGTTTCCAGACCCAGACATTTTGATTTTTGCATTTGATACTCTCACCTGCGGCAGAAGTCGCAGGAGTCCGGCCGCGACGCCACGGTGTCGACCCCACGCGAGGGGTTCCGATCCGGTCGCGCCGGCCCGTTGGGGTTCCCCCCGGAGATTCGGGAGGCGGACACCAATGCGCGAGAGGTGGACATTTTCCTCGAAGAAGAAAACTTACAAATCACGATCGAGGTTCTCCCGGGGGAAAATTATGAAAATGCGCAAGAACTCCCCCTCATTTGTCATGCAAAACACCAAATCCATCTATTTGCCCCTTGGGAATGTTAGCATCACAGATTGTGGCAGCTGCCCAAACACCACTACATTGCTGTGAAAGTCTGTCATGCAAAGGCTGCACTCTCGCAGGCCCTTCTATTGCTGCTCATGCAATACAAACAAGGGGGAGGAGGAGTTGTGCACTGTTATAAAAAGCTTCCAAAGTTCAAGACCTCCGGGGAGTTTCTCTCCTGGCTCCAAGACTGGAGCATATGGCGTTCTCAAACGTTTACATTCTCAACTGTTACATGAGTTTGTAATGCAAGAATGGCAAAAATGCAATGGTGAAGATTGCGCCTTTTGCATTACAGGTTCGGCACAGATTTAGATGAAATTTAGCCCTTTGGAAATTTATCATGCGAAGCAACTTGGTGATTGGTAGGGATACTGTTACTGATGAGAGTTTTGCATGACAAATCATGTAACAGTTGAGAATGTAACGTTTGAGAACGCCATAGAGCATCCGAGGCGCTTTCGAAGACGTGCATCTGTGGTATGGGACACTCAAACGGTAGTACATTCTCAACTTGCAAGAACCGCAACAGTCAAAGGGGCAAGCTTGTTGCTTTCGCAATACAGATTTGGCACAGGTTTAGATGCTTTTTAGGCCTCCGGACATTTGTCATGCGAAGCAGCTTGATCATCTTTTCTTGCGGCTTGCGGTAGTTTTGCATGACATGACAAATTCATGTAACTACAGTTGAGAACATAGCGTTTGAGAGCTCTACATGCGGCGACCGCTGCTCGTCTCCGTTTTGCACACCGACGCGTTTTATGAAATGTAAAAATGTCTGGGTCTGGAAGAATGCAACTTGTGATGCTGCATTTGGATTCCGAATAAAATCTTTATTGCATGAGCAGTAATGGGAAGGTAATTCTTGCTACGCGGAGAGGGCATTTGTCATGCGGGTAGGCATCAAGAAGCCCTCAAAAAATCTGTCATGCTAGGGCATGCATCACAGACATCATGGCTCATGCAAAACGTGCATGACAAGTCTCAGAATCTTCCAGACCCAGACATTTTTACATTTGATACGTTTCTGCAGCGACTGATGCTGAAGCACGGGTTGCCCGATCCCCACTCGATCTTGAAAATTCCGCAATTCTGCCTGAACTGTCGAGTGTAACCTGAGTAAAAACGTTCCCACACCAGAGTCAAGATGCGAAATCTGCTATACAAATCCACCAGCTTTGGTTGTTTCGCATGACAAGTTTGCCTTCGTAGCGTAATCCTGTTTAGCTGGTTCAGAAGCATCACAGATCCAGAGCATCATGCTGATTCCAGCATCACAAATTGCCAAACACGAACAGAAAATGCTTCTCATGGGGCTCCGCATGAGAAACTAATTTGGCATGCGGATTTGCATGACAGCGCTGGGTTGGAACCGGTTTTACAGAGGATAGGGTGGGGCGGAAGTTCATCCATTGGAACCTGGATTTGTACCGTTCTTCGCGCTATGAAGTGTAAAAGTATCGTACTCGTATTGCAATCATGCATTACAAATTTTCTTTTGAAGGCAAATCCGCATTACAAATTCCATTTCTCATGCTAAGGAAATTTGTAATGCAATCACTAGCACTACTAGTACGATGCTTTTGCAGTTCATACGCGCGCGTTGCCGCCGAGACTGCAGAACGCGGTAGACTCGTCGTTCTGTCCGGACCCGTATCAAATGCAAATATGTCTGGGTCTGGAAGGTTGCAAGACTTGTCATGCAGATTTTCCATGACCCATGAGGTCTGTAGTGCGGGACCCAGCATGACAGATTCTTTGAGGGCTCTATCATGCCTATACCGCATGACAAACTCGCTCGCAACCTGGTCAAAAGAGGACAGCTTTTGGCACTCATGCAAGACAGATTTTTTGCATGATTCAGGTTTAGCATGACAAGTTGCAATCTTCCAGACCCAGACCTATTTGCAGTTGATAACCCCGTGGAAGAGCACACGGTGGTGTACCTGTGTCCCTCGCATTGCGGGCAGTACTACAGTATCAAATGCAAAAATGTCTGGGTCGGGGAGATTTCCAGACTTGTCATGCATATTTTCCATGACCCATGACGTCTGTGATGCATGCCGTAGCATCGCAGCTTTTTAGAGCGCTTTGCGATAGTACCTCTACAGCATGAGAAATGCCCTCTCCGCGTACTAGCACAAACTGGAGTCCTCTTGCTGGTCATGCAATACAAATTTTTTCAGAATCCAGAGACAGCATCACAAGTTTAGAATGTTCCAGACGACCCAGACATATTTGCAATGCATATACAGCTGTTCACCGAAGTCGCACCAACTGAAGCAGAACACAAATTTTGTGCAGTACATGCACGATCTGGTATGTGATATTTCTGGACCACTTTGGGTTTATTTCTGACTTGATTCATCGTAGTCGTACGACCAAATTCGAACTACTGTTCACGATAAACTGTACTATAGTGACATTGAGCACAAATTTCTTTTTCAGATCGACGGCAAAATCGCCGCTCCCCCACTGGAGCCCTTCCGCACGAACGGGGGGGACCATCTACTTAGTGGTGCCCAACAAGTAGATATCCCACGACAAAAGTGTTACAGTTACACACTTGCTGTCAATTCAGCAACACAAATTTTCTTCGTATGAATGCAATGCAAAGATGAAGATCATAAGGGAAAACACGTATGGAACGAGGCTCAAAAGCATTTCTGGCATGACAGAGGTTGTCTGTCATGCTGGGCCTACAACACAAGAATGTGTAACTGTATCACTTTTTTCTTCGCATAGTAGAGCCACCTCTGGAAAAGCCCGTCATCGACGAAGAAACTCTCGACGACGTCGCAAACTATCAAATGCAAAAATGTCTGGGTCTGGAGGAAACTTGTGATGCTAAAAGTGAATGGTAGACGGACTGCAATACGCAGCTATGCATGACAATTTTTTTGGCTCCCATGTCTTACGTATTCCGCATGGCAAACTGCGTTTTTGCATGACAGGTAAGAGGGCCTTTTCGTGCCTATGCAACACAGATTCTCAAGTCATGCCAGACAAGTGACAAACTTGCATTCTTCCAGACCCAGACATTTTTACAGTTGATACAAACTCCACCTTTCTGAAACTCCCCTCCGGCCGCATGGCGGGCGATCGCCGAATCCCCTTGGTGATTTGGGGCAAGATCCGCCTGTATCAAATGCAAAAATGTCTGGGTCTGGAAACTTGTGATGCTGGGTGGCGTCTCACGATGAGGCCACAAGTGCTGGCTTAGCATGACAAGTTTCTGAGCTCTGTAGGTGTTGCCTATTCTGCATGACAAACTGCGTTTCCGCATCACAGTAAAACGGAGCTCTTGGGTAACGTGCATGACAGATTTAAAGAGTCATGCCAGACAAGCATGACAAACATGCATTCTTCCAGACCCAGACATTTTTACATTTGATAGCCTGCAGCCGAAGGGACGGGACGAGGTGCTGGAGGAGAACCAGGCAAACCACGGGCGGGTCCAGAAGGCGCACATGCTGTTGACCCGGCAAGCGCTCGGATTAGTGGTCCCCAAATCCTGCATGTCCGTCGTCCCGAAAGCGAACCGGAAGGAAATGATCGACGCTGGGTTACTCGTATCCTGTGCAAAAGTGTCGTACTAGTATAAATTGCATTACAAATTGGCCCAGCATTACAAATGAAATTGAATTTGTAATGCTGATTTGCCTTGAGAAAGAGATTTGTAATGCATAAATGCAATTAGTAGGAGTGCGATACGTTTGCACTTCATAACTCGCCCTCGACGCGGAGGAGAAGCACCAGTTTTTGAACTATCAACTGCAAAAATGTCTGGGTCCGGAAGAGCCGGGGATTGTCATGCACATTTTGCATGACCCGTGAGGTCTGTGATGCTGGTGCTAGCATCACAGATTTTTTGAGAGGTTGTTGATGCTAATCACGCATGAGAAATGTCCTCTCCGCGTGCCAAGAGCTGACTCCTCTTGCTGCTCATGCAACACAGATATTTCTAGAACTAGATGAATCCGCAGACAGCATTAAGTACAAGTTTCAATCTTCCAGACCCGGGCATTTCTGCATTTGATATGAACGACGAGGAGATCAAAGACCAGGACCAGGATAGCGAGCTCAAGTTCGGGGTATCCTGTGCAAAAGTATCGTACTCGTATTGCAGTCATGCATTACAAATCTTTTCCTTAAACCAAAATCCGCATTACAAATTTTATTTCTCATGCTGAGAAAATAATTTGTAATGCATTTATACGAGTACGATTTACTTTTGCAATGCATACGGGGAGAACATCAGCAACGTGCGGAACAAGAACAGCAAACTCCTCGAAGAGTTATCAAATGCAAAAATGTCTGGCTCTGGAAACTTGTAATGCTAAAATGTGCAAGAGGAAAACACTTCCTTATGCAGAAAAGCATGACAAGTTTGCAGAACGCTTGCCCATTCGAAGTCCGCATGAGAAACTGCGTTTTTGTATGACATGAGAGGCTACCACTTTTGTTGGTCACGCAATACAGATTTCACAGGAATTCAAGACCAGCATGACAAGTTACATCCACCTTCCAGACCCAGACATTTTTGCAATCCATAAGAGTCGAAGAACTACAAACCCCAGCCGTTGATGATTCTTGGCACTTTATCCTGAGTAAAAACGTCCCCACACCAGAGTTGTAATGCAGATCCGCAAAGACAGGAAGACTTGTAATGCGCATCCCTATGAGACCCATTTCTTATCGTGTTTTGGAATTTGTGATGCTGTGAACAGGATGAGCAGATGAATCTGTGACGCGGCTGCACTTGCTAACCTGCACTACACTGCATAGTGCAACTTGTCATGCGTGACTCACAAAGCTCCTAGGTTTGTGTTGCAAAATCCTCATCCTGACTCTAGTGTGGGTACGCTTTTACTCAGGATACACTTTATCCCGCGTGCTCGATGTGAACATGAAGAATTTGAGGCTGGGGCTGCAGATCCGGCAGCCGCAGGAGGACACGCTGCTGTTCTGGATCATGAGTGATTACGCAAGAGTGTCCGTTATGGGCCCGGACGAGGAAGATTTAGACTTGATGGACCGGCTCGGGAAGGACGAGGCCACCGTGATTGACGAAGATCGGGAGCGGTTTCTGGACATTTGCGAAAAGCTCCAAGCCATGAACGGCCGACGGGTTTCGCAGGAGGGGTGGTACGAAACGCTCCGGGCGCAGGTGGTGGAGTGCCAGCTACGCCCCACGGAGACGCTGGACGGGTTGCTGCAGGTAACCGAACCCTGCCCGAACAAGTGCGGGATGCGGATCGACAAGCTCTACTTGGCCAGGAGGAGATTGCACTTGTACCAGGAGTGCAACGTGCAGGCGGCGAAAAACATGCTGTCCGCGGCGATTCTGCGCAGTACAACCAGTGGAACAAACAGTACTGGAAATAAAATGAACGCGGCGCCGGTGATCTGCCCCCCGGCAACCTCCGAGTCGGTCCGGCAGCAGATCAAGCAGCAGTTGCCAAACCCACCGCTCTATGCATTGCAAATATGTCTGGGTCTGGATGAGTGGAAGATTTGTCATGCACATTTTGCGTGACTCATAAATCTGTGATGCATGCCGTAGCATGACAGGTCGTTTTGTGAGGGCTTCCTAATGTTGCCTATACCGCATGAGAAATATCCCCTACTCGTAGCAGCTAATAGAATCCTGTTTCTGCCCATGCAATACAGATTTTTTCAGAATCGAAAGGCAGCATCACAAGTTCGCATCCGTCCAGATTCAGACCCAGACAGTTTTGCATTTGATACGCTCTACCCCCTGACGACCGAGCAGGAGATGCTGGCGGCAGCGACGGTGTTGCAGCAAAACGCGATGAATCGGCAACGGGAGGAGGAGTTTCTGCTGTATCGGAAGGAGCAGGAGACGCAGCGGCAGGTGTTCAAATCCACCCGGTTCGAGGACGAGGAGGACGAGGTGGAGCCGATCTATTACAACTAGGGAGGACGTCGAGCAGCTGATGCTTTCTTCACACGACCACTTCAACCTGACGAGAGAAATTTGATTTCCAAGAATTATGGCACAGATTGAACAGATTTTCACTTCTATAAATATGACCACTTCAGCTCGATCACAAACACAATCACTTGACAGTTTGTAAGCAAGAACGCTCAACAGAAGAATGTGAATGGGGTTATGGGTTAGGTTAACTACGAGAGAGGTCACGATGGTACAATGGCGGATGCAGAACCAAGTATTCCTTCTAGCAAGTGTAACATCTACGATTACGATTATGCACAATTCGAAGTTCAATTTGATCTTTTCTTATTCTTTTCTTGACACGTAAAAACAATCTACCTTTGACAATTTCTATAGCATCAATTTCCAGGTTTTGAATCGATCGAGAATAGCAGGAAGGTTCTTCAGCGTTTTGTTTTTAGGTTATTATCAATGTACATTAGTCGCTTGGATGGTGAGGCATTCTTTCATACTGTACAAAAAAATTTTCGTTTGAGCAATTCACTGGGCAGACGCATTTTAATATCTCTCTGTGTTGGCATTACACTAAAATTTTGTTGGATAAATGAAAACTCGGCGGTGTGTGGCTCGTATTGTTCAGCGGCATTGTTTTCGCCTCTTCTTCAAAGAATGGAAGCGCGAGGATCGATTTTTTTTATTGGCGACGTCGAGGAGGTCTCAGATCTCGCATTGGTGTAGTTACCAATCGCAGTAAGCAGATGCCATTGCAGCTCTGTCCTTTTTTACTTTGCCTCACAGGCTGACTAAGGAGCTACGATGGGATCGGTTGGTGACGAACGCTTTTTGGTTTTGACGTATCGAAATCCACGCTAATTTTTTAACAATCTGCAAGTGGTTTTTCCGTTCGCTGCAAACTATACCATTATGATGTCGGACTTCTGGGAGACCACCTTACCAGCGGAAGTTCTCCTTCCCATCTGTAAATTTCTCTGCACGAAAGACATTCTCCACCTGGAGCTCTCCGGCAAATGGTTCAGCCGGGTCCCCTCCGAGGTCCGCCGGCGCATCTGGTACACGAAGGCGGAGCAGGTTTGCGGTGTGTGGCTGGATTTCTTAAAAGAGAGCGATCTTCATGTCGCTCCTGCATCAAGAATTGCCGCGTTGGTAGGAGCAACTACTTCTCGGGAAGGAGATTTTCATTTTGGAAACACGTCCTCCTCCACCCGTACATTTCCTTCTCCGCAAATAAAGCTCGAGCAACTGATCGCGAAAGTCGATGAAAGCGCTTTCAAGTACTTGGCGTTACTGTCCGACCGCCGTTATCCTGTGCAAAAGTATTCTACTCGTATTGCAATCATGCATTGCAAATCTTAAACTTAATCTTTCTCTTAAGGTGCATCAGCATCACAAATTTCATGTCTCATGCTGAGGGAATTTGTCATGCATTTATACGAGTGCGATACTTTTGCAGTTCATAGCCGTCGGGTGAACGCAACAAGGAGGGAGGTAGCACTGCAGTTGCATGGAAGCACTTCTACTACGGAGAATGGTGCAGAGGATGTTGACGCAGGAGACGCAAGTCCCTCGTCATTAAATATCGCCGGCGAGGAAATTCGCTGGTGCGCGGCGGAGGAAGATGAAAATAGACCAACTTCTGGTCGATCAGTCGCACAACAACTCCCACACTCGGTTTTGCTGGAGGAATTTGCGAATGGGCTGGAAGCAAAGCTTGGACGTGCCAAAGTAGTACACGACGACAGCAGAGCAGGTACGAGAGGACCTCCTGCAGGACCGCTACGACCTTCATCTCCTTGTCCTTCTGAAGTAGATGAAGAAAATGCTACGAACGACGCTATCCGCCGCTCCCTTATCCACACGCTGCGATGCCGCGCGATGGAGGTCGCGGCGATGGAAGGGCAGTTTCCCGCGCAGGAGGTGCTGCATTTTTCCCAAGCACTAAAGGACATCTTCACGGTCTACTGCGACCCAGCGTTCAATTTGGCCACCGCGTTTGAAGTGACGCAGACAGAAAATATTAGAGCGAACGGGAAAATGAACTACAGAGAAGGACGTGATCGTCTTCATGCTGGACACCAGCAAGGAAACGAGAATACTCTCGAGGAAAGCGAGGATGTGAGGACGCAACTAGACCGGCTGCAGTACGAGGTCTCAGAGCCGTGTATTCTGGAGTGGGTAGACGGACCAGCGTCGATGCCGGTGCAGTTGAAGGTCGGATGTACTGTCCGAGCCGTGTATAGTAACGGCAGCTCGTCATCCAGGCGGAACAATACCTGGGAGAGATTCTACGGAGCAAGTGAAGATGCAGCTACTCTAGACGTAGATCTAGAAGCAGACGTTGAAAAATACGAGGAAGAAATACACGGCACTTCTACGTCGACATGTGGCTCCTTCGAGAAGGAGAGGAAAAAATATGCCGACACTTTTCTGTACCAGGCTTGGAGCTTTCTGCTCCACGATGAAGAAGACGAGATGGTTGTGAGGCACGTAGCTGGAAACAATTCGACCTTCGCGGACGAGAGCAGCTGCTCGGTTGCAGCTCGAGACAGACACAGACGAAGTTTCGATGGCGATGACATATTCTCAGACGAGGATGCTGAAGAGGGTGCGACGTATGAAGACGATGAGAAGAAAGTTGCGGTTCTTCCGGACGGTGATGGGTTGATAAATGAAGAGCCGAAAATTGTCCGCCACCAGGTCGACAGTCACAGTTGCTCCGAAACAAACGCAACACTCAGGCGCCAGCGGTGGGAGCGAGAGAAGCTGGAATTCTCGCAAATCATGTTCGAGCTCTTCTGTAGCAGCGACGAGCCTGACGCGGTCAGCGTGGGCGGGACGAGTGCGACAGACGAAAAGAAGGTTGAGGAAGATAAAGTTTCAAAAACAGCCACTCCTCGTACACCAGAAGTCGGCATCAATGACGCTGCTGCGATGAGCCCCGCAACAAGGCGCAAAGTACTAGAAGAAGGTGTCTTCGTCTCACCAAAAAGCCGTTTCTCTTCGCCAGGAGAGAGATCGACACAAGACGAAGTCTTTTGGTCACCGGTTTCCACCAGCAACGCGGAAGAGCCTCGACTTGAGTCGCCGGAGTCAAAGAACACAGAAGATGACCCTAATAGAAAAGATACGGAGCCTCCTCGCGAAACACTGCCCCAGCCACACGTTGGTCCTGTTTCATGGGCCGCAACACGAGACGAGCAGGGGGGCCGATCGCCCGTTCTTGCGTCCACTGCAGGAGCGGTAGAGGACGAGGAGGAGGAGGCTCCTGTGGGGCTTGCTAATAAAAGTAAAACCGAGACGAGTGCAGATTCCGCATCCACCAACAGCAACAATCTTGAAGATATTGACCCTCCCACAACAAGAACCTCCGACTGCTCTACCACCCGCGCGAGGACCAGCTCGCTTTCAAAGTCCCTGGGCTTCGAAGTTGGCGACGAGAAATCGGTAGAAACGTTTCTCAGCCACGTGCAGGCGTGCTCGTTCCGCGATAACTTGCTCTCCAGATGCGAACGAAACCTCGAGTTCACGTTCTCCCTCGCACTGGACGAAGGCGGGCAGAGCACCTGGGCGCGGCACTGGGACCGCCAGGACTGCCAGTACGATGTGTTTCTCCTAGTCTCCGGACGCGGGGCACCACCCGTGGTCGTAGGCCGCCGCGGTCACGCTCCGGCCGAACGAAGTGGTACTACTAGCTCCTTTGCGGATCACCAAACCTCGATGGAGGCAACGCAACTACCGCGACTGCACATGTTCCACGGCTCGAACTACGGTGTGATGCGCGCGTCGAGCCTGTTGACCCAGGAGAGCGGGCTGGTGCGGGTGCAGGTACCGGAATCGCTGCTGTTCCCGAATTCCGTCGCCGGCCGGGTGTCCTTTTCGCGGACGGTCTTGCGGTCGAGTGCATTGTTCACGAAAAAGGATTTGGTGGAGGTGCTGCTGGCGGTGAAGCGAAGCGGATTTTCTTGTTTGCAGCACGATTTTATTGATATTGTGGATTCAGACCAAGACGAAGAAACTAGCAAGCGTGTAGCTTCTCTTGCACCGGCAGCAGACGTCGAACTGGGAGCTGCAGCAGCAGGTTCTTGCAGTACTCCTTCTAAAAAGCTAGCTGCACGACCAGGAGAGAAGGCTACGACAGATCATGATGCAAACCGCGAAGACACCACGATCAGAAAGTTGGTCGATCTCGTTGAGAAACGGAGATGGAGCAGCGCTGCAGTGTCAACATCTGCTGACGACATCGATACAACCACAGCGCGGCCACTTCCTGCCGTCTCGTCGCTGAAGAAACAGATTTTGCAGCAGGCCATGCGACTACAAACAAGGTGGGAGGAAACGCTGCGGGACAACATTATTCATTCAGGCACCAGGAAACGAGGGCGCAAGAGCAAGACCGCGACCGCCGGTGAAGTAGACCGTGCTGACACTACAACTGGAGTTGTGCAAGAAGTCACAGGTGAAGGATCATCTATCGCGGCACTCAACATGGATTATACCAGGCCTGCGGTCGTGTCAGAAAGGGACGTCGTGGTGCAAGAGGACCCGAACACCGTCCGTGGTGCTCGCGGTTTAATACCGCCGGAGGTTCAGGTCGCTGCGAATGTTCCGCAGAACAAAGCAGGGCCATCACCTGAGGTCGTCCAACAAACAAGCGTTCTCCGGGCGCTGGTCCGCGTCCACGCCCTAAACGCGAGACCGCGCTGGATTCCGCTCGATTTGCAGCCCTTTGTCACCACCGCGAAAGTGGATGATTGGGTGCCGGATAGCACGACCGATATATTCAGGATGGACTGAAGATGAAACTGAAGTTTTCGTTGTGCCAAGCGGTTGATGTGTCACTGGTCTTCTGGAGGACGATCTGATGGAGATGAGCATGAACTTGCTGAACGAAGGTGGTCTACTTCGACCGCCCTCGTTGGCGAGACGAATCATGAAACGCTGGGCATTTTTGGAGGTAATAAAAATAAAATTTTGGAATTTCGCGGATTTGTGTTCACAATAAAAATAAAATTTTCAAATTTCGCGGATTTTGAGACAAAAGCAGTGCGGACCCTCTAGAATTTAGGGCATAACACAGTCTCCAGTATTGTCCTGCTCGTCTTTATTAATTTTGAGTGCCGGACATGCAATAAAAATAAAATTTTAAAATTTCGCGGATTTTGCTCACCAATAAAAAATAAAAATTGAAGTTGACAGCCATTCTAAAGGTATTGGCAGTGGTCGCAGTGAGATATATGCATGTAGGTGGTAAGAAAGGTGGTGTATGATGCCACGTTGATCCCATGTTGATAGTCAGTCTACCCATTTGCAATTTTCCTTTGTTTGTCCGCAATAAAAATAAAATTTTGAAATTTCGCGGATTGTGTGACTTTGCAGGCTTTGCCCCAACCCCAGAAACGGCAGCCGAATGGACTGCATTCACGATGGTGTGGCGATTTTCCAGGGTGCCCGAACAGGGCTCCAGAGTGGTGGGTCGAAAAGTGCTCAATTTGAGGAGCGCCGTTGGCCACGTATTACGATGGCAGAGCGGTTTTCCGGGCCGCCCAAAAGGGAATCAAAACTGTCAAACCCAAACCCCTCACCGCTCCTCCATTGAGCGCTGGGTTCTGGTCGCTAGCGCCAATGTTGGAGTGATCTTGCGGGGTGCCGTCCGAAAGGGAACCAAAATTAGCGGGTCTTCCCGCGCTCCATTTGAGCGCTGCTTTTGGTCGCTAGCGCCAACGGCGGAGTGCTTTTCCGGGCTGCTCAAAATGTGCTCAAAAAGGCAGGCCAATTCATCGTGTTCCTTTTGAGCGCGGCCTTTGTCTTCCTGCGCCGATGGTCCAACGGTCCTCCGGACTGTCCGAAATGGCCCACCCGGTTTGGCTCTTGATCGCGGGGCGCGAGGGTGGATAATTGGCTCTCCGGGTAGGTAGCTGCCGAAAGGCGTCTATAGACAAGGTTTGGACTGCAGCTCATCGAGTGGTTGACGCCGTTTGATGTTGACTCGTTCGGATTTACATTGTTTCCTTCTACTTGTTCAGCTTCGCGCTCAACATGTGCACCATCCGACGAGTCGCAGCTGGCAGTACAGATCTTTCGTCTCATCGCAGCAAGGCCAGCAAGGCGCAAAAGTGTGAGCCGTTTCTTGATGTCACACGATCAATGTTCATGAACTAGAGGTTTATACTTCTATTCGTTGTTAGCCGCACTGAAAACCCGAGCCCGACCAAGATCCTGATCGCTTATATATTTTGCGAATTGAAAGAAAACAACAGTCCCGACGTCAGTATAGGTTTTTGTGCTCCGGTGTCAGAGGCATTTTCGTCGCTCGAGCAGGCAGACTCACTTTCATTTCCCTGTGTTGTTTCCCCACAAGAAGTTTAGAACTTCTCCTTTGCCAGTACTGTGTAGTCTCGTTTAGTAGTAGTTGTGAACAAGCTTATGTGCCAGTTGTACCAAGAACGGTCTAGTTGAAGAGTTTGAATTACAACACCCAACTAAGTAGTACCGTCTTCCAATATGTCTTCGTCCCAGTACGGGAGTTTTTTTTCCTTCGCCCAACCCCCCGGAGTTGGAGCCCCGCCGGCACCCGGTGGCGCTGCTAACCAGCAACAGCAAGCAAACCAAGCACGACCTCCGAGCGCGAAGAAGGCACGAAGGACCTCTTCCCCCGGAAGCCGAAGCAAGGATGTGGTTATGGGCGGCACGACAACACTGGGTGGTGGAACGACAACTACAGCCGGCCCAGCAGCGGGCAATAAAATGTCCATTACCGGCCTTCCCAATTATCCCCCAGCAGGCTCCAACATGTTGAACCGTGCGTCCACCGCCACCAGCGGGTTTCCGACTGCTGCAACGGGGTTCGAAAAGACGAAAAACCGCCAGTGGACGGAAAAGTATCGGCCGAAGAACTTGAACCAGATCGCCGCGCAGAAGGACGCCGTGGACCTCTTGCGCGCGTGTTGCAAGGACCAGGAGTTCCCCTCTTTCCTCTTCCACGGGCCCCCGGGCGTCGGGAAAACCACCGCGGCGCTGGCGTTTTGTCGGGAACTGTTCGGAGCAGATTTCGATAAACGCGTGTTGGAAATGAACGCGAGTGACGTATTGAGAGGAAAAATCCCCCCTCCCCATATCGAGCAGGTATGTTTCCGAAAACTTGTCTTGCTGATTTGAGACCACAAATCACGCCCGTCTTGCAAGGAGCCAATTGCAGAGGCTTCCGCGCCACTATGGAAGCGACTTGGCATGCGGTTGGGCCTAGGGGACAGCTGTTTGTAATGCTAAACAACTAGACCCAGTCGCCCCTCCCTAGGCCGAGGATCTGGCTGCGATGCCGTATTGCAAGACAGCGCGCATCTGTGTACGAAAATCCAGCATCACAAACCTCGTCTCGATATGGGGAGGGGGGTTTTTCCTTCTGATATGACGAGCGCGGGATCGAGGCCGTGCGGAGCCGGGTGAAAACGTTTTCGCAGATCTCCTATGGATTGTAAAAATGTCTGGGTCTGGAAACTTGTGATGCTGTTAGTTTGTGCATGACACAGGAGGTCTAGCATGCAAGTCCTAGCAACACAGTTTTTGAGCAGGTTAGGCGATGCCGAATCCGCATGACAAGTTCCCTCTTTTGGTAGCAAGAAGTGAGCAGCTTTTGCGGTCCATGCATGACAGATTTTTTTCTGTTCTCATATACGCATTAGAAGTTTACATGTTTCCAGTCCCGGACATTTTTACATTTGATATCTCCTGTGGCGTAAGTGCGAGGCCGAACGAGAAGGGTGCTGGTGGAGGTGGGAAAATGAACATCAAAGTATACGATCTTTTTAGGTACTGATGTAGGCGATGATGTTAATGTGTCGCGTGCTGTTGGATCCAGATGATGAAGAGGACGTAGACCAATCATGAACAACTGGTTGCAAGATTTTTTTCCATATGCTTTCGCCACACCAACCTCAAGGTGATCATCCTCGACGAGGCAGACCAGATGACGAAGGAAGCCCAGGGGGCCCTCCGGCGGATCATGGAGCAGTACGTGAAATCGACTCGGTTTATCATCCTGTGCAACTATGTCTCCCGTATTATCGATCCGATCCACAGCCGGTGCATGAAGTTCGAGTTCAAAGCCTTGCCGGACAACGACCATTTAACCCAGCTTCAAAAAATCGCTATCCTGTGCAAAAGTATCGTACTCGTATTGCAATTATGCATTACAAATGGCAAATCAGCATTACACATGCTGAGGAAATTTGTCATGCATTTATACGAATACGATACTTTTCCACAGGATAATCGCGACCGCGGAGCAACTGACCGTCGCGCCGAACGACTTGTCGGTTTTACTAACGCTTTCCGGCGGCGACCTTCGGCGGAGCACGACGTTACTGCAGATGGCGGCTGCGGTGGATGGACAGGAGAATAACAACACGCTGACAGCCGATCATTTCTACAAACTGTACCAGCGTGTCCCGCCGGAAATTTTGCGGAAGTTGCTTCATGAAGTGTGCTACATTAAGGAACACCCAAGAGGTTTGATCGAGGTGAATAGTTTCGTCGAGCGCCATCTGATCCGCGAAGGGCATTCGTTTGCCAAGGTGATGGACGATTTGTTTGATTATGTGAGGCAGCGAGGGGCCTACGCGGCGCTGAAACTGGATCCGAATTTTCCGGAAATCTCGGCGATGCGGGTTGCATACATCTCCAGGTTGATCGCGGAGTGCAGTTATGCATTGCAAAAGTAGCATCGCCATCGCCCACTAAGAAGAAAGATTGCATCTGCATCACAAATATGTTGTTCAGTCGCTTAGTACGAATTTCCAGCTGGAAATCGAAAGTCGCGCACGTTTTGGGCCGTGTGGGGGAGCGAAGTGTCTTGTTCCCGACCTGACTCAGCAACAGCAGCGCGCATGACTGCAATTACCTTCTAATATACGAGTGCGATATAATGACTTTTGCAAGCCATAACAGTGAGAAAGTGACGATTTACCGTAGTAGTGAGTCCGTGCAAATGCGGTACTTATTCCAGCAAATCCGGATGACGTTGACCCACCCGTCCGACCCGTCGGTGCCGAAGCCTTTTCCGGAAGAGCTGGTGAAGTTGACGCAGATAGCGGGTGGCGCATAACATCAGGAGCGGCCCTGTGAAAGGATCGTACGATGAACAAAGCGTCAACCACTTACAAACAACTTCACATCAGAGTACGCGTTCTGTCATATAGACACGACGGCACTTAGCGACCTTCCAATAACATCCACAAGACGACGGTGCCCTACTTGCCTAAGGCAGAGAACACTCGAAATGGATGCACAGTAACGTAGCTGTGTTCATCATCTGTGCGAGATATTCGGTGACTCTGTACTAGTGGTCGACATCAGGATCATGATATGCTTCAACTATGATTTCGGTTAATGCAGTTGCAGCTCGGCATACGTGAGCATTTTTGGAGAGTGGTAGGGTAGATGAAGAGTTCATCACGGTAACAAGGCATAACCATGCGAGCCATTTTTTCGGTCGTATCGCGGAGGCAACAAAACCAAAAGTGTAGTTGATACGCGCAGAAATAAACATCAGCCACCCTCCTGTTTCGTACACAGAATTTACTGCTTCAATAGCCACCGCAATTGATATATACACCGCTTAAGTATTAAAAGACCTACTTGTTCCGTTACCCGAGTGTCTACTTTCTCAAACTACTAAGCTGCACAAGCTAATTTTGAGCTCGAGCTTTGAACTGGGTTGATAATAACTTACGGTGCTAACAATAATAAATAAACCTCTGACTTGTCATTTTTTTTCCTTTAGTGTGAAAAAAAAGGCTGATCATCTCGAACATCAAAACAAGAAAGGACCACGACCTCACCGCGGTGGTACGATGAAATTGAAATATTTCCTTCAACTGGGAGCAGCACTTCCTTCCGAGCAACACCTCCTTGCCGACGCCGCCGCTTGCAGCGCGACGTGCGCCAACGAATTCCGCACGGGGTGTTTCAAGCATCAATGCACGATCATGGGGAAAACCACGGCCGCTGCGATCAACGCCTGCCGGCACGAGCTGGACAACCAGATCGGCCCGATCGCCAACCGTTGCCCGGGGGAAGTCGGTTGCACGGTATGCATTGCAAAAGAAACAATCGTACTAGTATAAATTGCATTACAAATTGACTCAGCATTACAAATTAAGTTTGTCATGCGGATTTGCCTTAAGAAAAAGATTTGTAATGCATAAACGCAATTAGTACGAGCACGATACTTGTTTTGCACTGCATACTCGTTGACAACAAGCGATTTGGATTGTTCCACCCAAGTCGGCCCCTCTGCAGCCGCGCAGGCGGCGCACGTATCAAATGTAAAAATGTCTGGGTCTGGAAGAATGCAAGTTTGTCATGCTTGTCTGGCATGATTCGAGAATCTGGGTTGCATAGGCACCAAAAGGCCCTATTACCTTTCATGCGAAAACGCAGTTTGCCATGCGGAATACGTAAGACATGGCAGCCAAAAAATTTGTCATGCATAGCTGCGTACTGCAGTGCGTCTATCATTCACTTTTAGCATTACAAGTTTCCAGACGCAGACATTTTTGCACTTGATAGCACGCGGCGCGTTGCAAGACCGCGACGCCGACGACACCGGATGCGTACTCCGCATCGTCGTTTGGCGCCACGATCCGCATCGTCGGCGACAGCTGCTTGTCCGGCGACGGCGTGCAAGCGGGACTCGCAGAGACGCTGCAGACGACCGTGACCAATTGCGCGAAGGGCGGCGCGAAATTGTCCGAAATCTACTCGTATCCTGTGCAAAAGTATCGTACTCGTAGTAATTGCGATCATGCATGACAAACATCCCTTTTTAGGTAAATCAGCATTACAAATTCCATTTTTCTTTTTGAAAAAATTTGTGATGCAATTTATACTAGTACGATACTTTTGCAATGCATAACTCTTTGCAGACCGCGTGCTCGTCCGATAGCAACTGTCCGAAGTGGTCCATTGTGGGTGGCGGACGCAACGGGGTCGGAACCTCCGCCGACTTCGGCGCGACGCCCGCCCCGACGACCACGCTGGAAGCGATGCGGATCTTAGTGAACCGGGAAACGGCGGCCGGACGGAAGGTGGTGCTTTTTCTGTATCCGCCAGACCAGGCGACCGTCGACCCGGCGTCGGCCATCAACACGTTCCAGAACGAATTCAAGGAGGACCTCGTGAACAACAGCATATGCAATACAAGTTTCCCGTACATGTACAAGATGCATCACAAATTTCACCAATTTAAAGGGTAAAACTTGTCATGCTAGACTAGGATGGAGTCCAATTTTTGTCATGCAGAGACCGCATGTGTACGTGCTGTACGGGAAATTTACATTGCATACAGCACGGTCTTCGTCTACGACCCGCGGTTGGATACGCGGTTCGATTTCCTGGACCCCAATTCCCGCCAGTACCGCGCGACCGACAACTCGCATCCGAGCGAGCTCGCCCGGACCGAGATGGGAAAAGCGCTCGGGGCGCTGATTCAGCAGTGGACTTCTGCCGCAGGGAGTAGTAGTTCAAGTTCTTCTTCGGGAACGGGTACTGCAACTGGCACGGGTACTACGGGCAGTACGGCCGGGACTGGGACGACCGGGACGACCGGCGCTACAACTACCGGCTCCGGTACCACTGGAACTGGTACAACTTCTGGCAACAACCCTGGACAACAACAAGAAAACGGCGCCATTACAGTTTCGAACGCTGAAAAAGCGTCGGGCGGGCGGGGTCCGTTTTGGTCCAAGATTTTGTTTCTTGCAGGTGGAAGCTGGTGGCATGCGCGCAGGGCGAATCAGGGGAATCTACGGGGTGGAGCAGGGAGAGGTGGACGTCGTGGCCGGAACGATTAAACGCACTACGTCGACGTGAACTAAGCGATCATTATTTTGGTTTCTTGAGCATGAACTTTCGAATAGATGATCGACGGCCTGATGTTGCGACAAGAGGCGCACTTTCATCAGTTACAGCAGTAAAGGAGGTGCAAATTCATGATGAGTCACGCCTAGTATCAGAATGGATTATAACTTCTACATACAAAAACAACACACAGCGCACGGCAATCTGCCATCCCTATCTCGTGATCTGACTGCATGGAATTGAATTCGAACATCACTTAAACCACAATGTTGTTTCCACCATCCACCTGCATGGTATCGAAATCTCCACTATCACACTGACAGCTTGGTGACGTTGTCGAAAATAAGTATGCCGCGACTGCAGTAGACGCGGATATTCATATTAATCACGACCGCGAGTAAATATTGAATTGTTCGTGCTGTTGCGTATCGGTGTCTTTTGTCTAGGTAGCTCGTTAGGACAAAGACCTTCACTTCATTTTCCATGATCTCGTTCAGCATCATCTTCGTTTCGTCCAGCATTTTGCAGTGAGAAACACGTTGAGATCATGTCAATGTCTTTCACATCCTCACGTGCCAGCCACTATTCGTCGCATTAAAGTCGTTCACAACTACTGCGTGCTAGGCCACAAAAAAGCTCGACGTCCCCGTGCAAGTATCGTCCTGAGTGCAGAGGTTTTTTTCCAACGTAACTACAGGAGAGCGGTTCTACAGCCACTGCCACCTAACCAAAATGCTAGTTTTATTTTGCATGTTGAAACCGAAAGTGACGTTTTAGATCAGTCAACCTTGCTTTTTCAAACTGCAGTTACACAGCAACTCCCAAAGACGGAACAGCAGCACGACTCCCACTGGCGTGCTTCGCATTTTCTCACTACCTTTCCACGCATAATTCGTACGTCAGATTTTTACTTTTCGTAAAACACGACTCCAAGCTTGTACCCCACAAAAATGTCCGACCCGTCCGCCCCGACGCTTTTAGAGCGTGTTTCCACCAAGGAGAAGAAGAAAAAATCCACAAAGGACGACGATTATGCATTGCAAAAGCATCGTACTAGTATGAATTGCAATACAAATTTAGCATGAGAAACAAATGGAATTTGTAATGCGGATTTGCCTTAGTAAAAAGATTTTTAATGCACCATGGCTGCAATTACTACGAGCCCGAAACTTTTGCAATGCATAACGACGATGACCTGGACCGGGACTGGAAGGCGGACTACAAGGCGCTGAAGAAGGCCACGTCTGCGGTATGAGAGGGCACAACCCCCCCCCTCCCCCTCATTTGTCATGCAAAATACCAAATCTAAGCCGCTGCCTTGTGGTACTGTTTGCATGACAGATTCCGGAAGCCCAAACAGTTGTACTACATTACGGGCATGAAGTTGTCATGCACAGACCTCATATGTGTGTATGTTTGTATTGCTGTTCATGCAATACAAATGAGGTGGAGCAGGGGGAGTTGTGCACTGTCATATGCGGAACAGAAGGAGCTGAAGGACTTGAAGGAAAAGTACACCTGCCCGGTATCCTGTGCAAAAGTATCGTACTCGTAGTAATTGCAGTCATGCATTACAAATTTTTTTCGCAAGGTAAAACAGCATGACAAATTCCATTTGTCATGCTGAGCTAACTTGTATTGCAATTTATACTACTAGTACGATGCTTTTGCAGTTCATACCCGGTGGTCACTTACGAGGACAAAGACAAGTGGAAGGAGGCCTGCAAAGTTCTCGAGCGGGAGGTGGAGGAATTCTGCGAGCGGTCGCTGAAGGATCCGGGGAACCAGTTCGGAATGAAAGTGCTCGTCGAACTGGAAGAAATGATCGCGACCAAACTGCACCAGATTCTGATGGGCAAGCACAAGCAGTTCTGCGAGCTGAAGGCCAAGGAGATCCGGACGGCGCTGCAGGCGGCCAGCAACGCCTACATCGAGCGGGTGCGGGACGAGAGCGGGTTCCAGATCTCCAAACCCTATCCCGCGTTCAACTACTCCGTGGTCCGGCACATGATGCTCGGGGTGTTTCTGGAAATTACGAATTCGAAAAACTTCCGGCTGGGGGCAAAACCGGAGGAGGTGCTGGAGTTGGAACGGAAAGCTGCTAAGTTGAAGAACAAGTAGCGGCTTCACGAAGTTGTGTTCACTTTCATCTTCGTGCCGGCATGCAAAATGTTGGCACGACTGAAAACGACCAGTCGTCACGCTTTGAAGTGCAAATAACTCTCTGGAGGACAATCCACGAGGACCATGATCATATCGGCGCCCTTTATTGATATCCATGATTTATTAGTTTACGTTTGTTTAGAAGCATAGCCTGTTTCAAGAGTACGTACCTGGAGTATAGTTCGAAGCAGCTGCTGTTGCTGAACAGGAAACCAACAGTCCTTCGACCCATTAAAAATGCAGTCTACAGGATCGACATATATTTTTTTAAAGTTTCGGCACCAACGCTTGCCGTAAAAAAGTTGCTATACTTCTTTGAATTCAGAATCAAACTTATACCAGTAGTTCAGATTATCTAATACGGTTTTACGTTAGTTTGCGTCGAAGTATGTTTGAAAATGGAAGAGGTGCGGATGGTTCTGTGGTGTATCGTTACCTCCACAGAATTAGAAATGGGTTCTTTTGTTCAGATTTGAGTTCCCTTCAGTGAACAAGATCAAGAACTCTTCTTACAGCGGACTACCTGATCAGACCCAGACGCTCCTGTCAATTACCAGTCCATCGTTCGAAACAGGATCCAGAAAAGATCACGCAAGACGATCGGAAGTTCCAGTTCCTTTAGTCTGGACAGCTCCCCGTTCACGTTTGTGGAAGGATCAACGGGCGAACGGATATGGACCGTTCTGACATGCCAGATCGCGCCTGCTCTGAAACTGCAGATCTTGTCTCGACACTTTTTCAAGATGGATCCGCGCAGGAAATGGCAATGGGTTCTGGAAACACAAAACTAGCATCGATAGCGCGCCTCGCTAAGCTATCTCTCTTCAAAAAACGAGGGCTTCTTTTTTTGATCATTTACAGGGGCTGTTTCATTCTCCATCTATAGCATTGTATTATCTTCATCTACTAGTACTGACGACGTACTACACCTTTATTCCAACTCAACAAGTTTCAAAAGTAACAAGTTTCAGCTCTGTAGCATCGTGGTTTCACAAAGTTCTATGATTTTTTTCGATAGCCCGTCTGAATACGATGTGTAGTCGTGTATTTTTCATGGTCAGAACGGCAGCGAGACTCTACCTCAAATAAAAATGAGTAAACAGAAGCAGCACTCGCCGCGAGTCGATATTTCCCCCAGCACTGTTGGGACCTCGACATCGAGCGCTTCTTCGTGTCCACGGGCGTTGAAGATCATCTACAATGGGCGCGATGGAAACAACTGGCAGGATCTCCCAAGCTCAGTGATCGGTAACCCGCGACACTATGCCTTGGTGTCCGAAGGGAGCGGGCAGTACCAGCAATCGAATTTGAAGTGTTTGATTTGCAGCAAGGTTCCTTCGCAGACTGGTGGGCTTCCGCAATGGAAAAACGTGAACTGGGACAACTACCACGCCGACGGCAAGACGCACAGGGACAATTTGCTTCACTCGTACAACAAGGGCGTGCAATTCGAACGGCGATGCCGCAACGAATTCGGGCTTTACCTCATCGGCCAAAGCTCGTGGGTGTGTCCCCAGACGGCACAAGACAACCCGGAGCTGCAACGAGTTTACCGTGGCGACCTGGAAGCACAGCAGACGAATGCCTCGCATGGACGCTGCAAATCGGCGCCCAAGAGCGCGCCGAAGGGTACGGGAAGAGGCGCGGCAGGGCCCCTCTACAACAACAGAGCTCCTTCCTCTGCGTCGAGTTCTTTCTCGATGTGGCAGAGCCCGTCAGCGTATCCTCCAAGCTACGACGGGCCTACCGACCTGTCAGTAGGCAGCGGGTCAAGAGACTCATCTCCATTCGGGCCGGGCAACACCGAACTTGGGCATTCTGCGATTCCGATATTGCTGCTTCCGCCAAGCCCACCGCAGTGGGACGGGGAAAATTGTCCAGCAGGAAGCTGGCAGCGCTTTTGTCGCCTTTTGACAAGTGGTGTTTTTGGGGCAGTGGCGGGCCGGATGCAGGAATTTGCGCAAGACCTCGCCAAATTAGACGACACCCTACTTCGCGATGCATTTCTCGGCTCCGAATCAGGCACGACAGGCACCCACGCGGTCAGTCTGGAGGATATCCAGAATGGAAAGAAGTGGTATCTCGAACGGTTGCAGGCCCATCTTGCGGCCCAGGTGCCAGTAGCTCAGACTCAGACGAGCGCCGCTGGTGGACCACGTGCGGATACATCCCCGAGCTTGGAAAGATCATTTGGTTGGCCACGGGCATCAAACGGTGCAAACGACAAGGGCAGCAGCGGACCTTCACCTCTGCCTGCCTCCACTGGGCCTGTTGCTGCTGCGTCGAGGTCGAAGACGGGTAGTCGTGCAACCGATCCTCCTGTTGGAGGCAATAAAGACCCCACTGCTGCAGCTTTACCGCGTTCACGCGGGAAAGGAAGCACGAAGCCGAGTAGCACCCCAGCCGCTCGTGCCTCCGGTGATGTACAACAAGGCCAGCAACCTGCTACAGCTCACCGCAAGCGCAATAAAAACCCTCGTCCTCCTGTGAGGACAGTCGAAGTTTCGCTTGCATCACCGCCCGGGCCGTGGAATCCGCCTGTTTCGACATCCTGGCCGAGCGGAAGCGCTACGGCCAGCGACCACGAGCGGGACGAGGTGGAGGAGCCGGATCCGCTGAGCGACCCGGCCTTCATGCGTTTGAACATGGATCTGAGCAACATCATGAAGAAGCTGAGTAAAACGTCGGACAACCAGTTCCCTTCCGAGATTCGTGATTGGATAAGAGACCACCCCAGCCACGGCGTTTTCGAGAAATGGAAGAATGTGCTCAAGCGGGAACGCACGTACGATGACCTCTGCCAGACCGGGGACGAGTTCCAAATCGCAACAAAGGACATGGAAGGCTATCTGAACTTCCTAGACCACGCACGCGATATTGAGCCTGCGCCCGAAGAAACGCTGCGGCTGATGCGCGAGCGTTTGGAGCCTGCAGGCCTCATTGACGTGTGCGGCGACACGTACAAAGACGCACTGCTTTACTTGCAGTTGCAAGACTTCCCTCAGCTTCGAGACATCATCCAGTTGATCGCCAAAAAGTGGAGGCAACAGCCGCGGACGAAGCCGGCTGTCGAAGTGCCTGCTTGTGGCGCGGGAACAGCAAAAAGCAGTTGCTCGTCCAATTCGCTTCTAAAGCTTTTTCCAGACCCGGCGAGCCGGAAACTTGCAACGACTTTTCGGGATAACATTGGGAGAATAGAAATGTTCATTAAGCACATTCACAGCTTGCCGCATTTTGAACAATTTGCTCTTGAGGTGATTGGCGACGCGGAAGTGAAACGCACGTATCGCGAGGCGGCGCTTAGCCCCGGCGGGATACCAGCTGAGATGCGGCGCGTTCAGAATTTCATCTGGAATCGTGGCCGCTGCCCGACCTGCAACACGTGCTGTGAGCCAACGGGAACGCAATGCACCACGCACGATCAATTTGGTGAGAACACAAGGCCCTCGTGGGCGAGCGATTGGGTAGACGAGAGATGCATGGCGCATTTTCTGTGGCCTTTGTTCCGTAATATGGTGGTGCACATGACGTGTCTGGCACCGTTTCAGATGTCGGAACCGCGGCAGTTCAGGCGCTTCTTTGACTTGAAAAATGGTTTGGTTACATGTCTGCAGAAGGAGTGTGGGCGAATCCTTCGCGAGGGAAGGCAGGGACGCGTGCCTGCGAGTGTAGACGCTGCGGAAAGTGCTGAGAGCGGGCGTATCGACGGAACGAAGATGCTATGGATGGTTCTTTTAGACAAGTACCCGTTTGTGGCCGAGCACGTGAACATGGTGCGCGGTGCCTGGAAAGTCCTCGACATACCCGCGTCCGGCGAGAACCATTATCATGGGCGATCGGAGTTGCACATCGCCGCGTGGGAGGGAAGCCAGGAGCAAGTGCGACGCGTTTTGCAAAAATATAGACAAGGCGCGGAAGAACAGAAGATACCTCTTGGCATTTTTGTGGAGTACACGAACAGCTTCCGTATGACGGCGTTACAGGAGACGAGGAAAGCCGCCGAGTGGAAAAGATTCACGGATCGAGACGAAGCAGGCGCCGAAAACTTGGACGCCATTTGCAAAATCATCGAGGCTGCAATTGAGGAGGACGAATGAGCAGCTTTGCTTGGACACTCATCGGCCGGCGTCACTGATTTCTACTTTTGGGGCCACGAAAACATGGCCACAGACACATACGGAAGAGAAGGCATGGTGGCTCCACCAGCACCACACAAGGTGAAATTGAAAGACGAGCAACGCATGCCACGACGCGTGAAAAAGCCCACGACTGGACCAAAAGGAAAATGATCACTATTCAAGAACCAAAGCCAAGCAACATTTCAAGTTTTCTCGTATCCCCATGATTTCAGAAAAAGAGCTTGAGTTTCCAGATCATCTTTCGGAAAAAGGTCATGCTGTTGTTCTTTCAGAAGATGCGTGCGCAGCAGCGTTTCGTTTTCAGTTTGGTTTCGAAAGAATGTGTCATTTATATTTGAGACGGATCAGAGTCAGATCATCGTGGTCGTCGTGCTTTTAGTACTGCTTAAATAAATATCCCCTTTCCCGATGGAGAACGAAATTGAGTGTGAGTTTGGCATTTGCGATCGTCGTTCACATCGATTTCGTAATCGTGTCGCGAACGTTATGGTTGGAGATTTTGCTTCGTCCGCGGGGTCGCTTTGTGGTGTCGTTCCAAGCTCGAACAATTAGAATTACTTATGATCTTGGACCACCCGGTCGGCGACTCTCTGCGATAATAAGCTCTCTTCAAATCCTCAGTAAAAGTACGCCAAACCCGAAGTGAAAAAAAAAAGTGACGTCGACAAGAACTGCAAGCATGGTGATTCATCCTTCCCTCGGACTCAATTGGTCGTCTTTCACGGCGTCCGATTCAGCAGAAGTTTGTGGTCCTCCAGGGACAACTTTTACGAAAGCAACATCATCTTTGATTTTTGCAGCTTCGCGCGGAGCTGGACCTCAACAACGTGATGCCTGGACAAGCGGAATTCTTGCGAGGTGGGTCGAAGAAACGTTTCTGAACACTCGGAGTTTGAAAAACGTCACATCTTCCCGCTCCTCCCCCACCGCCGTTGGGAACAGCAGTGCGAGGATGATGACAAGCTTCAAAGACAAAGGCTTCCCCCTTGCCCCGGAGAAGACGAATAAGTCCCCGCGGGAAAAGCTCGACGACGCCCTCAATGCAAACGGCTCCCGCAAGGACCCACTCTGGTTCCAGGATATCCTGTGCAAAAGTATCGTATTCGTATGGCAATCATGCATTACAAATCCTTATCTGAAGGTAAATCCGCATTACAAATTTTATCTCTCATGCTGAGGAAATGGAAATTTGTAATGCATTTATACATGTGCGATGGGATGCTTTTGCACTGCATACAGGATGGCAAGCACCCGTTCTTCACGGAGGAGAACTACGGGTACCTCCCACCCGTAGTGGAGAAAAAGAAACTCCGCGCCGCAGACGGAAAATCGCTCGACCCGCCGAAAGACTTTGATAAGCTGCGGGAAAACGCGTTTGTCGAGTCCACTGGGAAGAAATCTGGGCCTCTACAACCCCCACCAACCGTCCCAGCAGTCGGCGGCGCGAAAGCCCTTCGAGCAGATTCCAACAGCGGCGCGGGAAAGTTGGCGAAGGGCGCCGGCGTTGGGGTGGATTTTAACCGGGACACGCTTTCCGAAGACGAAGACGACGGGGACAACACGATCGACGAAGACGTGTTTGAAATGAACGATGAGACACCGGAACCCGCTCTGGAAACCATGTCTTTGGACGGCTCCCAGCTGAGTGAGGAGCTGGTGAAGATGAACTACGATGCGACGCACGCGACGCAGAAAAAGGCGTTGGTCCACGACTTTTACCCCGAAAACCGCAGTCCGGTTGGGGGCTACTGCCCCCCGGGGCACCCGTCCTGCATGACCGAGGGTGCGGTGGGGTATGATTTAGCGGAGGAAATGGAGCGCACGGAGTCGGAAGCGGTTGAGGGGCCGGATGGAGAGCTGTTGTTGAAGCCGGCGGAGTTGAAAGCAGGAGTGGAGATGTGATATTTACTAGAAACTTCGCGAGGAGGTCATCGTAGTACAGCTCGTTGTTTTCTTGGAGCTGGTGGTTGTATGCTGTGCGAATAGAATGTAGTTTTTTCTTGAGATGAAGATGAACGCCCTCACGTCCTCGCGTCGGATCAAGCCGGGCGCTTTCAGTGCTTGAATTTCAAAGAAAGAAAAGCAGGATGAACACCTCCACGAAAAGGAAAAACGCATGTTGCTTTGGTGCATATAGTTTTGTCGTGCGCTCTGAGAAGCAGAAGTGCGAGTTCCTCGCTACAGGTAGCACTGGGTCGTCGATGAGAAGCCGTCGATAAGAAGCGGACGGATCTACAACGTCTCCGTGTTCATTTCGTACGCCCTTAACAATAACATATACCACGATCACATGATTCGCAACAGCACTACGATGGATCTACAGGAGCATTCACCCTTCTAGTTTTTGTGTGCCACAGGATCTTTGAAACGCACAACATTGACGAACTACGTTGTAAGTAGTTAATTTCGCCTTCGCCTCTCACAGTAACAGTTCCACATACATTGTACCAGCTCCAAACAAGTAGAGAAAAGTTGCAGATGATCTCGACCAGGCTTACAAGCTACCTTTCGATCACATTTGATAATGTTGTGTTTCATTTTTTCATCGCTCAATAAGATTTTTTCGGTTGTAGGTACTTGTCGAAACAGTTTCTTCTAATCCGAGGAAAGACAGCGTGGACAGTGGCAGACGAACCAAACGTGACGAAGATCAGAGCACTACAGCAGTGCGGTGTAGTTCTTCGCGAGGCCCAGAAGATCTAATTCTAAACCACAGAATCGTATGTGATCACAGCATGAGTAATTTTTTTGAACAATGAAAAATGCGCTTTGCATATACGGTACGCCAAACAACGACTTGACTTGCACTTGTTTTGTTTGTCAGTTTCGATGTCGATTGGACCTCTGGGGCGTATGTTCTTTCGTAGCACAAGAAACTATTTACCCTTAAAATTAGAAAGCAGTAGGTTGAGGAACGATTTTGGTAACTCAGCATTGTCTTTCCCTACTTCGTTGTTCTATGCAAATGGCTTCCATTTTCAAGTGGTAATCTCATTTTTTTTTAGTGGTTTAGTTTTACAAAGAGTTCTCTGTGATACTCTTTCTGCGTGCATATCTATTGCATATACATCATATTTGTCAATTGAATCTCTAACTATCTCTTACTCTTACGAAAATTCTGTCGGGCGAAAACGGTTTCGATCTTTTTCGCTTTCGCGAGAACATTCAACACAAACATCCACACAATTTTTCAAGTTGTTACGCATACTCATCTCTCATCATAATTTTCTGATCTGCATAATTTTATTCAGTCTCCGTATTTTAGAATTTACCGCCACTACTTGAATCTCTTGTGCATGCGCTACATGCTGCGTGCGGGAGATCACAAGTCCGCGGAATTTGATGAATTAGACGAGTATGAGGCGTAATTGCATACGCATCTTCCTTTCAAAATAAACAAAAAAGCGATCGGCTAATATTACAGCACGTCGACGAGGACGACCTTAAAATACCGCTGCAATGGGTTATCAACAATCCTCATCGATGTGAGGAGCCTGTCAGAACGATCCGTCGTTTGTTGCACTTACTTGTTTACTACTTACTTCATCCTGTACTACGCACCCCCTATTTGGAGGGGTCGATGCATTTCACACAAATATAAAACAAACCGCAGGGGCGGGTGTGGAGTCAGTTTTAGAAATAACCCAAAAAAGAAAAGACCTACATACTCGGAACAATTACCTGTATAGTTTCGCAAGTTGTCCGAAAGAACGAAAATGGTACAACCACTTTTGCAGCAAATTCTGCCGCGCGCCGTCGTTTTGGCGACGGTCGTGCTGCGAGGTGAGCATGTAGAAGTTCTGGGGAGTCGTGTAGTAAAAAAAGCAAGCTCTCCAACATCTCTACCTGCGGCGCGCACTGCTGCTGCATCCACTACTTCTACCGAGAGTGGTACTAGCGCCAACAACAACGACGTGGGCGGGCAGATTCGGAACATCAAAGACGGGTACGACGCACAGAAAACGGCGTGGAGGGACCACGCACCTGGAGGACAGAACGAACGACACGAAGAGCGGGATAGAGAACTACGCCAACATGGTGTTGATAACAAGAACCACTGGACAAAAGCCGATGGCAAGAAGAAGGAAATAAAGCACGGCTCTACTTACGGTATGAAAAGTTGGCACGAGGATCACGACCGTCCAGTTGAGAAGCAAGAAGACCAACATGGCACCGCAACTTCTGATGCTTTTAAAAAGTGGCCCTTACCTGGAGAAGTAGCAGAAAAATCTGAAAAGAAGAGCAGGCCTGCTGCCTCTTCGGGGAAAATAGGTGATGCAGCGTCGTGGTATAACTATTCTGGGGCTCCCCCCGCGTGGGCGTGGTCAGGACCGAACACAGCACCGGGGAACGATCACAGCAAGGACAAGCCCAACTACTCCAAGAGGGGAGCTGGCACTGCAGCTTCGAAAACCTCTACGTCAGCTCGTGGCTCGTCAGATGCGGCCGATAGGAAACCAGCGGCCGTGCCAGTCCGGGAACCTAGGTCAACTACGTGGTCTGCGAGGAAGCATTCGGGAGAAGATGTTGCTCCTCACTCTACTGACAACAGTAAAAGTCCCGACCGGAGGGCCGTGCCGCACTTTCAAAACCTGTTGCATCAGCGGCAATTACTACAGCAGGCGGGACGATCGAGCAATAAATTCGGGAAGAACACTAGCGATGAAACAGATGTAGTTGCAGTAGATGAAGCTGAAATACAAACACGCAGAAGTTCTGACCCCAATTTATTATTGCCGCGTGGTCGTGGTCTGCGCACTTCTAAGAGGAAGACGTTTGACGACATGTCGGAAGCCGAGCAGCTGCAGTTTCTGGAGCAGCGGGGCGTCGCGCCGAGGCCCGGCGGGGGGTACCAACTGAGCCGCGGGACAGGCGCGTACTACGAACGGGATAATTTTGGATCAAATGAAACTTCGTTTCCCTATCATGCTGAAGATAGAAGTATTCCCGCCGGGCTCCGTCGTGAAGACGGTAGAGAGGAACAAGGGTATGCGCCAGCGAATATAATGACTCCGGAGCAGCGCGAGTGGTTGCGGGCGCAGATCGCGAGCAGAACCGCAATCACGGGAGACGTCGAGCAGGAAAAGTTTACCCACCACGACGAGGACGGTGTCCTCGTAAATGGAGTGGCCGAGGGCCGTGCGCTGCAAGTAGATAAGGAACCAGCAGAGTTGAAGATGCAGCATGTTGCCCGGAGGACGATATTATCTTCTGGTCATGCACAGCAACCTGCAGTAGTTCTGCCCCAGCATAGTACTTATACAGGCACGAGCAGCTACAGTTCTGCAGCACCTTCTAGGCCCGAAGATGCGACAGCGACGAAGTACTACGACCCGGCTGGTACGTTATTGTCAAGTCGCTTGCCGCCGTTTGTCGACATTAACCACGCGGACGTACTATGGATTGCAAATATGTCTGGGTCTGGAAGAGTGGAACTTGTAATGCTGTCTGCGGATTCTAAAAATGTTTGTCTTTGTGTTGCTGTTGCATGAGCAGCAAGAGGAGTCAGCTCTTGGCACGCAGAGACGGCATTTCTCATGCGGAATTAGCATCAAGAAGCTCTCAAAAAATCTGTGATGCTAGCACGAGCATCACAGACCTCATGGGTCATGCAAAATGTGCATGACAAGCGCCGACTCTTCCAGATCCAGACATTTTTGCAGTTGATACCTACTGCGGCATCAAAAGCCCGTGCAGCTCATCGACGGGGCGTTCGTCGACGATGTAGTTGGACCACATGGAAATAAACCCGCACGACCGTTCGCCCTGACTGGCGGCGCAGAAACGATGATCGTGCCAGCAGCTAATATGATGTTCACACCCGCTCCCTCCAATAATTTTCAGGGCGGGCACGGGTCTGTTGCAGTTGGAGTGGCTTCTTCACCTGCTGGTGTCAACAGCAGCTCCATGCAAGTCGCGCAGCAGCAGGACGACGAGAGGCAGCAAATTATGATGCAGCAAGCCGCGCTCCGGCACCAAGAGCAGTACGTGCAACAGCAGCTCCAGCAGGTGGCAATACAGCAAGCGCAACAGCAACAGGAAGTACAGCAGCAGCACCCACACCCACAGCAGCAGCCTTATTTCGTGTGCGCTATCGGTGTGGTAAATCCCGCTACTGGCGAAGTTGCTGCACAGCAGGTCATGATGATGCAAGCCAGAGTAGATGGAGGACAGCAGGGAGCAACTACGCAGGTGATGATGAACAACCCCGGTGGGAACCACTACTCTCAGCAGCAAATAATGCCGCAAGGTGGAGCGTGCTCCTTCCCGCAGGGTGTTGCTGCTGCGCAGTCTTGTTCCGCACCAGTTGTATCTGTTGCTGCTAGTTGTTGTACCCCGGACCAATCTCAAATGCTGCATCAGCAACTGCCGGCAGCGATGCAGCAAGGAAGTGTTGCAGCTAACATGATGGGCGGGCACCACCACCAGCATATCGGTGGGCCTTCGCAGCAGGCAATGATCCCGGTCCTTGTGCAGCAACAACAGCCCCAGGAGCCCTTGGCCCCCACCCTGCATCTTCACCCTGCTGGTGGCCTAGAACAAGCCCAGCAGGCTGTCCTGCATCAGCAACTGCAAGGCCAGGCACAGCTATTCGTTGCGCCGCAATCTTCGTCCATGCAAAGCAATGCAAGTACTCCACCGAGCGCGAACTTTTCATCTTTGCACGAAGCAATATCGACGCCGCATGTCGTCGTCCCAGGATCTGCGCCAGCTGCTGTGTTGTCTGAGCAACACACGTTGCATAACGGGTGGGCCCGTACTATCGTGCAGACACCCGAATTAGTACAATATGCGCAGGACCTGGACCACGGCGTTCCGCCACCGCCACCGGACCAACTGCCTCCGCTTTTCCAAAGGTATGTCTCACCTGACGAGCCGCCACCGTATCATGTAGACCAGACACCCAGCCCCATTTTGCAGTACCAACAGGTGTACAACTACCAACAAGGCACTTCTACATCAATACCCGATGGACCACAAGCTGCTGGATGTGTTCAAGTTGCTGGGCGTGCTACTAGCGCGACACCTACCACAGCGAGTCCAACTACTGCAACTGCTTCATCTTCCCAACTACAACTTCAGTGCCGAGAATTCGAGCAGGCAAGCATAGGACAACACGATGATTTTTCGGCACATCCTGGAACGACGTCGAATCAGACTACCCTAAGTTTTTCCAACCCAGCAACCACGTTACATGGCAGTATCACTACTGTCATTTCTGGTCCTGGTACTACAGGACCTCAGACGTCGGACGCGCGCGTAGGACACCAGCTGATTGACGTGCAATTATGGTTCGCAAAGCTGCAGAAGCTGCTACTGAACGCGGTTACTGGGCGCTGGCTTAGTAGTTACTACGTGGACAAAGTCTTGGTTCCCATGTACCAAACCTTCTTGGAAAACGCCCAGCGGGAGGAGGAAATTATAACCGAACAAACGATAGTACAACAGCAACAGGGAACAAGAAATCCTAGTATGCTGCCGGCCAGGGACCTGCTCGCGTTCCGCGCCACCGCGTCGGGTCAGCCGTCCTTGTCAGATGTCGAGGGAGCTGTCCGAGACTTGGTGGAAAAGAGTTCGGACCACTTTTCTGCTGCTAGTGGTTGCTCCCCACAACTCGGTAGTTGTTCTCCGGCTGCTCATCTTTCCGGAATGGTGAGTCCGGCGACTCCTGGGGGTTGTGGTAGTAGCAGCCCAACGAGCGTTTGCTCATCCATCAACTACGGTAGTACTTCTAGAGCAGGCTGTTGCACTACTACTTCTAGTAGCCCGACCTTACAGATGAATGCAGATTATAGCGGTCGTGGCAGCCCGGCGAGCGCGCCCAACAGTTCCCCGGCCACGAAAGTATGAACTGCAAAAGTATCGTACTCGTATTGCAATCATGCATTACAAATCCTTTATCTAAGGTCGATCCGCATTACAAATTTTATTTCTCATGCTGAGGGAATTTGTAATGCATTTATACGAGTGCGATACTTTTGCAATGCATAGAAAGCCGCGGCCGGCAAAGTCGCTATCCCGCTAAAAGTCAGCCCCATCGCGCACCGTGTAATGCTAGAAACGGGAATGGCCGACGCGAACCCAGACGAAGTGATAAAACTGCAGAAACAGAGGGCCCGGGCAGCAGCGGCAGGGGGAATGATCAATGGCGCGATTTTTAGGCGGGAACAAGCTCCACCATCCGAAATCCCGGCGTCTTCCGGAGACGCTTATCCCCCTCGACCGCCTCCTGCAATAAATGCAATTGGAGTAGAAGATCATCGACTCCAAAGCAGAAGCAGAACGCCAGCTGGAACTTCTTCTACAGCGGCGGCCAGCTTCAGCTCGGCGGAGGCGCAAATAGCTGGGTTGCGACACCTATGAATTGCAAAAGCATCGTGTTCGTGCTAGTATGAATCGCATTACAAATTTCCTCAGCATGGAAAATGGAATTTGTAATGCTGATTGACCTTAGGTCAAAGATTTCTCATGCATAACCGCAATTACTATGAATACGATACTTTTGCACTGGATAACACCTCCACCGGGACCTGCAGCACGAAGTAGCTAGTGCTGGTGCTCCTGCTGGAGGGGCTGCTGGAGCTGCTGGTGTCTTCACTGAGGAGCGGCCGTGGAGCGGCCGTGCTGACACAATATCCATTAACGCTGGAGCGGCCGTGGAGGAGGATGCGACCTTTCGTATGATTGCGGACCTGACCAAGCGATTGGTCTTCTTCGTGATGCAGGCCAAGGGATTGGAAACCGGAGGCAAGTTTATCGTCGACGAGCTGCTGATCCCGGTTTTGATCCAGCGGCAGAAAAAATCTCTGCTTGCTATGCCCCGCTCAAATCGGTTACCATCTCAAACGTTACGAATAGAATGTGGGTTTTGTATTGGACGATGATGATCATGCCAGACTCGGACAGCATAATTCCACCTTCTGCAATAAGTACAAATTTCGCCAGATTGTAGTGCGGATTGGGACTCAAGAACTTGTCATGCGCAATCCTATGAGAGTTGGCATTGGCTAGATTATGCACTTCCTTCAACACATCAAATTCCAGATTCTATTGTAACGCTTGAGAAGATTGTAACAGCTGAGCAGGTTATACTTGCCCGCGAGTCGGCCCGAAACTTCGAACCCCTGAGCGAACGGCAGGAGCGCCTTTTGACGGAGAAACAGCAGGAGGTTGGCATCACTCGCGAGCAAGTGGTGCGGATGGGCGCCAGGCTGTTTGAAGCGGGCCTCTGCCCGGCGGTCGGGCCGAAGCGGGGTTCGCTGTTACAAACGCTCGTGCAAACCTGGGAGCAGGAACAGACACACCAGCGTCCGTAGAAGACGTCCTGGAGGTTCTATTGCTGGAGCAGAGTAGTCCTGGAGGTGGTTGTTCTCCTGCGAAAAACGTGTGGCATGTTAAACAAGTGCTTGCAGAGCAGCCAAAGGACTGTTTTTGACCGCGTGTCAACGAACGGTCTGGGCGATGATATTTGCAATGGAAAATAAAAGCAGACTCTTGCGCATTCACGATGAAGGCATGAATTGTCGTCGACAATAGGAATAGTATGTTGCAATATCGAGCGAATTTATTTGCCATATTCCAATAGAAAAAAAATTAAATTAAAATATAAAGATTATATATTTATAGTACGGTTTTGAAAATTTCTAATTCGAACAGGACTTCACATGCGCGTCTGCGCGATGTCACCTCGTCCGCTAGACAGTTACAGAAGTTGCAGAGCTGACATCAGTCAGAGTTTGAGTTATTTCGAAGTATTTTTTTTCCGCCATCTTCGTTAATAAATTTAGCGAGTGGTTTAGGTTTTTATCGACACCTACGAAAGAACAGGGCAGGTGGTACCTGCTGCAACTAGAAAGCATCCACTACTTCGAAGGAAAAAGATACTTTTTAAACACATCTTCTAGAAAGTGGACACACAATCAACTTCAACGAAACTGGAGGTCGACCTTATTTTTTTTTGGAGGATCGGAAAGCCGACATCTAGATTTTTGGCAATGTGATGAAACTGCAAGATACCGTTCGTGACTCATCGCGGGGAAGTTTTATTTTTCCTCGGAATATTTTCTTTTGCGAAGGGCGAAGCGCTAGAATGAAGCAATGCACGATTAAAATAATGAGAATACTTTACCATCAAGCAATAGCAAAACTCGTGCGGTCCGAGCAAAGCCTAAGCCGTTTTACGAGAAGAGAACAGTGAGCAAAATTCTTCGTTGGCATCGTCCTCGAGAGTGGTGCTTCTGTTGAAATCATAATCATGTATTTGCACGACAAGAAAGCCAAGACCACTTTTATGGACCCCTAAAAAAGAAAGAGCCGAAAATAAATAAGTACTCAACGCCACGCTGAGGTCGTTCTTTGTTGCGAATAAACTTACACTTCGTGTTCGCCCTTTGACCCGCCTTTGAGAAGACTTCACAGGGCGGCAAAATATTTTCCCAGCAAGAACCGGAGACTAGTATAATTCTGACGAGTTTCTTCATCGTCACAGAGTGTGATTGAGAGTATTGGCGATTGGAAGAAAAAGAAAATTATGTTGAGGACGGTGAGCTGCAAAGAAAAGCCGTACTAGACGGAGAAATTGCACTTGGAGTTGTCTGCAAAGCAACGAGTTTTTGAATAGCCACAAGAACGAGATGAAGGCAGTACAAAGATCCTCTTCGTGAAAACACAATTGAGGGAAGATGAGGCCACAGGCACATGCAGCTGCAACTTCCTGCTGCGAAGTTTTCCACCTTATCATGTCGATTTTTCAATTTACTCATGTAGCAGTGACATAAAGTAAATGCGCGGCTTGCTGCACGTGCTCTAGTACAACCTCAACTATAATTTGCCCTTTCCTGGAGCGACATTGGTCACTACCCATAGTAACCGCGAGTAGATGTAGTTTTACCCGAAAACAGCAAACCTAAACCTCCACAGAACACTCGTCGTCATGACTTTTTTATACTAGACACGCCTACCAGGAGTCCCACCTGCACGTGCACGACCACCAGATATACTGTTAGTTCGTCCTTTGTATTTTTTGTGTGAGATGAACAAGACTTGCTGTTGCTTACCCTTAGTCTTAGAAGATTTTTATCAAACCTTCTATTTGTGCAAGAATAGAAAGACCACTAGATAAACTTTTTTCCTGCCTGAATTGCTAGAAAATAAATCTTGCCTGATTTATTTCATCACCATAAGAACTCATATCAAAGATGCGCCGGCTTTTTAACCTCGGCGGCGGTAATAACCGCGACGAGGAGCAGGCAGGAGATCCGCTGGGTGGTCGTCCACAAGCTGCACCCGGGGTACAAGCACCGCGGCGCAAGTCCAGTGATTCCAACTCCGAAAGTGGTGTCTCTTTACCGAAAGAAAAATCAGCGATGACGACAGCCTCCTCCTCCTCCTCCTCCTCCATGGCCGAGTTTCGGGACGTGAAACAGGTGGTGCGCCAGCAGGTCCCCGAAACCGCCGGCACGGTGTTGCTCGGCGAGTGCACGCACGGCACGGAGGAGTTTTACCGGTTGCGAGCGGAGATCACGAAGTTTTTGATCGAGGTCCGAGGGTTCAAGGTGGTCATCGTCGAGGCGGATTGGCCCTTCATGTGGCACGTGAACCAATACATTCACCGCAAGAAGGTGAAGATGTTCCCGGACACGGTGCGGTTCCCCGACTGGATGTGGAGGAACCAATATCCAAGAAAAAACATTGTAGGTGTACCTTTCTTGGAGGAACAGCATTACAAATTTGTCTGGCATGACAGCAGAAACCTGTCATGCGCAGATAGTACGTGAAAACGCCCTGTAATGCTGGACCCTACGATGCATGCCAAGCATGACAGACGCAATCACTTTGCATGTTGCGCATCACAAATTTACACTAACAGCGTTTTTTTTCTTGGACAGCCAGCCTTTCGTGGAGCTGATCGAGTGGATGCGGAAGATGTCGCAGACGGAGCACGCGTATCCTGTGCAAAAGTATCGTACTCGTATTGCAATCATGCATTACAAATCGCGTTCTTCAGGCTAATTCCGCATTACAAATTTTATTTCTCATGCTGAGGAAATTTGTGATGCACTTTTTTTACGAGTGCGATACTTTTGCAATGCATAACGCGTGCTACCTGTTCGGCATGGACTGCTACTGCAAGGAGGAGTCGCAGGCGGATTTGCTGCGATTTCTCGACAACCACGACCCGGAACTCTCCCGGGAACTGCGGTCGTCCTGCTTCCCACGCGATCGCGCGGACAAGTGGCCCGGGATTCTGGCGAAAATCCAGTGGGGCAGGACGGGTAACAACAAGATGTCTTCAGGGACAGCAGCTACTTCGAGAACATCAAATAAGTCCAACAATAAACCGGGCGACGTGATCGCGGGGTCGGACCTCACGCGCGATTTTATGGCACTCTCAAATCTTACATTCTCAACTGTCACGTGAATTTGTGATGCAAGAATCGCAACAGTGAAAGGGGCAAGGTTGCAGCTCTCGCATCATAAATTTGGCGTAGATGTAGGCGCTGTCTAGCGCCTCGGGGATTTGTCATGCGACCTAGCTTGATCGTCTGGTGGCTCATGGCAATTTTGCATGACAAATCATGCAGCAACAGTTGAGAGTGTAACGGTTGAGAATCCCATAGATTTGGTGTACCCTGGGGCGTCCAAGCTGGACCGGTTTAACGCGGAGCAGAATCTGGAGTGCATGATCGCCGCGGACGAGTACTACACGAAGCAGCGGCTGGAGCCCCCGGGCTCGCAGGCCAGCTGGAACGCGCGGGACCAGCACATGGCAACCACGATTCTGCGACTGAAGGAGCAGGCGAAAGAGACGTTTGACTTGCAATCCGAGCTGAAGATCGTCGTGTGGGCCCACATATCAAATGTAAAAATGTCTGGGTCTGGAAACTTGTAATGCTGCGTTGGGAATAGTGAATGCTCTGTAATATGTAGTGAGGTCACCGAACGGTTCTAACCGGGGAGTTTTTTTGACATATACCCTGAAAAACGACCGGCAGTTTTCAAGCGGCCGGAAGCGTTCTTTGACATAAAAGATTTCCAATTATTAAGCGGCCGGGGCTTTGAAGTCAAACAAGCCCGGTCGAAAACTATCGATTCGCACTTGATAAAACGACGCAGGGGAGCCGGCAAAAGGGGCGCCCTTCTGCGGCGCCCACCGCCTTGGTTTCTGGCGGTTTGGGCCGCCCAAAAAGGGGCGCGCAAAAAACTCGCCCAAAGTCAGAACAGCGAAACAGCATGGCACGGCCGCGATTTTGGAGCATTTTGGGCGGCCGCGAAAGCGGCCGCCTTTTCGCCGGTTTCAGAGCCTGGGAAGCTTTGCAAAAAGCGCCGGAGGGAAATATAGAAACGCGAAAAAGAAAAAGCGCCCCGGACGCGCAAAGCCAATCCGCATGCTATGGGCCCGATTTTCCTTCGCTTTTTGGGCGCCCCCCGTGGCGCCCGGATCGGCTCCATAGCATGGGGGCTAGCTTTCGGAAAGGAATTTCGGAGATTTGCCAAAGGCTGCGACGTTTATCGAGCGGCCGCCATACCGTGCGGCCTAACGTTACTCACGGCGGCATGGCGAGCCCAAAAAAAGCAAGGCCGCGGCCAAGGCGATGGCCGGCAAGAAAACGCCCACAACCTCACCACCTCCGCCCCGGCGGCTATATTTGGCACACAGGCACGCATGAGAAATATCTGCGCTTCTTTGTGTTGCGTTTTTCGCATGACAAACTGCGTTTTTGCATGACAGGCAAAAGGCTCTCTTCTTGGACACGCATCACAAACTTTTTGGTCATGCCAGACAAGCACGACAAAGCTCGCAATCTTCCAGACGCAGACACTTTTGCATTTGATACCACAATTCCCACGTCGGGGATGCGACGGCGACGCCCTCCGGGGGGGTCAACTTTGAACGGAACGAGACCTGGTATGGCGTTCTCAAATGTTACATTCTTAACTGTTACATAAATTTGTAATGCAAGAATGGCAAAAGTGAAAGGGGCAAGGTTGCGCCTTTTGCATTACAGATTTGGAGCAGATTATAATGCTATCTAGCGCGTCGAGAACCTGTCATGCGGAGAAGGCTTGAAATTGTGAAAAGTGTAAGTGATAGCATTTTGCATGACAAATAATGTAACAGTTGAGAATGTGACGTTTGAGAACTCCATACCTGGAATCTGGGGCAGATGTGCCGTTCCGTGATGCAGAACGTGTTTATCGTGGGTTTTTACAGCTACCAGGGGGAGGTCCGCGCGGCGACGGAGTGGGGGCGGCCCGGGAAGGTCATGCAATTGCGCCCGGCGTACGGGAACAGCCTGGAAGCGCAGCTGCATAACCTGTTTCCGAAGAGAAAAGCCTTTGTGAAGTTCGACACAAGCGCGAAGGACTGGTACAAAGCCCCGCCGACTTTCCAACTGCCGTGCGACTACGAGTTGGTCTACCCAGAAGTCCACTGCACGGAAAATGCGGACTACAAGAGTCGGAGAATATCTTTAACATCCTCTTCAACATCGTCGAATAAAACCGCATCGGGTTTATTTTCCTTCTCCGCGACCGAGCGGGTGGTGGATCGACGGATGGACAGCTGCAGGTTACAAGCCGACTTCAAGAACGGCAATATTAACAAGCTCTGCTACGTCGACGAGTACACCGGGGGGCGAAACATTTCCGTCCACAGTCTACTATGCTGTGCAAAAGTATCGTACTAGTAGAATTTGCATGACAAGTTCGCTCAGCATGACAAATCGAGTTTGTCATGCTGACTTACCTTGGGATTGAGGTTTGTGATGCACGACTGCCATTACTACGAGTACGATACTTTTGCAGAGGATATCTACCGACCGAGGTGTTCCGGCGGCTGCGCGCAGACCCGCTGAATTGGTTCAACACGACGCCGATACTGCAGCGCTGGGTGGGCGTGCAGTACCACCCGGAGACGGAGCTGCAGTCCCACTACGGGGAGGTGCGGGCGAATAAATGTTACGATTTGGTCATTTTCTGCGACGAAACGACCGCGCTGGACGTCAACCTCCGACCCGTGGCCCACACCGGCGAGGATAAGGAGGAGGTCTCCGCCGCGGCACAAAAAAGACTGATGAAGGAGTACGCCAAATTGCTAAAGGACCCGCCGCAGGGGGTGGAGGCGCACCCGCTGGAGGACAACATTTTGGAGTGGCACTTCCGGCTGACCGGGAACCAGGCGCCCTACACCGTATGGATTGCAAAAATGTAAATGTCTGGGTCTGGAAAGTTGTGATGCAGGTCACTGAATAATAACCAAACTGTAATGCGCCGGCAAGCATGACAACTTTTTTCATGCTTCTGTGTTGCGTATTCCGCATGAGAAACTGCGTGTTTGCATGACAGGCAAGAGGAGCTCTTCGTTGCTACGCAATACAGATCCCAGAGTCATGCCAGTCTAGCACGACAAATCTCGCAATCTCCCAGACGCAGACATTTTTGCAATCCATACACCGGGGGCAGGTACCACGGCGTGTTGGAGTTCCCGAGCTCGTTCCCGATGCAGCCGCCCAGCATTCGGATGCTGACGCCGAGCGGGCGGTTCGAGATCAACAAGCGCATCTGTTTGTCGATGTCCGATTTCCACGCGGAGAGCTGGAACCCCAGCTGGACGGTGGAGAAGATACTCGTCGGTTTACTGAGTTTCATGTACGAAGAGACCAGCGAATCGATCGGGAGCATGCTCGACCCCTGGGACGTGCGAAAACGGTACGCACGGGAGTCGGAATTCTTTAACCGGGAGAATGAGGTGTATCTGTCGATTTTCAAAGCGGTGGATGACTTATGCAATGCAAAAGCATCGTACTAGTACAAATCGCATTACAGATTTACTCAGCATGAGAAACGCAATTTGTAATGCTGTTTTACCTTAGGAGAGAGATTTGTCATGCATATTTGCAATTAGTACGAGTGCGATACTTTTGCACTGGATATGGCTCCACAGTGGCGGGTTCGTCCTCCTCCTCCGCCACGGGCAACAAGCGGCAGCGCATGCTGAGCGGCGGCGCCGCAAACGAGTACGACGAGAACGATGACCAGCCCCAGTGCCGCTACTGCCTCTCCGGCGAGGGGGAACTGGTCGCGCCCTGCGACTGCAAGGGCACGAACCAGTACGTGCACCTGCAGTGCTTGCGGCAGTGGCAGAAGTCGGTCTTGCTCACGCAGTCCACGCACCCGAAATTCCAGACGAGAATCGACGCGATCTGCAACATATGCATCGCAAAAGTATCGTACTCCTCGTATAAATGCATTACAAATACAAATTGCCTCAGCATGAGAAATAAAATTTGCAATGCGGATGTAGCTTCGGAACTAGATTTGTAGTGCATGTCTGCAATCACTACGAGTACGATATTTTTGCACAGGATACAACATCTGCGAGAAGCCCTTCAAGGGCCCCTTTCGGCCGAAGGACCGGGCGCAGGCGGTCTTGGAATTCGCGGGTGCCGAGATGGCGCAGAAGCTCAAGAAAGGGCACCTACTGGTCTCCTCCGAGAAGGAATCCCAAGAGTCCGCCGAGGCGATGGAGCGGCAACCGGAGTTGCGGCCGCATCTGGAACAGTGGACCTACGCCGTGTACCTGATCGCCAGTGAGGAACCAGCGTCCAGACGCGAGGACGGCCACGTGCTGGGCGTGAACCTCGTCGCGATGGCGAATCCCGAGCCACCACAGCGGGTGGATAGCAATCTGCCCGGGTTTCGGAGACTCACCGTCTCCCCCATGAACGCCTGGAAGCAAAGCTACAGAAAATTGGTCGAGAAGCAGCCGTTTGTGCGGAAAATTTCCCACTACAACGGCGGGCCGGTGGAGCCGGACAAGTGTTTTGCGCTCGCAAATCTTCCCTCCTTGACGAAGACGAAGTACAAAGAAAGCAGTTTAAACATCCGGGATGACATGTACTTCGGAAATTTAGCGAGCATCGCGAATTTGGCGCAGCTTCACTACGATAACACGCGCGAAGCCTCCCATCTCCGCATCTACTGGGGCTACGCGGCCTGGGGCACGTCGCAGCTGCTGGCGGAGATCGCGAAGCGGCACTGGGGCATCAACACGGAGCCGTACGAATTCGAACCGTTGTATCCCGGAAAAAACACCCATCCCCATCCAGTTTTTGCGTGACAAACACTGCAAATTATGAATATTTTGCATGACAAATTGGATGTTTCGATAGTTTTCCGCTGCTGCTCCTCATGCTCCAACTTCACGCAGTCGGGATCTCATCCGTGGTTTTCCTCCAGCTACGCCCAACACACCCGCGGGTCTCGCGTGCTGCTGGACTTCCACGACCCCGTCTCATTTGTTGGCGCCCTGCTGAGTAGTAATCCGTCAGTTCCCCGCAATCCGGCGTCCACCAGCCAGTTCCAGCTTTGCAGTGGCGATTAGCTTCAAGTATCTACCTTTCCAGAATCAGGCGCTTCCAGCTCGTCGTGCCCTAAGCTCAGCAGCGCACCCTCTCGGGTTGTGGCCTTTCCTCGGAGGTGGGGTTGGGCTTGGGGCGCCAGGCGAATGGACGGCTTCGCAGCTACGTTGTGATCGACAAACTGAGATCGACGATAATGGTTGCGTTGCTGGTCCTGTGCCAGTCGCGGGGCATGTTCGGGTGTTCCGGGCTGTGCTTTGTGCACCCCTCGGACCCCGCACCCCCCCGGGCTCAGTAGCGCAGTCTGTTAAGCATGACAAATTGGATGGGTTTCTGTTGTTGTCTCTCGGTAGAAATCGCGTTGTTCAATTTTCCGTTTTAGAGTTTACCGGGTATGCGGTTTCAAGTTTGTAGTTTTGTTTTACAAAGGGACGCCCTGCCCTTAGTTTCCCAACATGACAAATTGGATGGGGATGGGTGTTTCTCTCTGGATACGTTGCCAGTCTGGGACGACGCGGTCGTGAACATTTCCATGGCAAAGGAGTCGGAATATTCGAAGAAATGAACAAGTCGGTGCAGGAAAACTAGATTTGGACCAGTACGAACGGAACAGGAAATATTCAGAAACCAATGCGGGACGCTTCGAGTTGTAAATAAAAGCGTGCCGATATAAGAAAATACTGCGTCGATATTATACTAGAAGACCATATCATCTCATCCTGAGAGAGCAACACAACCTCTATCAATTTTCCGTGCAGAGACCACAAAGACATCAATGAATAGTACAGTATAGGTTACTTGAAGTTTCAAGAATAAGAAGTCATGACTTCGCGGCTCGTTCTTTGTGCTTTTGCAAGAACACCACAGCGTCGCTCTCGCTCTGATTGAAGTTTTAAAAACTTTTTCAAGACCATGTTTCTACAAACTGTTGCAAGCTGAAATTGGATGTGGATTTTCACGAGAGTCGACAGTTTCCAAATTAAAGAGATGAAGAAGAACATCACCGGGTCAGAGCTTGCTAGTAGAGTTTTTTCTCGGGGCGGCCGCCTCATCGGGAGGAAAGCTCGCTGCTAACGTAGAAGTTTGTCTTCTGCGTGTGCTGTTACAAACATAGAAGCCAGATGTTGGCGTACATGGAGTCGTCCGTTCATAAAAGTTCCTGGTAACTGCTGCATCGTTGTCCTTCTCGAGTGAGGCTGCATATGCTCCAAATGATTTGGATCATATGCGATTTGAAGTCGCTTTTGGTGCAGCGTTGGTCTTCAGCTACAGCGGAACACAGCGAGCGACTTTTATTTCGGGCTACACCGAATCGTATGAACTGCAACTGACCTCCCGACTAATAGATTTTGGCATCACACGAAAGAGCTATAAAATACACATTGGTCGCCCCTCAAAGTTCTTCACTGCGATGGATACTGATCCAGAGGAGAGCTGGAGAGAGAGAGCTGGAGAGAGATGTGGGCGAAGCCGCCGCCCGCAGTTGCAGGGGGATCGCTTGCAAAGTAGACTCGGGAGTCAGGCGGCGCCATGGTCTTATCCGTTTTATTCGGGCGCCACCGTCTTCCACGCCGGGCCGGGGGCAATGTGGTGAAGCCGGCGCAAATAAAAAAAGGAACGCGGCCAGGGGTCGCCCGTGTGTTTTGGCTCGCTAAGAAGATGGCGCGCGGCGGCGGTGTGTGGCGGTGCCCGCCGACAAGCACAAAGCCAAGGCGCGCGCCCGCGCGCCCGAGCGGGGCGCCTTCGAGGGTCGCCGCGGGCGCCCTCCGGGGGTGGAGGTGGCCCCCGCCCGGTTGGTTCGTTATCTTCCCCGCGTATCTTCCGGGCAAGCATGCAGGCCGCTCGGGGGGCCGCGCCGCGGGGAATGGGAGGGGGCGAGGGGTTGGCCGCTTCGCTGGCCCGTCCGCCCGCCCACCCATTGGCCGCCCGTCGGCCCGTTAGTTCCGCGCGGCGTCACAATCAATGCATGCTGCCGCGGCCGCTCGTCACAATTAAAGAGATGAAGACGAACAGCTACATCACCGGGCCAGACTCAGAGCTAGAGTTTTTTTTTCGGCCTCATCGGGAGCAAAGCTCTTCTCTTGGAGTTTTTTCTTTCGGCCTTTTGTTCTTCTCTTGGAGTGTGTAGTTTGAATGATATAGCCAGATGTTGGCGCCGTACGTGGAGTCGACTATTCAGAATTCCAGGTGAGTGCTGCGCCAGCTGGTAGTTGCTGGTGAGTTGCGGAGAAGCAGAGTGAAGATGCGAGCTTATTTGCTGAAGATAACTATGTCTCCGTGTAACGAGCGTCAGGAGCGTCAGGGCCGCGAGAGAGTCTGGGCAGATGCCCATACTGAGAGATGAAGTCCTGGAGAATAAACATGAGTGTTTTGCAGTGTGGAGAAAAGAATCCACTTCTGCTCCATAAAAACTTACGACCGGCGACGCAGTGGACGCGACCGTAGTGGTGACGGTCGAACGCGATGAGAAGGCGGCGGAGCTCAACCAGCTCGCGCAGGCGGGCCGGCGAAGGTCCGGCCACGAATTCGCGTTGAAAGGCATTGATATCGCCCTAACGGGCGCAGAGCTTGCCCCAACCTCAGCGCCTGACAGTCCGCGCCCAGCCTTGTCCAGTATGAGCACGCCCGAGCTGCGCCGGTTCTGCCAGCTCGCCCGCGGGCGGCGCCGGCGCCCATGCATGACTTCGGAGGCGCGCCAGGAAGCGCCACCGGCGGGGCGGCGGGGGCGTGGATGTGTGCTCCCCAAAGCCTCCCCCGGGGCGGGCCGCTAGCTTTGCTCCGGGGCCCAACTGCCACCGGTTTCGCGGCCCGGAGATGGCCGGCCTGCCGTGGTGCCGGCGCCAGGCAGTTCGTTGCCTGCCGGCGCGCGCGTTTCTATCTGCGTGGAGGGGCGTGTTGATTCTCACCCTTATGTGGTGGCCCTATTATCGGGCTAAGCTATATGACAAGCACTTGACCCACCGATTCTCGCGCGCGGGCCCGCCATTTTTCCACCCATTGTTTGCGCGGCAGCCGCAGCGCAAGTACGCAACACGGTATACAAAGGTCGTCGGAACGCGCCTCCGAGTTTTTGTCTGCGACGAAAAATATTGCCACCCCGTCCCTCCAACCACCTTGGGGCTTCCTTTCGCGATTTCGTGGAGACCTGCCGACGAGCCGCGCTCGCGGTTCGTTAGCGTGGGGTGTTCGCGTTCTGTACATGGTGGCTGAAGATCATCTGGTCCCAATTCGTACTTCTTTTCGGAGAGGATGGCTTCATGGATCTCTGACGTACGTTCGTAAAGATAAGACCGATCATCTTCAGTAGCGCACAAAGTTATCCCTTACTTAGGATGCGCCAGCTCGTTCTTGAAATCGATCCTGACAAAGATTTCCAAGTGCGGCAGCGCTCTTCGTCAGCAAATATTGCGGATCGAAGCAGTATTGAAATATAGACGATACACCCGTACGCGTGCGCACCTATCATTTTGTCTCCGCCGCATCCGTAATAGAGTAATCGTATGAAATGTGGGCCGTAATTCATTTATTTGGTTAGTTGGATGCGCAACGAGCGGAAGGAGACTCGTAAAATGGTCCGATCTCGTTGTCGTCGTACGTATACTAAGAACGAGTAAGGTTGTCCTTGTTCTGGCCGGTCCATCTTCCTCGTCGTTCCTGAGTGATTTTCGTCGGGAGTGAGAAAGTAGAAGTAGCGTCTTCTTGAGCGTGGACCGCCCGCAAATAAAGAGCTGTGAGGCTGCAGCTAATGCTGATCTTCTAGAAAGACCTTTGATATATAATCGACAGGCTGCAGAGTCACCGCCTAGACATCATCCTTGGCCTGAACGACCTATGTGTTGGACAGGAACGAACAGTTCGAACGTGGTGAGCGAAAACGAAATCCATCATCATACCAGTGCTGCAAAGGATAAATATTTCTTGTTGAAATGGTTTGGCAAGCACAAATCAGAATAAGACCTCGAGGATGTTTTCTCGACATTGATATGCTGCAAAGAACTCCTGAACCTGAAGATTGTACGAAGAATAACTTAGCGCTGTTGTTGTGTTGCTGTTGGCCCGAAGAGAGAGCGACGATGAAGACTAGCAAACATAATGTTCGCGGGGTATTTCAGCTTCGGTGGATACGGAGCATCCGATGAAGCAGCCCTGCCAGAACTTGACGTTGAGGATATTGCAGACAACATGGCTACCGGAACCCGATCGCTGCAGCTAAAGCCGCAGGCCGGCATCACCGAGGACCTTGCCCTGCGGGGCAAGGTGTGGATCAAGGCCGCGAGGGTGGAAGCGGAAAAGGACTGCAAGGCCCTTCCGGCCGGGCTGGAGAATTGCAAGGCGCGCGGAGAAAAAGCCCAAGTGGCAAATCACTCCGGGGACAAGCGCAACCATACAGAAGTCCAAAAAGCGCGCGCCAGTCGCCCGCATCCGGTCGCGAATCCGCGCGCGGGCCCCGCTCGAATGTGTGGCGCGCAGGCCGGCGCCTTAGGGCCGCGCGCGGCAGGCTAGGCGGCGAGGAAGCCTCCGCGCGGCCTCCGGCCATGCGCCCCTGCCAGGCCTGCCCGCGTGTGGCCAAGGAGTGCGCGCGCCGGGCGTCGGCCCCCTTCATCTGGTCTTTCCTGGCGGGCGTGAGCCTGTGCCGCCTGGCGACCGACCGGTGGGCCGGCCCCCTTCTAGGCCGGGGGCCGGCATGCTGCCCGCCTGGCCCATTGTGCATCTGCGCGCCCAGGGTTCGTTCTGCGGTTTGTTTTCCTACCCCGCCGACCGGCTGATCGCGCGCGCCCGCGCGGCGTCAGAATCTATGCCGCCGCGCCTGCTTGGAGTGTGTGAGAGCGGGAGCCGCTGCAGGGGCTCGGCTACGTAAATTAACACCCGCAGCGGCCGGCGCCTCGTGGCCCCATCCTGGCTGCTTCGTGGCGTTTACAGCATGATGTGAGTGTGGTGTCACGTCGCAAAGGGGCCGTCTCGCCTTCTGCTTTCCTTTTCGGATTTACTTTTGTAGGCGAGAGTGCAGTTTTCGGAATGTGTTGGCGTCTTGCGTGCCCAGATTTTTCTATTGGGGTTTGCTTGTTCATGTGCCCAGCCCCACCCCCAGCCGCACTCGTTGTTATCGCTGCAACGCAGATAAAATTAAAATATCGCGGCCACTCTTCAAGGCTGGGTGCCCCGCAGCAGTATTGAGCGGGGAACGAGGTGAAACTAGTCGAAAAACGAGAGCAAACTGCGCCCGTCAGAAAGTTTTCTGTCTGATTGAAAGAAAGCAGTCGCGAGAGAAGCGTCGTCGGCGTTTTGTGTGTGGACGTCGAAACTATAGTTGCTATCATGCGCGCTTTGGTTCTACCAGTAAATGTGGGCCGCGCAAGCGCATGATGCGGGTCCACACGTATGGTTGAGCACACAGCCAAGTTGTTGTCATTCTAACTAAAGAAATCGAAGAGCTAGTTAGTATTTGCTTTTGCGTATAGTTTTTTCCATAGAAAAGATACATCTGTTGCACTTGCCCAAGAAGAACAAGAGGATGGCCCGAATTTTCCTCGGTGGGATCGGATTTGTGGACGAAGAGTCCTTCCCCGGCCTCTCCAAGGAGTCGACGGAAGTGCACGAGATGTTCGAGCATGCCTGGGTCTTCCAGGACTTCTCCGAGAAGGCCCTTCCTGGCCGGATAGAGGAGTACATCGGGAAGGGGTGGGTGAAGGCTGACGAGCTGACGTACACCGTCGCGCAAGTGTCGGACTTCTCCCAGTACGACCTGTACAGCCCGCGGCGAGCGGAGATCGTCTACACCACCCAGATGGAGCTGGGCGCTGCCCGCGATCGGGCCATCCAGGGGCGCCGTCTCCAGTTGTTGCACAAGCATTGCTCGCTCGAGCGGGAGTTGGCCGCGACCGAGGTCGCCTTGGTGGGCAGGGCGGAAACCGCGGACAGCCACAGCTTGGTGGAGGAACTGCGAACGCCGCTCCGCGAAAAGACCAACGAGGTGCTAGTCAACCTGCATGACATCACGGAAGACCACCCGCTGCGCATCGAACTAGACTCGCCGCGGAAACGGCCAAACAAGACGTACCCCACGGAACGTAGGCAAGACGTCACAGAGGAGGACAGCATCCTGTGGCAACACCTCCTGGAGGAGCGCGAAAAGCGCCAGTACTACTGCCTCTTGGAAGATCCGAGTGAGCACTGCGACTTCGCCATCGAGCAGCAGCTGCGCATCAACGACAAACGCCGGCTGTATCTGATCCGCCAGGACTTGCTGAAGACGCGGGAGGTCCGAGAGCGGGAGGCCACGGGAGCGTACGATAGGATTTTCTGCAACTCGCCAGCAAATCGACCCCGGGACGGGCCCGTCGTGCGCGTGGATCACACAACCCGCTCCTTTGCACGCGATGGTAAAGACATGTTCGAGTTGGAGTACCAGATGCGACTGCAATTGGAATGGGCGATGGAGATCGGTATTTGAGAATCAACATCAGACGTGTTATTTTAATTTTGAGTTGCGACGAGGAAACACAAACACGAATCTATAGACGTTATGGAAAACGCATCACCTGCGTTCGTACGCTGGAATACATCTCTTGACTTTTCTATTTCTTATGAACCCAAATAGAAATACGCGTCAAAGAGCAAGAGTCTAGTACTCTCTGAAACGCTACGAACAGGGTTCCCGCCGTTGGCTTTTACTGGCCTTGAGAAACCAGCGAAGCAAGGAAAATGCGCGACAACTGCATCCTCTTCTTGCCCGGACAGTAGCGCGTACAATCCGGCGTCTTGGGTTATCACATCGGGCCGGGGGCGTGCGCCGACCCCTGCCTCTACTGCCAGTACCGGCGCCGCAGGAACCGTGACTAGTGCCGCTAGTCGTAGGAAACAAGCCAGGACCTCCTCCCATGGCGAAGCAGCTGCACCCAGCGCTACCATCGGAACAGCTGCCGCTCCTGTGCCTACCACGGCTCATCGTGGTGCCGCAGCTTCGTCATCGTCGTCATCTTCCTCTTCGTCCGCTTCATCTAGCGCTGCCGGCGCACCACCTGCCACGGCAGCCCCTGCCCCCGGCCACGCCGAGATAGACGCTGCTCGCTTTCCCATCAGCGCAGCCTTTGCGAAAGAGCTGGAGAAAGAGCATTTGTTTGAAGATCGAGAACAAGATCTGCAGCTGAGCACGAACAATAAGCGGCCAGGTCGTGCTGGTGATCATGATGTTGCTAGTATTGCCCCTGCTGATGTAGCAGTAGCTGATTCGGGGATAAAGAATAGGAGTCTCCTCGGATCCACAGCGACGCTGTGGTCGGACGCAGATGATGCTGCGGGGAAGGATGACGCAACTGGTGCGGGTGCAAGTGGCAAGGAGCCGCCCAACGCCGTCGTTGCGGCGGAAGTGGAGGAAAATGCAGCTACTAGTTTGGAGCCGGGCAAAAAGCGCACCAGAACCGCGGCAGGTGTGTTCTTGTGTCCTTTACGCGAAGCGCTGTTTTCATCTTGTAAAAGCATTGAGAAAAAGCAGAATGTTGAGTGAGTTGCTTATACCAGTCTGATTTGGATGGAATTTTTGATCAAGTCAGCTGCGCAGACAGAGAAATTTCGATGTGCAATTAATATTTTGAGGTTGTGCAGAAGAGCCTGGTGTTCATCGTGTTGATCACGTGAACGGTGCGGGAAGCTCATCATCTTCCAGTTCCCGGAACCGAAACGAAGGCCACCTAGAATCGATGTCGAAAAGTCCGATCGGGTTCCAATTTCTGTGCACCTTCAGCGGGCAGGGCAGCGGTGATGACAGTCGGGACGGACCGCTCGCTATCGCGCGCCAGGCCGCCGGCGTTTTTCTTCCTGAAAAACAGGGTGATCCGGCGAAGGAGGCCGCAAAGGAAGCGATGAGGGCCTTCTTGCCACCAGCATCTCCATTAGCAGGGAGTCCCACGGAGGAGTATCGCGGAAAACTGCCGCAGTTTCACTTCAAAAGCTTTTGGGGAGACGACGTCGATGAGGCTACGAAATGCGGCAATTTTGAGCAGTTGGCGAAAGAGGGAAAGATCATACTACGGAGAGGTATGAAAGTGAAATATGATTCGTTCTTTCTTCACTTCGCTCGTTCTGTTACTGTTGTGATTCTTCGGCATTGAAATAGAGCTGCAGCATGGAACAATCATTTTCATTGTGATTTGATATTGCAAGCAAGCAAACAGGATCAGGAAATGACGAGAAACTGCAAAAAACATTGCTATGTATACAGGCACCCGAATCGCGAACCCATTGACCAATCGCGTGCCATCAACGGCCTGCTCGCCTCCTGCATCTGTCTTCCCTGTGCGTCCCGCTCTGCCAACCATCACCGACCCGAGAAATAAGCGACCAGCTACTGGCCTTCCTGCTCTATTTGGCTCTGCGTCTTCATCTTCTTCTACCAACGCAGCGCTGCGGCCGAACGTGCAATGGAACGTCGGGACGATGATTGCGTGTGCAGATGAGAAAAAGCAGCGCGGCCATTCCGTCGGAGCAGCGGGGGCGGATGGACAAGCAAAGGAGCCTGGGACAAAGCGCACCAGAATCGAAGGTGCATTTTTTGGCGCTTGTGGTTATTCTTATTTTTCGAGAAAGATAAACATAGGGATCAGGGGATCAATTCAGCGCAACCGAGATAATCAATTTACACACTGACTACTTGCAGCTCGTCCGGGAAATAAAACGAGCGGCTCGGCCGGCTCGTCGTCTTCCAGTTCCCGTATCCACCATGACGGCACACGGCACGCCACCTCGACAAGACCACTTGGGTTCCAGTTCCAGTTCACTGTCGCAGCGCAGGACAAGGGCGTTTTTAAAAGCAGGAGCAGCGGCACGCTTGCTGCTGCGCGCCAGGCCGCCACCATCTTCGCTTCTAGAAAAAATGATGATCCGATACGCGCGGCGGCAAAAGAAGCGACGAAGGCCTTCTTGCGAACAGCACCTGCCGGAACTTCCACGGAAGAGGAAGGTGGTCGTGAGGCGGATGTCTAAGTGCAAGTTCATCGTGATGAAAGCGTCTTGTCAGAGCAGCGGCACTGCGAGCCGCTCTGTCTCGTCCGCATTGGGATATAGCAGCAATGCAAGTTGAACTGAAACTCGCTGCAGCTGTACAATACATCTCGTGCGGCGTTGATGTGTACAACCCAGAACAAGCGGCGGTGCATTTTACGGAAAGGGCTTTTTCTATCAGAAAAGATTCAGATTTTGCAATTTATTTTACTGTGATATTTATTGCAGCTGTTCATGAAATGGACTAGGTGTAGGTTTACTTCGTGGAAACCACAACATACCGTTGGGCGTGCATCCGAGACACAGTCTTTGTGAAAGTGAATTTCGATCGCAACACAATTTTCGCAGAAGATTATGCCTGTACGATACTCTGAAACTGAATGTGTCCTTCTTGTACATCTGTGCAATTTGAAGACGGACTTCTATGACGAATGAAGCCAATAGTTTTCTACCGATTTTCGAAGTGAAGCTGACCTAATTTAGCTCATGTTTCCGTTTGCAAGATATTCAACCTGTTGAAATGGAATGCACAGTCACATTATTTGTGAACTTCAACTAAAACTTCTAGAGATATTATGCAGAAGATTTTTGAAGAATATTTCGCAGAAGATCATTTTTGCAAAATTTTGCGCGTGTCAATGCCGGAAATTTCTTTCGAAACAAACTTTGTGGTCGCAGCAAAAAGAAGTGTGTGCTAGCTTTCTAGCTTGTTCTTCGCGTATCAGCATTCTTTTCGTGGTGTTGACACACCGGAGCAACATCTTATCAAATCCTGTAATAATCGCAATAATCGAAGACGGCCTTCCCGACCCTGCGCCTGGCCGAGCGCACAACACACAGCAACCGGGTCGGGATCTCACGAAGCAGTACACTCCGGATGCGACCCTGGAGTAAGGGCGCCGAAACGAAGAGCCTCGCGCAGTTAGTCCCTGCGCGCGCGAGGACTGACAGATCGAGTCTCCTCTCATTTTGACTCCTCTGTTGAACAAATAGGGTTGTAGTCTCGCGAGTTTCCCTCGTGAATAAATTGTAAATTGTAAACTGTGGTGTTGTCGTCGGGCCTCCTCCGCGAACAACACCCGCCCCCGGAAAACATGGCGGGTCCGTCTCCTTGGTGGGAGGGGTATCATTCGCCTCTCAATCTGTTGCCCGCTGCTCGGTTTGCGAACAGGGCGTGATTTATTTGTCCGCCCGCGGCACCAAAGATGATGCTCTTCGCGGCATGTAACTTGCCGCAAAGAGTAGAGAGAGAGCCCGCCAGCCGGGGCGCCATCGGAAAGCTTGTCTTTCGCCGAACCTGTACCGTACACCATCTACTACAGACTTCCGTATATGAAACGCGAAAGAATAAGAAAACACTTGTCGTCGCCTCGTTTTTCGTTGATGTAGTTACAACCGATCATGTGTGGCCGCGAGGGACGTAAATGAGAGAGCAATTATGGTGACTGAGTGGGCAATCGAAACGGGTCGTGTTTTAAGCAGTTCTTTCAATGCAACGCTATTGCAACGAAAAGCCGTTGCTTTGGTGCAGTTTGGCTTTCCTGCAAGATACCGTCACTCGTCTGTGTTTTCGAAATAGGATCGTGCGAAGTGGTGGAAGTGATTTTACGAAGACGTTTTGAAAGCAAGAGGTTGAAGAGGCTCTAATCGCAATCGGGTGTAGTCAATCGCACTACGTGTTGTAATTAGCTCGGTTTTTTGCACCATCGTGGAGTAAGACGAAACATGTCGTTTTTCGGGATTTTCTCGTACCCCTCTCCCGCGGAGGGAGAGGGATACGTGCCGGCCATCAAAGCTACCCCGGACGAAGACGATGGCTTCGCTGTCGTAACCGGAACCCGAACGGCCAGCATGAAGCGAGCGCCGGGAATTTCGCACGAGGGAGCCAGCCGAGCGGGCATTTTCATCTCCACCCTTCGCAAAGAAACCGAGAACAACATTGACGTTCTGAAGAAGGAGCACTTGGAAATCGACGCTGAAGAGGAACGGAAGGCAGCTCAGCACGCTTCTTTGAAAGCTGCAAAAAAGCAGAAGCTCGAAGCTGCGATCGACGCCTTGAAGGCCGAGCACAACGAGGAAGAATCGGCGGACGATCGAGCCTTCAACGAGGAGATGAAAGAGATTCACGCGAACAAAAAGAAGGTTGCCGACAAGGTAAGTAAGTAGGCTTTTTTTCATGATAAATTGTCATATACTGCTCCAACACCGAACCTAGCTGTGGCTCTGGCGTCGGGCGGCGTGTTGTGGAGACAGCAAAATATCCCATCTGCGGAGCCCGGACTAGAAATAAAGTACTTAAAATGGTGTACTTAAGCAGTACGTAAGTTACTAGATCTGGTTGTGGATGGATTTTTCTGTTTCTTCATTATCAATTACAAAACTTGAAACTCAATAAACTTTACAGATTTCTTGGGAAAAAGAGGAGCGCGAGATCTTGCAGGACTGCATGCAAGCTGTTGACAAGGTCGCGAAGATCGATAAACCCTTCGCACTGGTCGACAACGAACACTTCACCGCTGAGGATCTCGCATCTCTGCAGACCGAGCTTCCCTCGTCGAGTGCTGCGTCGTCCGCATCGTCGCCGAGCGTGGCCCCGGCTGGGGCTGAGGGCTCAACCACGTCCGCTTTGACCCCGGGTGTCGAATCGGGTGAGATTGAAATGCAAGTGGACATCATTGTCTCGAGCTCTTCCTCTTCCACCTCGATTGCTGCAGCTGCTGCGTCGGACCAATCGATGACCGGGGAAAATTTGAATTCCAAGAATGGGGCCGGTAGTTCGTAGCTGATCATGATAGCGTTTTGTTGTGCGTGATTGTACTTTGGTGCACTACTGTGACTGTCGAATTCAACGAATTCCACTTTCGATTTTCATTTTCAAGATTGATGAGAAGCCCTGCCAGCACGGAAAGAAAAATGTTTTTCAGGTGTTTCTTCGGCGATGTCCTCGTCCAGTACGTTTTCTGCCGCATCGGTGTTCGCCGGTTCAAGTGATGCGACGCGGGCGTTTGCGTTTCCGCGGCCTGCGGTGGAGGAGATTACGGAAAAGAACGACTCGCACTAGTACTGCGGATGCCGTGTCGACATGATGACCACCTTCAGGTATTTCTTACACATTGTTTCTGTGCAACATACTTAAATGAGGTGCTACTTTCTTCATGATGATCATGGGCATGCGGTTTTTATGGAGGAAAGATCAAGGACAGCGAGTCAACTACTTTGTCACAATTCCGCAGGTGGCGTACTCTCTCATCACTTCAAGCTCTAGTTTTTCGATCTCATGGACCACTACGCCAAGTTGATGCTACTGTCTGAGAAAGAATCTCAAGAAGCCGGATTGATGCTACTGTTGGTGTGCCAGCGCCCACGATTACTATGTATTAGTCGGAGTAATGACACAACTCTTACTCGCTTTCGTATCGCTTTCCTTTGCAAGAACATACGCCGGTCACAAATGTATCATCAAAATTGTTTTGTTAGTGCAAGAAGCTACTTCTAATTAAGGTTAGGACAGTCGGTCGCAGTATTTTGTCAAATCAGTGAACGTGGTCGCTATCGTAACAGATTTATTCATTCATCAAGTACGTACTAGGTTTTTACAGAGTTTCGCACTATAGACGAGAACCAATGTGACTTTCACTTTTCAATGAGCAACAGCCGCCGTTTTACCGAATTCGCATGCAAATTCAAATTGCAATAGCAACATCTTCAAGAATAAAGAGGTATATGAAAGAACGGAGCTTCTGTTTGTTGACGTCTGGATTTAGATTTTCTCCTTGACTTTTCGAATGAAAATTAAACAATATCGAATTTTCATCACGATGAAATTAAAAATCAAAATCTAGTCGCAGACATTTTATGTAGCGTTCATACCTGAGCTTTTGATTTGCGTATCCCGCGTCGCAAGTGCTCGTGTTGAAGAAAGGTAAGTACACAAGACGCTAGTTGCAGCAGCCAAAGCATCTCATTCCCATTGCCCTCACCTTGTTGAGTATTGTGCGAAAATTGAGCAACATTGCCCATTCCAAAACCTAGAATAGCAATGTTGTCTAGCGGTGTCCTAGATGCAAGTGCGAGGCAAACGTGAAGATCGGACCTATTTTTATACTCCCACTTTATGATATGCAAGTTCAGATCAGGACTCAAACTCAATCTCAAACTGAAAGTCTGCGAAAACGAGTTGGTACGTGAATCCCCTGAAGAATTTGCGTGGGCAGTTTTGTTCCAGTCGAAGTTTCGTTTTGATAAAATCGATTTGAAAATTGCTCCGTTGCGTTTCGTTCAGACAGCTCCGGCTCGGTGGTCAACGTCATACTTAATCAAACGGGCACCAAACTACACTTGGTGGCCCAGTAGTTTGTTTCGCACTAGAAATTTCAAGCTTGTCGTGATGAGTCAAAGATAATAAAATTACCATCGAAGGAGAAGCCTCAGATTGAGTGATTGTTTAAAGAAAGCTCGGAGGAAACACCTGCTGTGTTTGACTTTCTATAGCCTGACCTCCTTGGTGACCCGCCTTCTTCATCAGGATCGAAAACTCGTGGTGTAGTAGTTACTCTCGTGGGACGTTGGAAGGGTCTATGTGGAGAAGGAGTGTCCTTTGGGAGACAGAGGCTTCGTATTCGTATTTGGAAATCGAGCAAAACGTCTTTTCTTCACGTCTGTTCGGGTTCATGCGTCGAAGTCTTCTAAAGATGACCAATGAAAAGTGTGGTCGTGTTGTACTTGTACTACGTATACCGTGTGTCGTAGTCGTCGTCAATTCATCGTCATCGGCATCCGTCATAATCAATGTTGAAGGCCGAAAAGATTTGACCCCTCAAGGTAATATAAATATAGAAGTCAGTAGGTAGTCTCATTACAATGAATTGTGTGAGAAGATAAGTGAAAGTGTAAGTCGTATTTGCTTCGATGCTTGGATCAAAATTTGGATGGAACACAGCAGTAAATGTGTATCCTCCACATTGGCTCGAAAAGGACACGGATCTACTAACGGACAACTAATGGCAGTAGCGATGATGGCGATCGACGCAAGTTCGACCACCCGCGCCTCACACGACTACTCCTGGATCATCCGTTCGCATCCTACTGACGATCACGCAACCGACAACGACCCGGAGATTCCAGTGTCTTTAGTACTAATCCCGAAGCTGAAAGCTGGCGAGCTTGCAGCTGTACTGCAAGCCGAAGAGCCCGCGCGACGCTTCGTCTACAAGGTTGTCACGACGCTAGGAACAGCGAAGCAGATTCACCAACAGGGGATCCTCCAATACCGCAGGATTCAACACCTGATAGGGTGGCTGCTGCACGGTGTGACACTCGGGGAAGAAGTCAAGGAGTGGCACCAGAAACAGCACGAGGTTCGCGTCGTCGAAGAACTTAACAAACGACGAGGTGCGAAAAAAGTCGTCGTCGACTTCCCCATGGTGAAGTCATTCCAGAAGGGTGCATTTTTTGGCATGGAACGCGTCGCGCCGCTGAAAGACGCGACCCGCGCAGACCTCAATGACATGGCTTCTGTGTTGGATAAGATGAACCTCGTCGGGGTGTGGCATGGCGATGTCAAACCGGACAACTTTGGCAGGACCGCGGATGGAAAGCTCAAGGCTTTTGACATCGATCATGGCTCGTGCACCAGCCTGCGAGCGTACGTGAGGGAAGACCAGGTGACTAAGTTTCTGACGGAAGCGCTGCTCCTCGGGAAGGGTTCCGGGAGCGAACTCGCAGACGAGAGCCGTTGCTGGCCGATCGTCGACAGGTGGCAGTTTCTAGTTACGGTCACAAAAACGCTTGGGACGCCGGCTCCGCCAGCAAACAGAGCCACCTACCAACGGCTCTTCCGGAACTCCTGTTGTGATCTCGTCTTGGAGGAGGTTGAAAAGTCCAAATCCCTGGAAGAAACGGTGAACAAGAGCAGTACCAGCAACAGTGGCAGTGGAAGGATAAACGAGGAAACAGCAGACGATGAAAGCTTACCGGGACCCTTGTCCAAGCGGAAGAAGCTGAGCAAAGAACAGGAGGAACCTGAAACCACCGCAGCTGTTGCCACACTGCCAAAAGCGGTTGATGGCGCGAAGATTGCCGACCAGCGAGGGGGGAGGGCGCAGTTGACCAAGCCTGCATCGACCGTCGCAGCTGCAGTAGCAAATATGAAGGAGAAGAAAAGCGCTTCCGCGAGTTCCAGTTCTTCTGCGTTCATCTTTGAAAAGCCCGCACCGCGATTGCCATTCGAGAAGGATGAGGACAGGGGTGTCGAAGAACTGGCGAAGTCGAGACAAGTTGTAGGCGATGTCCGAGAGGACGAAAATACTTTCGCCCCCGACCCGGCGCTCCGCCAGCTCGAGACACGGAAGAAAAGCAGTGGCAACGCGGTCGCGCCGGATGACGCGCTCGATATTGCGCAGGCACCAGACCTAAAAATGGTATTTGTTTGTGTAGTGTTTAACTAGTGATACTGATATTGGTTCGCCCGCATGCATGGCGTCATCTGTTTGTCGAAGAGCGCAGTCCTAGAAAAACGAATACGACCTGCATTTAGCATATTACAACCAGCATGCAACTGCTGGAACTGAATCTTTCTCTTGTAAAAACCAGCCACCTGCGGGTACACCCGTACCAATACCAGCAGCTGCGGGCGCCGGCGATGACGAGGTAACGAGCAGGAAAGCGAAAGGAGTTCTTCCGGCGGAAGCTGTGATGGATGCCTTTGGGAAGAACAAAGCCTTGCAGTCGAAAGGCGGCAACGGCTCACCAGCAAAGGCAGAACATGGTCAGCAAGGGCAGGTGGTGCAGGAAACTGATGCGCAGAACGCGGAGCGGCTGCACAAAGAGCGTGTCGCATCCGTCAGGTAAGTAACAAATCGCATCAATCCCGATATCTGCGAATTTGAGTTTCAGGGCATCGCCTTTCTCCTCCACCAACAACTGATACCCTTTCCCGTCTGTTTGTATTCGCAATGCCTGTGCCCATGGCCATGAAAAAAACTAAAACTACAAACTCGTGGTCCATTCGTTCACGAATTCGAACCCTCAGTTGCTACTTCACAAAAAGACTATACGCAAATACATCATCTGATCAGGAGAAAAGCAGCACAAGAGCGGCATGCGAGGGCCAAGGCACAGAAAGAAGAGGAGGAACGAGTTCGGGCCCGCAATCGCGCGAACGGGGCACGGGGCTTAGCAGCACAAAAGAATCGGCGCGGCCGCAAGGCTGGGCCGGGAGGGGCCGACGGCGCGGTCGAAGCAGCAGGGCCGGAAAATGCTGCAGCCGCACCGCAGCAAGCACAGCTGCAGAAAGATGGTGAAGAAAACAAGGATGCAAAGGGTCATGATCTGAGTTGATTGATTTTGATAGATTTCGTTTGAGCTTGACATGGCCTTACAGAGCAGCCCCCTGTAGCTCCGAATATACTATTTCTATGTAAATATGTTGGTGTTGTATGATCTACTTGCTCGTCGAGTACGAGTATGGCCACCAACTTCTCCAGGAAGACCAATGCTACACGTACACGAGGCCTAGTGATACTGACTAGTGCTTCTAGGTTTCTTGTTTAAAAGATTTCAAATTATATATTGTATGATATGATGCTTCGTATGCGCAAACCAATGATGTGCCACGACGGGGAATGAAATCAATAATAAAAGTGGTGCAGGAAGAAACTATTCATGTAGGTATGGGTATTTCTTCAATCGATCCATGTGATGTCGATCACTGACTGTATTTACAGACTTGTACCTGTGATAAACCAGTATGTCGCGACTGACATCAATCTGCGGTAGCAGGTGGCCTGCTCCATCGACAAGTTCAGCCTACCGCGTTCTTGAAGTCGTTGTGCACATCATGAATAAAGTGTCGGGCAGTTGTAGCAGCAGCTCTTCGTGCTCTTCGTTTGTTCTTAATACCATTCTCGGATCGTACGGCTCATAAAGAGTTCCAGGAGTCCCCGTCACGACTTCGGTAGCGAAAGCACGCCACACGACCTGGTGAGTTCTCGCTTGGTGGCCCCTTCATGACCATGAGCAAAGAAGTTTCCAATGGTCCTCGACCTCGCTTGAGTTTCCGGAAAATTGACTGATTTGCGCGACGACTCTACACGCAGGTTCCCGCGAAGTGGCGAAAACGAGGCAATGCTCGATATTTTCTGCAAAATTCTCGCCACTTCCGGTTCAGCCAAAGTGGCGAGAATTTTGCAGAA